GGCATGACTCTTAAATCTGTCATGCAGGTTACCCAAGAGCCCCAATTTCCTGTCATGCAAAACGCAGTTTGTCATGCAGAATAGGCAACACCTAGGAGCTCAGAAATTTGTCATGCTGAGCCAGCATTTGTAGCCTCATCATGAGACGCCGCCCAGCATCACAAGTTTCCAGACCCAGACATTTTTACATTTGATATGAGGTGCAGCTGTGCAACCTGTTCATCGAGGGCATCGCTCAGATCATCAAGCTACGGATTGCAAAAGTGTTTGGGTCTAGAAGAGTTGGGCTTGTAATGCTGTCTGCGGAATCTAAAAACATCTGTGTTGCATGAGCAGCAAGAGGAGTCAGTTCTTGGCACGCGGAGAGGGCGTAATACTATTAATAAGATTTGTCATGCGTAATAAGCATCAAGAAGCTCTCAAAAAATCTGTGATGCTAGCATCAGCATCACATACTTGATGGGTCATGCAAAATGTGCATGACAAGCCCCGACTCTTCCTGACCCAGACATTTTTGCATTTCATACAAGTGGGAGCAGGCCTTGGAGGAGGGCAAGAACATCGACGAGGAGGTCGCGGGTGCCAAGCCCTTGGGCATCTAAACCGCGACAGCGCCGCTGGTGCCATCGTCAAACATGATTCCTTAGTTTGTGAAGATGCAGTCATCTTCGCGAAACTTTTACAGTCGAAGCAAGAAGGAAAATATCGCACGGCGACTTCAAAAATAAAGATGTCCTAGATCAGACACTGTCCATGATCCCGCAAGGAGAATGGTTCTGGTCCTACTTGGGACAACGAGCGTAGTACGTTCAATTTCTATAATCAAATTTGTTTCACCTCACGCGCAACTTGAAAAAACAAATTTATACATAGAACGGTGGTACTAGTCAGGTCATGCACCTCACGTACGTAGTACATTCAAATTGGGAAAAAAGTAGGCTTCCGAAACTCCCCTGGCCGCATGACAACCCATGTGAGCTGTGACATGTTGCGACTGCGAGTATTAGAGGCTTCAATTCATTGGAGGCTAGCTCTGACCCTGCTCGGAGAAGAAAATCAGAAACACCAAAAACAATACTATACCAGCGAAGCGAAACTGAAATCGTATATACTGGAGAAGTTGATGAAGTTAGGAACTCAAGCGTGAAACTGAATATCCATCTCTCCGAGCAGTTTCCGAACCGGTTTTGGAAATATAAATGAATCAAGTCAAAGTAACAGTGATCGGAAGTGGCCGCAGTCCGCGGAGCAAAAAGGCGATGCGTCGACGTGTAGCCTCGTTTCACTTTTGTACGTTGCTCAGGCAGCCTAGAAGTTGTTCAGCATTTTCTTTCGTTGCGCAGATCAAGGCCTCTGCTGCTCGTGTGCGTCGTTGTGGCGGTGAGGAGGGAGAATGATCAGATGGATGATTTCACAAATCGAGATAGAGATACAAAAAAAAACAAGAAATATCTTCACGTCAAGTGGCCAGTTCGCTTCGTATAAATTGTCCGTACTCGTGGGGGGAGGGTCTAAAACTAAATCGCTTCACTTCTGACAAACGCAAAACTTTCACATAGCCGGTGTGGCGGTGTGTACGTTAGGGTTGCCTGACTGTTGTGTTGACGGCGTCACGTCAAATCAAATCGCGCTGAATGACAACTCAAATAAATATCAATACAGTGCTGCCACCAGTGTCATCTCTATACTTCAAAGAACAGAGCGTGAGTTCGGGAATGTGAGGGAAGCTGAGGTCTAGAGAGGCTCCTCCTCGTAGACATCCATTGAATCAAAGTTGCACCCGCCCCCGATTCTGCTGCGCGTTCTTTGATTGACCTTTCAATTTATGAATCCCGAGTATTCTCTATCGTCTCCCCCTCGCCCTCTTCCCAGCGCTATGTATTCATGCTCATGGTATAGCAGTTGGCTCTAAAGAGAAATGTTCTTTTCGTATTCTCTAGGAATTTTTAAAAATCTACTATTGAGAGGGGAAAAATTAACGACAGACCACACTTCATCCAAGAAATAAAGATGTCTGCTACCCAGAAGAAGGTTGAGAAGAAATCCGCCTCGGGCTATGGAATCGCGATGCGCGGCAGCGTTGGAGCCTTGGCCGCTGTTGCCGACATCGGCAACATCCTGGGCGCTTCCGCGTACGACCAGTCGAAGCCCGAGGGGGGGGGGGGTGGCTTCACCCTGACCCCGGAGGGGGAGACGGAGGACACCGATGTCTCCACCGCTGATGCCGTCCACGGTATTCATGACAGCCTCTCGCAGTTGCTGTCTGAAGATCGATGGTTGGTGTTGTTAATTCGTGTCTGTTGAGAGAAGTTGCATGAATCGCGTCTCTTCATTGGAACAAGCTGCAGCTGTTGTTTCTTTTAATCAGGTGCATCTACCTCTGCCGCGGCATCTGCCTTGCAGGCTCGCCCGGCCGTGACAGGTCCGGACGGGTACTGGTGCGAGTACAAGGCAGCAACCGGAAAATGTGTCCTCGTCGCCCCCCCCGAGAAACTGCCGGAGGACACCCCCACCGCAGGCTTCTCTGGCATTGTGGTCGAGCGATGGGGAGGGCTGGAAGCCGCGGCAGCGTGCTGCACCGGCCCCGACGCCAACCCGAGATGCGAGTGGAAGAGTGATGCCTCCGACGGGACATGCGCATCGTATATGAGTTGGACCGTGGGTCAGGTGAACCGGTGGTCGAACCAGTACTGGCGTGGTTATTCCGGGCGCTGAACCGACAGAGGAAGTGGGGCCGTCCATTGGCGTTGTAGCCCGGAAAGTTCTCTGAAGCAAGTGTCATCAATTTAACGACGTAGGTCATCTATCTTTTGGAATAACAATTAGTGTCACCACTTGTAATTTAGCATCATTCTTTCCCCGCGTCCCGTTGCTTCGCGAAGCACACGCATCTACTCCTCGTCTAGCGACAATATTCGTCAGATGTTGATGCTGTTGTTGCCGCGTGCCGTCAGTCCGCTTTTTTGCGAAAAATCAAACCGCACCTAGCCGAGTGTTTGGGGCGCCGCCTCTTCGATGCTTTTTCGGTGTGACTGTACATAATTGCCATTCTTTCCAGGCCGTCGCTTGAGAAGATAGTACTTACCTTGCTCCCTAAACAGTATATTGACAATAGCCACGTAATGCCGATGTTTGTTTGGGCGAGGTTCTTTACCGGAAGCCAAACTATAGCCCAAAACAGGCCGTAAACGAATCCGATGTAAAATAACTAAGCTCAAAGAAGAGCTAGTTAGAAAATCAAAAAAAAAATCGCTGGTCGGTTGCAGGCCCCGAGCAAGCCAACTGTTGTAGCCTCGCTCGTTTCACTTTTGTACGATGGTCAGGCACCTACTCAGTTCTTGTTCACGTTCAGCCATTTCAGTCGTGACGCAGGTCAAAGCTTCTGGCTCGTGTGCGTCACCTTAAAAAGGACGGATGATCAAAAAGAGGATCTTCTCAAGTCGAGATTTACAAAAGTGAATACCCTCCATATCGGTTTGCCAGGACCCGGATCTGGGTTTTCACCGTCCACTGCGTCGTGCTCGTCGTGGTCAACATCAGAACAAGTGCGTATCTGTTTAAAATGTCGCTGTCGCTAAAGGTCATTGCAGCAGTTTGTCAGTCCCATGGACAATAAAGAAGCAGGTAATAAAGTTCTCGTGGCCGTTCGTATGATTGTGTTTCACTATATCTTCGATCTTACTCTCACCTTTTAGTCCTAACGTTACCGCTGACATCAGTACTACACTACCGTGATATCGTCCAGCTTGTCTTATTTGTCAAGTGACGCTTCGCGTGATTTCGAAATGCGTCTCAATATCGCACAGACACAAATGATTACAGGAATCGAATAAGGTAGAACTTCGACTAACTTACTTCCCAGACCGCTTGTTCTACTATAACAACGAAGTCAATAAAAATCATGCCGCGTGTGCGAGGTGTTGCGAAAACGAGTTGTGGTGCGCCGAGAGCATCAGCCTCATCTCGTCCGCTGCCAGGTGGGACGACCAAGCCTAAGACCTGCTCCATCAGGAGTAAAAACCCATCTCGTGCTGGACCCGGGCGAGGCGGGTTCGCCTTCGATTTTCCGTCGTTTCTCCGGACGGTTTCCTGGGAAAAGGAAAATGTACGGACGAGGAGGGGACTAGTGAAAGCGATGGAGCAAGCGCTTCAGTACAAGAGATTGGACGCTGCGCTGTGGTTTCACTTTGCCGGCATCGCTGGACGGTTTTTGAGGAAACATCAGGAAACAACAAGTGCAAGTGGACGCCGCGACAGGAGGAGTAGTCGCGTAGGCGATATGTTGCACGAGGATGGTGGTGCTCCAGGAGAAGAACAGGATCGCGCTTTCGTGGTGCGCACGTTGAGCTTGATCTCCAGAGCGGGCGTCCGCGGAGAAGATTGCTCGTTCTACAGGGAAGCAGCAGTCTGGGTGCAACGACATCTTCTTTTGACCAAGAAGACCTCTCCCCGTGCTGTTCATGCAACGTCCGCCTGCCGTGAGGACAACACGACCGAGGATTATAATGTCGACACGCTTGTCTTTGTCGCGAAATGCTTCGCCAGAGTGGAGTATCCGCAACACAAACTGTTGCGAAGCGCAATACCGAACGGGTTATTAAGCGTCGGTGGAAGCAGAAGCACTACATGGGAAGAGGCCAGCTGCACCGCTTCTGGAAATGATGACTGTCTGAATAGCGGCGCAGTGCCACCACATGCAGTTGCAGTTCACATCCCCTTAACCGCTCGTTTCGTTGCAGACCTTTTCCTGCTGTATTCGTGGTACTTGCGACAGAACAGTACGCGGCTGTCGGAACGAGAGCAAACGCTGATTGGGCACGCACTGCAGAGCATCCTTCACCTTGTGAGCCGCAGAGCGGTCACGAAAAATCCAGCAGCAGGAATCAAAGGTTATTTCTCGTGCCTCAGCACGGAGCTAGCGGCGACACTGTTACTGAGTTTGCAAGTGGTAAAAAGAAAACTGCTTCAGAAACGAGCATGCAGAAGGGAAGACGGAACAGACAAGTCGAAGCCACCTTCGCCCAAAAAGACGAAGCACGAGACGAGGTGTGGAATTGGAAAGCAGGATGGAGATGCACAAGAAGATAATTCGGGTGTGAAGAATCAAAGTGGAGGTAGCGCTTTTGTAGCTGCAGATGCCGAAGACGACGCGTTCTCAAACGTGCAAAACCTACTCTGGAGGAGTCTTCTGCATCGATTTGGGGACCTTTGTCCCGAGCTTCACCTTCGCTTGGCGCGTTTGATCGCTGTCTCGTTAGTGCAACCGGCGTTGACTGAGAAGAAGTGGAAGATTGGAAGTGAAGCAGGGAACAAGGGATCGACCAACTACAGTTCCCCTGGCGAGGGAGCGCAAGACGAAAGAGCTCTTCGGTTGTTCGCGGAGGGGCAGCAGCACAGCTTTAAACCCGTCACTGCAGCTGCACTACTGAGTGGCAGTGGAGTCTCACGCTCAACATTTCCAAATTGTAGCAGCGATCCAGTCCCTCCTGGGCAGCTCCTGACGAAACAAACCATCTTTGCTCGGCAGGTGGTCGGTAATCTGGGATCTGCCGCTAGGCTCCGTCCGGGACGATCACCAGTCCCGCTGACTGCAGAGCAGCTCTCGTCGTCTTGCGAGATCGCAGCCTGCCTTGGGGAGACCGGATTGTGGTCTAGACACGGACTCTTCGAGTACGTGCAGCCGCTGCTTCCTGCAATCGTCGAGGCGTTACATTCTACTTCGGAAAAAATGCGTGGTCCACGATCGTTCTCTGGAAAAGAGGGCCAAGAGCATCTGCAAGGACTACGAACGGGGGCATTTTTGTCAACATCGACAGGTTTAGACTCACATTCATCGCAACCAGCGAGCGGCAACGACGACATCGACGACGAGGATCAAAGTAGACGTGGAGACGAGGACTTCTCTGAGGCTTTTGCTATCGAAGAACCTCCTTCTACTGATGACGAAGGTGTCGCTTCGCAGGGTTCAACGTCGGGAAAAATGCCCACTACAAGAACCGTATTGGATTCCAAGAGCGCTGGGTTGCTGCTCTCCGCAATCAACGGCGTTGGTGTCGTGGAGGACCACGTACTGATCGAGTGCCTCCACCTTCTCGCGGAGCCTGCGGCACCTGTGCTGCGGGAGCGTGCAGCGCGGTACAGGATCGGTGGTGGACAGCGACTTCTTGCACAGACTGGTGCTGTACCTGTGCTTTCCAGGTCAGACCGCAACGCTCGTCTGCTTTTGGGAACTGCTGCAAGTACAGCTGGTCCTTTGATGGAGTTGGCACCGCCTTTACAAGAACAATCACTTCTTGCGATGAATTAAAGTTGCTGTCGTGTGAAACTTGAAAGAGGAAAGTGGAACGTCCGTCGCTTGAAAGTAGCGACGCCTAGGTTGCAATAACTAACAAAATCTTGTGACCGTATTGAACTCGTCTTTGTACGAGTGGAAAGTGTAAATTCGTACTACATCACTGATTTTACCAGATTGTTTGGGGCGACTCGTCGGGTTGAAGCATTCAAACATCGGTCTCTGACATACAGCCAAGCAGCTGAAGTGAACAAAGCCAAAAAGAGCATTCGTGCTAAATAAATCGGTTTTGTGAGGAAAGCAATTGTACGTCGGTACTTAAGTTGGCGCAGTGGTCTTACCAATCTTCTATGCGACAGGCTTTAATGGGAGAGAGAGAGAGTAATCCTACCGAGCGTTATTTTTTTGTCTAATGTCAAAGAGTGCGGGAGCGATTCTTTTTTTCAACTCAATTCCGGGTTTTCTTTTCCTTTTGAACGACAAAACTAAACTTTCCTGTAATCCGTCTTTTCCAATCAAAACCGTAGCAGAAGAGACTCAGAGTTCGTGGCTTTCACGACTTTTCCGCCTCTCCCTTAAGAGTAACCTGCAGACTATCTGCTAAACCTAAAACCAAAGCGTTTTACCAAGCGCAGTTGCCTGCTTCTTAAGTCTAATCACTTTCGTTAAGTCGAAAACCCCAGTTTCCAACAATGTCCTACCCGCCGGAAGGATTGTGCGAGACCTTGGCCGAGCTGCCGGACTGGATCAAGGTCGGCTGCGGCGACAAGGAGTACTACTGCGAGGAGAAGGGTGCCACCTTCCCCGGTGACAAGTGCCCGGAGAAGCTCCCGGACCTCTCCAAGCATGGTAACTTGGCGGCCATGGCCCTGCGTGACCACCCGGAGATCTACGAGAAGTACTTTATTGTTCGCAGTCATGCATTACAGATTCTTGTTGTGGCATTGAAGTCTTGCATTTTTTGCAAATCCAGACCTAGACATAAGTAGTCTCACTTCGGGTTCTGAATTTTGGTTTGTAAATCAACGTCTTCCCCGCGGTATATTTGCCCTTTCAGATGCAGATAAGATCGTCTCTGCAGATAGGATAGAAAAAACTTCCGAAATTTCTTTTATCCGCATCACAGGTACAAGAACGTCACCACCCCGGGCGGCGTGTCCTTGGCCAAGTGCATCAAGACCGGCATCGATAACCCCGGTCACCCCCACATCTTGACCTGCGGATTGGTACTGATTCCTCTTAAGTCAGCATGATTTCTTTAACTTGTATGCAAAGTTCGTTTTATTCTCTGGACGAGCCAAAGTGCATGCAAGAGTGAGTGAGCGCATGTCTGATTGTACAGTGGTTCTTTCTTCGCAAAAAGCAAGCGTTCGGCTTATTTGCATGATTTCCTGTCTTGCGGAACAACACTTCCACCGACGTGTAGGTTTGAAACAAAATCGCAATTCAATTTCATTGAAGGTCGCGGGTGATGAAGACTGCTACACCACCTTCAAGGACTTGTTCGACATTGTCGTTGGCCAGCGGAACGGCGGTTACGCCGCGGACGCCAAGCACGAGACCGACATGGACGTGTCCAAGTTGTCCAAGACCCAGATCGACCCCTCTGGCAAATACGTACTTACTTTGAAGAGCCGTTATGTCGTTTAGAGGTTTTATTTCGTGCTGATCGAACACGTAATCATGAGAAAAAAACAAAAAAACGTTTTATACGTAGGTTTTGTCTTGTTCTACTTCTCTACAACGTATAATTGTTGTGCCGGTTTGTCGTTTGTGGTCAGCGAGACGAACGTCATGATTGGTGATCTAAAAAGCAACTGTTTCTTTTATCAGGTCTTGACCACCCGGTGCCGCACCGGTCGTTCCGTGCGCGGCTTGCCGCTGCCCCCGGCGTGCTCGTTCGAGCAGCGCCGCGAGACCGAGCGTGTCTGCGTGAAGGGGCTGATGAAGATGGAGGGCGAGTTGAAGGGTCAGTACTTCCCGTTGAACGGGTCCAAGTCCATGGAGCCCGAGTTGAAGGGTATGACCAAGGAGAAGGAGGAGGCCTTGCGCAAGAACGGCAACTTGTTCCAGGAGCCGGACTCCACCCTGTTGCTGTCCTCCGGCTGCGGTCGCCACTGGCCCGACGCCCGCGGTATCTACCACAACGACGCCGAGAACTTCTTCGTCTGGGTATTGTGAGGAAAAATCCCCCCTCCCCATATTGAAAACGCATTCGTCTGAAAAATTGTGATGCAGACTTGAGGTCACAAATCCTGTCTGTCTTGCAAGAAGGCAAAGCCAGAGAGTCCGCCGCATTATGCAGGCGGTTTGTGATGCTGTTGGGCTTACAGGGCCGACGTCTGTCATGCTAGTCCCCTACGTCAAAACCTCTCGACCCAGGCTTGGTATATGCCTGCAGTCCTCTCCAGCAAGACAGACCTGATTTGTGTACGCAAATCCAGCATCAGAAATTTCGTTTCGATATGGGGAGGGGGGATTTTTCCTTTTGATACTGGGTCAACGAGGAGGACCAGCTGCGCATCGTGTCCATATCCACTGCAAATGTGTCTGGATCCATCTGGAGGAAAGCAGATGTGCTTCTTGATGCCTGTCTTCCCGCATCGCAAATGCCATACTCTTGCAAACTGTTGTTGCTACTGTTGCAAAAAAGCGAACTGCTGAGGCATTACGGAGTTGAGCAGATTCCACAAGTGTAGCATCACAAGCTGCAGTCGTCTTACAGACTGAGATGACATGTTTGCAGTCCATACTCCATGGAGAAGGGTGACAACATCACCGCCATCTTCACGCGGTTCGCCAACGCCACCAAGGCCGTGCAGGACTGCTTGAAGTCCGAGGGGTACGACTTCATGCACAACGACCACCTGGGCTTCATCCTCACCTGCCCCTCCAACCTGGGTACGGGTCTGCGCGCGGGCGCCATGGTCAAGGTCCCCCTGTTCTCCGCCCGCCCGGACTTCAAGGACATCCTGAAGAAGATGAAGCTGCAGGCCCGCGGTACCGCTGGCGTCGACTCCGCCTCCACTGGTATAGAACTTTACAATTTAGATTCAGGCGATTCGAAAACTGTGCACTACATGGTGCTGAAGATTTTTATACCGATCGGTTGCGCGATCTGGTAACCCAAGAGGAAAGAAAAGCTTCTTTGATTGCATGTCATGTCCCTGGATGTTAGTGTACCACAATTATACACCTGTATCACTTCACACGCGAAGCTCCTCCTCCTTCTCCAAAATCAAAATGCGCGCTTGTCAATTTTCCTTGAAACATCCACCACAGGCGGAACCTGGGACATCTCCAACGCCGATCGGTTGGGCATGTCTGAGGTATCAAGTGTAAAAATGCCTGGGTCTGGAAGAATGCGCGATTTGTCATGCTTCTCTGGCATGACTCTTAAATCTGTCATGCAGGTTACCCAAGAGCCCCAATTTCCTGTCATGCAAAACGCAGTTTGTCATGCAGAATAGGCAACACCTAGGAGCTCAGAAATTTGTCATGCTGAGCCAGCATTTGTAGCCTCATCATGAGACGCCGCCCAGCATCACAAGTTTCCAGACCCAGACATTTTTACATTTGATATGAGGTGCAGCTGTGCAACCTGTTCATCGAGGGCATCGCTCAGATCATCAAGCTACGGATTGCAAAAGTGTTTGGGTCTAGAAGAGTTGGGCTTGTAATGCTGTCTGCGGAATCTAAAAACATCTGTGTTGCATGAGCAGCAAGAGGAGTCAGTTCTTGGCACGCGGAGAGGGCGTAATACTATTAATAAGATTTGTCATGCGTAATAAGCATCAAGAAGCTCTCAAAAAATCTGTGATGCTAGCATCAGCATCACATACTTGATGGGTCATGCAAAATGTGCATGACAAGCCCCGACTCTTCCTGACCCAGACATTTTTGCATTTCATACAAGTGGGAGCAGGCCTTGGAGGAGGGCAAGAACATCGACGAGGAGGTCGCGGGTGCCAAGCCCTTGGGCATCTAAACCGCGACAGCGCCGCTGGTGCCATCGTCAAACATGATTCCTTAGTTTGTGAAGATGCAGTCATCTTCGCGAAACTTTTACAGTCGAAGCAAGAAGGAAAATATCGCACGGCGACTTCAAAAATAAAGATGTCCTAGATCAGACACTGTCCATGATCCCGCAAGGAGAATGGTTCTGGTCCTACTTGGGACAACGAGCGTAGTACGTTCAATTTCTATAATCAAATTTGTTTCACCTCACGCGCAACTTGAAAAAACAAATTTATACATAGAACGGTGGTACTAGTCAGGTCATGCACCTCACGTACGTAGTACATTCAAATTGGGAAAAAAGCCACCTATGCTCTGCTTCAAAGTCTCTTTGGATGAAAATTTTTATGTCCAGTAGAGGATTTTTCGTAATCACGCTATTCTGAAGTAGTACTTATGGTAGGTGATTCTAGCCCTTCATTTGCCAGCAACACTCTAGTACGTAGTTTCACCCTGCGCAAATTGGAAAATAAAGTCTTCAGAGTAGAGTTTTTATGGTGCCTCTCTTCGGTGCCGGGATGCGTGGTTTCGCCGATTGCTTGTCGGTTCGCTGTGTAGCACCAATTCTGGTGTCTGCAACACGATCGGCAGCTCTTGGTAAAATTACAATTCTCGCTATGGCGCCCATGATTTTTTACTCTGATCAGAGTACGCTAAGTTCTTCAGATCGAGTTATTGGATAGAGAAAAAATCACGTTTGTTATTTCATCTCGCATCAGACATGCATCTGTTTATACATGAAAGTGAAGCCGCACCCATCATTTGGATACTACGTACTCGTAGATTGAAACTTTTTCGCTGCAAACGAACGCTTCACGCGATTTTTTACCACGCGCAAAATATCCTTTTGATTTCGATGTGGTGTATTATGTTGCTTTTGATTTCATCCTATACCAGAAGCACTTTTCAGTACAACACAGCGCCACTGTTATCCACGGTGGCACAGTCCAACAATTTCTGGTATGAACCCGTCCGCTAGCGCGTAGTAAAGTACATGCCGTCTTTGCCCCGCTGCGGATTCAAAAACCTTCATCAGCAATTCCATGTCGATGTCTCGAAAAGGACGGATTTGATCCGTAAAAGAAAAAGGGAAAACAAAAAGAAAGATCACACTTCCAAGCAGCTTGCTACATGGTGCTGCTTTCGTACTTCCAGTGCTGAAGCTGCGCTCTTTAAAACAGCCTTTCTGTTCATCATTATCGAATTTGCAAGAGAGAACACATGAAATCTTGACTCCACTACTTACATACTCATACAAGAGTATCTATCTGCTTCTAGAAGTGTTGGCGACAACTAGTACTTGTCTGGAGAGGAAACTAGTACTTCAAGTAGTCCTCATACCGCAGTATGTTGTACTCGTCGAGCTTTCTTCTGAGGGGGGGGGGTTATCCTCTTCCTCCAGTTCCTCGTGATCGTGGTCACGGTTGCGTTGGAGGACGTGAAAAATGGCCAGATGTCGTTCGACGCCGAGTTTACCGACACGACGGACGTTGAGCAGGAAGAGGCTGCGAAGGCTGCGAGCACCATGCAACAGGACGCGACCGACCCGAAAGACATGCATGGGACGGTGTGCACCAACGTAAAAGGCAAATGGGAAGGCTTTTGCGTCTGCAGTAAGCATTTCCCATGGGGAAAACAGAGTCAACTGTTTGAGTGGACGTGTGTGCCGAATGACTTGATGCAGACCCGCTGGCTGCGGAACCCCTACTGGTTGCGGTTGAGTAAAGGTAAATCGTTTACCTGCGCGGAGAAAACAAACGTGATTGAGCTGAAGTGCGCCGTGGCTTCTGATGTTAATCAGGCCTCGAATAGCTCGGAAGTACCGGATATGTTATTTGTACCCTGAACATTTTACCCTACATTTAATCCGGCCTCGGAAGATGAAATGAATTTACTGCTCATGCCGCCACTCTGTATCAAACAAATAATGCGATTTTTTGTACAGCGGCTGTCAGACTGTGATCTGAGGTCTGATGTTGGAGAAAGTAATGGTCACGCGTGTTTTTGTCCGTACATCTACATTGCGAAGAATGCAGAAGGAATGCTGATTTCCGGTCAAACGCGTTCCGTGGTAAGGAGGCGATTGGCGAACTACCCTACAGCCGCAACAATAAATATGTGTGAGTGTCGTGATGTGTTTGCAGAGCGATCAAACCCAGTGCGGCGAAAATAGGTCCAGTGAGTGGAGTATCAGTGTCGAATCTGATTCTTGAAAAACATGCCTTGAGAGACAAAAACGGCTGCAAAAGTGAACCAGGTTTGAACTTGGCCTTTGGCTGCGCTGCATCCAAACGCATTAAAAAGACAAACGGGAACGGTGACGATCAGACACATAAATAATGAGATCTCGCGGCTCTTTTTCGATTTTTCTTCTTCTCCTGAGTGTGTTTGTCATATCCGTCCTCGTTTCGTCATTTGCAAGGAATAGGGAGTAAACGGGAGGAAGAATCCTAACCCACTTCATTTCATTCGGTTTATTCGTATCACATGCACCAAGCCTCTCGCTTTAAAGTATTTGAGCACCTGGCTCACGATGGCCGCAGCATCGGGACCCCGGTCCGCGTTTCGAGAGATGATGCTCCAGCAGGCACAGCAAACCGCTAAAGTGCAGCCAATGGACGGCGCACCTGACGCTCCACCACTCGTAGGATTTGGAAGTGGAGCAGCCAGGCCGAAGCAGAGCTACAGTGGTCCGTCCTCCATGGCCACACCGGCTGCTGCGCGGGTAGGTGGAGGTAGTGCAGCGTCGGCAGTGCCGCGGAACGGCGTGAGGCGGGTCGCCACGGGAAGGGCTGCTGCGGCACCGAGGTCGATGGGTACTACTATTAAACTCTTTCACGAACAAATATGATCGGATCCTCGATCACCGATCAGTATACAGGTTACAAGGAAGTCAAATAGAAGTGGCAGAACCGCTGCAGTTTTTCGATGCGACAGACACATCAAGATGTTGACGTCGTCGCATCTTCCATTATCATTCAAAAACGAAAACACCAGACACCATGTCAGAAGCACCCTCATCTGTGGCCGCGTCGCAAGCAACCAGGCCGAAGAAGATGCACGCGCCGGGAGCGATTCCGCGGTATTTGCAGAAATTCAAGCAAGAAAAGGAAGATGAACTCGCACGACAAGAAGCCGAAGCGAACAAGATCAAGATTCCGGATGGATACAGGTATACTTCTGGAACGATCGACATTTTTACTTTGTGAAGATGACAGGCCCCGCTCGCGGCTGCAGGATATCCTGATCGAGATTTTTGAGGCTGCAGTCGTGCTATTAATTCGTGATGAAGATGTCCCATCAACAAGAACATCTTCACATGAACCGCACGCAGACTCGTCGGGGACAAAGAGCGAATCCTGACACTGGAGTGGTTCGCGACCCAGCTGGACGAGGTAAGCGAGCAGATGCGCAAACTCCCCATCCGGATCGAGACCGCTAGTCAGAAAAAGCGGGAAAAGGAGCTCGTCGACAAGAAGGAGCGGCTGGAAGACGGGGTGCAGATGTTCTCGAAGGAAATCGTATTTATTGTTGCTTTTGTAATGCTTGATGTTGCTGTTGTAGATGTAGTTGTGCGAGAAGTAGTACTTTTGATGTGGTGTCACTGTCTCCATTCATAGCGGGGGCCCTATTAGCCTCAGTATTACGATGTCATGGCGCCCTCGTGCATAATGTAACGCAGCATGGAATCAGCTGCAGAGATGGAAGACGTCGCAGCCCTCCATCGTGGAGAATGTTACGCACGACGGAGTGCGCATTCTTTTCATGCTGCAGCGTCTTTGACGATACACTTTCAGAAAGCCGAAGTAGGTGCGTCCGCGAGACCATTATTTCCGGATGCGATCATGATGGCGCATTCCAGCTGCTCTGACAACCACTTAGTTTGCGGCACCCGGGAGAACGCGAAGGTCGCCGTAGTACAACTGAGGTGCGATGATCGAGACCAACACGCTTCCCGCGAGTTGCACCTGAAGTAGACCATTGAAGCCACTGCCTTTATCACAGTGAAAAATGCCCCCCACCCCTGCAATTGCAACAATTTGTGATGCGAAGTTTCCAAATGAAAGCTTTTTGTCATGCATGAAAGGAGTAAGAATCTTTCTGATGCAGATTCTAGTCGTGTTTCGCATCGCTTGCATGACAAGCACCGCTCTTGCTGGGATCTTTTGCAATACAAATTTTTGCTATTCACGATCGGAAATCTGTGATGCTGATACACGCAAGAGGGCGAATGTTTCATTTGGAAAGATTTGCAATACAAATGCTTTCAAGTTCGGGGGTGGGGGCATTTTTCATTGTAATAGCCTTTGCTCGTTGTTCTAGAAGTAGTTGCACGTTTTGATGTGGTGTCGTGATAATCTCCCCTTCTATATCTTCTTCACGATGTTGTAGCTCCTGCAGCTTAGGATCTGCCACTGTGCTGGACGCCGACCTCTGGCTCTGCTTTGCTTGTGCTGCGGGTGGTGGTGTTACAATCAAGGGGATGAATTCGCCAATTCGCGAGTGAGGGACAGCACCTCCTGATGAAGCGCCAGCTTCATCTCCATGTCGGTCTGCGACTCTTTCAACATCCACCAACCCGCTGGCTTTGTTCTGGTGCAGCTGTAGACCCGCAGCACGAACCAGCTGCCTCTTGCGCGCTCCCTCGAGCAGGTACAGGGCCCACAAGGGCAACTGGACGTCTTGCTCATCATAATGGTCTTGACCCGCTTGCTCGGCCTTTCTCTTCGACCGCAGCAGCAACGGCGCAGGTTTGATCTTGTCCTTTGCTTGTTCTGACGATGCGGAAATCTCTCCGATGTGCTTCCACAAAGCCCGCTGAGACGGTGTTCGTAAGCTTTTTTGAAGTTGCTCGACGTCCCGCGAGTCGACGTCCTGGAAAAGCTTTGGCTTTGCCGTTGTCCCGTTATCAGATTCATGTTCAACCACCGAGGACATGATGACCGGACAATTTTCCAGTACCGAGACAAGTGATAAGACGAGACGAGCACAGTGGTAAGCAAGTCGAAAAGTAGACGGACGCATTTCCTACACCTAGTACCGAAACAAAAGAAACCCAAACCTTAACCTCAAATAAAAAAGTACCTTAGAACAACAGCACAGCCTTATTTATTCGTTGCTGATTCTTCTAGCGGCCCCAGTGGCGAAAGAAATCAGGTACGAGTCATCGTTCTGAAGCCCATGCTTTCTCTTTCATTTTCGTCATTTTCTGACTCTTGTCGTTTGGAGAGGATACATACCACCTCGTGCGTATACAATTCGGAGTTATCGCGGGGCGACCAGCGATCGGCCTTTGCGTTCAACAGGATCGGCACCAAGAACACCACACAAGCATAATAGCTAATATTTGTATTTCGAAAAAATCTTATTCTGATGAATTGTTACATTTCAAAATGGAAAAATTTGCATCGCGTTACATTTTAAATGTAAATCCATGCTGTCCTGCTGTTGGAGATGTTTAGTTGTAAGTCGTTCTTCGAAGATTTTTTGGTTCAGTATCTTCGAGAAACGAAGTCGCAGCCACAACAAGGCCAAACTGTGCAAGAATGTGATACCACCGCCCCTTTCTCTTCGCATAGCGGTGGTGGTCGGTATAGGTATTGATACGAATCTGAATGACGTCCAACAGAAACTAAGATCAACACGCTTCCCGCGAGTTGCACCTGAAGTAGACCATTGAAGCCGCATCCGTATCCGATAGAAAGGGCTACAAAATAATAAACGCAGCTTCATAGTACCGACCTGCAAAACCTTACGCAGCATGGCGGCAGACCCATTGAAAGGACTTTCATGCGACACTGTGCTGCAGAACGGTACCCATCACGCTATCATTCGTGGATATTAAAATCAAATTCGATCAAACAGGTTGTCATCCCCGAAGGAAGTAGTCCGGTTTGCGAGATGCCGGAGGACACCAGCGAGCCGGGAATTGTAGAGCCGCGGTTTCCCGAACAGCACACGCAGGACACGAAGGATCGGCTCTTTGGGGGCTACGAGGAAACGCCGGTGTTGCAGAATACCAACTACGCCCAGTACTTGCAAGCGCAGGACCGCATCGGGCACAGTGTCAACGCGCAGCAGCCGCAGCATATGCTGGACGCAAACCAAGCAGAACCACCGGCGTACTACCGTGGCCCCGCTTCCACAGTACACCTTGCGATTGTTTTTCTTGTCCAAGAACTTACTTTCGCACTTCATGCTGACGGCGTTGTGATTTTTCATTTTTTGCGGGAGCGGTGCCAGTGCACCACTATCCCTGACTCAGGTGTTGTACTTACTCTGGATTCGCTTTTCCAGCTGGTGCACCGAATCTAAAATCACACACCAACATCAGGATCATATCTCGCATCACGGGCCGCAGCAGCAGGGTGGTACTTTTCCCCGCCAACAAGGAGTACCAGCGGCACCTCCGCAGCCACCGGGGAGTAGTTCTTTTTACCACGGAGCAGGTGGTTCCGCTATGTCCCACGGGACAAGCAGCAAGGAAACAGTATCGAGCGGGTCGGAGCCGGGCTCTTACCCCATGAATTACATGACGCAAGACCGCGGAAACGGGCCGCCGATGTCCTACCCCGCACCCCCAAGTAGCCGTAACTTCAGCCAGTATGTGTACCCGGACTTTCAAAACGGTCAACAGCCTGGCGCAGGAGCTGACCACGCGCACCAGGACCTACGCGCGGGCTACAACAGCATGCCGCCCAGTTTCGCTGTCCCACCCACCGGTCAGCCCATGTCGCTGCCGCACATGGACGTCGAAGGTTGGAGTAGAAGGCTTTTTTAGGTGGAACTTATGATTTTGCAGGCTTTTGCAGCGTCGAACCATATGAAGTCACTTTTCCACATGCACATGCATCACCAAAATGAAAATCTCAGCGTACTATACAGTAAAAACGACCAACAACACATCCTCCTCACAGGCTCCGCCGTAGACCCATATAGCACCGGCCTGCCACCCATGCAATACCCGGGTCAAGACCTACTGCGAGCGGCTCCGCCGGCGAGGAGCGAGCCGCACACGGGGGGAGGCTTTCTGGAACACGACGAGGAGCTGAGGTGTTGAATTAATAAATGAATTTGTTGCTGTTTTCAACTTTGTTGGACGTGGATGTCAATGTCTTCGGCTCGTCCACTTCTCCACAGGGGGAGGGGGTGAGCGAGTAGTATCCATGAAAGTAGAAGACTTGTTGCAATTTATTACGTCTACGTGGCTGTGTTGAGTGGGAAATCTGAACACCCAGCAGCTGCCATCTTTCCAGGTCGTACCAGCAATACCCGGGCTCTGACAACGATCCGCCAGTTCCGGCGCCTGGCCGCGCACCAGAGGTGATGGCAGAGGTGGAAGAGCAACGCGTGCGAGTGCCGCCGGGCGGATTCTCGAGCCTGATTTTGTATTGAAGACGAGAGATTATATCTTCTGTCGCCTTTTTTTTTTGATGAGTTTTTGAAAATAATTGATGCTGTACTTACTTATGTTGCAGCCCCGCATACTTTCGCGCACTTTGTTGGAGAGGCGAAAAAATATCTTCTATTGGCGAAATAAGTCAGTTGCCAAAATTATCATGATGTTTGAAAAGTGTGTAGAGGATGCAATGCTGGGTGCGAAGGGAGTCCCTCCGCGTCTTGTGATGTCCCCGTAGATAGAGACTCTCAGAGTGCTAAGGAGGGGCAAGAGCACAGCTTGAAGTTGTGTTTACGAAATGCCGAAAGCAAAGTGTAAATTTTTTATATGTCACTGAAGAACACGGTCGTGACCGGCCTCACTGGTGCCCTGTATCCGTTCGTTTCTACTAATGGGATTATTTTCACGTTTCTAGTTAACTCGATTTGTCAGTTTTTTCCCGGCCTAGAAGCCGTCGGAGGAGTTGTAATGATCGCCACCTTTTCTTTAAAAGAAGGCCTTGTCATGGATACGCAAAAAGTTGCTTTCTTGTACAGCTTGTATGTAAGTAACGAAGATAGGAAAGCTGCTATGAACCGCGTCTGCGGGATGCTGCAGATATTACTCGCGTTTCAATAAAAGATTGCTTGTCTAGCGCAGCAGTTTCAGGCTGAGCCGTTTTCAGGACGCTATAATTTCGTGTTTCTATTCTTGGGAAGTGAAAATCAGTCTTAAGATGACGCGGCTTTTAGAAATAGATGCCAGCGAATTATTGTGGTGGATGCGGGCGACCTGCTGGTCACGATTCACAAGCAGCATATATGATTTTTTTATGAATACGATGTCCGTCGTGTATCAAATTTATATTTTTTAGTATATCAGAAATTAGATGAGTTCAATGTCAATGTCATGATACTAGCGAAGATCGAGATGAAGTCGGACTACCGCCGATTGGTTGAATTGGGCTGGCCAAGAACCTGATCATGAAGCGAATTCAACACCGCCGTCGTGACCCCGTCTCGACATTACGTTGCCGTTGTCCTCACTCTCGCCAGAGACCTGCAGTCACGTCTCTGCTTGCCTGGAACCGTGGAACGAGAGGAGGTTGTTCAACACTTGATGCATCACCTATTTCTGAGACCGTTTTTTCTTGTTCTCCATCTGGAGCTTTTGGAGCCGTAGCTGTTAGTGTTATGTCGTCAATATTCGAGGACAAAAAGATCATCATGGAAATGCAAGCATAATTGAGGTCTTCGATTTTACATTTACTCTGTAGTTGGTTTCCTACGGAAAAAGTTGAATTTTTTGAACAAAACGTCGCAGATCCCATACTCAAAACTTGACGAGATGACCCGTTCTGTAAGTCGCAGTAAGTTGAAAAACATTTCTGATACAGAAGCACTTGTGCCCATGAGGCCCACCAGCAACGCTCATCTCACGGTCACTGGTTATTTTCACTCAGACTTGACATTGACTCACCGCTTCTTCTCCTGAGCGAAGCTCTCAGCATCATCCTGAAATTATGTGCATCTGTTTGATTCTGTATCGGCCGAACCATGCGCACTTTCCCTTCATTTGTTGCCACAACCGGGATGAAGACGCTAGCAGAGAATTTTCCGATATGGCACTATTGCAGGACGACGACGTAGATTCTCTACCTCTAGTGGAGAATGGGACTAGCACAACGTTGCAACCGCAAAAAATCCTGTGCAGCCGCGACCACCAAGCGCAGGGCACCGCAACGGGCTTGGATATTCGTTCGGGGAATTGGGCGGTGCTGACGAATTGCAGGACGAAAGTGGCGGAAAATAGCCGTTCGCATCACCCCCCTGGCGGTCCGCCCGAAAAGGAACATGCTGGAGGTCATCAGTCCGACATTGTCGCAGATTCCCCGGACCACGAGAGTTCTGAACGTAGTACAGAGAAGAAGAGCCGCGGGCAGTTGGTGAAACGGCTAATCTTTGAGAATCCATCGCTCCACATCGGCGAGGAAATCGCAGGGCACTACCCGCCGTGCCACGTCTGCTGGGGCAACATCTACTCATACGGGCCAGGTGGTGACACCACGAAGATGGAGGCAGCGTCAAACACGAGGAGGACCCTGAAATCTGTTTCGAACCATTGTCATGTCTTGCAGAATAAGGTTGACGACGATGAGAAAAGTGCTGGAGTCTTCAGGGGCTGCAATCCCACTCTCTGCTACTGCTTGTCGTCCGCTGCAGCGGCTCTCCCAGAGGAAAAATTTCTCGTTTTCAGCAATGGTCCGGAGCCGGTTTTGGAACAGGACTCAAGCAGCACCGGCCAAGTGAAATGCCGCGTGATGCGAAAGCGATTGCTGGAGAGAAATGTTACGGACTGCACGGACCAAGAGGAGCTTCTCAGCATACTGACCGAGGAATTTTCCAACAGCGACTTTTTGGAACTGGATTTTGCGTTTGGAGGTTGTACTTCTCGAGATGATGAAGGGGAGATCGACAAGACGGAGAATATGATCGATGTTGAACAAGAACAAATAAAGAAAAAGTTCAGCTACTCTCCTCTCCCAGCCAAGATCGAGGAGAACCTGTGCCGCCGGATTTGCTTCGACGAACCAGAGGAGGAAATCTTGAAACACTTCAAACACGAATTCCAAACGGTCAGTCAGACCTTCTACATTTCCAATGCGGTGGAAGAGGCGGTCTTTTGCTACTTCAGAAGAAGAAGGAAGAGCGAGGATTTAACAACATCCGGGTCAAGTAACGAGTGGGGAAAATGGAAAGTTTTCAAAGTGCCGTGGGCCGGATCTCGGGAAGAGTGTGTGGAGCTCAAGACGACGACGGCGAGCGTCTAGGTAGCCGCACAGCTGGTGGGTGGACACGGAAGTTGGCCTGCAACAAGACGACCCTTGTTATGCTGCTCTGCTTCGGAATCGTCCACCATGTCAGCAATGCCAATAGCAACATCAGCTGTGACAAATAAAACTGTATCATGTATGATGAAGTTCTACGAACGTGAAAGCGATGTTAAAATTGGAGTATGGAAAAATGGAAAAGAGCGTCGATAGTAAGAAAGAATCACCGTCTAAGCTTGCCCTGTTCGCCTTCGCACAGTAGTTTGTCGTAATCATCATGATATCGGTTCCGCTTTATCAGCCGGCTTTTTGGTTTTGCAGAATTATTTGAGTGATCAACTACAGAGCGATAGCGACACGAGTTTGGTAATAAGTATCCGTATCGGCGTCGAGTAGCATCAGTTTCGCTTGATGCAATTGATTCTAGCGAGGTTGAAGGTCGTTGGAGGCTGAGATGTGAGCCGTACGCTGCGCGTTTGCTTCGAAACCAAAACCCTGCAGTTCTCTAGTAGGGCAAGCGGCTTATTGCTGTCTTTCTTCTATAGAGAATCAGAAAAGATGGTCGCGCGGTGTCTTGTTTGCCGAGAGTGTCGAGCGCTTGGCGCTTCTTCGAGTATCTGGAAAGCTCGGGCGGCGCCCCTGCGGTTTCTTCACGGCTGCGGGCCAGCAGGGTCTCTGTGCCCGTTGCCGCGGTCTCTGTTTGCCCAGGCCTTGACGACGTGCATAGCCCACGGAAGTTCCACAGGGATGGGGCCCCGGGTATTGGGGCGGGCCCAGTCTGTGCCCGGGACGTAGCTAGGTACGCATGTCAAAAAATAGATACAAAAGACGGCGCCGCGCCACTGACTTGCCCGGGCGCCTGCTTCAGGGCGTAGCGCCCGCCCCGCTGCCTGCGTGCGCGAACGCGCGCGCGGGGGCTGGTAGTTTTCCGCCCGCCCCGCGGGTTGCGTGCGCCCGTCAGGCTGGGCATGCCCGCCGGGCGCCCGGCCCTCCCTCCGCCGCAGTGAATCTATCTGCGCACCGGCGCCCCTGATGGCGCTGCCGCCCGTTGTCTATTATTACCGCGCCGGGCCGGGGGCGCTACTAGCGGATCCGCAGGCCCTCGTTGCAACTGTGGCGTGGTAAAGGGGCGCGCGCTGCCTCGCAGCGCCTTCGCCCGGGGCCTCGCGTGGCCGGGTCGGCCCCTCCGGCCGTCTGCAGCATCATGCTTGTAGGAAGCCAAGTATGTTTTCGAGCGCAATTAAATTCGGCTACAGTTTTGGAAGAGCCGTTAGCGTGATGCTGGGTGATTGAAGATGTCTTTATATATTTACTGCCGAACAATGTTGTATGTGTATGGTGCGAGCGACGGGAGAGTATGATTGCAGGAGCGGTATGATCGGAGAGAAGCCACATGGCTGCACTTTGAGATATACTTACGAGTCAGAGCGTGAAGGCGCCCAGTGGGCACTACGGCCATGGGCGGCGACGTCATTGTCCGAATAATCACTGGCAAGCTATTAAGTAACATGGTATTGCGCCTAGGCATGCGTTGACCTCGATGGCTCGTTTTCTATTTTCTTTTGGTTCCTATAATGTTCTTATCTTTGAAAGCTGCATTTCTTGTAGCCAAAATCAAGAACCATTTTTTGTGCTGCAATCTATCATGATTACAGGCCACTTGTGAATGGCTCCCGCGCTCAATTGCAATTTGCTTTTCTTGTAGCCAAAAAGTTTCCTTTGTGCGGCAGTCATGACAAGCAACTTTTGATTTATCGTAAGCGAAAAAGATGAGCAAATCTCTTTCCACTCTGCTTGAAGATTTCACCAAGTATTACAACGCGGCGCTCCAGCAAATCCCAGTATGCTCTGCAAGAGTTCCGCACTCGCACAAATGGCAGCACTGCAGCATTACAGGTTTGCATTTGCTGTCCTAGCTGAATCTTCTGCATGACAAACTGCATTTTTGTTCTTGCGAAAATTTATATATACAAATTTTCGCAAGAACGAAAATACAGTTTGTACTAGCAGTGCGATACTTTTGCAATGCATACCCAGAAGTCCACGACAAGGTCAGTAAAGCTGCGCCAAAGCCCGGCGATACCACGGAATTGCCGGTACAGGTGGCAGCGCACGCGGCCCACGATATTCAGCACTCCGTGGACGAGTTGGGGAAATCGTTGGCGGATACGGCAGACAGCGTGCCGGGGCTGGCAAAGAAGCAGCTGGAGGCATTTTTGTAGGGGTAGTCAGTGTGTCATATCAGAGACGCAGACGACGAGAGCAGTGATGCCGAAACGAAATTTTCGGTTCATCAATCTGTATTGCCCAGTACGATTGAAAAAAAGATAGGTAACAGTATCAGAATCATGGTGGTATCGAAAAATGCTGGAGCTGGTAGCTGTACGCTGATGGACACCTCAAAAAGACGTATGCCCACGCAGCTGCGTTGGAATTGTGCTAAAAATGCTTGCAGACTTGCTAGTGCTACCTGTGGTAGAGTTTTCGTCTAGTAGAAGTAATACGCTTCCGAGCGATGTTTTCGTCAAGTCAGAAATTTAGTATGGTGAAAGAGAGTGAGAGACAGATGGCGGAGTGCGTCCCATTATTACTTATCGACAGTAACAAACTCAAGCATCGTCGTCAATCACTTTATAATGACTTCGTTTCAACTTCAACTACGTATCGGGCCGTGCCGTTGACTAAAATAATGACTTCTTCTACACGACTACCAAGGCCAAGGGCACCGTCAAAACGTGATCGCAAAGTTCGTATAGAGACATCATCTTCTCACAAGTACACCCAAGACGCCGGACAAAAAATTTTAGGCGAAATAAAAAGTGAAAATTTTCTTCTGTCGAATCGAAGCACATCACACTTTTTTGAAACCTTTTCTCTTTCCCCCCTTAGACCAAGATGCCGCCGCGCAAGACGGAAGCGGCGGAGGAGGCGATGAATTTTGATTTCGATGGCATGCCCGTAATCATCAATGTCAAGCCAGAGGATCAGCTTGAGTTGACGGAAAAAGAGCTGGAGGAAGAGGTACAAGAAAACGATTTTTTATTTTTGATGCACATGCATGTATGCTTATGCATAGAAGTAGAAACAAGAACATCAACGAAGGGACCGGACCGTGCTTATTCGTGAATCATATCACATTTGCGACGAGGAGAAGCTGCTGGAGAGCATATTTATTTGCGACGAGAAGAGACTACGACCGCACCACTTTCTTTCTTCAAATCAAATTTCAGGTTGAGCCACGGGTTCTGTACCCAAATAACCCAAGGGCACCACACAACATCACCCAGTACTCCTACAAGGAGCGGGCTTTCAAAAGGGATGATCAGGTAGGTCCCTTTGCTCTACAGGAGGAAAACGAAATTTTTTTTTGCAGAAATTTATTCTGATGACGCAAAGCTATCATGCACAGATCACCACCATACATAGGTAAAAATGCTAGCAAGCGTGAATAAAAGTGAAAGCAAAAATCCAAATTCCAGGTCGACCAAATGGTAATGCACTTGGAGACCGATGCCACAATACTAAAGAAGGAGTCCCCAGAAGAGGGCATGCAGCAAGAGATCCTGAAGAGAAAAAAAGAAGAGCAAGAGAAGCGAGACGCACAGGAGGCCGTCGACGTCTCAATACAAGAGTATAATTTTAGATATGTTTTGGCTCCGTGCCTGGCGGAAAATGAAAATTTGATGATTTGATTTATTCGTGTCGTTTTAATTCGGTGCCGTACGACTCCTCCTGTTAGCGATACTTACTGGATTTTTCGCCCACTTCGGTGCTACCCCGAAACTGAATTTTTAGTCATTTCAACTCATCACAGATACGAGGGTGAAGAGGCGAAAAAGAACACATTGAGAAACCAATTTAACTTCTCCGAGCGGGCATCACAAACCTACAACGAGGTGATGCGAACAAGAACCATAGGTACTGTGATACATAGGATCTTGAATTTAGTGCCTGTGAAGCTGTTTTGTGGACGTATGATAAATTGCAGCATATGGAATGAAATTTTTGCATTGCAACAAAATGAGATGAAGCAGAATTATCGTGACGATGCATGCATACTCACATTGAAACTTCACAACAGCGACCCAGCCACCATTGTGCAAGAGCTTCGCAGAGTCGGTGACGCAGTTATCAAATGCAAATATGTCTGGGTCCGGAACAGTGAAACTTGTGGTGCGGGTCTTGCATCCCTGGGATATTATCTGTGTTGCATGAGCAGCACAAGTGGAGCTTCCTTTGCGATGCAAAAACGCAATTTGTGATGCCATGTGTGCTAGACATCAGCAGGCGTCTGAAATAGAACTTGTCATGCCTCGCTGCCATTGCAAGCGCTTCTATCATACTCAATTCAGCATCACAGGTATCCAGACCCAGACATACTTGCAGTGCATAACAGTGGATCATCTACGATTCTTACATGAAGGACATCGAAGCCGCGGAGGCCGTATGCATCGCAAAAGTATCGTACTCATATAAAGTTATTGCAGTCATGCATGACAGTATATAACGCTCTACCATGTCCAGCATGTTGACAAATTGCACTTTTGTTCTTGGTAAAATGTGTAATGCAGTTTATACATAGTGCGATACTGTTGCACTGCATAGGCCGCAAAGCAGAGCGCAAAGGAGAAGAAGAGTGCAAATTTGGACATGGAGACCAAGAAGAAGCCCTCAGAATCCGACCCAATTTACTCCGATGCCATGAAATTAAGTACAAATAGAAAATAAACCTTTTGTTTCGATGTGTTTCATGACATTTTGTTTCAGATGTTGATTATACAAATCTTTTCTTATCTTCCTGCGACCGCGCGTGATGGTTTGATATTTTCTTGAAACCACGCAGTAGTCTTCTACAACCGGATGAACACAAAAAAAATAGGTATCAAGCTCATGGAGCGCATGGTAAACCAGAACGCCGAGGCGGAAATCTACCACGATTTCAAGTTCTGGGAAGACAAGTCGGACGAATTCCGACCAGACGGTGAGGGAACCCTGTTGCCATTGTGGAGGTTCACCTCAGAGAAGGTCAAGAGAAAACAGGTAAGCACTACGACGAGGATGGTTTTACTTGAATGAAGCGTGCAGATGATGAAGAAAAAATGCATGATTCGGAAGATTCCGCACGTGAAATAAGTAATTCCTGCTTCATTTTGGGTACTTAGACACCAAAATGAACTTAAACCTCCCAGGTTACCGCGATCCGGTGGAACCCAAAGTACACGGACCTCTTCGCCGTCGGTTTCGGGTCCTACGACTTCATGCGACAGGGCACGGGGTTATCCTGAGTAAAAACGTACCCACACCAGAGTTGTAATGCAAATCTGCATGCTGAAAATGTTAATCATGCGGAGCTCCATGAGAAGCATTTTCTAGCCGTGTTTTGCAATTTGTCATGCTCCAATCAGCATGGTATGCTAGATCTGTGATGCTGCTGAGCTAGCTCAAACAGCACTACACTACGAGTCCAAATTTGTGATGCAAAACAGCCAAAACTTGTGGATTTGTCTAGCCGATTCCCCATCTTGACTCTGGTGTGGGTACGTTTTTACTCAGGATAGGGGTGCATCTGCTGTTACAGCTTGAAAAACACGAAATTCCCGGAATTTATCTTTAACACCGACAGCGGCGTGTGCAGTCTGGACTGGCACCCATCAAGACCCGCACTGCTCGCCGTGGGCTTGTACGACGGGACCGTATTAGTCTACGACGTCCGGGGAAAGACCAAGCGACCCATCTACGCCTCAACGATTAGGACCAACAAGCACAGCGACCCCGTTATCAAATGTAAAAATGTCTGGGTCTGGAAGAGTCATGCTGTTTTTGCATGACACAGAGGGTCTGGCATGGAGGCTCTAGCATCACAGGTTTCGAGAACCTTCCGCAATGCCGAATCCGCATGACAAGTCCCCTATTTCGCTGGCAAAAAGTGGGAGCTTTTGCTACGTATGCATGAGAGACTTTTCTGTGTTCTGAAATACGCATTACAAGTTGCATTCTTCCAGACCCAGACATTTTTACATTTGGTACCCGTGTGGGAGGTGCGATGGAACGACGATCCGAACGGAGCTATCCTGAGTAAAAACATACCCACACCAGAGTTGTAATGCAGATTTGCAAAGACAGGAAGACTTGGAATGCGCATCCCCATGAGAGCCATTTCCAATCCTGTTTTGGAATTTGTGATGCTGTGAACAGGATGAGCAGATGAATCTGTGATGCGGCTGCGCTTGCTAACCTGCACTACACTGCATAGCCCAACTTGTCATGCGTGACTCCCAAAACTCCTAGGTTTGTGTTGCAAAGTCCCCATCTTGACTCTGGTGTGGGTACGTTTTTCCTGAGGATAGGAGCGGCGCTTTCCTTCTACAGTGTCAGCGCGGACGGCCGCGTCAGCATCTGGCTGCTCATGAAAGACAAGCTGGAGAGCGAAGAATTGATGGCACTCAAGCTGCACTCAGGTACAAAAACAAAGACGTTGTCGGTAAATTCAGAATCAGATGCGGATGAATTCTTGTTCGTGCTGCCGTGTGTGTCTCTCTGCAGGTGATGGTCGTGACGCGGCATTTGCCGTCTGTATTTTCTATCAGCAAATTTAAAACTCAACATTGCTATTGCAACACAAATTTTCTCAGGTGAGGAAGAGGACACCGGTCTCACGGGCTTGGCAGGCGGGCTTTGCTTCGATTTCCACAAGACAAACGAGGACTTGTTCCTGATCGGAACAGAGGAGGGAAGGATCCACAAGTGCTCAAAATCATACAGCGGTATCATTATGTTTAGTTGCTGTTTAGGATAAGGTGTTTTAGTTTTTGCACGACTTGCATATAGGCATTTCAACAACAACATCGAGAGAATGCGTAAACGTAATGAAGATTTGTGAGGACCGCAACCGCAAGGAGGACACGATGAAGTCCAAATTGCCCCCTCTATGCTTGGTACTAAGAAATAAATCAACTGAAAAATTCATCACATCTCTCAGGTCAATACCTGGACACCTACGAGGGTCACAGCATGGCCGTCTACGCCGTAAGATGGAACCACTTCCACCCGAACATTTTTATCTCTTCCTCAGCCGACTGGACCGTGAAAATGTGGGACCACACGACGAAGACACCCATCATGTCCTTCGATCTAGCACAACAGGTCGGCGACGTCGCCTGGGCACCATACAGCAGTATTAATTGATTTCTTGTGCAGCTGCAATCATGGAAAAATGGTGTAAGATTCATCAAGTTCTTGGCTGTATCTTTATCGTCCATCTGGTATTTGACAAGAATCCCATTTTGAAGCACAACTTTTACGAAATGGAAATACTTATCTCCAGGTACGGTCTTCGCCGCCATTACGGCTGATGGCGTCACGCATGTTTATGACCTTAGCATAAACCGCAACGGACCGCTGTGCTGGCAAAAGGTGGTCGCCAAGGCAAAGTGCACCCATCTCGGCTTCAACGGGGAAAGTCCAATCCTGATTGTGGGTGACGATAGGGGCGGTGTCACCAGTTTGAAGCTGTCTCCGAACCTGCGAGTAGATATAATTGTGTTTTGAGTTTTACGTATACGACTGTGCTATACTAAGACAAGGTGCATCTGCTTTTTGAGTTTGCAATGTCCGTTTCGAATGCAGCAGTATAGAAGAAGCTCGAGAAGGTTGGGCAAGTAACGTAGGAACAGGATGGAAAAAATTTTGAAAATTACACACATCAGAAATCCATGACCGGCACGGGTACGGGCGAGGAGTATGTTGCGGCAAAGACCGGACAGGCTCTGATCGACCAGGAAATTGAGGCCATGGAGACACTGCTGGGTATGGTTGTCGAAACCACGGAGCAGTAGGCGGAGCGCTTTAGAATTTGTCGTGGATAGTAGAACTAAAATCAAAAATTTTCTGAATTCTTATCACGCAGGAGATTTCTGCACCTCCATCTCCAAATACAAGCTATCAAAAACAAAAAAGCAGAAACTCGTACGAAAAAAGACCTAGAATCGGCAGGCGGAGCATGAACATTATGGATAGCAATACAGGAACATCAGACAGGAGAATACTATCAAACCGTTTTCACTTTGACTTCACAGATTGACTTTGACCTTGAAAACTAACAGAAATATTGCCAAATTAACCTATCGAGAAGATGAATATTGCCAGAGAAAAACAAGAGGAAAAGATGAACAAGACTCAATACGGAAAAGAAAACAGTCGAAAAGATTGCTGTATGATTCAGGAGCAGCAGGCTAGACAGAGCCAGTAGTTTTGACCAATAGAAGCAAAAGTTTAGCGAAGATCATCTTCAGACAATATGACTAATGCAATGTTTTCATTTTACAGATTCACAGACACAGACGACAGTATTGTCCGAATTCTATCAAATATGTCGAACCAGAGCGACCTGCATGTCTTGTAGGGGTTCTGAGCGTACTAGCGCGCAGTCGAGTACGAGTGTGACTTGCAGGGACTGCGCCTCCTTGCCGTTAGGACTCAACAACCGACACAGAACTGATAAAGTACCGATATGACAAAGTTTAGTATGGAACAAAATCTTCCAGACTTGAGCTATTATTAGGCTGGTGGTAGCAGGCTAGTCGTACTGACAATTTTAGTGTCCTTATGATTCAAATTTTACAATATCAAAATCTTAGTTGCACAGTGTAATGTCCTCTGAACGAGAGTTGTGATAATTTTCAGACACGGCTGGTTGAACAAAACTGGCAAAGAAAACCGAACAAACAAATTGTAACTGTAAACTACGGAGAATCAAAAAACAGCGCGAGTTTCCGAATAGAAGGGCCACTCGACTGCTGGCGCTGACGGAGCGCCGAGCATTTTTCATCTGCTGCGTACGTTATTGTTCCGTAGGAGATCACGCAGCTGCAGTGCGCAGAGAGATGCGCGAGAGGGTTTTGTGGCTGATACAGTTACAGATACCGCTAGCTTTACCACAACGAGTGCGGAGTTTTATTGCGGCGAGCATGCGAGAGAAGTATACGTAGTTACTTATTATCTAAGGAGCAGTTCTTACTTGTTTACTTCTAGCTGTGCCGCTTAGGCTTAATCTTGTCGTGCCTCCGTCCTATAATTCTAATTTTGTGTGGTTTTCCTCAATGACAATGACAAAATGGAAAGCTGCCGAGGACATGATGGGGGAGCATCTGGAGCCGCAGCTGCGCAGCAGCAGCAGCGGCAGCCGATAGCGTCTCTTGCGAGCCTCGGTCGTGGCCTCCGGATCTTTTTGCGTGCGCCACAGAGCATTCCTCTTGCACTTCGTGATCGCGCATCCATCTATCGCGCGCACGCAGGCGGGAACAGGCCCCGGCGGGCGTGTGTGGCATGCGGGCCGCAGGCTTCGCACTACGGCCCGCAGATGGTGCGCGGCCGCACACGTGGCGCCGGAAAGCCACCCAAGAAAAATCTCGAACAAAGCGGAGAAAGCGCGCAGCGCTCGCGATCTTGGCGCCCGGTGCCCAGCCGCGTAGCTTGCGCCTTCGCCCCCGGGCGCTTGCCGCCTTCCATTTCTGCCCCGGCGCCGCAGGCGGCGCGGCAGAGGGCGCGAGGGTGGGGCGTGATGATCCTGCCCGCCTTCCTGCTTGAGCCGGCACCGGTGCGCCCGTTTTCGGTCTTGCATGGCCTTGGTGTGTGTTGCGACGGTTGCAGCCATGCCGGCGCCGGGCGCTGGTGCTGTGCGTGGCGTCTTCGCCCCGCCCCTTCTTGCATTCGAGCTTGCGCGCGCGCGCGCCGCGCCGCGACAGCGCATCCTTTGCGGCTTGATTGTTTCGCGCGCCCGGTTCGATACCCCGCCCGGCGGGCCGCGAGCGCGGCTCAGCCCCGGCTTCTGGGCCGCCGCTTGGTTCTATGGAAGGATGTGCGTCGGCAAGTCCTGCGTGGGCGTCGCGCTGGTGTGATCAAATTGATAGGCTGTTGAATTGCACCAGATGCATGCGTGATCTGCTAATCTTGGGGGCGTCGCTCGCCCATGGCACCGCGAGCAAGGATTTTCGTTCTTCTAGCTCGCCGCTCCAGATAATTGTGAGTGTCTATAATTAGATTAGACTGTGCGTGTGTTCATCTTCTCGGAAATGCAACGGCATTTGTCATCTGTCTGTCCTCTTTACTTATATCTCCTTCTATTTCGACCTCGACGAGCACGAAGTAGAAAACGAGTTCTCTGCTGGAGGAACGACCCTGATGTTGTCGTAAATTGTCTCATTCTTTCTTGCCTTGAAGTGGTTGCTGGTTGGAAAGGTGGGAAACTATCGGTTTAAGCAAGAACGATAACCTGCTCAAGTGGAGAAGATTCTGTGTGCGCAATGACAGTGAGTTTGCTTCTAGGGTAGTACTACTGACAGCAAGAAAGAACAGCAAGAAAGAAACACATCTTCTCTTCCTTGCCTGTACACGCGGTCATGTCGTCTTCCTCCAGCGGTTTTTCGTTTTGCTCGACGACCGCTTCTTCATCCAGAAGCAGAAGCAGAGGCCGTACTCGTTGCAATGATCTCAACATTTGCCAGGCGCGCGTTATTTACGCCTCCGACAACAGGCGTGCTCCCGCGAGAAGGAAAATTAAAACCGCACATGCACTGCAAACCGCGTTACTTTACCTTTCCGCGAGCAGTGGCAGCGCAGCGCCATCGTCCACGACGAGCCCACCGGCCGACGCTGCATCAGCTTCAACGACGAGCTCGACCAAGACCAAGTCCCCTTCCCCATCCACCGCTAGCCGTGAGCCGATCCTTTCCGAAGAGGACGAGGAGCAAGATGACGTTGAAATTGACCGTCCAACCGCCCCCTCGCACCAGTTCCAGATATCAAATGTAAAAATATCTGGATCTGGATGAAGAATCCGAAATTTGTTATGCTGTTTTTGCATGACACAGAATGTCTGTCATGGAAGCCCTAGCATCACAGATTTTTAGAGGCCTTCCTGATGCCTATTCCGCATGACGAATACCCTCCACGCGTAGCACAAACCGGACTCCTCTTGCTGGTCATGCAATACAAAATTTTTTAGAGTCCAAAGTTAGCATCACAAGTTCCGACCTTCCAGACCCAGACACTTTTGCAATCCATACCAGAAGCTGTTGCACAACTATTGCAACGAGGAGAAGGACTGGGGCGCGATCCCGGATGCAGAGTTCACGTATGAAATGCAAAAATGTCTGGGTCTGGAAACTTGTGATGCTAAAATGTGCATGATGAAAACACTTCCGAACGCTTTCTCATAGGCAATCCGCATGAGAAACTGCGTTTTTGCATGACAAAAGAGACTGCGACTTTTGTTGGTTATGCAATGCAGATTTTCTAGGTATGGAAAGCTAGCATTACAAGTCCCAACCTTCCAGACCCAGACATTTTTACAATCCATATCACGAAAAAGGTGACGAAAGTGGTCAGCTTCATCCGGCACGGCGCGCGGATCATGTGCTCCGGCGACCAGCACTCCAAAAACGGGCGGTGCTGGGAAAACGATCAGGTGCAGTACGAATGCGACACACCGAAGGAAAATAACCAGCTGCACCAGCCCCCGGTTTTTTTTCCCGCGACGAAGAACGAAGCGGTGGAAGCGCACCGCGGGAACACGGTGCCCAACAACTGGCAGGGGACCTGCGGGTTGGGCGAGATGACGCCGGACGGATACGCCATGCACCGCAACAACGCCGACCGGTTTTTCGAGGCCTATCCGAAAGTTTTCAAACGCTCCGCCTGCAAGCAACTCGAGGAGGACTCCGGTTTGCTCCCAACCATCTGGGCCAAGATGAAGGAAGCGTTCGAAGGGGGCGAAGAAGAGGACAGTCGAAACTTTCAGAATCAGGCTGATAGCGACGATGCAGATGATGAACAAGCAGAGCGGCCTGCGAGAAATAAAGTAGGTCGACAGCAAACGAGGAAGGCCAAAAAAGCACAGACGCTGGCGCAGAAGTGCGAACGCGAAAAGGAGGCCGGGGGCGCCAAGGCCTGGTACCTCCGATCCGACATCGACGCGTCGCTGCGAACCATGCGCAGCGCGGAAACGCTGGCCGCACGGTTGCTGGAGAACATGGGGATCAAGCACTCCAAGTTCGAAGTCGAGACGGACGATCCGTTTTACAGTATCCTGTGCAAAAGCATCGTACTCGTACTGCTCTTTGCAAATATGCATGGCAAATATTTCTCCTAAGGCAAACAGCATTACAAATTCCCCTTTCCTTCTTGCCAAAATTTGTCATGCAATTTATACTAGTGCGATACAATACTTTTGCAATGCATATACAGCACGATCCAACCGAATTCCCGGTTCTGCCCGAAAATGGCGGAGCTCGACGCCGCGTACTGGGAACAGCCCGAGCAGTATCGCAAGAAAAAAGTGCTACAGTTACACATTGCGTTGCAGGCCAAGCAAAACAGACAAGCTCTGTCATGCCGGATATGCATAGGAGCCTCGTTTCATAGGTGTTTTCCCGTAGGATTTCTGCATTACAAGTTTTCTCTCTCATGCGAAGAAATTTGTGTTGCTGAATTCACTACAAATGTGTAACTGTGTACACTTTTTTCGTGGGATAAGCAGAAGGAGGCGCAGCAGAAGTGGGACGCAGATGTGCGCGACGAGCTGGTAAAGGAGCTAAACAGCACAACAGTGCAGGGGCGCCCGCTGGGCCTGGATCACAATTACAGCTTATTTTCGGTATAAATTTTGTGCGACGATGAACTTTAATTTGCGATTATTTTCCACGGTTTTAGGTGCTGTGTGTAAGCAGATTGACCCTTCGTGAAGAACTTGTGGTTTACTTCCGGCTCGTCGTTTCTCGTTCTCCTCCTCGGCAGCACAATTTATAGTACAACCCCCTTTATTCCCTGCAATAAAATTTATAAAAAACACAGCTCGGCGACTGCGTTTTTTCGCACCTTTGCCCCACCGTCGGCATTGCGAAAGGTGGGGAGGTCCCGCTGACGGAACAGACGCTCGGGAAGGCGTTTTCCTACCTTCCGATCTACTTCGGCCCCAACGAGCGGTTTCCGAAACAGCGCGTCGGGCCGCTGATCAAGCAGGTATTGGACGACATACAGAACCAAAAAAGCAAAAACTTCTTTCTCTACTCAGGCCACGACACGGGCCCGCTGGCGCCGATGCTCGGGGCCCTGCAGGCGAAGTTGACGTTTGACTGGGTGTGGCCGCCGTTCGCCAGTTACATCAACTTCGAGTTTACCCTATGCATTGCAAATATAATGTCTGGGTCTGGGAGATTGATGCGAGGTTTGTCATTCTATCCTGGGATGACTCGTCTGGACACTGTGTTGCGTGGTCGCAAAGAGCTGCTCTTGCCTGTCATGCGAAAGCGCTGTTTGTCATCATGCGGAGTACGCAACTCAGCACCACGGAAAAACTTGTCAAATGCTTGGAGAGTGCTCACCTCTTCCCTTCCTTGCATTACAAGTATCCAGACCCAGACATATTTGCAATGCATATACCCACGACGGGTTTGCGCGGGTGGTCTACGCCGGGAAGGTGTTGGAGACACCGTTTTGCCGGGGGGAAGACGGCGACGGCGAAACCGGGATTTGTCGGACCCGGAATTTTTTGGCCGGGCTGCTGTATCAACTGCATCAAATATGTCTGGGTCTGGAAGATTGCAAGTTTTTTCTCATGCTTTTGTTCTCGCATGGGCATGTATCTAAATTCTCTGATACGAGGGCAGGACAAGAGGCTCTTGCCTCTCATGCAAAAACGCAGCCTTCAATGCGCAACACGGATCACATAGAAGCCCAAAAAATTTATAATGCTTGGCTGTGTATTGCAGTGCGCATATCTTTGTCTTTTGGCATTACAACTTTCCAGACAGCCAGACATGTTTGCAATGCATATGCTGTCCCTCGTACCAACGGACGAGGACTGCCGAGTCGGGGACGATGTTATGAGAGTGCACAACTCCCCCTCCCCCTCATTTGTATTGCATGAACAGCAATACAAGCGTCAGCAAGAATACAGGTTTCGCATGACACACCAGGAGTGTAGTGCTAATTGGACTGCCAGAACTTGCCATGCAAACAGTACCAAGAGGCAAAGCTGGAGTTAGGTATTTTGCATGACAAACGAGGAAGAGGGGGAGTTGTGCAATCTCATAGATGTAGAGGCTCTTGCAGATCATGAACACGACGAGGAGGAGCAGGAGCTGGTAGAGGTGGACGGGGAGGCTACAACGAATAGACCATGTGAAGAAGATGAAGGAGGACAGGAAAAAGAGCCATCCAGCGAAGATGACGGTGAGTTCAATAGCCACAAGCTGTACCGAAAATTGCTGGAACAGTACCACGAGAATCTAGAGAAGGGAATCCAGGGACCACAAATGGAGACGGATTCGAATTCCACGGGGAGAAGTAAAGAATCGCAAACCAGAACAGACGGGGGTCGTGGTGCCGGGAGTAGTGAGAGTGCAAGAAACTACGAGCGAGGGGCACAACAAGGCATCTATCGCGACGATGCAGAAGATGAGCACGAGGAGCCGGAGGTCTTGTATCAGTGAATTAATTCTGGAATCACATGACTTTGATTGAAGTTGAACTTGAAATAAAAAAGCGGGATGGGAAGAGGATGGTGCGGATATTTCTTGCAAAAAGGCGTGCTTCTGTGATTTGTTCTTCTCCAGTTGTTTGAAGCCACTACGAAGTGAAATCGACGGAGACTGATGTAGTTGCCGTGCGACTACAGATGCTGAACATCAAGAACGGAGAATGATGATGAACTCTGCAAGTCTTATGTGTCCATCGCTAGCTGCGCAAATGCAAGAAGGTCTTTCTCCCTATCGATGGATAGCCGAGGCTGCTCTTGCTGGGTGCTACTCTTGGAAGAAGGGAGGGTAGCTGTAGTTGTCTTCGATGTTGAATTACCGGCATCGATGGCTCCTGCAACATGTGCCTTTGTAGGGTTCTTCACGTCACTGCCGCCGGGAGGTTATTCTCATGTCAGGATATCAACAGCTCCTTGAAAGTGTTGCCGGCGGAAACAAGAAGTACTTACCACTATGTCCGCTTGTTCCCGGACGCAATAAGTACCTCCTCGTGCCGGTGTCCTCGTTGGTCAAATCTTTTTCTAATCTTGAACAACTTGCTCTCATCAATTCTCCTCACGCACTTTGTTTCTAGCACACGAATGTCGACTGATCCAAAGAAAGATCTTTTTTCGAATCACCACGAGAGCGTACCTACTCTATAAACAATCTTATTTGGAGTTCTTGTTCTTCTTGAGATCAATATTTATTACAACCAAGATACCCAGCACTTCACGTTGATGAAACACAACAAACATGGGTTCTACTTTTGTACCAAAAATGTTCTTTTCGTCCATGCTTTTCACAGAGCACGACCACGAAGCCGGCAGCACAGGAGAAAGACGAGGACCCAGCAGCGAGGTGGGACTACGGCAAGGCCTCGTCGCGCGGAGTGGTCCTAGTCTAGGTGTACAACTCCCTTCACGATGATTTTATAGTTTACTCGTTCATCATCTTCATCTTGCTTGGTAGCTGCTGGTCGTGGGCCAGCTAAGTTCTTGATGGAACGATTTTTTCGCTGCCTGCGGTCGACTTGCTCCGACTTGAGGTTTTTCATCGGGTAAGAGCTCTTCTCCGACATATAATATATTGGATCAGTTTTCCTCGGAAACTGAAAACAAGAACCGCTGACGGACGGAGAGCATTTATTTCCCGGCAAGAACGTCAACCGGAACCGTTGTTTGTTCGACAGAGGAGCAGCCGTCCGCTCGGAGGTGATCAGAAACTAGTACCTCCTGCGGACGGTGCGATAAAGACTTCGTTGGGATTTCGCGAGGGCACCCCATAAGCAGAAGCGGTTGAGCGAGCCGCAATAGATAGATACTTCAAGTCTATTCTCCGGCGAGCAGGCCGATGAACAAGATATCAATATCAAGCGGGGGCGTCGTGAACTGAGATTTATTTTCACGAGGCGTCGCTGTTGTAACCGACGAATAAACGGGAAAGGTGCAGAGAAATTACCCGCCCCGCATAATCTCGTACCATCAAACATCTTGAAGTACAGAAACAAACACGACCACGTCGAGATGGCGAGCAGCTATTGTACCTCCCCGGCGCTCCTGCAGTTTTTGCAGACCACGGTGTCCGTTCCGTTGGCAACGGCGGAGGAATGTCAAAAGTTTTGCACTTTCCTCAGTTTGGATGAACGGTATTGATGATTTTTTGCAGATCCAATGTTGAATGATGCAGTCAGTGTGTAAGTGTATCATGAAAAACAGGATTGTGCGTCTGCGTTTGGTGTATAACGACGAACAAATTGTGAAGCTGCAGTTTGCGCTATGATCATGACTACTAGTGTCATTGATGAGCACGAGCGCATCATAGCGTCGTGTCATGAAGTTGTAGCCGAGAAGGTCGACAATAACATCGTGAGTAATGTTGAACAGCAGGGCGTCATTGCGCGTCATGAAGCGCTATCTACGCGTGTGCATCATACCATCGCGGATAATGTCATACAGCATGGCATCATTGCGTTTTACGAAGCATCATCTGCAAATGTTGATCATACCATCGTGCATAATCTTAATCCACATGGTATGGTGCTTGTAGTATATGTCGTGTGCTTGTAATAGAACATTTTCATATTGGAGAGCTTCGTATATCGCCAACACAGGTACGCTTCCAACGCCGTTTACATTGGTTGCGTCACGCCTGGCAATGGTGGGGAGCAGCAGCTGGTGGAATACCTAATCCGCATTCCACAGCACCTCTGTCGCGAAATCGAGTGCCGCTGGCCGTGCTTTCGCTCGGAAGCGGAATTTCTCTTCGTGTTGCGCAGCGGCGCGGCAGCAGGAATGAATGGTGGCTCATCCTCCAGTATGCATTGCAAAATCAAAAGGACAACGCTCGTACCAGTAGAAATCGCATCACAAATGTAGTCCTCAGCGGGAAGAATGAAATTTGTAACGCTGGGTAGCGTAGAAAGATAAAGCTGTCATGCAGCAGGATTGCCATTACTACGGGTGCGTCGATACTTTTGCGCAGCATATCCAGCTCTTCGTCTTCTACGGCCGCCACGACGAACAGCGGCGTCCCGAAGATGACGGCTATTGCCCTTGTTGGCGCTGTATCAACTGCAAATATGTCTGGGTCTGGAAACCTGTGATGCTGAATCGCGCACGATTGCAACGCTTGCAATGGCGGCCAAGCATGACAAGCTTTGGGGAAGCTTTCTGATACCTGGTACGCATTGCAAATTGCGTTTTTGCATGACAAGAAAAGCTGTCCATTTGCTCCTCACGCAACACAGATTTTCCAGGAATGCAAGACACGCATTACAGGTTCCACCTTTCCAGACCCAGACATATTTGCAATGCATACGCTGCGGTCACCTACGAAAAGCGGACGCTGTCTATCGTGGAAATGAAAAACCTGGTACTCCTTACAAATTGACGTTGAGTATCGCATAGATAGATCATTGTCGGGAACGCGATTCATTACCATTTGTTTTTACCATAAGTCTGTGATGTGCACAGTCATAATTGATGTCTTCGTCATCATGTGCACTTTTGTAAATTCCATTTGTTTCTTTCGGAACAAACCAGAAGAAGATCGGAAAATAAATTTTAGTAATATTCAAAACAAAAATCAAAAACCCCTAACAAGTCGCGGTCCGACGAGCAGAGTCGGCTAAGCAACATGGACATCGGTCTCGGCCCGCATGTTTTTTCTTTCTCCTCGCGGCACAAGGGGCTGAAGCAGTGGCGCGCCATTCTTGCGGAGGGCGGAGAGCCCTTTGGATTAGGAGCGGCTGGTTGTACCAGTAATACTGTAGCCGGCCACTCGCACATCGACGAAACCGGGCAGGAGCACGTTTTTGGCGTCAAGGACACGTTTAGCAACCTGGTTTTGCAGCCCACGGAGTCCACCCTCACCATGCTGCAATCTTCCGCGGAGCCCGGCGGGGTGCTGTCTATGGCGTTCTCAATTGCTACATTCTCAGCTGTCACATGAATTTGGCATGCCAAAACAGTAATAGGGAAAGGGGCAAGCTTGCAAGTCTTGCATCACAAATTTAGTACGGATTTAGATGCTGTTTAGCCCTTCGATAATTTGTCACGCGAAGCAGCTTGATCGTCTTGCGGCTCACGGTCATTTTGCATGACAAATCACGTAGCAGTTGAGAATGTAACGTCTGAGAACTCCATACTGTCGGCCCTCACCGTCGAGGAGGTGGCGGCAGGGCTGCAGTATGAGAGTGCACAACTCCCCCTCGGCCTCATTTCTCATGCAAAATCCCAAATCCAATTGCTTCTTTGCGTCACTATTATGCATGACAGATTCCGGAAGGAGCCCAAACAGTACTACACTAGGCGCATGAATTTGTCATAGACAAACTCCACGTATGCTGGTGTTTGTATTGCTGTTCACGCAATACAAATGAGGGGGAGGGGGAGTTGTGCACTTGCATATGCAGCAGGAATGGCACAAAGCGGAAAATTTGGCGGGGAGGCGGCACATGGAGGTGATGAAGATCACAATATCAAATGGAAAAATGTCTGAGACTGGATGAGTGTAGGAGTTTGTCATGCAGATTTTGGAAGACCCATTTACTTATGTCTGTGATGTGTGCTCTAGCATCAGAGATTTTGCGAGGGCTTCCTCATGCCTATACCGCATGAGAAATTCCCCGTCCACCGCGTAGCAAAAACTAGACTCCTGTTGCTGCTCCTGCAACACAGATTTTTGTAGAGTCCACAAATAGCATCACAAGTTACAACCTTCCAGACCCAGACATTTTTGCATTCGATAGAAAAACGAAAATGAAGAAGACTTGACCCGTCGCGAGTCGCGGGAGTCGACCGGATTGATGGATTGGATCCAGTAAGTCAAATAAAGCGGATGATTGTCGTACGACGTAGTTTATTCTCCACACCAAGTTTCTCAGATTGAATTTCGTTTGGTTCGTAGAATGAGATCTTCATAGGTGAAGATCACCTGCTCTTCATCTGGTGTGTGATGAAACGTAAGAATGTAGGCTTGTCGCACAACAAGCGCCGACGCCGTGGTCGACGTGTGTGGGTCCACCTCAGAGGCATAAGATTTTCTTTTTCAAAATTTTCCGCTCTACTTTCAGGCTTCCTTCCCCGGCCGGCATGTTTGACTGCCTCGGGTTCGGCGCAAAAACCCCGAGCCAGAATTCGGACGAAAAAGCGGCCCGGAGGAGCGACGAGTTTGGCCCTGTGTCGCAGCAAGTGTACGACGAACTCCGTCGCGCGATCGACCTCGGCTTCTTGCACTGCGTCGCGGCGGCTTTGTTAACCTTTCCCGGCCTGGTCCAGCCGTTTCTAACACCGGAAGAACTTCGCGAGGTTAGCTCCTGGAGGGGAGAAGCAGCCGGGCGGGATGATCAGTTTGGAGGTGCTGGTGTCGGGATGTCGAAAGGCAGAGAGAGCAAAGACAAACACCCCCACAACCACAAGCACCGACGGGGACGGCGAGATGAAAATTATAGGCATCATGAAGTAGATGATGACTATGAGATGAAGAACTACAAAAGGAGTCGGAAACATTCGAAAAGTAGCAGCTGCGACCACGGCCCAGAAGACGAGCTTGATGTTCTCGAACGGGACGAGTGCGACCGAGATTGGGTATGATACGCACCAGTTTGTTTACCGAGTACACGCAAACCAAAAGCAGAACATGGTCCTGATATCGCGCTGAAAAAAATGATCATACTCATAAAAGGCCACTTTTCGGCAAAAATCGATTTTTTTTTCATTTTTGATGCGGCATCCCCCCCACAGGAACAATGTGTCTGGTATATTTTCGCTGCGACATATGGGTGGGGTGGTTAACTAGCTAGAAAGTGGCCGCTTGTTATGACTATGATAGCCAACGGGAGAGATCTTCGTCAGAGATACCGGCCGCCATAGAAGACAGGCCATTCCGTCGCGATTCGCGTCTGCAAGTGTAGTGGGCGCGATGCATACGAGAAGACGCCCGGCGGGTCACATGTGCAACGCTTGCTCCTTCAGCATGATCATGAGCGTGATCCTGCTGACTCAACAGCAACACAAAGACCTGGAGTAATAGATGGCCACAAAGGCCAGAAGCCCAAGCCCGTCCGCGGCCAGCTCAGCTGCCCCCGCGCCGGCCGAAAAGCCCGGATGCCGGCGGTGATCAGGGTGGAGGAAAAAACGGAAATCAAACAGCGAAAAAAGTGCGCGCACATGCGCGAAATTTGTGTTACGGGAGGGCCAAAAGTGCCTCTTTTTTGAGTATGATCATGTTTTTTGGCCACGAGCTAACGGCGGCCATGGTCATATTTCCTGACCTGCCTCATACCATCGTGATTGGCGGTTTTTTTAAAGTGCTACTTTTCAGCGTTTTCGCGCCATAGCATCGGTTTAAAAAACATGATCATACCCTACTTTGTGTCATTTTCTTTTAGAAATTTTCCAACTTCTCCAAAAGTGACAAATCTGAGCTGCGGAAAAATGGTATGATCATGTTTTTCAAACACGATGGCACAGGGCACATAAGGCCCTCACCAGAAAAAGCATGATCATGCCCAAAATTGCCAATTTTCGCGGTCCGCGAAAATTGCGAAAAAGTCCGTGAATTTCTTGTGTCGAAGACAAGAAATCGTCCTGGCCCGGCTCAGGGCCAGCGGATGCCGGAATTCGTATGATCATGTTTTTTAAGCACGGCGAGGCTGGGCTCTCCGGCCCCGCCTTTTGGGTGACTTTTGGTCCTGGGGCAGTGGACAGGCGATTCGCCAGAGGCCAGGCCCCCTCCAATAGCACGCAGGTCAATCCTCATCCGGGGCGCCCGGGCTCGGCTTCCGACCCCCGAACGCCCCAGCTGTGGCGCTGGCCATCTTCCCTGCTGACGAGGCTGCAACGCAAACCAGAAGCAGAACATGGTCCTGACGCAGCTCCATGACAAAGTCTCTTGTTCACCAACCATTTTCAGGATGACAAGTCTCATGCTACTTTAGAAGTTTGACAAGAACTTATGATGCATTTTGTACGTGTAGTTGTACTTCTACGGTAAATTTTTATTCGCATGATTTGCGATTCACGCGCTGATCTTTCGCGCCTCGGAGAAGGATTTGATATCCGCATTGGTGGACAACGTTGTCCTCGAGTCCTGTGAGGACCCAGAGGAAAGCACGACAGGAGGCGGATCAGGAGGTATAGCAGGTACAATTTGAACTTCAACTTTCGACAGCGAAATCTTATTTAGAAGGGACGAGAAGCAGGAAATCGAAATCGATGCATCGTTTTCATACGAAATGATTTTCGAAATGTGATGCGGGTGAGAATCTTGATCTTCAAAATCCAGCAAACATTAAAAAGATGACCCCTGCTTTACTTCATCAGGCCCCGGGACGACGTCGAGGAGCAAGCACAAGCGGAAGTCAGGGTCGGGTCGGCGTTCCTCAAATTCGTCCTTGCGAAGCCATGACTACATGGAGCGCCCTTCGGTACGACCACAGCGGGTGCAATCGTTTCTTCGGGTTTCGCACCTGAATCGCAGTCCGTCCCCGGATCGCCGGGAGACACCGAATTTGCACAGCGGATCTGACCTGCTGTCGCGTACTATAATTTTTGTTTTTATGATTCTCGACCGAGGCTGATCTTGATCATGTTCATCTTCCCTATTCGCAATTGCAGCCTTATTAATTTATTGGCTGTGCTTCTACTTTTGCGTCAGCGTCACCTACTGGCATTACGATTATGGCCGCGTGGTGCTGTCGTGTCACTAGTGTTTATCATGTCTTCTGCACGAGCGAAATCGCATCAATTTCTAGGCCCCTCCCGGTCGATCGATGGCGAAGACGAGTACAACGCTGACGCAGGGTCGTCGTACAACCATCACCGTCGGCGGCGCACCACTCACCGTGGGCGCGCGACCCGTCATGGCAGTCCAGCGGAGCCAGATTTTTCGAAATTGCCGCAGGGAAAGAACGTCCGACGGCCGGGAGGACATGGACAGCAGCTGCACGGGAGGACATCAACTCTAATGCCTTCTTCTTCCCGACGGCGCAGCAAGGCCGGGCTCATCATGGGCGGTGGTCATCACCATCAGCAAAGACGGGCTAGTACTTTTCATCAGGATAATGATGTTCAGTCTACTTTTCATCTCCCCGGTGCGGAGAAGCGGCCGACGGTGGAGACGGTGCTGGTGATGCTCGAGGAGTTCGTGAACACGCGCGCCAGCCTGGAACTCCAGGCGTTGTTGATGCAGGCAGCCCGGAATGCGAATGACTGCTGCACGGTCGCGGCCGAACTCTACGTGTGGTCAGTGCACCGCCGCGTGTGCCTTGTGCTAGATCAGTTGACCTCAAGATTGCAAGTCACGTGTAACGCGGCGGTGAGTGGCGGGAAAAATCCGAGTGCTGCTGCTGGGAAAACTTGCGCAAGTAATGTTAAATCAGCAGGAGCTTCTGTACAACAACCTCCCGCCAGGAGTCCGACTGGAGGGACCACGAGTTGTACTTCTATGGCAGGAACGCTGTCCGATTTCGGCCCCATGCCTTCGATCACGATCACCTCCGTTAGTGGCGCAACGTCATCATACACGGATATTGGCACGAAGAACGCAGTTGCCTCCAGCAAAGGAGGATCCTCCACCACGACGTTGAGTCAGCTCGCGAGCAAAAACTTCCACGGATGCGTGCACGCGATCACGCTGCTCGGCAGGTTCGTGCAGAATTACGGAGTCGCACTGTCGGAAGGGTCCCTCGTACACGATCCGGAATACTACGACAAGTTTTTGCCGTCTGTCACTGACCTATGCACTTCGACAATTGCACAGGTACTACTGTTGTACTACGCAATAGAAGATCTTCTTTAACACCGATTCGATCCTTCATTTGCATCTTGTTCCATAGATGCATGCAAAACAATGAATGCGCTGCAGCCTCGGGGTCTGGTCCAGCTTCATGCAAGACAATTATGAGTGAATAACGGTATTCACAAGCCGCACTTTTATATTATTTTTCTGCCACTTCTACAGGTGCTCGACCCGCAACTCAAGGCCATTGTCGAGCGTCTGGAGGTGGTCCGGGACAGCCGCCCCACCGGCCGCCCGAGCGTCTGGGGCCCGCAGGTCGAGGGCCGGTGCAGCCAGCTCCTAGCGCCACCTCCGAGAAGCATATGGAGTTCTCAAATGTTACATTCTCAACTGTTATCAAAGTACCGTCATCATCCACAAGATCAAGCTGCTTCGCATGACAAATTTGCGAAGGGCTAAACACCACCTAAATCTGCGCGGGATTTGTAATGCGATTTTTGCAATCTTCCCCCTTTGGCTTTTGCCATTCTTGCATTACAGATTCATGCAACAGTTGAGAGTGTGACGTTTGAGAAGACCATAAAGCAGCGTAGTTCATTATGGCACCACCTCGTCGAGGCGGCAGTCTTTCGCCAGCTCGCCCCACAATATTACAACAGGATCTTCTTCAGCCTCCCTCGGGTTTGCTCCGGCGCGCCCGAGCTACAATTTCGGCGCGCCGCCGCGGCTCAGTACGTCCTATAATGGCGGTGGAGGATTGACGAGAACTTTTTCTTCGGAAAAACTGTGCAGCTTCGACTACGACCCCCACAGCTCGCTGCACTTAAACTCGCAGCTGCAGCAGCACATGTTGGCAGGATCATCTACATGCGGTTTGCTTGGGGGAGGACTGTCCGGGATGAATTACAATTGCCACACCGGTGGTCTATCGCAACATGGTTACAGCAGCCAGGTCGATCAGGTGCCCCTGTTCACCACCGGGCCCGTAGACCTGTTCTCGTTGATCGATGGGGCGCTCGTCCTGTACGGCCAGCATGACTTCGTGGTGCACGCCCTCGCGCAAGCCATCCAGCACTACTGCAAGCTGTTGCTGGAGCACTGCAAAGCCCAAAGCGTCACCGCCATGGCCGGTTTTATTTCTCCCCGAAGCGGTGGTGGTGGAGGTGTTGCCGTTGCGCACCACCAGCACCAGCTGTTGCAACAGGGAATAGATAAAGTCGGCCAATTGAAGAATGGCACTAGTAACTCAACGACGTCGTCCACTCTGGCAGCTGACTCCGCCGCGGGGGGGAACACGAGCAACAACGTCCTGCGGCCGGCGCTTGGAGGCGACCATCTCCACCCAGCATCGCACGGCCTGAACAAGAATCCTGCCGGGGCTGGTCCCAACACCAGCACGCTTCGGCGCATCACGATGACACAGGACCCAAGAGGGTCACTGTTGATGGCCACCAACTGCCGCCGATCCAGCGGGACAAGTGGTCGCAACAACCGAGATCTGATGCAGCATTTGCTGTTTCTGGTTTCCTGCCTAAACGACGTTTCCCAAATCGCGAGTAGCGCTCTGGAGAAGGAAGCTGTGGTCCTGCAAGCCTTCGACCCTGACGACGATGATTCGTCCGAAGAATTTTATAACGACGGCGAAGGTATTTGTACTGAAAATCACGTTGCTCCTCGCAGTACGAGGCGCGGTCAACACAACAAGGGCTTCACGACAACATCACGGAGAGGACCTGAGTTTGTTCAAGGAGAACTGACCGCCGCAATGACACGACGACCCACAGGTGGAGGAGATGACGAGGAGGACCCTCGTATCCAGAATGGAAACGATGACCTGCATGGCAGTTTCGCAATAAATGAGGAACATTTTCAACAGGCAAGAACGAGGCACAAGAACCACTCTTCGAGCAAGTCAAAAAGGAAAATAAAACTCACGGCGACTGATTGGGAGCAGAACTGCGCGCGGACCGGGCCGCTCGAAAATCACTTTCCCGAGAAGCGCACCTCGCACCTGATTCGCATGTCCTCGCCGGCACCGACGATCATAAAGAACCACACTTCTACAACTGGAGGCGTGCCGTCGCCCCGAAGCCCAACATCGGCCTCCATTCAGTCCAGTTCCGGAAAATTTCCCACTGCAAACTGTGTGCTGCAGCAGGCCGCTGGGAAGTTGAAGAAGAAACAAGAAATGTGGAAAACGTTGAAGCGACGGATGAAAAAGGGCCGCGAGATGAGTAATTCTGGCGCAGCCCAGAACTGTGTCGTCCCCTCGAGCGGACACATCACTCCCCCAGTGGGCAGCTCCGTTGTTCCTTCTGCGACTGGTAAAAATCTTGCCCACGATGACGACCGAGTAGTAGGGTCATCGTATGGCCAGCAGCGGCAAAGCAGTCCCGTCGCTTCCACCCTGTATTCGCCGAGTGGAGCGAGCGAACATCATACCGCGATCTTCTCAACCCGGAAGGCCAAGCGAGAGGAACGCCGGCGCCACAGCAAGATCGGCAGGTCGGCGCCGCGGGGGCGGAGGGCGGCGGCGGGGAGTAAGTGCAGCTTTGAAGATGATAACTTTGCCAACGACGATGTAGCGAACACACCTGCTTATACAATCGATGTCGGTAGTAGTGTAGGAGCGCCAGCAAGAAATACTAGAGGTGTCAACGACTGCTCATCGCCGAGGGTCGATTGCGGCGCAACTAAGGCCTCCGAGCACCACCACTACGACGACGCACACCCTCACGACCACGGCTCTTTTGTCGGGATCAGCGTCAAGGCGCTGCAGGAGCTTTCCGACGGTCTTCGTGCGGAAGTTTTCTCCGTTTTGAAACTGCTTGTTGACAGCGCCCTTGCCGATCTGCCGCTTTTTGATTGGGTCGACGAATTCGACTCTTCACTCACGCGAACCGCGACCTTTGGACCGGTGCAGCAGCAGTCCGGCGAGCACAACTCTTTGAGCTCGCCCCTGGAGTACCAGCACCAGGAGTCGCTCTCCTCCTCGGCCTCCTGTAGTAGTAGCTCCGGTCCTCGTGGTGGTCCAGGAGCTGCGTTGCACCGTGCGGGGTCCTTTCTTCACATGGGAGGCGGTACTAGTATTGGAACAACGAACGGCTGTAGGGCTGGTGCGATGGATCATATTAACCACCTCCAGGTCGTGCAAAATAACAATACCGGGACAACGTCCTCGAACAAGCTCGAGAAGCTTTTCCCGGAACTGCTGGAGGCGGTCGATTTGCTGCGCAAAACGTTGCGGAAAAAGTCACACTTTCGGGCACTGCTGGCGCAGCTGTGGGACTACTTGACGCAAACCTTTTTCAGGGCTTTGTACCAGTTTTCGAAGACGCTCCCGGAAGTAGATGAACAAGTCGAGTTTGGTACCTCAGACATCAGGGAGAAAAACCGAAGTCGGCACAACTCTACTTGTGGTCCTGTTGCTGCGACAGCTGCAGCGAGTCCACCTCTTCTCGAAAACAACCCGAACCAGGAGGAAGCTGCCCAACAACTCCGTGGCTCTCGGCGGCCTACCGCTGGGGGAGGCGGCGTGGCGGCGAGTCCAAGTGCCGCGGATCTTTTTCAGCACCTGTTCCCGGCGGAAGGCGAGCACGAAAATGACGACGCGCACACGGCGGGGGCGGGCGGGGATGGCGCGGGGACGTCGTCTACGTCCGCAGAAGACCATGATCACGACGACACCACGGAAGATCATAACGGAATAGTAAGCAGAGTTACTTCTGGAGCAGTACAGAAGCGCACGATTATGGTGCCGACGGCGCTGAACACCATCAAAGGCGAACAAGTTCCAGGGTCGGCTGAAAGCAATAGCAGTAGCGGTAGCATCAAGGAAGAAGCAGCAGCAGGGGGTCAGAGCTGCATCCTCGTGGAGAGACTGGAACAAGCAGCCAAGGACGATCTTCGTGCCGACGATGTCGATGTGGACGAGTTTCTCAGTTGCAACAAGATCACGCCCTCGACCGAAGCGCCAGAAGATCAGGATGATTTGCGGAATTTGCTAAAAGAAGTCGAGGAGGAGGAAGATCGTGATGTTGGTGCACAACATCTTTGTTGTCATGATCAGCAAGAGACCAGAACCACCGCAGAGTTGCTTCCCGTTCCCAAACAAATTCTCGCGATTAATGCAGAAAATAATAATAAAGAGACGGACAAGCACGAAGATGAAGCCACCGATGACAGGAACGACCTGGGTGCCGATACCAAAAGCATCAAACAGGACGAGCCCCGTTTGATACAGCCACCACCACCCCTGATGCTTCGCGGCACGTCCAATCTCCTGATCGAATCCTCTACCGACGTATCACCGTGCCAACTCTCCCTCACCCGCCTACATTCTTATTTGTACATGATGCAAATTACCAAATCCACGCCACACCTTCAAGCACTGTTTGCATGACAAGTTCTGACAGTCCAAATAGCACTACACTGCACCTGTGCAGATTTGTCATGCAAAACCTGCATTCATCTTGATCTTGCTGGCACTTGTATTGCTGTTCATGCCCTGCAAATGTGGGGAAGGGGGCGTTGTGACCTTCCATACGACGACGCGCCGAGCGTGATGAAGATTGGCGGCGCCGCAACCCCTTCCCGCATCATCATTTCAGCATCCGGTAGTTCCACATCGGGCGGCGGGGAGCATATTGTTTCCACTACGGATCACGGAGCTGCAGCTGCTGCACCCGGCGCAACAACCGGACCAGGACCAGGAGCACAAACGGCTGCGACGTCAACCAACGTGCTTGTCGTACCCGCAAACGTCTGCGACGAGACCGAGGATGCGGTTTTGGGAGCCGGTGGAAATCCTTCTTCCCCAACGGGCGCCGCCGCGTTGAATAGCAGCTTTGTCAGCTTCGTGACCACCACGGCCTCCAAGTCCGTTAAGGAACAACATATTCAAGAAAATTTCGGCTGTAATACTACCCGACGGTCTACTGGAAGAACCTCGAGGGCAACAAGCCTCCAAAGTGGCACACATCATCAATCCAGTAAGGAGAAGAAAAAGTCGAAGCCGCAGAAGGTATACGTGGGGCCGTCGAGCGTGATGCACATGACGTGTGTGAAAAATTATTTGCAGAAAACCAACGCCAGCGAGACCGCAAAGACCCTGTGCAGCCGCGGAGCAGGAGGCAACAGTAGTTGCAGCAGTTCTATTTCGATGACAATAAATAACACGAGCATGTATTCCACCGCGAATTCTGGGTCGGGAACGACCCGGACCAGACGGAAAACGAGCATGAGCAGTAGCGCAAGCCGAGGTCGTTGTACTACCACGACCGCAGTGAATGGTACGAGCAGTGGTTTAGTACAAGAAAAACTTAACAGCGATAAAGATTCGCACGGAGCTGCCGCGAGGGACCTTCTTGTTGCAGGAGGACAGCAGCAGCAAAATGCGAAGAATTCATCGAATATGCGTGAGGGCGCGACGTTCTCCACCTCTTCGGAGCAGCATGATGAAATATTAAACAGGGTCCTCGTGCCCCCGCGTCGGGGGGAACTGAACGAGAACAATCTGAAAGGGTTCATGTGCAGTCCGTCGGGCGTCGGCGAGATCGAAAACACTTCCACGATGGCGTCGACCGCGAAGGGGTCGCCGGAACTATGAAAGCCTCAGGTTGGAAATCCTCAAAGTGAAAATAATTTGTAATGCAAAAAAACGACTCCAGTTGGAGCGCCATTTCTAGTCGGCGCATGACAAATTTCCCGGGCACCTAAACGTGTCTGTCATGCTAGTTAGGCAAACGGGTGCCCTTCTGTCATGCTAATCAGCAGCCCAATTCTGAACCCGTAGAAGCACAATAGTCGGCCTCCATTGCGTTTTCTGCAATACAGTCTTTTTGGTTTCGCATTTCCTGCATCACAAATTATTTCCACTTTGAGGATTTCCATTCTGAGGGTGTCATAGGAACGCGAGCAGGTGGACAACAACAGTAAGTCATGTTCTATCCTGAGTAAAAACGTACCCACACCAGAGTCAGGACGGGGATTTTGCAACACAAACCTAGGAGTTTTGTGAGTCACGCATGACAAGTTGCACTCTGCAGCGTAGTGCAGGTTAGCAAGTGGCGCAGCCGCATTACAAATCCATCTGCTCATCCTGTTCACAGCATCACAAATTCCACAACACGATTGGAAATGGCTCTCATGGGGATGCGCATTACAAGTCTTCCTGTCTTTGCAAATCTGCATTACAACTCTGGCGCGGGTACGTTTTTACTCAGGATATGTTCTTCCTCATCTTCTACCTTCGCGGCGATAAGAAATCCAGGTACCGGCGCAACGACCTCGAATCTTCATGCCGAGGCGCCGCCGCGGCCGGGGATAGGTAAGATCATGCTGAAGAAGGAGGACCAACATGAAGATCGGGCAACCTCTACATTTGAAGAAGAGGAGGAGCAAAACCGGAAGAATTCCATGCAGTCACAGAACCTGCGTAACCTATTCGCGCTGGCCTGCTACGTCCGCAGCCGGTTCGATCGGTTTTTATCCAGGGAAATATAACGTGTTGGCAGTCAGAAAATCAAATTCGCTGTGCATGTTGATGACAGCCGAAACTTGCAACGGAAAACAGCCGAAACTTGCAACGCAGACGACATTATATCGGAAAACACCTATGGAGCTAAAAAGTTCCCATAAGCATATTCGGCATGACAGACCTTGTCGCTCTTGCGTGGTCCGCAACACAGTTTTTAACTGTCAACACACTTTTTTCTTCCCATACGTTTTCACGCAGGACTACTACGGAGCCAAAACCGCAATCTTCGGCATTCCGGTGGCCGAAGCGACAACTAGGCATCGGCTGTGGGACCTACTGCTCACCGAGCTCGCTGTCGCGGCGGAGACTGTGGTGGAAAAAGCGGCGCCTGGTAATCATGTCCTGCCACACGACTTTGAGGAGAACAGGGACAGGGACGAGGGAAGCAAGGAATTTGAATCCGCATTGCGGATTACAACGAGGAAAAATAGTACTTCTGGAGCGACGAGCAGAACATCGAGGCCTACTAGAAGTACTACTATGTGGACCACAACTACAACATCGGACCACGAAGATGAAAACTACAAGCAGATACAAGACTCTGCTAGTATCTTCTGTGCGAGTTTGAAATCCGTACGACTTGCGCGGAAACAGGCCGTAGAAGTACTAAGTGTTGACGAGGATGAAAAGCGATTGAGTAGCACGCACCCAGACCTGGTGAACACCATGGAAGCCGACCACGAGCTGAATTTCGTTGATGAAGAAGATGCCTGTCTAATTGTCAACGATCCTGCGGAGATGAGTAAGAAACAAGTAGAACATCAGGAGCAGGTCGAAACAAAACTATACCCGACGATGAATGATGTAAGAACATCATTTTCACCTGAACACACTACAACAAGTAGCCCTGTTCCCATTGTGCTCGCTTCTTCAGCTGCGAAGGAAATAGTAAACCATTCGACAAGAACGGATCACGGGTCGACGCTCTTGTGCGAAGAACGAAGTAGAGAAGGCGATGGTCATCTTCGGGGGCAGCCGCTTGAAACCGTACACAGCAAGAGCACGACTACATCCTCTTCATCCAGCAGTGTATCTTGCTCTACTTCCAAGGCTCTTCAGCCAGCCGGCGGGGCAACTTCAACTTTCGCGAGTGTAGTTGCAGGCCGAGTCGACGAGAGGTGGCACGAGGAGCAGTTAGCTGTTTTCCGGAACGTGCTGTGCTCGGAACCCTTCGCAATCCAGATCTTGAAAGCGGTAGTGCAAGAAGAAGATCGAAAAATTATGGTGGACGACGAAGTCGGGCGAGATGTGGTACCCGCACGAGGGGGCCACTGTGCTGCAGCTCCGGGGGGTGGAGTACCAGGTGCGGGCGCAATGGCATCCTCTTCTTCGAACTCTTTGTGCCCCGCATCAGCCAGGAGTAACAAGATGAACATCAGTAGAGATACAGCAACAACTCTCTTACACAATATTAAAGCCGACCCTGTCGTGCGCAATCATGCCAATGCCTCTCCTGCGTTTTGCGGCGGAAGTAGTAGTAGACTCAACTTGGTTCGGGATGTGCGATTGCGGACGGATATTTGGCGCCATTGCAGCCGGTTCCGAAAAACGACCGATGTTTTTGCAGAGGGAAAAAACAGCAGAATTATGGATGAGACCACCACGCGTCATCAAAGCTCATCAAGCTCCTCGCCAATGACCGAGGTGGATAAAAAGCGCGATCGGGAACAAGCAGAAGTAGCAGACTTTGCAAGAACCACTACTGGCGAAGGTCAAGTGCTGGAAATGAACGCAGTTGCATCCACGATTATCGCACAAGGAATTATCCAAGAAATAAACGGGCAAAATGATTCAACCGTAGTGAAGACGACCCAGCAGGACCACCAGGAGGACACCCGGGAGAACTTCGAAGCGCGGAGGTTTTCCTACGAAGCACTCTCGTTGTGGTCGATGAAATGGCGTCCCGTCGAAGTGCTAGAGGTGATATCCAAGAAAAAGACTGTGTTAGTGTGACAGCATCACAAATTTTGCATATTTATACAAAGAAAACCTGTGCTGTCCACAGCTAGCACCTAGAAACACGTATGTTAACAGGACATTAATTTATTATGGCTGGCCAACATGATAGTGTATAACTCTTTCGCATTTTCTGCATCACAGACTTACACACTCTTTACTTTCCTGCATAGGTGATGCGGAATACGAAAAGTGAGGACCAACTCGTCCGGGTGCACTACATCGGTATGCTCTGCAAAAGTATCGCACGCATATATTAAATTGCAGCCATGCATGACAAATGTCTTTCTCTTTTCCAACCTGAATCAGCATTACAGATCCCACTTTTGTTCTTGCCAAAATTTGGTGTTGCGAAACATTATGACTACGTACGATACTTCTGCAATGCATAATGGGCTACGATCCGCAATACGACGAGCTAATTCCTGACAATCCAGGCAGATTGCCCGTGCGGTTACGCTCCCGACGCGATTTCGCGGCTGCGAAGCCGAATTCTTGCACGGGTCATGTGCAGCAGCAGCAAGGGTCGACTTTTGACCAACACCCACAATTGCTGGCTGCTCAAGTAGAACATCCTGGTGCAGTCGATCAGCTTCACCAGAGCTTCGATAATTGCCATCAAATATCGCAGCCTGCCGTGCCTGTGGTGATCACAGGAGCCGGAGCCCAACCTCCAGCGGACTCTGTGAACGATCTCACCGCCGAGATACGCAGGCGGCGGAACCTGCCAGTGTGGCGGTTTGTATTGCCGCAGCCAGACAAGGAAGGTGATAGTATTGTCAGTCACACGAAGATGAAAGCTACATCTACTTCGACAGAAACAAATAACGCGATCCACGGTGCTGGTCAGCAAGGGAACGGTCTTCCGCCCCCACATGAAATCTTCACAAGAACGCCTCGAGAACAGCAAACCGGGGAAGAAGATGAACAACAACTTCTACATCAGCAGGAGCCTGATAAAAGCTACAACCTTGCCCCCTCTGTAGTACCGTCGACGCAAAATTATTTGGCCGAAACCGGACAACATAACCGTGCACCCAAGAAGAAACGGCGAAGGAGCAAAGTCCTCGTCCGGGACGACGGGGTAATATCGCCTTTGGATGAGAAGACTATAAGAATTCGCTCCAGTCGCCGGGCCAGTGCGGAGGTCCCAGAGGAAGTAGAAGGAGCTTTCGCTATCCTGAGTAAAAACGTCCCCACACCAGAGTCAAGATGGGGATTTTGCAACACAAAGCTAGGACTGTTTGGGAGTCACGCATGACAAGTTGCACTCCGTAGTGTAGTGCAGGTTAGCAAGTGCAGCTGCATCACAGATCCATCTGCTTATCCTGTTCATAGCATCACAAATTCGAATTCCAAAACACGATTGAAAATGTCTACCGTGGGTATGCGCATCACAAATGTCCTTGTCATTGCAAATCTGCATGACAACTCTGGGGTGGGAACGTTTTTCCTCAGGATATTCGCCAGTAGTTTGGGTTTCAACAATATTAACCCTTTCCTTTTTCAGGAAGAGGATCCAGCACAGGACGATGAGCTCTTCCACGAAGAATACTTGGCCGGTCCCAGTAGCCGTGGCATGACCAGGAGCTCTACTTCCAAGCACGGAGGCGGAGGACCACATCAGCACCACAGACACCATAAAGGGTCAAAGCAGCGGAGCACGCGAGACCGGCGGTGGAGCAGGCAACTAGACGAACTTGTCAAGATGTTCTACTAGTCTTCTTGATGTCCGTTTTTTATTTTTCACTCTATGATTTTTTCCGAATATTTTGATTTTCATGTTGATTTTTGTGTAAGTGTATTCAATAGAACTTGGTTCTTGATTGTATACCGACGATGAATATCTTCTAGCGACGGACGAAAACGATTTGTCCATGTGATAAATATCAAACGAAAGATAATTCGTTCTCCTCCCGATAAATTGTCATTGTGGTGCCGAACAGTTATTATATACCACTTTCAGTATCAGCTTCAGTACGCATTTCCCAGAGCGCAAAGAAATCAATACAGTTCTTTCTATTCGGTTCGCTTTTCTGCTGAATACTTCGCTTCTTGTCATCAAAAGATTGATAAAAGTCTGAAGCTTACAACAACTTTTCTTTGCTATTGTACTTATTTCAATTTTTCCCCAAAAATTTGAAATATCATCAAACTGAATTCATTCGTTAAGCTTTCGTTCCCGAGAAATCATAGCTTGCATCGGTTTTTCACGCAAGGCCTGATTTCTTTTTCTTGTCTATTTTATCGCTTTTCCCACTGAATTTATCAAATTGGACCTTACCTCATCTTTACCAAAGGTTATGCAACGGCTTGAATTTCTATTTTTCTGAGAAGGTGACTACTAACTGGAAGTCGTGTCATCTTCGTTTCGCTTGCCGTTAGAAATCCGATCTCCGATTGGATTTCAATCGACCAAAAAATTACTGCTGTGTCACAAACCGTATACGTTGTAAAAAATGTGAAGTCTTCATCTTGTACATACAACTCACATTGTTTCACAAAAAGTTTGCTGTGGTTGGTCTTGTCGTGGTAAAAAATAGAGCTTGTTAAAGTCCTAGAATATGAAAAGTTCAAAAAGCCACTAGCACTACCTCTACCAGTAATGAAAATCAAAATTATATTCGTGAGTATGCTTGCATAGAGATAGATCGATAGTGAGCTGCTCTGACTCTATTAAGCAACACGACGTATTATGGAGGTAGAGTTACGGATGAGCTTGAGAAGAAGATTATGCGTGATTTTCTTTTCGGCGTCACGTACCTCCTGACATCATGAAGAAGTCTTTTTTTTTGGTACTATCGTTGAAGAGGCCTATGGCTGCAGCGGTTTGCAGGTGCCTTGCCAATCCGTCGAGTTTAAAGAGCCTTGTCGAGACCACTTCCTTATATAAAAAAGGAAGCTAAATAGAAAAAGAAACCGTGTTAATGGATATAATGTCTGCCGGTATCACGACTCACACTCACGTATCCCAAGCGGACAACGAGTTTTTGCCCGAGTCTTGAGAAACTCCACGACCTGTTTTTTGTTTGCGTGAACGAATGCTGTTCTAGTCTACTTCGAAAGAAGTTATTGCTCGTCGTGTCGGTGAACAATTGTCGTAACTGAAGTAGGAGTAGACGAGCAGTTGGTGCTCTACACCACGACACTTCGTGTGCAGTAGATAGTGTACTTACAACGACCAAGGGGCACCAGCGTAGGCCCGCTTGCGAGGTAGTAGTAGAAGTACGTAAAAAATGGCTTTGATCATGATTAAAATGCGCCGTCGGCAACATCATACACACAGTACAGTACTCAATTTTTACAAGGCGCGGCGCATTCCGTTCGTAGTTCCCCCCCTAGCTTTGAACCGAGAAAAAAGTAAAAACGATCCCACGGGTTTTACAGCCAGTTTTATTTGAGAAACTTTTTTGCCGAACAAGAACTCTTTACGTCTCGTCGTCTTCTTGCTTCATCTCTTTGATCTCGGAAAGAAAACATAAATGGCGAATTCTGCCCCGCCAGACCCCTCTACCCTCCCCGTTCCGCTGAATAACGGGGCAACGGTGGAGTTTTTGATGCGTATGTCGCGCGGCAGCTGAACGGGGTCCAACTACCGGCGCTCCCCCTTCACCGGCGGGGGGTGCGAGCCGCGGCTCCCCTTCCCCATGAACGGGGACCACGTGCAGGGGGTTCTGTATCCGGTGCCGCCGGACAAGATGCGACAGCAGGGGGCCGAGAGCGCAAAATGGATGTTGGTGACCGCGATCAAGCGCCGGGGGCAGGGGGAGTGGCAGCCGCTACGGGGCGAGCAGTGGATATGGCGTTTTCAAACGTTACGTTCTCAGCTGTTGCATGAATTTGTCGTGCAAAAGTACCTTAAGCCGGCAGATGATCGAGCTGCTTCGCATGACAAATTTCGGAAGGGCTAGACAGCATCTAAATCTGCGCCAAACCTGTAATGCAAAAGGCGCAATCTTCCTCCTTTCACTGTTGCCAGTCTTGCATGACAAATTCATGTAACAGTTGAGAATGTAACATTTGAGAATGCCATAATGGATGCCGGATAACGGGGGCCCGAGCAACGGAGGGCAGTGGCTGCACCCGATTGAGGAGTAAGCTAAAACCCTGTAGCAAGCTAGCTGCACCAGGGCACTGTAGGGAGCGGCACCATTTGGATTTTACTCTTTCCCGAAGAGCAAGATGAAGATTGAAGATCCCGCTCCGATCTGTCATAGCGCGAAGACGACTTCCTGTCGTGGCTGCTGCAAAACGTGTGAAGAAAGTGGGGCGCAGCTTTGGAAGTAGTATATGTGGATGAAATTATCTACTTACTTGATTGAACATCATGCGCGTATTTTTTCTTGATGCCTGCCGTGAAGATGCGTCCGCTTTCCGATCGCGGAATGAGGGGACGGATCTGATTTAGTACTATGCAGATGTTCATCAGACACAGAGAGACTCGTGTCGATGAATCGGGTTTCAAAAAAAGTCATCAATGTACTTATCCAGACAAGGAAACGAACGTTCGTAGAAACGTCAATGACAAAGAACTCAGTGTGTGGCGGCGCCACATTGCGGGCGCGGCGTCGACCGTAGACAAATGAAGATTTCTACTTATTTGAAAACCAGCGGACTTGCTTCGCTTCTAAATCCAAACACATCTCTGGAACGACCACGGTACCGCAGAAGCAAGCACCCAGAAACGGGCGAGTGTGGCCGCTCCTTGATCCAAGATGAGTCAAATTCTCTGTTCTTTGTGGATTTCGTTTCTGGATCTTCATGTCGTAGTGCACCTCCAGTTTGGTTTGTTTTTGTATTAATTTGCTTGGAAAGCTCGCTAGTGTCGCTTTCGTCTTTTTATTTTTCTTTCTTCCATGACGTTTTGCATTTGCTTTTGTTTCGGCCAAAAATCATCTGCATCTCCGCCGCTGGACCTTTCTCCGGGCCAGCCCGATCGTATCAATCTATTATAGCGCTCTGATCTGACGCGGACGTCGCCATTGTATACTTACCAGTACCACAGTTGCCTAAAAGGAACCTCGTCATGCCGTCAGCGTCACCTGCGTGTGCGCCTGCCTTGTGCCGCCACGCGGCCCAGCACCAGCAAGGACGTCGGTTATGTCAGTTGCATGGTTGTGGTTCTTCTTCATCTCGTTGCCATGTATTTGCCCTACGGACAAACCCGGTCGTGAAAACTTTCCTGCCAACATGTGGAGCGCGAAGTTGTCGTTCGTTCTCTTCCTCTTCGTCCGCGATGGACAATATTGGAGGCACTAGTCTCAGCGATGAGCAGGATGCTGCAGGAGCTGGAGTTGTGCCAGCGGGAACGGAAGATAATAAACCACCTGGGACCGCAGAAAATTCGAACGACACCAATCTCGCGGAGAACAACGACAGCAAGCCCAAGCCTCCTAAGAAGAGCGTCGTCTTTCCGCGCGCTACCGCCGCAGCTGCCGACGGCGACCGGTCGGGGATCACAAACTATTATCGCGCAAAAGATAAAGCTGATGATTTGCTGAACCAGAGGGTGATGGCCATGGTGGCTGCGGTGCCCGCGAGATCCAGCGGGTCCCTTTCCGAAGTTGTTTTCCAGCCGCGGAGAAACGTGAACCGGCACACACTGTACCGGATCACGCAACTGCGGCGGACCAAGCGGTACTTGTTGGCGCGCCTGAAAGAGGTGGAAGAGCAACATGTGGAGAAAATTTCTAGCACACAGGCGGTTGAAGGTGATGTTGACGATGAAGGCGGAGGTGTAGTGGTAGAGCAGCGCGACCGCGAGGTGGAAATAAAATCAGAGAAAGATGAAAGTGAGAAGAGCGGGGATCATGGTGGCGTTGCTCAACGAGGGGACGATAATGATAATCTTCACCTGCTGGACGACCTCTCAGCACAGACCTCAGAATCGGATGCCGCCGCTGCTAGTGAAGGCGAAAAGTGGTCACAGCCACAAGCAGAAGTACTTCTACCTACGGCCAGTAAGAACGGCCCGTCCTCCGCGGGAAGACCGTCGTTGATCAACATCACTCCCGAGGAGATACAGGAGCGCTTGCTGGAAGTGGAGACGGAGCTTCGGCTACTCGGGGTAGAGGACGGAGACGTAGAAGTGGGTGCGGACGAAGGAGGGCGTCGACACGGAATCGATGTTGAAATGAATCATAATGAAGATGACCACAGCATCGACGATGCATCACACGACGACCACACACGTTCCTACCCCCCGACCGCGGAGCGGTACCTGCAGGAGCGTTTGACAGCACTCGCTGGCGAACAGCAATGTAAAAGTCTACTTCATGGAAGAAAGTCCTCCTCTGCGAAATCGAAAAATAATTCTAAATCTCTTTGGTCTCGCGTCCGCGACTACAGTCGGTTGCCCATGATCATGACCAACCGGCGCTGCGACAGGGACGCGTTCGTACTGCTCGACAAGCAGAGAGAAGAAACAGTGATCGATGATGAACATGTTGATCAAGTAGGTGGAAGCGGCGCTGCAGTTGGTGCAATTACAGGCTCTTCAGCTGATGAAGAACGACGAGAAGATAATACAGAGAAGACGACAGCCTCAGCCACTTCACATACGTCGACTTCTTTGTTGGAGCGGCGCTTGCACACACTGTACACGATGTCCAATTCACATGGTATCAGCTGGGACGATATGAACTGCAAAACAAGTATCGTACTCGTATAAATGCATTACAAATTAGCTCAGCGTGAAATATTAAATTTGTCACGCTAAATTACATAAAAAAATCAGATTTGTCATGCTAGTCTGGCATTTATACGAGTGCGATACTTTTGCATTTGATAGACGAACTTGACGAAGAGTACCTGCGATGGGCGCACGAGGGCCAGAGCCGCGCCCACCAGTGGAACAAGCTGGTTTGGCCGCCCGCGCTCAACTACTCGAGTGACAGCGCCGTCACAGCGGCGAGGGAGGCGCAGAAGGTATGCATTGCAAATATGTCGGGGTCTGGAAGGCTGCAACTTGCAATGCTGTCTCTGGATTCTGAAAAAAGTTGTATTGCATGACCAGCAAGAGGATTCCAGCTTGTGCTACGCGGAGAGGGCATTTCTCATGCGGTAGAGGTATCGCAAAGCGCTCTAAGAATCTGTGATGCTACGGCATGCATCACAGACATCATGGGTCATGGAAAATATGCATGACAAATCTAGAAATCTAGAAATCTTCCAAGACCCAGACACTTTTACATTTGATAGAAGGAGGCGAAGAACGAGAAAAACCTGGAGGAGGACGTTTTCTCCACCCAACTGGACATTCCTACTGCATCAACGCGAACACCTGTATCAAGTGGGTTGAACAATGCTACTGGACCTGACCATGGGGAGGACAGCGAGGTCGACAGTCTTGAGGAAGACAGAAGACACGATTGCTTCAGTGCTACCAAGACAGCTTCTGGGTCGACGCTAAACGAAAACAAGCCGAAAAGAAAAAAGATCGACTACACCCCGAGAATTCGCTCGATGGAGGAAGAGCTGCTGTCGCAGGTCCGCTATGCAGCCTGGTGGCGCGCGACGAAAGTGATCGAGGCGCGGATTCGCGAGCGGAAAAAGCGGGAGGAAAGCTACGAAATCACGGAAATGCAGAAGCAGGCGATGGTGTCCGGCTTGCGGCGGGCGACCCTGCACCGCTGGAAACAGTTGTACCTGAAATGGTACCGGCCGGGGCAGCTCGTGCGGCACCTGCGGGAAATTGTGTTGCTCAGACAAAACGAACGCGAACTCGCGGAACGGGTGGGCGCGGCCAACAACCGTCGACGTCGTTCTGCTCAGGTGGCGTGAGGAGTTTTCTGCTGGACAAAGATGAAAGTTCTTTTTTTTTCGAAGATGAGGAACTGCTCATGATGAAGTGGTGCGTAGTGGACTCTAACTCTACGCACATTTTTAATGCAGCACATTTATGGAGTTAGAGTATGCTTCTACAACAACTTGCGCTTCCCCTTCCCCTGTTCATTCAAAAAAAATGATTTAGGGACAATTTTTCGACCCTTGAGAAGATGCTGGAACAGTGCCGGAGATGAACGTTAAGACTGAAGACATGCGAAAAGTAAACAACGGGAGCTGCGTATTGTTGTTGAAGAAGCCAATGCTGTATGCAAAGTTTTGAAATGATACCTGCTCTTGCAAGGGCGGTGGATTTGCTGATGGTGCTGGTGGCACAGCAGAAGTTGCAAAGCTCCTAGTCGTCTAGACGAGCAACACTCGTTTATCGTTTTCGCTTTCTTCTTTCCTTTTCCTACTAGACAAGGATGTTGATATCTGTTGACGCACAACATCCTTGTGTATTCGTAATTTTAGCCCGTTGTTGTAGCGATCCGAGCATGTTGTGGCAGTTCCTGTCGCAGAAAAAGCACTAATTTGCTTTTATGTATTTCATTGTTTTTGATGAACATGAATTTCAAAATTTACCAAATCCGAAAAGGGCAGTACATTACACCAAGTCTCTGCATGGAACAAACTGAAGAGAACGGTCAGCACCCTCATGACCATCTTTCCGTACGTTGCAACTATTTCATTCCTGAAGTCCTGCCATAGCCATTTGCACAACCACAAGCACAGATTGACGACGTAGAGGCCCCCAGACCACGACAGCAAGCACCATGAGTGACCCTGGAGGTGCCGGCGCAGCGGCGTCCTCTTCGTCGACGATCTTGAGGCCCAGTCGGACAGCAGCAGCAGCTGCATCGAATCTATGGGAGCGTCAGGTTTGAAATCGTCAAAGTTGAAATAATTTGTAATGCATAAAATGCATGACCCGAGGCACGTGCGTTGCAGAGCAGGCAAGTGAGGCCGATTGTAAGCCTGTTTGGGGTTACAGCTCGAGCTGCTAAAGTAGCATGAGAAAATCGCTCTTCTTTGCCTAAACAGCATGACAAACTGGATTTAGGGACCGCCGAAATTTGTCATGCGCCACTTGGAAACTGGGTTCCAACTGGCGTCCATTTTATGCATGACAAATTATTTCAACTTTGTCGATTTCAACTCTGACACATCCATAGAATCACAGTATTAAATAAACATTCTTTCCGAAAGGACCGCCATGGATATTACGAAATTCGTAATATCCATGGCGGTCCTTTCCATGATATTGGTAGTAGGCAGCTCGTTCGGGTTTTTCTCCTGTTGCAGCATTGTAGTGTTTGTCTTTCTTGCATCCACCTAGCTGCTTTTTCACTACCGAAGATGCCTGAAAATTAGCACGAAAGCTTGTAAGCGTGAAGAAGATGGAACATAAAGAAAAACACAAAGATCCGAGACAGATGAAACCAAAGTGCCGTTTTTCGTGAAAAAAAATTATCCCAAACCTCAGGTTCTTTTCTCCCCTGCATCTCCATGGAAAACACGGCAAAGCGGCGGGGCTACAAGTTCAACCAGAGTTGTGCCGGTGCGACATCTTCAACACCTGCGGCCGCTTCATCCTCGTCAGGGCGATTTCCGCCATCTTCGTCTTGTGCGGGGACGACCAGTCACGGGGTCTTTCACGACCACCCAGGAGCAGGTGCGCAAGCTGTTGACTGCTCTAGTTGTTCTACCACGGCTACGCGGAATACTCATACTAAGTTCCCGACGGAACAACAAACGACAGCATTTCCTCCAGCCCAGCAGGATCCTGGCTCAACAACATTTCAGCTGGTTGCAACATCAGCGAAAAGTAGTACAGCGGCTCCTCATGTAGCAAATCCAGGTGAGCAGTCCTCTTCTTCCAGAAGCAGTGGTTCTATGTCTATTCCTCCTCCGACTAAAAGCAAGCTTCATTACATGATGAAGGAGCCATCTGGTCGTGAGCGTGACACAAGGGCGGGCGCGCAAAATAACCGTGGAACTACTGGATCTACTTCTATGTCGAGTATAGATTTGGTTGCGGAGCAGTTTCAGCAGCTTTTGTCCCAGGACCAAGCAGCGTTTATTTCATCGCAGAACCACCTCCACAGTCGTGATGAAGGGGACAGAAGTTGCACAAGTAGCGGGAGGATGAAGATCGGGATAAGCTCCAACGAAATGACTCCTGCTGCAGGGAGTAGTAGTTCTTGCACTAGCAACTTGAACGGCGCTACTATCAGCCCTATGTTCGTCCCAGCCAATATAATCGAGGAGGTGAGCACTAGTTACTCCACCTTTGCGCCACCTCCGGGAAACATTAAGAAGGGCGGCTCGCGGGGCAAGGGCTTATCAAATGCAAAAATGTCTGGGTCTGGAAGAAAGCGCGATTTGTGATGCAGGTTTTCTGTGGCTCATAAGGTTTAGAATGCAGCACCTAGCATGACAAAGTCTGTGAGGTCTCTATCATGGCTATCCTGCATGAGAAATTCCCTCTCAACCTGGTAAAAAAGGACGGCTGTTGGTAATCACGCATTACAGATTTTTTGCATGCTTCAGATTTAGCATGACAAGTTCCAACTCTTCCAGACCCAGACATTTTTACATTTGATAGGGCTACCAACAGTACGATTACCAGACGATGCAGCCGTTATTCTACGATTTTTTTTTTAATATAGCCACTTCGGCGACCCTTCTGCCACGCCTGAATGAAATACTTACTTTTGGTCCCGCTTGGGGTAGCTACTGGTGTACTTACGTAGGTAGGCTAGCTATCTGATGAACTAGAAGACGGGTCCCCGGCTCCGGCTGTTGCTTTTCCGGATGCGGAAACCTGTGTGACGCGATCCCGGAGGGTGCATATCTTGGCTATTTGTATTTTTTCCTTCAGGGGGGATTGTTCACCCCCCCGGGGGGGATGGTTCATCCCCTACTGGATGACCCCCCCTGACTGATCCCCCCTGCCGATCCCCCAAAATCCGCCCCGATTTGGGGGGGATAAAGATCCCCTCTTTATTCGATCCCCCCCTTTTGAAGCTAGCCTGCGTGCTATGCTGAATTTTTCTTGCCGCATTTCTGAGGGGATCATCAGGGGGGATCATGATCCCCCTGACTGATCCCCCCCTTCGCCCGAAAATCCATATACCCCTTCACCCCCCCTGAAGAGGGTATCCCTAAAGGGACTTCCTCCAGCCCACATCGGGAGGGCAAGTCGAGAGGAAGAAGCGCAAGGCTCAGACTCGTCTCGAACTTGTAACAGCCGGAGCCGGAGACCCTTCATTCTTCTAGTTCATTACCTCAGCTACATTATCTATCTAGTTTAGTAGGAGCTGCCTTGAGCTAGATAATAGATACGTAATCCCTTTAGGGGCGGGCAGAGGTTCGCCAAAGTAGCTGTATGAAAAGAAAAAACTATATCCACAGTAAATTTCCTGTACATGTACAAATGCAGTTTCTGCATGACAAAGCTTCCTTTTAATTCGATTCAGCATGACAAGTGGCATGCTCCAAGTTGGTGAAATTTGTGATGCATTTTGTACATGTACAGGAAATTTGTATTGCATAAACTACTTTTCAAATCCCGAGTTGTCCGGGCCATAACGATTACCAGACGATGCAGCCGTTATTCTACGATTACCAGAACGCATATGGAAGCGTTAGGTTTGAAATCGTCAAAGTTGAAATAATTTGTAATGCATAAAATGCGATACAAAAAGTGACTCTATTGCAGAGGACCCACGGGAGGCAGATTATAGTCCTGGTAAGGGTCAAAAGTTGGACTGCTGACTTGCATGACAGAAGGCAGCTTTTTTGCCCTAAACCGCATGACAGACTCGCTTCCAGGACCGGGGAAATTTGTCATGCACCGACTACAAACTGTAGGTCTAACTGGTATCTGTTTTATGCATGGCAAACTATTTCAACTCTGACGATTTCAAACCTGACACATCCATAACGCCCCTGGAAGCTTCACCGCCTCGGCGCACCAAGCGGCCGGAGCAATGGGCTTGGCCGCCCACCAGCAGGCTTTCGCCCAGGGGCTGCTAGCCGCGGGAGCGTACTTCCAGCAAATAGCGGCGGCGACTGCAAGCGGTGGTGGACATAAGAACCACTTGTACTATGGCATCGGTGCTGGTGGTGGAGCTGGGTCAAACTCAAACGCGAATGTCCTAGGCGGAAAAACCAGCTATGGCGTGGTCGACCCCTACAGCAGCTTCAGTTGTTTGACGCAGCCGACCGGTGCTGTGCCGGGATCAGCTTTACCCTCCGCAAGAGCACCTCCAGGAGCGCCACTGCATAGCCTAGCTTTGGGTGAAAATCCCACCTCCAGCACGTCGTCAAGTTCTGCCGCGCCGGCGGGGCTTGTGCATCGACCTGTGGTTTGTTCCGGTGGCACTTCTGAGAAAAGAACAACTACGGGTCGTCCTCGTTGTCCAGTTCCCAACTCAAAGAAGACCCGCGCGGAACTGCAGGCGTCGCTCTCCTGTGCATTGCAAAAGTAACGTGCTAGTAGTTATTGCATGACAATTTTTTTCAAGTTCAAAAGAGGAATTTGTATATGCTGATTTACCTACTTTCTAATAAGGGAGATTTTTTTTTTTCATGTATGGCTGGATGAATTAAGTACTACACAAGCAGTACGAGTGCGATACTTTTGCACTGGATATTATCTCTTCATCGTCGCAGAGCGGAAGCGGATCAGAAAGCGAAGCTGGGCAACAGTTCATCAGCAGTAAGAAACCGGCCCTCGCGATATTAAACCCCCTCGAGCATCATAGTCGCACACTAGTCCCAAAAATGCCTCCTGGACGAGGCGGCCTTCGTCCGCTTCTTCCGCTCGCAGGAACAGTTGCAGTACCACGTGAGACGACCGGTATGATCCCGAAGTTCCTTTTGCACACAGGTGTGGACGTCCTCGGCGATGATATGCGCGCAGCGTTACTCGCGGAGGTTTCTTCCTTTCCGCCGGCCTCGTTGCAACAGATGACGAAGATGAAATTGACCACGAAATTCCGCGACTTCTATCGGGCCACGCTGGATAAAATCGTGAAATCCCACGAGAACTACGACGTTTACCGGTATCGCCAGTACGACGTTCGCCGGTGCAACGGCTGGGAGCACGGCCGCTGGCGCGGTGCGACGAGCACGCAAATCGACGGTTCGCGCGTCAGGGTGCAAATCCAGACACTGACTCTGCGGACAGACGACTTCGGTGGGAACGCCGGGCACGAGGTGTTGTTGAATATCCTTCTGTGCTGGTTCGTGGACCAGCACAGGCAGTGGCTCACACACAGCGACAAGGCGCGTGACGACGAGTGCAGCAGCGCCAAGAACACGAGGAAGATCGGGGCCACTGCCAATGCCTGTGCAAGCAAGACGACTTGTTCCGAGACTAAAAATCTAAACTCAATGTCTGGGGTGGAACAAAGACAGACAAGCGGAAAAAAAACTGCAAGCGCTCCTGCTTCTGCGACTTCTAATCCTTATCCGACAGTGGCCTGTATCGAGGAGTCTTTGCAATCCATTCTTCAGGAACTGAGGCGTGATTGGGAATTGCGAGGACCCAGAGTAGTTGCAGCCGCAACCGAGGACGATGTGCAGAAGGAATCCTCTAATGGAGAGGGCAGAGATAAAAGTTCTCTTCGCAGAAGGAGTACTACAAGTGTCGGAAACATCGAAGGACAAAAGCAGGAATCGAAGTCTTCAAATTACTCAACTACAACAACGACCGAGATCTCTGCAATAAAAGCAAAAAGTAGTAAAACCACGGAAGTTCTTGTAGAGACTGAGACTGCTGCTCACCCGAAGAACAAGAACGCCGCTTCTACTTCTTGTAAAAAAGACCCCGAGGGAAACGAAAACGTGAGCAGCGAAGAAGACGTGGAGCAGTATGTGGCTCAGCGCGTGGCGAAGAAGGAGCGGAACAAGCGAGAGGTGGCCGCGACGCAGTTTTTCGAGCGCAACGGGCAGTCGGGCATGTGCAGTAACCTGTTCAAAAAGTTTTTGCAGGCGGTGCGCATGCGGCAAATGCAGCTACGGGATATGGAAGTGTCAGAATCGAAATTGACAAAATCGAAATGATTTGTCATGCATAAAATGGATTCCATTTCGAACCCAGTTTCTAAGTGGCGCATCATGACAAATTCTGGAGGTGCCTAAATCCAGTTTGTAATGCTGTTTAGGCAAAGAAGAGTGACTCTCTCATGCTGCTTTAGCAGCTCGAGCTATAACCCCAGCCAGGCTTACAATCGGCCTCACTTGCCTGCTCTGCAACACACGTATTTCGCGTCATGTATTTTATGCATTACAAATTATTTCAACTTTGACGATTTCAAACCTGACGCTTCCATACGGGACCAGGATGTTGTAAAATACCTGAAAATGTTCCACTGCTTCCGAATCAGTGTGTTGGAACTGGACCTGTCCGAGAACCTGAGCTTGTCGCCGAAAACGCTTGCGGTCTTGGCGGACTACGTGTTGCACAGCGATTACCCGGTGCGGAGCCTGTGCCTGAAGAACACCAGCGTGATTGAGGAGGACAAAAATACCTTCGCGCCGAAGCGCCTCTTGGGCGGGGAGGCGCTCGTGGCCCTGTTAACTGCCTTCATGAAAAACCCGGTCTACCCCGAGGCCATTCCGCAGGACCGGTACGAGTGTTGGTACCTCCCCGTCCGGATCACCCTGCCGGCCTGGTATCCTGTGCAAAAGTGTCGCACTCGTAGGAATTGCAGCCATGCGTTGCAAATCTTTTGGTTGACAAACCAAAATCTCAACTCCGCCCATTTGTCTCAACGTTGAGACAAAACGTCCCAACGTTGACTCCGACGTCTCAACTTCGGCACCGTTTAGGTTTGGGCTTAGGGTCTAGGGTTTGGGGTTCTGGTCGTCGGCCAGGGCAGCCGCCGGCCGGCCGGCCGGCCGGCGGCGGCTGCCCTGGCCGACGACTCTCTTCTTTCCTTGTGTTGTGTTTCGCACCCGCGCCCCTGCCCGTCTGTGTTGCCGCGCCCTTCCGCCCTTTGTGTCTCACCGACCCTGCCTCGCGTCAATGGTGGTGCTCGTACCTCTCCGCCGCTGCCGACGGCCGTTGTTTGAGGCCGCCGGGCAATCGTTGAGACGATTGCCCGGCGGCCTCATGAACGTTGAGACAAGAACGTTGAGATTCTGGTCTGTTAACCAAATCTTTTTCTTGAACAAAGTTAAGGTTAATCTAAATCCGCATTACTGATGCTGAGGAAATTTGTAAATGCATTTATACGAGTGCGAATGCGATATTACTTTTGCAATGCATACCTGGGTGCGGGCGACGTTTCTGGTCAACGAGATTGGCTGCGAGCTGGCCCGACGCCCGGGTCCAGATGGCGAAACGGGATATTATCATACCCGGCTCCGGCTCCTCGACGTGTCCGCCTGCCATCATGTCACTCAGCCACAGCAGCACATCTACACCGTGCAACAGAGCCCCTATGCCAACGAGGCCCACCGGTCGGAGGAGCGGGCGGATTATGCGGGTGACCCGGTCCCGCAGACCTCCGTGCCCCTGTTTTCGCCCGCGAGCGGAGCCGTAACGTATTTCTCAAGGTGGTGCCTGCCAAAAGAATTCGAGGAGCGGACAACGCTGAAACCGCCGCCCATTGACGCAGTCGTCGCTTTTGACCTGCCCGATAATTCCAGGGTGGAGAAGATGTGGAAACAGTTTTTGGGGGAGAAAACAAGTAGAAAGGGCCGAAGGAACGACCCCCGAAGCTGGGCGTCGCATCAAGACGAGGGTGGACCAACATCAGCGGCGCGGGGCGACAGTAGGAAGAAGAGGAGGTGGTGTATCCAGGAAAATAAAACACAGATGATCTCGTCCCCATCCATTTCCTGCAACTGCATGTTGACATAACCTTTTATGCATGTTTTGCATGACAAATTAGCTGGGGATCATGGGTCTGTTTCTTTTGTGGATACATTCCGGTTGGGGTTCAACACCCCGAAGAAGTAGTGAGGGTCGCCGGGACCGACGCAGGAGGGACAGTAGCAAAAGCAAAAGAGCTACTTCCGGAAGTAGAAGTAGAAGTAGAAGCCTTTCTCGTCGCCGCCTCCGCCAAGAGTCTCGCTCTAAGAGTAAGACAACACGGCGATCTTCGTCCTCACGCGTCCGAAATAAGAATAGCCTCCGGGAAGATAGTAGAGGCACTAGACGTGGTGGTGGTCCTCATCGTGGTAGCAAGTGGAAGAAGAGAAGCGGACGTCGTCGAAACAGAAGCAGTCGAAGGGTGGACAGAAGTCAGGCCTTGTCTACTTCCAGCCGCATGAAGATGTCCTCTTCTGATGAAGCGGACGACTCGGACTCTGAGGACCATCAAAGCAACTGCAAAAACAAGGCCCGCATCCTCCACAGGCGGAAGAAGGAAAAAAAGCGTCCTCGCCGAAGTAGAAACCTGAAACGATCGCGATCTTCCAGAAGTTCCTCGCATGAGCGGGATCGACGTCGTAGAAGGAAAAAGGCAGCTGCGAAATCGAAAAAGAGGAGCAAAAAGATGAAAAGCAAGAAAAAGCGCAAGAGAAACTACTCGGCAAGTGGTGGCTCTTCTTCTTCATCCGGTGTAGACTGTGACGACCTCGAGGAATCATCTTCAGGTGGAAGTGCTGGACCGCGGCGACGGGGTAGGATTGATAGCGAGGCGTGCGCCGGTTCAGAAGCAGGATCTGATGCTGAAATAAACGAGGACTCGGACAACTGTATCGAGAGCGAAGTGGTCCAAAGCAGTAAAGTCAACGCCAAGAATGTTGTTCATACCGACGACGGGGACGACGAAAATTCTCCTTCGGAGACGTCTTCAAAAAGAGAAAGGTTATCGTCAAGAAGAATCGACCGGAAACGAATAAAGCGCACAGGCTCATCAGAAGAGGATAGAAGGGACGCCACTCGAGGACGGAAGAACAAACATCGGAAAACGAAAGTTTCCAAGGGCAAAACTAGAAAGGCGAGGAACAGGAGGAGAAGTAGTGCCAGTCGGAGTCGCGTTCGCGAAGATGCTGGTATAATTTCATCTGACGACGTCGACGACGACGAGTCCGACTCTGCTGGTGAAATAGCCTCTCATCATCCCCCCGGCGCACACGACAACTCTCACTCGGACGAGCACGAGCACGACAGAGGAGCCCGCTTACTTGCGAGAGGACGCAGGTCTTTGTTTCCTGGAGACCGTGGATCCAGATCCCAGTCTGGATCCGGTCGTGAGGCGCCACGACGAGCACGATGTGAGTATCAAACCGGCTGCAGTCCTGAACAAGACGACGAGGATGAACAGGAAGATGGAGCTCATGCTGCAGACGGCCCAAAAAGCCGTCAAGAAGTGAAGAATAAAACTAGATCTCGACGAGGAGCGGCCGCCTTGGCAGATGACCACGAGAATGTGGCCTCAACACGTGGAGGTCGTAAAGTACAGCCGGTGTTTTCACCGGTTGCTCCTGAACAAGATCGGGGCGGCGCTAATCATGAGTCATCATGTTGTCCCAGTTTTTCACAATTACAAGAAGCACCAGATAATGAAAATAAATCCAGCTCAGAACAAGAACACCTGCAAGTACAAGACGAGGTGGACCACAGTTGGGAAAGTAGTCTCGTGCCAAAAATGAAGAGACGGAAAAAGCAACAACAGGCGGAAGAGGACCTGAACTTGAAGCCGACCAATCTTGATCCCATCTTATCAACATCTCCCGCACAGATACATCCTCAACATGATCGCAAGAAAAAGCAGAAGGACAACGACGGAGGACCGAGCGTGGTCCAAGTGGTTAACAAGAACAACGCAAAATCTAGTGCGGGCACACCAGCCGAAGCCGTGTCGTCATCAGCGCGGAATGAAGTAGAGGATGAAGACCTTCTACCGGATGATCGGGAAAAAAAACGAGAAATGAATCCAGGGAGGATAGGATCCAGTGAGCATCAAGTTCAAAGTAAAACCGCCAAAACTGCTACACAGCACCCGACGTTTGGTAGCAAGATCAATTTTTCAATGGCGTCAAAAGCGACTACAAGCGGTAAAACGGTGAGAAACAAGAACATTACCGTTGTGCCATTTGCGGCTGCGCCCTCGGCGTTCCCTGGAGTAGACTACGTCGGGGGCCCGGGAATGAACAAGAAAAATTTTCCGGACGGGAACGCGCACGCCGGAACTTCTTGTGCACAGAACGACGAGCCGGGCTCGGCCCAATACGACGACCTTCCGGTGTTGCTCGGCGCGCCAGGACCAGGACAAGCAAAAGCAGCTCGCGTGCCGTTGTCTCCCGTCAAGAAGATAGATCGGCGCGCTGCGACGTCGCAGTCGGGTGGGCCGCCATCCGGCAAGAGCCCAAGAAGCCGAAGCGAACGCCGTGGTGCGTCGAGGAGAAGCAGTGGCCATTTCGCTGCCCGAAAACATCAGAGTCGGAAAGATGAACGTCAGAAGAAAAGGCGAGCTGGCGATAGCCGGCGGAAGGGTAGAAGTAGAAGTACTTCTACTTCGAGAGTGCAGCGAGGTCGGCGAAAGGACCAAGAGCACGATGTAATTGAAACGGGCGATATCAAAAACGTTGCAGTTCCACCACCTGCTGCGTCCTCGAGTGGGGCTTTTTTAAAGGAAGCAGAAGCTGTAGCTGCAACGGCATCTGGACGACGTCCCCTGGCTGAGCCTGGTAGCACTAAAAACTACACTACTGGCACCACCAGTTCCAGCAGTCGAGCAACCAAAACGACCTGCATGAAAACAACTGACGAACAACCACAGGCTGGACGACAAGAAGACGAGCAGCAAGGACAAGCAGTTCCAGTCGCAGTTCCACAGGACCACGACGCCATGAAGATCCGCCACACGACTTCTGCACAAGACAAAAATCTTCATGCGAATGCCCCGCGAATAAAGATTTCGCAACCGCAACATCCGCTGGCAGTAACCGAAATTGATCAGGATATTGACGAGGAGGAGGAAAACGAAGATTTGTGCGAAGATCATGATGCGCGCTCTGGGGAAGATTCTTGGGACTCCTGGGACGATATTAACACCAGCGCAGCAGGTCCGGGAGTTTTCCCTCTTGCCAAACAAAGCGACATAGCGGTGGTGCAGGAAGATCAGCAAGAGCCCAGCTTCGATATGCTGCAGATGAACGCTTCTGTTGAGCAGGTAAAAGAAACTGCGACGTCGACCGGCGCAACTACGATTGGAATTGCGCCTGCAACTAGTACTTGTTCCAGTTTTACTGCAACTTGTTCAGGCCCAGCGTTATTTCCTTTAGCTTCGGGAGTTCCGCCTGCCAGTACCATGGATGTTGACGCTGCAAGAAATGCAATACTGCCCGGGAGTGCGGGGGCAATGGAATGCAATGCTCCTCCTCGAATGTCCTCTTTCTCGGGAGCAGCTTCTGCACACGAACAACCGATGGCGCAAGAACTACTGCCTTGGGTGGTGCCCCTGACTGCTTCCAGTCAGCAATCGCAATCGCACCCACCAGCGCAACAGAATTGCCATCAATATCCGTGCGCGCAAACTACAAGCGAAATCGCAAATGTCCTGCAGCTCCACAGTTGTAATACTAGCTCTTCCACCAGTTGTGGTGCTTCTTCTCTCGCGGACATGCAACAGCAGTTGCAGCAGCAAGTTATCTTGTTTCCGGTGGCTGTTTACCAAGATCAGTCTTTTCTGCAGCACCACGCCAGTTCTTCCACCTTTCCGCTGGCAACAACTACTACCTTTAGCAGCGGTGGCCAGCACGTGCTCCTCGACGGTGGAGGAGCAGGTTCTGTTGCTGATCCCCTTCATGCTGGTGGAGGCTCACGACCTGTTCCTGTCGCGCCGCCGTTCGCAGGGTTTCCACCATCGTCGTCGATCTCCGTGCCTGCTGTGTGCCCCTTTCCTCCCGCGAGGGGTAGTACAAGTACAGCTGTTCCCTCCAGCACTCCGTATGCAATTGTTCAGAACCAGAACGAGGTTGAGTCTTGGACTACTCCTGTGAACAACATCGGTGGAGCCACCTCGTCCGCACCAGATCCGCACGAAGCGGGACAACTGGCTGCAGCGCCTTCATCGTTAAATCAACATCTTCTTGCAGGAGGTGAACGGAGCAACACGCAAAACCATTTAGCACGGCCGACAACTTCTGCTCCTGCTGCGACGTCAACATCCTCGTCATCATCAAACAACTTCCATTGCGGTGGTAGTGGCACTACAGCAGGTAGAGCACCAGGAGGAGCTACGAGTAGCACTACACCTAGTGCGGCAGGAACCCCTGGCGCGATTTTTGCAGCACCACCGCAAGAACCACGGCGGCAAGTGGAAGCTGCCCCAGCACGACCAGCCGCCCACCAAGCTCCGCTGACCCGTCCAGTGATGGAAGCCGTCGAATTTGAGCTGGACGCGGACGAGGAGAGCGAGGGTGGGGACGGAGATGGGTCTGAATCGGAATCCAGCGACCTCGCGCAGCATTTCGATTTCATGTGAATGTATGCGCGGCGGCGGCGGGGGCAGTACGGCATTGGAAATGAAATCCTTGCTGTGGACGATAATTTACAGGCAGCGCCTGAAAAACAGCCTGCAGGAGAACTTTTTGTCAATGATTGCGACTTTTTTCCTCCTACCTTGGTTTCGAAGCAAAGATTTTTAAGCTCTTACAACTCTTTATTGTTCGTAGCTACGTACACGTACAGTATTTTTTTCAACGAAGAGTTATCAGTCAGATGCTCAATGTTGCTTTTCGCAGTTGGTTTCGTCTGACAATAAGACAGCGTTTGGTTTTCCGAGTTTTGTTTACAATCTGAACATGTAGTCCACAGCCCTATCGTGTTTTGTTGCAATACGTGCCCTTCGATGCAGCAGCCCTAAAAATTCCCGACGTCAGGCCACTTTTCATGATATGCAGTTCTATTACTTGGTTGAATACTCACTCATATATGCATTTGGCTTTTCTATATTGCCTTTTAAAAATCGTACACTACGTGGCAGATCATTTTCTCGGTTACTTCTTTTGTTGCTGCTTCGTCGTCCATTCTCTTCCTTTTTTCTTCATGATCTGCAGAGAACAACTGGGCACGAAAGACCAACGCTGATTCCTCCCCCCCAGAGACTTGAAGTTATTTCCACAGGATTTAGGTCTGCTCTGGTACTGCTTGGTGGGTGCTCCCCCGACGGAGGCGAATAAAACGAAAAATCTTAAATGCAGAGAAAGATCACGAGAAACAAGCCTAGCTATGCCAATGCCTTGGCGAGGTGGACGAGGAAGTACTTACAAGTAGTCCAACATCATTACTAAACCTGTCAAGATCCCGATCCGAAAATTTTATGATGACTTACAAAAGATCTGGACTGTTTTTTGGTTTCGGTCTCGCACACCACACGCACCCCGACTTACAACGCCATATCTTCACACCACGTTTGATGTTCCTACCCCTCCTGCAAGATTAGCGAGGAATCAAAATAAACATCGGTCCACGACATCAAAAGTAGGCACGTGCTGCTCCAGCAATTGATAAGACAAGAGGTTTGCAACGAGTTTGTTATTTCTCGAGATTTCATTTCGAACCATGCTTCGCAGTATCTGTCGCAGGGCATCTCTTCCGACGAGCCGAAATCAAAAACTTACTTTGTTTCCTTCCTCCACCTTGACGTTGTTGAATAGCGATATTTACAATTTCGCTGGACTTCTACATCTACTACCCTCACCAATTCTTCGTGGCATAAGGGCATCGGAACTTCTGGTCGGAGGTTCAACTACATCAAAAGGCGCTTTGGCAGGACAACAACATCCTGCAGATCTTGTTCATCCGTCAGCGAGTAAAAGTTCTCGTCGGCAACACGGTACCGCAAGAACCCGAGAAAGCCGCGGGCACGAAGAAGACCGCACAAGATTTTCATCAACTCGCACTCCTTTATCATTATCCCACCAAAAGCGCACGATGAGCAGCACTACGCGTGGGCCGGATTTCCAGGCGAGCAAGGTGACGGAGCCGGAGTGGGAGAAAACTGCGAAGGATCCAAATGCGCTGCTGGTGGACGTCCGCACGCCGGAGGAGTTTGCGGAAAAGCAGGTGCCCAATTCGGTCAACATCTCTATTCGGATGACAGACGATCCGATCGCGGCCTTCAACGCCGCTAGTCAATTGCTGCCTGCGGACGACAAGGCAAAGCCGATTCTGGTCTACTGTGCGGTGGGTGGACGGTATCCCAGGAAAAAAGTGATACAGTTACACATTTGTTGGAGTTTCTGCATCACAAAGTTGCTCGACATGCCAAAGCAAACCTGTGATGCGCAGACTATAAGGGAAAACACGAATTAAATGAGGCTGCCAAGCATGTCCTGCATGACAAAGGTTGCCTGTCTTGCTTGTTTCGCAACACAGTGTGTGACTGTAACACTTTTTTCTTCGCATAGACGGGCGCAGAGGGCCGCGGACGCCTTGAGGGAACTCGGGTAGTCGCTACTTATCGTTAATAGGGATAGGCATTACAAAAGTATCGCACTAGTAGAAATAGCATGACAAGTTCTTCCAGAAGGAAAAACGAATGATAAATTTGTATTGCTATACGTGAAGCTAAGAAGCCAGATCTGTCATGCTGTAGTACTGCGATGGCACAGACACGATCGCTGAAAAAATTGTTGAACAAATGAAACCAGGTATTCAAATGTGAAGAATGGCGGTGGGATATCAAAAGGAAAAATCCCCCCTCCCCATATCAAAACGGAAATCTGTAATGCAGATTTGTTGTCACAAATCAGCTTTGTCATGCTACACGGGAAAAGATGCGGACTGTAGTGCTGGGTGGCGTGGCGAAGCCTTGCATCTTCAGCATGAGAGGAGGCATCTGAGAGTGGGAAACAGCATGACAAATTGTCTGCAAACGAGGCAACGGCTGCGGCTCTTGGCCTTCTAGCATGACAAATCGATTTGTGACCTCAAATAAAGCATCACAAATTTCGTTTTCGATATGGGGAGGGGGGATTTTTCCTTGCGATATGGGATCGATGAAGTGAAAGAATTGGTTGTTGGATGAGCAGCTGCGAAGAGGTTGCAGCATCGTGAACAAGATGACTTGGCTCCGCGAAACAAATGCAAAGAAATGGAGAGCTGGCGCGTACTACGACGTCGCTCTACTTCCAAGAAATGAAAAAATGAGAACAACATGTTGAACAAGCGAAACGAAAAATTTATGAAACTCTACGATTATACGGACGGAAAATCTTTGATTGAGTACGTCTACGTGTCTGCAGAAAATTATGAAGCGCTGTTCTAATCGTGGCATTCGTCGCTTGAATTGTTATGGCATCTATTTCCGTTTCTGAAGTGAATATATAATATCAGGAAGATCATTATTTGCGCCATGAAACAAAAAACCACCACAGCGACAAAAACCGGGTGATCGATGTAAAATGGGCGATGAATTACAGATAGTACAACTACGCCACGACCACAGCTTTCATCTCTTTTCAGTTCTAGTTCTCGCGACTCGCAGCACGACTGTACTTTGAAAATAAAGTGTCCGCAACGTCGCATACACAAGGATACAGGAGTACTAGACAAGAAGAACTAGAACCCGCGGAAAAAGTTGTATCATTACAGTTACGAAAATGACCTTCGACGCCTCGGAAGAAACGCCCTACGGGGGCCGCCTGGCGTGCCCGCAGCCGGATTGCGGCAGCACGGAGTTTGAGCCGGAGGACCCGGAAGACGAGCATGGCCCCGCGATGTGCCTCTCCTGCGGCGAGAGTCTCCCCTACGAGGAATTCCCCTGGGTGAAGAAATTTGCCAATTTTGTCGTTGGAAAAGTTGAATCCGCCGAGCCATCCGGAAAGAAGTTGAACAAGTTGCAGGTTAGGATAAGAGAAGAAGAAAACGACGACGAAGAAGACAAGAAGACCCTATTGACCATCGTCACCAACGATGTGAAGGTCAAAGTCGGTGAGCATGTGGTGGTCGCGCAGGTCGGCGCAATCGTGCCGGCGGGGAAATTATGGATTGTAAAAATGTCTGGGTCTGGAAGAATGCATGTTTGTCATGCTTGTCTGGCATGACCAAAAAGTTTGTGATGCGTGTCCAAGAAGAGACCCTCACCCTGTGGCCTGTCATGCAAAAACGCAGTTTGTCATGCGAAAAACGCAACACAAAGAAGCGCAGATCATATTTTTCATGCTTGGCTGTGCATTACAGAGCATTCATTATTCCCAACGCAGCATTACAAATTTCCAGACCCAGACATTTTTGCAATCCATAGAAATCTGTCGAGGACGGCGGAACTTCAGTGCAGAAGGCCTCGGTGGGCGGGTCGGCGTCGGAGGGCATGCTCTGCGACTCCACAATGCTCAGCTGGGTTGGGGGAGCGAAGGGCGTGGCGGTGCGGTTGGATCCAGCAGGGTTTCCGGTCGGCAGCAAACCGCCGGAGAACAGACCGACGGGGGGTGGAAAATGATAAATGAAGGCTGTAGCTGTTGGAAAGCAAGGACGAAAAAGTCGTGCTTTAAAAGTGCCTAGCTGGATTAACGCTAACGAAGTTGCTGGAACACTTCCTGGCAAGGAGCAACACAAGAGAATTAATATCATGTCGAAGCAACTTTGTACGTGTTTCTGTTTGCTGGCTTCGGCTTGCAGTAGTTCCAGAGATTTTTTGTCGGAAAACGACAGCACGACGACTTGTATTCTTAGTAAACACGAGGAACATAAACTCGCACTGATTTACTTGAGCTTTTTTACCGTTCTACGCGTGTGCCGCAGTTGTGGGGTCGTTGCGACGCGATTTGTTGTTCATCAACGCACAGGTAGAAGTAGAGCCTGGTCCGGTATTTCAATTTCTCGGTCCGATATTCGTTGGGCAGCGGCACCAGACCCCGTGGTGTAATATTCTGACACTTTGGATGAAGATGTCCATGTCATCCAAACGATGAATTACATGTTGGAGAGATGAGAGAGAGGAAACAAATAAGAATCGACATGATGTTGACGAAAAACATGCTAGTTTTGGCTACCTTGAGCGACGATAGCAAAAAAAATCTGCTGCAAGACGATCCACCTCGGTCGCACACAGGGCCCTCTTCATCAACACTTTTTCCCTTTTTCTGGTACAGTATTTTTTCCCCACACGACGACGCAACATATTTTTTTTCTTTGCCTGACTATGTTTGTACAATACTTTTCGCTCTTCGTTTTTCTTTTGCGATGGCGATCCCTTGTTAGCTTGTCGCTCTATTCTGTCAGCTCCTGCTGGGGTGCTTGTGCTTCCACGTATTTGCACACGCCCTAACAGCGCCAAGCCAGACGCCCGACCGGCATCAACTACGTTGTTTTCTAGAAAATGTTTCGGGTCGCCAGGCAGTTTTTTTGACTAGTCTCCGGCTAACCCTATTACAGAAATGAATCCTGATCCAAACCACAAGCACAACAGTGCCTCAAATATCACCCGTATGGTTCCTAGGTTGAGCCAGGAGTGCATGATCTACTTGTAAGAACGCATGTGATACTTATCTTCTGTAGATGGTATTCGCCTTCGAAAGCAGTAGTACAACTACTAGCGCAAGGAGGGCTGGTGCAGGCTAGCAGTGCTACTACTGCTTAACCCAGCACCTCCTGCACCTCCGTTTGCTTCGACCCAGCCACTTACCACAGCGGCCCTAGCATGGGAAACGTGAACACCGGCAGCGGTAGTCAGGAGAAAGACCCCTCGAAGGGCGACACTGCACCACCGGAGCAGGGCGAACCTGGATGGTGTTTGATCCAGCCGATCCGCGTGTACTCACCGACTGCACAATCGAATGCAGCTGCGAGAACATCAAAGTCAAAGGACCACAACAGGAAGGAACTGTCGGCGTGTAGTAGGGGCCCCTTGCAGAAACTTAGCAGTGTCGTGCTTGGCGGTGGAGCGCTGGCAGAAGATGTTAATTCTGCCCAACCAGCTGAGAAAATTATAGACGACAATGAAACTGACTACGACGAGGAAGATGACTGGCTCGCAATCGAGGACTTCGCAGAGGTCATCAACGAGGCAGATAGGACGTCGCCGTCGACCGAAGGCGATAATTCTGGTGCGCAGGGCGGAGAAATGAACCAAATTGCAACTACTATCTCCTGGACAGACTACGTAAAAACGGCCGGGAACTACATCAATGAGCTGGCGTATGACAGTGCACAACTCCGCCTCTCCCTCATTTGTCATGCAAAAACCCAAATCCAGTTATTTGTTGCTTTCTTGTGGCACTGTTTGCATGACAAATTCCGGATGAAGCCCAAAGAGTACTACACTAAGCACACACATTTGTCATGCAGAGGCTCCACGTGTGGTGGTGTTTGTATTGCTGTTCATGGCATCCAAATGGGGGGGGGAGTTGTGCACTTTTATATGGCGAAGGAGTACTTACCGACACCGGCGGATTTGACCTCCGAGCAGTTTTTTCTGCACCAACAGAGCGGCAGCTTTGACGCACACGTAACGACCACTTTTTCTACCCGCCCGTCGCAAGCAGGGGGAAGTGCAGCAGTAGGTCCGTCAGATCGATTAAACGTCCAGGATGGTCGTGGACCACGAGGAGAGAACTACAGGATAGAAAAGACAAAATCCGTTTCCTCCGCCGGGGATACATATACAACAAGCGCCGCGGAACAAACATTAAAGCTCGGAAGGAATCTGTCCACCGGGAGTGGCGTTAGCAATCTGGGCGTTTCACGCTCCGCGACGCTGGTAATATTCATTCAGAAGTACCCACGGGCCTTGCTATTGCGACGGAAGTTTGCGCAGAGACAAGAAGGTTGTACTTCTAGTTCCACTGCTCAGCTGTCGATGAAAAATAAAGATAGGACGACAATTGGTGCCACCTCTGGTAAATGTGTAGAAGCCGACGAGTCAATGCAAGACGATTCGTCAGTGGTGATCGAGGCTGAGTCATCCAGGAAAAAAACTGCGTAAGTGTAACTTTCTATGGAGAGCAGCATCACAAATTCGTTTTGCATTTTTACCGGGAACAAAGGAACCTGTCATGCGCAGCCAGTATTAGTGGAAACGCGGATCATGAAAGTCAAAGTAGCTTATGACGCAAGTCCAGCATGACAAGTGATAACTGTTCTACATAATTCAGCATCACAAATTTACACTCGCTTAGTTTTTTTCTTGGATATGAGTGGCGCGAGGTTTCGAAGAAGGAGAACGTGGACGAATTTTCCCCTCAGGTTCTATCCTGTGCAAAAGTATCGTACTCGTATTGCAGTCATGCATTACGCATTTTTTTCTCAAGGTAAATCCGCATTACTAATTTTATTTCTCATGCTGAGGGAATTTGTCATGCATTTATACGAGTGCGATACTTTTGCAGTTCATAGATTCTCCTCGAGGATAACCTTAGCAAGCTGCTCGGAAAAGTGACCGAGACGCTCAAGGTGAAAAAGGGGTTCACGTTGCGCGACGTATAGAAGTGCACAACTCCCCCTCCCCCTCATTTGTATTGCATGAACAGCAATACAAGCGCCAGCAAGAATACAGATTTCGCATGACAAATTTGGACAGGATTGTAGTGCTATTTGGGCTGCCAGAACTTGTCATGCAAACAGTGCCGAGAGCCAAGGCGTAAATTAGGTATTTTGCATGACAAATGAGGGGGAGGGGGAGTTGTGCACTCTCATACGACGAAGCTGAAGTCGCGAAGGAAGACGCAGCAGAGCTTGCGAAGGAACAGCCTAAAAAGCTGCTTGAGAAAAACAAAAATAGTAGCGGGAGCACGAAGATGAACATGAACATGAACGACACAACGAAAGCACCAGCAGAACTATTAACTGCCGCGCAATTTTCAGGAACCGCAAGCGTAACTTCGTCCACCGCAGTGACCACAGCAGCCTCGACAACGACCTCGACTACAGCAGCAGCAAGTGGGATCTCCAACAGCGTGGGAGCAACGACGAATCTTGCCGTTAGCTCTTCCTGCGCCAGCAGTGCATCGGTTTTTGAGAGTGGAAAAGTGGTGCAGTTAGTGGGAACCGAGGGAATCGACTGCGCGCGAATATTATGCATTGCAAAAGTATCGTACTCGTATAAATGCAGTCATGCATTACAAATTTCCTCAGCATGAGAAATAAAATTTGTAAATGCGGATTTAGCTTCAGAAAAGTGCTGCAATACGAGTACGGTACAACTTTTGCACAGGATAAATCTGGTTCCCGAGCAGCGCGGCGTCGCACAGCAGCAGTCGGGCGTTTTCTCTGTACAATCCGCGTGTGGAGGTGAGCCGCATTTGGTGCGCAGTCGACTGGACCTGCTGGGGCACGATTCCGAATCTGCGCGAAATACACTTTTACGACAGCCAAGGAACGCAAACCCACGTGTACAAGCACGAAGACTGATAGATAAGGCGAACGTTTTAGATAGAAGTTCAAGTGAGACCGAAACGCAGACAGATGCACGAAACAAAAGCACGAATAGCAGTACTGAAAGAGACCACGCCCCCGGGAAGCAGCGCTACTTTGGGAGCGGGAGGCAGCGCTTTGATGTTGTGTATGTGTTTATAAGTTTTTGATGTTCAAGTTCATCTGGTGCTGCCGGTCGATTTGCACCTGTCTCATCTTCAAACAATTTCTCGTCGCCCAATTCGGTGGATGAAGTGCTCTGATGTGAATACTTACTTCTGAGATGTGGATGTAGATGTTTATGTATTTGTTCTCGTATGCGTACAGTATCCTCCGTTCTGTCATGGTTCACGTGATAGTATACTGCTAAGTTCCTCTTCATGTGCTGCTTGTTCTACTTGTACTTTTAGTTTCGCTTCCGGGACAAAAATCCTAAAAGCCGCACCTATTTGAGAACTACGAACAAGAGAATTTGTCCTTGGTCTTGCGCTTGCCTGCCCTTCCTCGGAATTATAAAATTGTTTTCGTGCTGTGGTCTCCTTTGCTACTCTTCCACCGAGAAACAGCATGGAGCGACTTGTAGAGGGTCGTGCGGGGAGCACGGATGACCATGACGAAGCACAGAGGAACGGTGTCGGCAACAGCCATGTGGAGGTCGGTGGTTCGGATTCCCCCCAAATGTTCTTAAGGCGCGACCTCCGCGACCTCCAACTCGAACCAGTTGACGAGCTGCAAGCAGAAGAAGAGCAAGAACACATAAACCAGGAGCGAGCGCTGCGCACGGCGTTGCGTCACCGCCACAGCCCGCCGCCCGGCTTTTGCTGCCCCATTTCCGGTTGCCTCATGCAGAACCCGGTGGCCGTGACGCCGCACGGCCACGCCTACGAATTTGCAAATATCAACGACTTTGCGGTCAAGACCGGCCGGGACTACATCACCGGGGAAGCGGTGGGGTTGAGGAAAACGAAAAGGAGGAACATCGTTGTGCCTAAGACGAAACGTGGTTGTGATTCGGGTTGTTTGGCGCAGCACGATCCGCAGCTGCCAGAAAAAAATGTTAAAGTGGCCACGACCTCAACTACAACCACAGGGAAGAGTAGAGAAGCATCTGTCTATCCAAGATCGAAGCCCAGCACATCACCGCGCGAAGCTGAGACAGCAGAAACTTCTGGCAAAGATGGTCATCTCGTCGAGCAGGTGCAGGAAGTAGATGTGCAATTACAACCTGACGAGCAGGAGTTCTTTGTGTTTGAGGTGATCCATGCCCCGTTTCCCTGGCTGCAGCGCGCCATCGAAGAGTGGAAGGCTAGTTTCAAGAAGATGGCCGACCATCGGCTTCCCCCGCCAGACAAAGACCTGCAGGTCATGCAACTGCTCCGGAAAACGGAGTACTTCTTACTATGCAGATTGCAAAAGTACTATATCTTCGCACTAGTGTAATAAATACATCGCGTTACCAGTTTATTTTCAGAAGGTGGACAAAAACAAATGGACATGGAGTTCGGAGTTGTAATGCTGATTTGGCTATAGAAACACGATTTCTTCTGTCATGCGTGATTACAATGAGAATGAGCAGTATAATTACTCTTGCAGCGCATTCTCCCTTCACATCAACCAACTCGAACTCCGCGAGGAGGTCGCGAAAGGGTGGACATGTTCAACAAGAACATCAGAGCAAATTACAACTACCGCCGCGCGAAAAGACCAAACCGAGACGCATCATCAAAATGACGGCACACGACGACCGCAGCAAGAGCGTCAGGCCCAATTATCTCTGTCACCGGTGCGGGAGCTGCAGCCGGGGTCTACTGTTGAACCAGCTGAAAATACCGTTACCACCACACTGGGGAGAACTGCGGGACCTGCGGCCAAGAACGGGCCTCCGCCGTCCCACCGCGGCGAAGCTGATGTTCTACTTGCGGAGGGGGATCAGGCAACAAGTGCAACCACTTCATCTTCGTCTCTGGGTTCGAAATTTTTGAGCAAATTTAGCTCCTTTCTAAATCTGCTGGAGTCTAGCTATCACGAGCGCAAGGAGCGCGCAGCGGCCGTCGAGAGTAGAGATGATGAGAAGAAGATGTTAGTGAACTACAACTACCAGGAAACAGACGAAGTCAACCTAGAAGGTGGTGCACCTCCTCATGTACATGTTGCGAATAAACGGAAAAAAATAAGTCCTGTTCCCGACTATTGGTGGAAGGACCCGTCCCGGCCGTTTCCGCGGGCCGCGGGCATCCGTAACACAGACGTGTACCGCGGCCCGGAGTTGCCCTTCCAGCTGGCGACGGAGGATCCGTATGGTCCACAGTAAATTTCCTGTCCACGACGACGACCGACAAACGCGGTCTCTGCATGACAAAGCTTGCCTTCGATCCTAAGTAGTTAGCATGACAAGTGGCAACTACATGCTCTAAGTTGGAGAACAAATAATTATCGATGCATTTTGTGCGTGTGGTAGTACGGGAATAAATTTAGTGTGGATAGTCTGTGTCTCGACTTTATGAGCAGCGAGAGCAGGAAAAATGAGGAGTGGGCGCGGAAAAGACAATCGGAACAGCAGCAGCTGCTGCAAGTGGGCGAGCACCTAGATCATGTTCATGCTCGTCGTGGCGGTGGCCTATCACAGTTGCACTACATGCGGTCGCGAGATCAGGAATATTTGATACACCATTCTGGAAGTGCTGGACGAGAGCGGAAAAGCAAAAAAGCGAAGATTGAAAAAAATACACCGAATTTTGCTTCTGTTGACGCTGGACAATTAAACATTAAGCGCAAGAATAAGGAGAAGGACAACACGACCAAGGCCACGGGAGGCGGTGTCCTCGTGAATATCGCCGGGGGAGGCGGGCGCGGAACCGCAGATCATGAGCGGGGAGCAATGTTGTTTCCAGGAAGTGAGGGTGGGAAACGAGGAGAAGGTCATCAACCAGTGGCAGTGCAGCAGCTTGAGCTTCTGGGGCAAGAACTAACTCAGGATCGCCAAGCAGAACTACTGCTGCACCAGCAACCAGTGCAGCTGTTGCCAGGAAATGGCACTTTTTTCGGTGGCGGAGCGGCGTCCTCTTCCGTCTTGTGTCGCCAAGTAGATCAGGAGAAGTACAACGGCACGACAACACACGACAACAACCACGCTTCCCCCGGCCAAAATTATAACCAGCACCACTATCAACAAAACCCCATGCCTGCACTGATGCCAATGCAGTTGGCAGACGGCAGTACGGTCTACACTTACGCTCCAATAAGTAGCGTCGCAAGTTGCAAAATAAAAAATCACGGCAAAAATATGCAACAGCACCAGCTGCACCAGTCCTCCGTCATTGACAGCTGCCGACAGCAGCAGCCAGCAAACAACTTTGGCGAGAGGTTCAATCCAACCACCTATCAGCAGCAGATCATGCAGGGAACTACAATGCAGAAGATGGCGGTCGTAGACGAGCACCTCCGAGAGAAATCATTCCAGGGGGACCCGCAAGAGCCAAAGCAGTCCCTTCTCCTGCCAGATTCGAAGATCGATTCCCACCACCAACGGCAGATCATGATCAACAATTGGGGCGCAGGAACTTCTGCATCAAAGAACATGCCTTTTGAAGATATGGACTCTTCTTCCGAAGATATCACGCCGGGGTCCAGTGGGAGCGGCAGTGGATCCGGCAGTGTCGCGGGTCGGGCCTCAGCAGGCCGAGTAGAGATAAAAAATGCCTTACAGGGGCGCTGCGGACAGAAGCAAGGGGCGCAGAAGAGTGCCAGGAGCACGACTCGGGTTACTGTACAACGGGGACATCAAAACAGAAAGACTGCAAATACGAGGCGGCGAATGCCAAACGGACGGTACGCTCCTGCTGGTGGGTCCTCGAAACCGCAAGGGATAGCGAAGTGAGTAACGATATTATCGTTACCCGCTGAAAGTGAAATAGCGCGCGGGCACGACCGAAAAAATCCAATGTTGAGATGTGATCATGGACTTATCTGATAAGACAGAAGTTTTTGTCAGAAAGATGGTCGTAGATAAGACAGATTCGAGATACATGCAGAGCCATATTAACTCATACCCACAGAAAAGACCCGCTCCAAGTTGTGTCCGATTTCAACTCTGAAAAAAAATGATGAATCACCGGAAAATACGAGGATTTTGTTTTTGGTATTTTCTGTACGTGCTGCAAAATCCAATTCCAATCACAGAAAAGTAGAACCAACTTGTTGTTCCCTTCAAGATAAATTAAAATTAGATTCCCATGGACCTTCATCTTGGCGTAACATGAAATAAAAGAAGATGAAGAACTAAGGAAACCGGCTAGAGCCGGATTTTTTCTGCGCTTCTTGCAATCAGGAACAGGATCAATTGGACTGGATCGAGACCAAATGAAAACCTACCGATGGCACTGCTTTTCGTTCACCATTGGCGTTGAAGATTTGATTCCGTTCATTCGCGACTTGGACTTGATACATCATGCCATGTTCATTTTCTGATTTTTTTTCTTGCTTTTTTCAGCGTGCTGTACAGTAGTCTCTGTGTGCCCTCTGTGAAGGACAAGAAACTTTTTTTTGTTATGGAGACATTGTACTAGTAGAAGGACACAAGTATTGCCATCGTTGTAATAAAGATTTTCTCTCAACAGGCAAAGAAAATACATCCACTATGTCCACGGAAGAACCGAGAACGACGGGTCGCGCCACGGCCGCCGCTGTGGTTGGTGGCGTTCGCTCGGGGCGGCGGCAGCGCATGGGCACGTCGACCGGCCCGACGTCGGGAAGCGGGGCGAGCACAAAGAAGTTTTCGGGCAACAACGAGGACGGCGTCGGGCCGAAAATTCACCCGGCGCTGTTTTTGGGTCTCACCTTTGTCTTCATGATCGTCCTCCTCTGCCTGCAGTTCTTCGCCAAGATTTCCAAGGTCTCCGCACGCTTTGACACTACTGGGTCTGGCGGGTCCGAGATGTAAAACTCAATAGAAGATACGATGTTGACAACTACCCCAACTTCAGCTAGCATGCATGTCTTGGTCGGGCTTCGTAGTAGAAACCTGCGTGTCACGACGAATCCGATCCGGTGGAGGTAGATGAACACGGGTTATTTTGCTGTGTGGCCGGTGTGATCTCTCGTCCGGATTTGATGAGTAGATCAGTTCACCCGAGGACTGCTTCTGTGACAAGTGCGAAAATAAAGGGGGATTGAAGAATGGCACTACAGCCGCCCAAGAGAACGCCTAGAAGCAGCATGCTGCAACCTGGTCGTGCGCTATTGATTTTAAGTCCTTAATACCGCCCCAGTTGATGTGTATTTTCCCCCGTAGAATAGATCTCTACTCGCTGTCTCTACTGGTAGGTGGCAGCGACCCAAAATTTGGTCGGGATCTACGTGGCGAGCTACAATAATTGGTGCGCAGTTTGTTGTGCACCGCTCGTCCGCTGGTGTCCCAGCATCCGTCTGCCAGTCTTGCGAAGATGTTCTACACGCGTTGGCTCTTGATGATGTATAAATATTCAACACTAAAAGATCTATTACCGACGAGGAGCACAGCGTCGTTCTTGCGCAAAATTAAAGCGATCCTTAACACAGCCAAAAATACAGCAACAGCATTGCGCCCGCGACCTCAACAGCACTTGAAGCAATTTGATGAATATGATATGGAATTACGCCATGCCCATATACAACTACTAATTGATGCGCGTCCGCATTAGAAAACTTTAGTTTTCAATTTGCTATATCAGAAGAACGCAAATTCCAAAAAAGATCGAAACAACGAAGCTTGCACTCATTCTGTTAAGCGTGCAGGTGGAGCTCATTTCAAAGAGACTTCAACGCTTTCAACTTCTATTGTTTGTGTTTCACCTTGCGACGAGGTTCATCACAATACAAAATGCACAAAAACCCGATCATCGCTGGTCCTTCCATTTTACGAAAGAAAAAACTTCCACAAGTAAAGAATTTCGTGCCAATATTTTGTCACAGGGCGCAGTGTAGCCGACCAGAATCATCATCAGTTTTGAACACCAATAGAACGCCGTTAGGGATAGAAGATTTTGCTTTATTTCAAAGAAGAGTAGACTCTTTCATCCTACTAGCTACAACTTGTAGGTCTAAACTAGCTCGTCCGCGAACTACCCAGCGAAAAATGTCTGACACCCCTGCTGCTGGAGGACGGTTGGCCGTCGGAGCCGGTTTGCGAACGGCCGGTCGCCGCCCGGGGCGCCAGGAGGCGAGCAAGAGCAAGGATACCGTTGCGGGACAGCCGACCAACAACTTGCTGCGGTTCTCGAGCGAGGGGGACGGCACCGGGTTGAAGGTGGGGCCGGTCACGGTGCTGGTGATGGCTCTGAGCTACATGGTCATCGTCGTGTTCCTGCACATATGCATTGCAAAAGTATCGTACTACTAGTGGAAATTGCATGACAAATCTTAATGCAAAGAAGAAAAGTGTAATGTGTAATGCTGATTTACGTAAAGATACAGGATTTGTCATGCGTCACAGCTAAATCGTGCGATACTTTTGGAGTGGATAGTACATCATGACCAAATTCAAGACGATGATGATGTCGTCCGGCGGCGGAGAAGAGCTGTAGACCTGACAGTTCGAACAAGGTAGATAAATATATAGTTGTTTAGAATGAATTAATTCTCTAATTCATGCTGTACAACCTGTGACTTTCGTCAAATCGAATAATGCGTAGAAGTTCTTGCTACAGATAAAGCTAGGCAGTGTTTTGTCGTTGTGCGTTTTTTTCATACGTTGTATCTTCATTGTGACTAATATTCGCTAATCAGGTAACAAAGCTAGGAGAACGCGCAAGAGGTACTGCTTCGAGAAGATGACCAAACGACGGAAAAATAAACGGACTTCAAGCCAATGTCCGGTGTGCTGAGAGGGGCTGAAGTTTTTTTTAGCGACTTCTACTGTAATATGTCGGCGGAGTAATGCGGAACCATGAACAAATGGGCTCTCGAAGCAGGTTTATCAGCAAATTTTTAAGAAACTAGGTTCACTCCTCCGAGTAAATGCCTTTTTATGTACCTCTATACTTATCACTTTTTGTTTTTGCGTACTTACTTACTTACTTTAAATGTTGTCGTCATCACAGTCTCACCTCTCAATTTTATCAGATTTTACATTCACTTCTACGTTGATGTTAAGTGTTTACTGACAGTCAAAAGCAAAAAATCCTCCGACGCCCGGACCCTTTGGGTGAAAATGTAAGTTTGCTACTGCGACACGACACGCGAGGAAGCTCCTTCGTGGAGGAGCGGATAAAAGGGTCATGCGACAGGACTTTTGGACTTTTCCGATGAAAAAGAATTCGTACTCGTAGGTGCTGCTCACTTTCTCTCGTCCTGGTGGAAGAGCCTTCGTTCAGGGAAAGCTCTCATTAGACTGTTTGATGAGATTCTCCAACTTCGTTTGTAATAACCCAGATGTAAGTACTACTTCTACCCCGCCCGATTTACAATGCCCAAAAAATGAAAAAAACAAGTCGCTGCTTCAATGGAGATGCGCAAAATCGCATTGCGCGTGCGCCGACGACGTTTGGGCTTATTGTTCTCGATTCATAAAGATAAATCTTTTTGATTGCGTTTGAAGACCTTCTGTCCCTACAAAAGTGCATCCTCTCCTACACATGCTGAGAGCGAAAAATATTGAGAGGAAGAGTTCACCCGCTTGGTGCTGAATCAAGTCGCTGACATGCAGAAGCCGCGCGACGCGATCTGACTGCAAGGGAAAGAAAGAAGCAATGCCACCGCAGCAGGCGCAGGCTCAGATGATCCGGCCCTAGAGTTAGACCAAAGTCCATGAACATAAAGCAAGACACGACTAGCGTATACATTCTATTAAGTACAATTCCGTAGGTCTCGGTGAGTGTGAGTCACAGTCTCATCAATCTACTACACCTGTTGAAAATGGCAAGCCGTCACCTCCTGGCTTCCGTCGTGAAGACGGCGGTTTTCCCGTGCCTCCTCTCCTGGCCTCTCGCCACGTTTTTCCAAGTGCTTCCGGTTTCGGGAAATTTGCGAGGAAAATCTGAGACAGCGGAGATTCCCCCCCCCCCGACGACGACCACGAATCTGCATTCTCCGCCTACGGTTTCGCACCCGGACGCCGCTAACACGGCCGCCCTGCTCGACCTCCTCATGAACGAGAAGGACCACGACGCGACGCAGCAAAAGGAGGCTTTGCTCGCTGCTGGGTACCCGGAGCCGCAGGTGATGAAATTGTAATTGATGCTCTTGCTGAAGCGCTTTGCTTTAACTGCTCTGCTGCTTCCTCGACGTGAGGCATTTTTTTTTGATAACCTCCATAAACAGGATCGATGTGTTGGTGTTGCTGCAGTGTGGTCATTCATTTTCATTCGGATTTTTTGTACGCGTTTACTTCTCAGGTGAAGCTGATGATGACCGTGTTGACGGATCCGGCGAGTGGTAGTACGTATGAAGAACGGACGGAGAACGTCGCGGCAGCCTACCAGCGCGGTCTTTTTTACGGATTTTGTCGCGCTGGACCAGGACGGAAGCGAGAAGTTGACCGAGAAGGAGTGTCCGCTGTTAGTCGAAAAAGGGCTGGGGCTCGGCATAACAGCTTTTGTTGCTGCTTCTGCGGCGAGCGACGAGGCAGCAACTCTGCAGGTCTCCGCAACCGGTCAAATCGACGCCGGGGCGCCGGAGGATTTTGCCGGCAAGAAGACGGAACAGGCCTCCTTGCTGGAAGTGGTTTCGGGGCACAAGGAATGGGCAAAGCGTGGCAGGTTCCATTCAGCTTGTCACGCCCCCGCCACGATGGAACGTGTGCACTCCGAGTTACACGACGTGTTGACGAAATCGCGCGAGGTGCTCTTTGATGTCAAGAAAAAATACTGGAAGACGGATGAGGGGAAGGTGGCCACACCACACGACGCCCTCCGCTTTAAGGCGGCTCTTAGCAGCATCAAGCGCGGCCTCCATCAACTTGAGCGGTTGGCGGAGCACGAGGAGGCGGAGAGCATCCTCTCCGTCGCCAAGTCCATGATTCCATCCAAAATTTCCAATATGGTCACGGTATCACATGTAAAAATGTCTGGGTCTGGAACAATGCAACTTGTCATGCTAAATCTGAAGCATGCAAAAATCTGTGTTGCGTGATTACCAAAAGTTGTCCAGTTTTGACCAAGTCGGGAGGGAGTTTCTCATGCAGGATAGGCATGATGAGAGAGATCGCACAGAATCTGTCATGCTAGGTCCTGCATTCCAGACGAGACCTCATGGGTCATGGAAAAGCTGCGTGACACATCGCGCATTGTTCTTCCAGACCAAGATATTTTTGCATTTCATACAGGGGCGGCCCCACGAACCATGAAAAGAGCTTGGACTTTCTGAAGAAATTGCTCGACGAGGTAGAGGCGGCCGAAGAAAACTTCTTCCCAAAGTTCGAACGCGTCCAACACGACTACTTTAATCTGTGGAAAACCGGAAACGCAAAAGTTGGCGACGGTCAGGTGTACGGGCGGACAGTAGAAGAGTTGGTCAACCAATTCCACAAGGAAGTGGGCCTGATTCATTATGGCCGTTGACCGGCGCCGGCTCGTCCGTCCTGCCTGGTTGACGCGTGGAAGCAAGCAGCACGTGGGCGAAGCCACGATGGTTTGTAAGGAAGAAAATTGAATCTACATCTGGCTCCCAAGGAGCCGCGTAGCACACCGCCGTGAGGGCAAGGAAGGAAATAGATTTATCTATGTTGCGTTGATAGTCGGTTTTTTTTTTGTAAAAATAACATGCGAGGCCTTGCCCCTTGACCACACGGGGGGCTTGAAATATTTCTTCAACGGTTGCAAGACTGACAGGTCCCTGCAATTTCGCAAGGAGTGCACCCATGTGCTCAAAAAGAACAATGCCAAGTGCAACATCGCGATTGATGAAAACATCAAAACATCATATCCGAATCGAAGTGCCGCACCAAGATCGATCACGATACGAAGGGGCTGCGGGTGTGGTCACTTGAAGCTTCGGGCACAGGTTTTTTGTGAAGTTACCCGACCCCCTGTATTCGGCTTCGTGCGTTCTCGAGTCATCTGATTTTATAATGGCGCTTCTTAGCCTATACTATTCGTTGTCCCTAGCAGCAAAAGCGCGCCCTCCTGCTAGGGGTGCTGAGAGTTTCAAAAATGCCTCTGACTGTAAGATCAGGATGTGATATCACATGGTAATTCTGAGTAAATACCTGAGTCCTTATTTCCATCGACCTGATTGCATGTGTTTGTGTCGAATATTAATGATTACAGGAGTGGCACCACCAGTTGCTGGACGAGCGGGGTACGTTCAGTACCAAATCTGAAATGTACTAACCAAAAAGAAAGATGTACTAAAACCACCACCAGGACCCCACGTTACTGATATTGAATTTATCTTCATTACGCTCCTTCCTAGATCGATGAAAACAAAGTTAAAAAGCAGATTGGCATTCTCGTAGTTCCGCCTACAGCAGCATGATTTTGGCAGTTTGGGTTTATTGCTGCGAATTTGTGCTACTGTAGTACAACTAGAACAATAGTCCAGCACCAGCATCCATTGTTCAGCTTTGCAAGTAGTAAATCAGATGACGTCGAAGATGGCGACCTTCTGATCCGAAACCTACTCCTACACTTTGCTCAAAATAATGAACCTTCGATTCACGTTTCGCGGGACGCCGTTCGACGTCCCGTTTGGGGACGGGGAGGAGCGGTTGGTTTTATCCTGTGCAAAAGTATCGTACTCGTAGTGCAGTCATGCATTACAAATCTTTTCCTCAAGGTAAATCCGAATTACAAATTTCATTTCTCATGCTGAGGAAATTTGTAATGCATTTATAGATACGAGTACGGTACTTTTGCAGTTCATAGGTTTCGCTGTTTGACATCTTGAAGGAGCTGTTCGACGTGCGTAAGGAAACCTGCACGATCATCTACCATGGCAAGAAGGTTTCGCCCTTTGTGAAAGCCAGAGACATGGTGCTCGGGCCGCAAGAAGATCATCCCAATCCGAATCATGCGGCATCACCATCACAACATCAAGATGACATTAACTCTAAAAACGTTGACGAGGAGATGAACTACGCGTCCGAGGCGGCAGTGCCGGAAAAACCCTCGGAAGTAGAGGAAATAAATGGAGGGGCGGGCTGCATAGTGGAGAGTGGTACTATGATCGTTGACGCCAGCAGCAGCACACTGGCACCATCTTCGTTCTCTTCATCTTCGCCCCGCCCCGCTCAGGTTGCTCTTCCTGTAGTGCAGCAGCTTCCGTCGTTTGTGAAGATCCTGTATGTATTGCAAATATGTCTGGGTCTGGAAGGTTGGAACTTGTAATGCTAGCCTTCCATACCTAGGAAATCTGTATTGCGCAACCAGCAAAAGCCGCAGCCTCTTTTGTACATGCAAACACGCAGTTTCTCATGCGGATTGCCTATGGGAGAGCGTTCCGGATGAAAGTTGTCATGCTAAATTGCATTCCGGGGAACTGTTTGTGTCTCCATCATCCACATTTTAGCATCACAAGTTTCCAGACCTAGACACATTTGCATTTGATATCCTGATTACCGGTAGCAGCGAGAAGGACATTGACTTTTTTCAAAAGGTATGCACTGCAAAAGTATCGTGCTCGTAGTAATTGCATTCATGCATTACACGTCTCTTTCTCAAGGTAAACCAGCATTACAGATTTAATCTGTAATGCTGGGTTAATTTGTAATGCAATAGCAATTCATTCTTGTACAATGCTTTTGCATTGCATAAAAGGCGAAGGCCGACCCGCTGGTGAAGGGGTTTGCGGCGCTTGAGCGGGATGAGAAGGCGCGGCGGCGGCGGGAACGCAAGCTCGCGAAGGAGAGTGGCGGCTTATCAAATGTAAAAATGTCTGGGTCTGGAAACTTGTAATGCTGAGTTGTGAATAGTGAATGGTCTGTAATGCATAGCGGCCAAGCATGAGAAATATTTCCGAGGCTTAGTGTTGCGCTTTCCGCATGACAAACGGCGTTTTTGCATGACAGGGCTGGCGAAAGCCTGCCATGGGTTTCACTATCCACGGGTGGTGTTGCGGGTATTCCTGGCGAAAGCCAAAAACCGGCAGAAAACGGGCCACGGCAGCGCTCTCGCTGGACATTACCAACATTTGTCCTGGCAGGGCCGTCCTCTTGCCGGACACAACCAACATCTGTCCGAAACAGCCTAGGGCGAAGACGACACCGTGAGGACGACCACAGGGGGTTCGTCTCAATGATGATGATGATGACAAGCAAAAGGGTCTCTTTCTGGACACGCATCACAGACTTTTCAGTCATGCCAGACAAGCATGACAAACCTTGCACCCTTCCAGACCCAGACATTTTTACATTTGATACGGCTGGGGGGGGAGTAAGATGCACGCGGAGTTTCGGTTTTCGAAGATCACGGCGGAGTACAAGTACAACACCCCGACGCCGTTCGAGGCCGAGAAATTGCTGACGAAGTTGGCCTATGCTCTGCAAAAGTGTTATATCGCACTCCTTTGATGAATTGCTGTCATGCATGACAAATATCTTCTTCTTTCCCAACTCGAATAATAGCAATGCAACTTTACAACTTTCATCATCACTTTTGTGCTTACCAAAATTTGTGATGCTAGTTACAGTTGATACTAGGTAGCGCGCTATTTTTGCAATGCATATGGCCCACGACCCGGCCATCGTGAAGATCATGACGGAAGAGAAACTGCACGTCGGGCTGTTGACGGAGATGTCTCCTGTATGAGAGTGCACAACTCCCTGTCGTTCTCATTTCTCATGCAAAATCCCAAATCCAAGTGCTTCCCTTGTATCGCTATTATGCATGACAGATTCAGGAAGCCCAAACAGTACTACACGAGGCGCATGAATTTGGCATGCACAGGCGTCACGTGTGGCGGTGTTTGTATTGCTGTTCGTGCAATAGGGGGGAGTTGTGCACTCTCATATCCTGCGGAGGCGCAGGCGCGGATGCAGATGGAGGGAAAGGACGGCGATCTGCTATGCGTTGCAAATATGTCGTCCTCTGGTGGAACTTGTCATGCCAAGTCTAGATCGTACAGAAATCTGTGTTGCATGAACGGAAAGAGTGGTCCTTCACTTCTCCCCACGCAATGGGTGGATTCCTCATGCGGAATAGGCATGTTATTTATGAAGCTCGTGCATAATCTGTAATGCGCCTTCGTGCATTCCAGACCATGTGCGTGATCCTAAAGATGCATGACAATCTTCCAGACCTCCCAGACATGTTTGCATTTGATATCTGCTCGGCTTCAACGAAAACGCAGGGGCGCGAATCGTGTTGCGGTTGCGAACCGACGACACCAAGGGGTTTCGGCCCTACCACGACTTAGTGAACACTCTGATCCACGAGTTGGTGCACAACACCTTCGGCCCGCACGACGACAAGTTCTGGAACCTGTTTCGCAACTACAAGAAGCGCTACGACCAGTTCCACGATTACTACTCCCGGAACGGGCAGAGCCTGATGGGTCGCGGCGGCGCCGCTGCAAACGTCGACTCCGATAGCGAGGGGGAGAAACCGCAGCGACTCGGGGGTGCGGCGCTGGAAAGCGTGGCTGGTGGTATTTCCATGGCGGGGAGTGGTCGTGAGGATGGGACTTTCACGCCGAGAAATCGACGGGAGCAGCTGGCCGAAATCGCGGAAAAGAGGATGAAACTGCTCGCATCTTCTTCTCCTTCTCCGCAGGTGGGTCGCGGAGCAGGTGCGAACAATACTACGAGTGACAGAAGAGAAGTAGAAGTGGATCAAGAACAATTACAAGCAGGAGGAGCTGGTGCTGCAGCTCCCGCGGCGCCAGGAGCAGTTGCAGGGAACGGTCGTATGGATGTGGTGTTAGACGACGCAAGCAAGAACGTGGTTTCTGTGCAGGAAATAAGCGACCACGAGATGATGTCCTATCAGCACCCCGAAAGGTGTCCTTGCGGAGTTTGCGAGCCGATATCTCGTCCAGTCATGGAACCTGTAGTTCCCATGGACGTTTGCAAAGAAGCCGGGACAGCACCAGCTGCGTCAGACGGAAATTTAGCGGAGCGGGTGACTGAGAGGACTGCTGCAGCATCTTTACTGCCATTGGACAGCGCACCGACAACCCAGCGGCCAAACGCAGCGGAGCAGGTGATGAACAAGCTGCCAGATGGACAGCAACATCCTGAAGACGATGACGAGCCCATGGAGGAACAAGAGCATGATCAACACCGGCCCGAGGAGCCGGTGTTTGACGAAGCGGAGTGGGCGGATTTGCTTGGGTTTGAGGGTGCGCAACTCCTCATCTCGGTGCGGAAAAATTTGCAAAAGCTGAAGCAGCAGAAAGGAGCATCAAGTAGCGAACATTTACTGACGTTGATTCAGCGTGTGTGCAGCAACCTGGTCCAGCACCCGACGGAGGAAAAGTACCGGCAGCTGCCGCTAAGCAACGCGAAAATACGCGCACTGGTCGACAACGCTGCCATATGCATTGCAAAAGTATCGCACTGCGTAGTACTTAATGGCATTACAAATTGGCTCAGCATGACAACTGGAATTTGTCATGCTGTTTTGCTTTGGGATGGAGATTTGTAATGCATGACTGCGATTACAACTACGAGTGCGATACTTTTGCACAGGATATGCCAGTGCGGCGATCCTGGACGCCATGGGTTTTCGCCGCGAACCGGACCGTATCCTGTGCAAAAGTATCGCACTTGTATTGCAATCATGCATTACAAATCTTTCTCTTAAGGTGAATCAGCATTACAAATTTTATCTCTCATGCTAAGGAAATTTCAATTTGTAATGCATTTGTACGAGTGCGATACTTTTGCGATTCATAGACCGCTTTTTCATCGCCCCGGCGCGCGTGGACCCCGGGAAGCTGATCATGCTGCGCGACATCATTGCGCAATTTGTCGTCGTACCCCCGACAGCGACATCAGCACCTCCTTCCACGGTGATGGTACCAGCGACGGGTGGCGGTGGAGCAGTACAGTGACAGCGATTTTTTCCGGACGTTAATGTTGCTTTGGTGCTGTTCGTTGTTGCGGCTTCCAAGTCCGAAGCCGAACAAGTGAAGTACTTTCTACGAAAATGAAGATACCCCATCCTGACACTGTTTGTGCTATCGTTTCAGAAACAAAAGAACTCCTCCTGAAAAATTTCTTTCCAGAAACCGTGTTGGCACCACTGATGATGAATGTATACCCTTTTGTTGTACGATGTGGCTCTTTCATGAGGTACGAGAAAAAACCTTGTTGTTGAATATGTTGGACACCGATAAATTGATTGAATTTGGTGTGAAAAGAAAAAGAGAACAGACGTACTTCTTGATCGTCGAGAAGGAAAACTACAGGAAGACCATTGCCGATATTACAGATTGGTTGTTGCGTTCTGGGGCGGCGCTATCATGGTTAGACTTCTTTCCACCTGCTCGAGGCCGAGCGTAGTAAAAAGAGGGATGGAAAAATATCTTCTTAGTGCTCGCTCTCCGGAAGGTGACACATGCATCTTCACTGGGAATCAGAGCAGATGGAGATGCCCGACAGCGAGAGAGTTGGATCAGTGCGATAATCTATAGTTTTGTTGTCTTCTTCTGAGTGTCTGTGTCTGTGTCGGAGCGAGTTTGAGCTTCTTTTGCTAGATTTTTTCGAGTGAAGATCTTGCACTTGTTTCCCGAAAAAGAAATTTTGGTTTTCGCAGTGCCACTTTCTTGTTCTTTCCGCGACTACACGATCGAGGAGTCACAGAGCGACAGGAGCACCACAGGGCGTAGTGACCATCACCGCCGGAAGGTAGCTGCGACCGGGCGAGAAACAAAGAACTCGAAGATAAGTAAGTACTTTGTGCGGGGGCAGAGGAGGCAGCGCTTTTTCAGGACGCACGTATTGAAGGTGGACGCAGTGGAGCAGGTGTGGACGCAGTGCTGAAGCCGACTTGTTTGTCTTGCGTTCTTGCTGCGGCACAGCACGAGCACCCATTGTGTAACGGTGACGAGGACATCAACATCATCTGGCTCCTTTATACAGATCGAACAAGACAAGCACATCAAAACACGTCGCGAAGCAACACTAACGCACGACGAAATTGAAGTAAAAAGCGGGGCTGCAGCTGCAGCACAACATCACCCTTTTTTCTCGTGTTACTCGCACAGCATCAGCAGCATGGCAGCAGCACCTGCAGCGCCCCAGGGCCCCGTAATTACGGGAGAAATGCTCATTCTCAACGATGAGGTACCTCTTACGCCAATGCCGTTTTTTTCGTCTGTCGTTCAGGATCATTCTCCTGCTAATAGAAGTCATCGTCATGTCTACTGATGCAAATGTACGTGTATGCATAGATATGCGTAATGCTTTTTCTTGTACATGAAGGTTTATGTAAACCTAGACGTCGTGGTCGACCTCGCGCTTCCCACTGGGTTGCCGATGAAGGTGAAGCCAAAAATGAAGATATATTTCTCTTGCGACAACTGCACCTCAGATCGTCGACATGCTCCAACTGCTTGACTACGACGGCAAGGGGCAGTTTTGTGACAAGGAGATGATGCCCATGCCCCGCAGCTACTTCTCCGGCGCCGCCCCCAACGCCGCGTTGCAGTTCAAGTACTTTGCCCAGCTCTGCGCCTGGCTGTTCCGGCGGCTGCAGATCGAGCCCACCTGGGGCAAGTACGACGATCCCCAGACGATCTGCACGAACCTGTGCGTATTGCTAAAGGACGCCGGGGTGGCCGGCAGTGAGTCGGTGAGCCCCCAGAAGTTGAAACAGGGGTACGGGGAAAGCGTGCTGGGAATATTACACTCGCTCGTGAAACTGACCTTGCAGAGAGCGAATTTCCGATACAACCAGCCACAGTATGATACTGCATAAGTAGTACATTTGTCGTTCTTGTACTACTAGTTGTACTACTATCGCGTTTGCTACGAAAAATGTGCACTATCTTTATCGACAGCGAGTTTTTGTTCCGAGGCCTTTCGAGGTTGACAATTTTTTGCTGGCCCCGCGAACAACTATGACGTGCCCTATCATGCACAAATTCAGGTACCCCGACGAGGCGTTGGCTGACGAAGCCGAAGTCGATGACGATGCGCAGGGCAGCGACATAGAAGAGGAAGAGGTATCAACGGCAAATGTGTCATCTGCTGTGTCTCGAAGTAGATAGATTGCAGGAGTTCGTCTTCTTCATGCAGAAATTTCATGACCGACGACGGTGGTGATGCATGTTCATCAGGCGTCACAGCATTTATCGCGAAGGCTTGTTCATACCTATCTTGAATGAGGAATTCCCTCTCGTCGTGGCAACAAGAAGAAGTCGAGTGCCTTTTTGTTTTTTATGCTGCTCATGCAATGGGACAACATGAAGATGAACGGCGGATTGAAAGTTATCACATGCATATAAAAACAATCTCCTTCGCCCCCCAGACACATTTTCAATGCATAAGAGGGACTGCAACACAACGACGAAGAGGAATTCTTTCCAATGACGGACGAGCGCAACAATGCGTATCCCCCAGAAAAAGACCGGCAGGTCATATTTGTAATGCAAAAATAAATAGACAAAAGCACCTGCATTGCATACCCTAAACAGCATGCCATGGCTTCGCCCATGACAGATTTTCCCGTGTATTTATTTTTGCATTACAAATATGACCTGTCTGCCTTAATCTGTTGGATAATGCGGGCGCCATGCTGGAGGAGAGCGACACCTTCGAGGGCGTAATGGAGGCCACCATCGTATGGCGTTCTCAAACGTTACACTCTCAACTGTTACATTATTTGTCATGCAAAACTCTCATCAGTATCACTATCATCAAGCTGCTTCGCATGACAAATCTCCAAAGGGCTCGACAGCATTATAAAGCTGTGCCGAACCTGTAACGCAAAAGGCGCAATCTTCACCCTTGCACTTTTGCCATTCTTGCATTACAAATTCACTTAACAGTCGAGAATGTAACGTTTGGGAACGCCATACATCGATCCACAGCAGTGGGCGCTCGAGCTGGAGCGGGTCGGGCCGAAGCTCAAAGTCGCGGGCATGGAGCAGAACTCGAAGGAGTGGCGCGCACATTTGTCACAAACAAAAAGCTACCAGGAAGTACATGATTGACATTGATATATACACTTTAACTTTTACAGTTTTCTTGAGAAGGTTGAAAATTTTCAGTCTGATTGAGGTTGATGTTAAGTACGTTCATCATGCTTCTCCTTCTCCATGTTGAACTGGTAGAGGTACGGATACTGCAAGCCTTTTTCCTGGTACTGGGGTAGGAGTACTATCGACGTGATGACGTGCTGTGCTGCTTCCGCCCTACCAGTTGCAGAAGTGCCTGATAGATGATCTACAACTGGGAGTAGTTTAATATTGTTTCATCATGGTCATACAAGAAAATCCTTATCCTACCAACTCAGGTCATAGACGAAACGTTTCCGGAAGCACGGGGTGGCTTGGAAAATCTGCACAAGGAGCTGCATTCCTTGTCAGAGAGGATGCGAAACAAGGAGGCGTTTATCAACTCGCAGTTTGACCACCGCGCACTCGAGTTTCGAAATAGACAAGAGGAGCTTACACAGGTGCCACAAAAGTGAAAAGAAATGTAAAAATTCGAGTTCATGTACAACTACACAACCGCGTACAATTTCATTTTGTTTCCGAGTTATTTATTTCATGGAAATTGGACTCAAGTGGCGTTCGATCGCGCCTTCGACGCACTCGCACTCACTTGCATGTTTATCAAAAAAACCTTGCAGGTTACCCGACAGTACAACGAGCTGAATGAGGGCGTAATGAACCTCCAGATCGAACTCAAGGGCGTCACGGAGGAGTTAGACGAGGTCAAGGGGCGAATTATCACAGGAAATGGAAAATAAAGTGTTAAACTTTAATAACGGAATCTGTGATGCAGTAATGTAATCAGAAAACAGGTAAGGTGACCAGGAAATCTGTATTTTTGCATAGCATGCATTCTCGGTAAAATTTATCATGCACGACGGCAAAAATCTCTGATGGTGATGACCGTATAACAAGTGGACATTTTTTTTGTTTGATACGACTGGAGTCCTTGTCGACGACGGTGACCGATACCGCGCCCATAGTGAAGATAAAGGACGCCTTCCAAAAGCTGCGCGCCGAGACGCGACAAATCGAGGTGAAAATCGGGGTGGTCGGGCACACTTTGATGCAGGCGAAGCTTCGCCAGAAGAAATCCGACGGCCAAGGGATGCAACTGGCCGGGCCGCCGGAAGAGGGGGAGGTGTGAGAAGGTGGCATCAGTCTCGAAAGAACAGCTTGATGCACGTAAAAGAAGTAAGTACTCTGCGAAATAAAAGCAGACTCAATCAATCCTCGAAATGAAGAGCTGTGGTTGTAAGTAAAAAACTGCACCATGATGACCATATCGGGTTTTTGAAAGTTTAATGAAAAATGAAAACTTCTTCTTCTTCGCCGAAGAACATCATGATACTTCCGAGTACGCAAGTTTTTTAGTGCGCATCTTCATTCTCTAGTCGCGGAAAGGGAAACAAGAAGAACTGCAGGCTAGTTCTACTGCGGCTGCCTGGACGACCTGGTTATGAATATGTACTTGATTCAATTTCAAACTGTCGGGTTCGTGGTCCGAGCGCATTTTTTGTTTCGCGGAAACGGAGATTGTCACGAGCGGAACGGGATAGTGTAAAAATTATCTCGAACCCTGTTTGACGCACGGTGGCTGGAAGCGTTGTAGATGTAGATGACGCGTCTGAATAAGTACTAGACGTAGTATCCAAAATAAAGCAACAAATTTATTATACTCACTGTGATGAGCAGTTGACACGACCGACTGAGGGCTCTACTGTATGACTTTCTTAGACAACATAAAGATAAAGAGAGTACTAGCGCCCCCTGCTCCAAAGTGATCTTCCCGATTATCCGGATGCGATAAGTAGAGATTTGTGGACGGCCGAGAAGATGGCTGAACTGCGACACGACAACCAGCGGCGTTCAAAAAAATCGAAAAGAGCCGAGATGATGTCGAGGTGTGTGATGCATCTCCGCGATTGAACCGCATCGTCCGCGACGGAGCTGCCGCAGCTTCGGTTGGAAGCACAGGCAAAAGCAGCACACCACGATTGATAGATTTTTCTTACTTGCAGTCGCGGAGTAGAAGCCAAGAAGAAGAAAGATCATCATGACCACCACATCAGACCGGGGGAGCGAACTTCTACCAGCGGGCAACGTGAGCTGCACCACAGAGGTGGATGGCATTCCCTTCTCCAAGCTATCCATGGCGCTCGGGAAGGTTGGCAGGCCGGGAAAATCGGTCATGCAGCAACCCAGGTATCGATATTAATATCATGACTTGCAACCTCTAAAACAAAGCGACATCGGAAACTATCCTCGTTCGGGAACGAGGCGCACATACCCCGGATTTTTTCAAAAAGTGAGAACGCGGCGAGTTTTCGTGTGGGCTCTCTTTCGTTCCGGAACGAGAAACGCTGTGAGAATTCACTGAATTGCCACTCCAGGACTTTTCAGAGAGTGAGAACGCAGTGAATTCTTGCGCGGCTTCTCGTTCCGGAACGAGAAATGGAGTGAGAATTTACTGAATTCTCACTCCAGGATTTTTCAAAAAGTGAGAACTCAATGAGTTCTCACTTGGTTTTCGTTCCGGAACGAGAAATGGAGTGAGTAGAATTCACTGAATTCTCAATCCCGGAAAATTCGCGATCCAAAAGTGATTTTTTTCAAAAAGTGAAAACTCACTGAATTTTCACTCGATTTCTCGTTCCGGAACGAGAAGCCGAGTGAAAATTCAGTGAATTTTCACTTTTTGAAAAAAATCATTTTTGGATCACGAATGTTCCTGGAGAGAGACTTGAGCTCGCAGAGTGAAAATTTTCAAAAAGTGAAAATTCAGTGAATTTTCACTCGATTTCTCGTTCCGAAACGAGAAATCGAGTGAAAATTCAGTCCATGGCGCTCGGGAAGGTTGGCAGGCCGGGAAAATCGGTCATGCAGCAGCCCAGGTAAGTTGTATATGTTATGATGTGAAGAAGATGAAGAGCAGGAATCACTTTCACATTGTACTTATCTCAATTTTTTTTGGTGTTGGCGGTGTAGATAGTAGGTTTTTCCGTCGTAGTGTCCATTACCGTCCTGTCCGTCTACTACTAGGATAAATCGCCGCGGACAGACGTCCTTCCATCCTAAATACCTGAAGTTCTATTTTTCAACAGATCACTGGAGCGCGCTTTGGTCGCGAAGTGGTGGGGCCCGATTTCCGAGCGACTGGCGAACGAACAGGACATATGAAAGTGCGCAATTCAGTGTGGTTTTTCTGCCCCTCATTTTTCAGCGCAAATCCAAATGCAAACACGACCAAATGCTGCACTCTCTTGCTCTGCATTTTAGAAGCACGACTGTTTGCGTCACAACAGACCCGCCTTAACAGTAGCGCAATCCTTACCGCGCGGATAATTACTCATCTAGCAGGTCGTGCGTTTGAGTATCTCACAGAAAACAAAGTAAAATAAGACAGGCAGGGCGTATTTGGATTAAAGGCAGAAAACAAGTTAAGCAAAAAAAAATATGTCATGGACGAGTTGTCCATAGCATGTATTGCTCCTGCTGGTGCGCAGTAGACTTCTCAAATGAGGGGGACGAGGAGTTCGTGTTGCGCCTAATTCTCATACGACACCGTGGAAGACCAGAATGAGATCGAGGAAGAGGAGATCGTGAAGCTCTCGGGCGAGCTCATCATCCTCGAGCAGGAAATGACGACGTTTTGTGGCCGGCTGGAGACGGAGCTGCAGTTGTTGAAGGACCTGGAGTATCCTGTGCTGCAAAAGCATCGTACTCATTCAACTAGTCGCAATCTTTCATGAAAGATGTCCTTCGTCATCGTATATCTTTTTCTTGTTTTCCACCAGCATTACAAAAAGTTTCTATATCGGATGGCAAGTACTACGAGGACGTAGTACGATACTTTTGCCACGTATAAAGAGCTGCAAAGGATTGACTTGGCCCTGTACATTCAGAAAACGCAGGCCCACTCGGCCATCTGGTTCCAGTCTGTGGCGACCGATATGATCCACAGTGAATTTACCCTAGTACACGTACAAATTAAGTAGTGCAGCTTCTGCATGACAAACTTTGGCTTCGATCTTAGATAGCATGGCAAGCTGCTGTAGCTGCAACACTGTAAATTGATGAATTATAATTTGTGATGCATTTTACTACACGTACACGTGAACGTGTGCAGGAATTTTGTATTCCATAACCGAGCTGGACACGCACCGAAACGTCTTGAAGGCAAGCAGCGTTGATAGAAAAGCCGGCACTGGCAGCGCCAACAATTATTACACGACCCTCGGCGGGCCTCCATTTCCCCCCGGGAACAATCGGCTGCAAGGAGGGAGCGGGCGTCGCGGTAATGCCGGCGGAAGTGCTGGAAGCGGTGGAAACAGGAGGGGCAGGAATGGTGTGGACGCAGTTAAGGTAAGTACTAAAAGTAAAAGAAAAAGTAGTTTTTGGTAAGCTCCTCCTGCATGCGCCTTGTAATATGCTTGGAAGAACTCCATGAACAGCAGCAAGTAGACAACTCGATACGATGGATATATTGAATTTAAATAAAGATAAACCTATCTTTTATACGTACTTCTGTCTTTCAGCATCGCGGTCCGTACCTGGTCACTGCGGAGGCACTGGCACCAAGACAAACTGGCGATCGCGAGACGGACGCGAACACGTATCGGAATCGAGCGTCATCGGCCGTCGGGGAGGAGGTGCGCCGGATGAGCGTCGGCCAGGTATAGCCTGTGATGTCTGAACTGAAGTAAGTATCAAGAACACTGTGGCAACAATTTTTTGTTTGTTTGTGCGTTACACACTACTTTAGCTGCCGTGAGAAGCACAGATTTTGACTTCGAAAGGCGAAAATACTTTTTCTGAAATCTCACCCCACGACAACCAGGTGAACCGCGCCAGCATGCCTGCGGCGACACTCGATTGCGGTAGTCGCGCGCTGGCACTCACCACGTTTGCGCGCCGGAGTTCTCTGCGACGGCAGTCCCGACAGGAGCAACAGAGCGGCAGGCGCGACTCCGCGTCGACGTCCAGGCCGCTCTCCTCTGCCTCGCGGAGCAGCGTCCAATCCACGCCCAGCACACAGTCCAAAAGTGCGGGCAGGCAAGATCAAGAAGTTCTTGCAGAGGCCTCTGCTGGAGGTGAAACGACTGATCGAGAAGAACACGGTGTCGCTCCTTTTGGAGGAACTGCAGGTAGAGCAGAGCCGATTAGTGACAGTTCGACGGAGAACAAGCAGCCTGGTAGCCCTTCAACCTCCCCCGCGGCAAGCGCAATTGATCCACCTCTTGATCAAGACAAAGTGAAAGTAACGGGCGAACTCATGCAGATGGATCAAAGCACGAGAACTAGTGGTATTAAGCACAACCCGGAGCCGGACCGCGTTGATAAGAACTTCTCCCAGCAACAGCCAGCAGTTAATACGGTGAAAAGGTCTATTCTGAAGAACAGCACCACGAGGGACAACTTCTTTGTTGGAGCCGGCGGTGCCGCGCCACCGGCCGCCTCGTCGCAGTCGCTCGGCGCGCGGTTTCGGGGCGCGCGCGTGTCTGTGGTGGACGAGTTTTCGGGCAAAAATGACGCGGAAGGTATGTTCTTCGGTACGTCGCAACATGGTGGTGTGGGCGGCGAAAACGGCTTTTCTACTAGTACAACTCGCAGTGCTCCTCCGGCTGGGACATCAAACCAGAACAAGCACACGGTCGATGTAGCCGACGTAGACTTCCTGGTCGAGGACCCGATGGACCACGGGCAGGGTCGCAGTGAAAACACGACAGCACGCGACCAGCTTGTTCCCAGCAGACCAATTACGTTGCTGACCTCTAGCGGTCAGGAACATGAGGACGAATTGGAAGAAGTTATCCCCTCGTTCTCGCCGCACCTGCCAATCAAGAACGTGTTTCGCACGGCCGAGGAAGCGAGGCTGGCCGCGGAAGAAACCGAGTCGCTGCGGTTACGCCAGTTTGAGGAGTCCGTACTGAAAACCACCGCGGCGCGAGTAAAAACCCAGAACTTGTTTATGAGATTGCACAACTCGACGTCGAACTCCCCCACGACTGCGCCCTCATTACTATCTAAACTGCAGCAGCTGGTCAAAAATGCATGCGAGGGGTATGTTCGGGGGTATGTTCGGGGGTGTGTCAGGGGTATGCAAATGGCAGTCAATCACGACCTGAGTACACATTTTTGGCGAAAAAGCAGAAGGTGGGGTATAAACATACCCCAGACACACCCCAGACACACCCCAGACACACCCCAGACATACCCCAGACAGACCCCCGAACACACCCCAGGCAAAAAGTCCGAACATACCCCAGACACACCCCGGACACACCCCGGGCAGACTTTCGGACACACCCCGGGCAGACTTTCGGACACACCCCGGCCAAGCTTTCGGATTACTATTTAAACTGCAGCAACTGCCCAAAAATGTCCATTTGGGGGGTGTTCCGGGGTATGTTCCGACCCCTGTTCCGGGGTATCAGTCACGACCTGAATCGGCAAAAACGTCCTGCACTCCCCAAAACATACCCCACACCGGACTCCGGAAAAGCGACGTCCGACCCCGGACCTCACTTTTCGAGAGTCGGGTCCGACCCCGAGCCTGACTGTCGGAAAGTGGCTCCCGGGGTATGGTCTATGGTATGTCTCGGGGTGTGTTCTGGGGTATGTTTCGGGGTGTGTTCTGGGGTATGTTTCGGGGTGTGTTCTGGGGTATCAAATACGACCTGAATTGGCAAAAAACCTCCTGCACAACTCAAAACGCGCCCCCCGACTGACTTCGGAAAAGAAACACCCGACCCCGGGCGCCACTTTTCAAGAGTGAGGCCCGACCCCGGGGGCCGAAGGTTGGTTGCCTATTCATTGGGCGGGGCGCCCCGCCAAGGGGCGCAGAAACAGGTCCGCGCGCCCGGGTTTGGGAGAACAGGGGCAAGGAAGGACGCGTCCTCCCTTGGTCGTGACTAGTCCTTTGGGGGGGCGCCCCGCCCAGGGGCGCAGAAACAGGTCCGCGCGCCCTGGTTCGGCGGGACAGGCGCAAGGAAGGCCACGCCCTCGGTTGGTCCGTCTTGGGTAATCCTTTGGGGGGGGCGCCCCGCCCAGGGGCGCAGAAACAGGTCCGCGCGCCCTGGTTCGGGAGAACAGCCCCCGGGAAGGCCGCGTCCTACCTTGGTCGTGGGTAGTCCTTTGAGGGGGGGCGCCCCGCCAAGGGGCGCAGAAACAGGTCCGCGCGCCCGGGTTTGGGAGAACAGGGGCAAGGAAGGGCGTGTCCTCCCTTGGTCGTGACTAGTCCTTTGGGGGGGGCGCCCCGCCCAGGGGCGCAGAAACAGGTCCGCGCGCCCTGGTTCGGGCGGACAGCCTCCAGGAAGTCCGCGCCCTCGGTTGGTCGTGGGTAGTCCTTTGGGGGGGGCGCCCCGCCCGGGGGTGCAGGCAGAAACGGGTCGGTCCGCGCGCCCTGGTTCGGGAGGACAGCCTCCAGGAAGTCCGCGCCCTCGGTTGGTCGGCAGTAGTCCTATGGGGGGGGCGCCCCGCCCAGGGGCGCAGGAACAGGTCCGCGCGCCTTGGTTCGGGAGAACAGCCCCCAGGAAGGCCGCGCCCTCGGTTGGCCGTGGGGAGTCCTTTGGGGGGGGGGCGCCCCGCCGAGGGGGGCAGAAAAGGGCGCACTTTTCCAGGGGGGGCGCCGGCTCCACGGGCGGCAGGGCCATCCCGTTCTGTCGCAAAAAAAATAAAAATCCTGCCGCATCATGGGCAAGAAAAGCCACCGCGGGTGGCTCTTCTTCGCTGCAAGGTCGCAGCGCGGGGACTCTGTCCCCGCGCCATGACCTTGTTTGTCATGCTGCAAAAAGTCAAGTTCACCCGTTGTTCCCTCCAGTAGACACACTGTTTTCATGACACGCTCCGTCGACACCCAAAAGCACTTCTACTTTATTGCCATGCAAAAAGCTGCACTCTTGGTTGCCGACGTGCCTGTTGCAGTTCAGACATCACAAATGAGGGGGACCACAAGGGGGAGTTCTTGTGCACTCTTATACTCTTGACGGAAGAGCAAGAAACGCTGCAAGTGGCGCTGAAGGAGATGGACAAACTGATCGCGAGCGCATCGAAGACGCTTGTGCGGCTGCGAGAGATCCGAGACGTGTTTCAGGTGTGCATCCGCGATATGCATCGGAAAAAGTTGTTGTAGTAAGTGGAAGTTGTACATTCATAATATCGTGCCGTGACGCTTGCATTGCATTTGCAAGAATTGCACATGGATCATCATTTTCCCGTGACACAACAACTTTTTGGCGGCATTCGTGAGAAGAAACGCAAAATCAAGGCCAGGGAGCAGGCGCTGGAGTCGCGAAGACGGATTTACCAACCCCAAGTGGCGCAAAACCCGACGAGTGCGTTGATCGCGGCGTGAGTTTAAATTGTTTACAGGTCTTAATGACGCAGCAGCGTCTTATTTCTCGTTTCTTTGTGTCTACGAGGTCTGTTTCGTGGATTCATTTGATTATTCATCCCAGGTACTAGCAATGATAACCGACAAGAAACACGGACGTGCTGATGCTGAACAAGTGTAGAATTGTGTCACGTCAAAATCAAATACAGTTTAATACAAGAGAGGTGCGCTTCTAGCGACCACATCACATTCACACATTCTATGTACTAAATCTATCAAAGCCGTCAGAGGGCAGTAGAACGCAGTTATAATGATGAATGATGTTACATACTAAAATTTTGCATGAGTGTACCTGTACTGCTATCTTGAGCTTACACACGGGCTGATTGTATAAATATCCAGCGCCAGCAGGTGCGTGCTGCAAAAGCAATAGAAGGCGCATTATGGAAACGCTGAGTCAACACACCTGTCACTCGCACTCCGAAAAAATACAAAGCCATGAGACGATTCAACACAGTACGAAAATTAACGAAAATCAAAATTGGTAAGACGTAGCAGCAGATATTCTTTCGCTCTTTACCTGCAGTGCCAGGAAATTCATTGGAGGTTGTTTCCTTTGTTCTTGGTGTATCTTTAAGTCTCCGTCTCAGGTTGAGCCTCAGCAGCGCCGTCGCTGTGTACTAGTACACTGGACAAAGGTTTCAAGTAGGTACTGAGAAAGCAAATCACTATCACTATGCCTGACTACTTCCACACGAATTCGAATTAGAAAGCTACGCGCCACAGGAATAATATCAGCCTTATGTTGTTTATTCTCGTTTTTCGTTTTCCACATCAGCCACATCATTAAAAGCCAACAAATTAAGGAGAAGCAAGAAGGATTAGGACTATGCTGAATATTTTTTTGAGTCGAGGCATAAAAATGTCGGAGGTTACGTCGACTCAAGTACGTCGCGTTGAGGTGGCGCAGCAGGTGCAGGGGGCTACTTGTTCATCTGGGGGCAACACTATACTGCGGGAGCTTGTAGTCGTGAAGCTGCAAGGGTGGAGATCCATCTGCTGCCACGACCGCGGTGTCTCCTGACTTGGCAACTCAGGGGACCTCCTACCATCGCAGCACGGTCGGACATCTTGATGTTGATCTTGAACCCCTCCCCCGCATGGTTGTAAGTACTATTGCAGCACGTTCGGTCATCTTCAAGTTGACCTCCCCGGTTCTGTTTCACGCTCAAACTGTACAAGACCCTAACAACAAGTAGCCGCGGAAGTAGGTCAAGTTGCCGGAGAAGAGCCGACTTCTCTCTAGCACTACAGCAGGCCCCAGCAGGAAGCTGCACTTCTACGCGACAACAGCGTCAGGTCCAGACGTGACGACGAGGATTGTTCTCTAATTCATAAAGGAAAATTTAAATCGATCATGGCGGCCGCAGCCATTTTACCGTCGGAGCGGCGCTCGGCCTCCGAGGAACTCCAGTTCTTTGAGGAAGAGGGTGACTTCTGTATTGGCGGGATCGAGTTGCCGGTCGACGACTCACCGGGCTCGCTCAGCGGGCTTTCGGTGGACGAAGACGACCCATCCGGGCTCTCGTCCACCTGGAACAACGCATCTGGTTCCGGCATGCTGCTTACGAAAGTGCACAAGAACCTACTTCCCCCTCATTTGTAATATTGCATGAACAGCAATACAATTACAAACACCACGACCACACGTGAAGCCTGTGCATGACAAACTCATGCACTTCCAGTGTACTTAGTAGTGTTTATTGGGCAGCTCCCTCCCGAACCTGTCATGCAAACAGTGCCAGAGGTGGGAAGCGCTTGAATTTGGGGTTTTGCATGACAAATGAGGGGAAAAGAATTGTGCACTCTCATACTGCTTGAACACCAGCTGAAGAAGTTCGACGCGACAGGCAACATGCTTCATTTTGAGCAACAGCATCACAACTATCAGATCCCGTCTTCAGCCGCTGGCGGAGCAGTAGCAGGAGGTGCTGGCGGTCCCCCGATGTTTAGTAATATCGACCACCAGTTTATTTCTTCTACTTCCCAAGTCCACCTACAACCTACGTCCATGGCGACCGGGGGGCTGGCTGCGCAACTGAGCAGTACGCCGGGCGCGCAGGCGGTGCCGCTTCTCGACGGGACGAGTTGCACTTCTATGCGGGACAGCGAGCCACACTGCGTCGATCTGTTCGCCGGGGCGATGGCTATGCCGACTCCGGTAGTGGCGCTACCGACGCCGTCGCAGTCGCCGAGTCGGGCCGTCAGTCACGTGACCGGGATGCTAACGCGGACGCTCGAGCGGGTATGACAGTGCACAACTCCCCCGCCTCCCCCTCATTTGTATAGCACGAAGAACGGCAATTACAAGCGTCATCGAGAATGCAGATTTTGCATCACAAATTTGCACAGGAGTGTAGTGCTTTTTGGGCTCCTGCCCGAACTAGTCATGCAAAAAGTGCCAAGAGGCAAAGGGTGGGCTCGCTTCTTGGTATGTTGCATTACAAAGGAGGGGGAGGGGGAGTTGTGCACTCTCATAGCGGGGATCTGAAGATCACTCCGCGAGTGGGGGAGGGGGAGGTAACTTAGTTATAAAAACTCGAACTTTTTTTTTTCGGTGTGAGCAGGTTGTTGTTCTCTTCTTTCTACGCGGTTGTACTATTTCAATGATCAGTGCGCGTTGTACGAACATTTTTTTGGGCCATACATAAACATTACAGTCCACAGCGCAAGTCTATTGAAAAATGAAAATCAATTATTCTATCCGTACAGGCTCCGACCGTACGCGTTCACCATCTCCCTGCCTCGTCCGCGTTGCGCCAACCGAAAGTGCGCTGGCCGGGATTGTGCCGCTCGTTACGTCAGATCTGGTAGAGCACGTCGTCGACTTCGATGCGCTGTTTCCGATCCATTGGGAGCACCGGCACCAATTTCGGGGCAGCGGTGCGCCAACTAGTCCGGGAGGGAGCAGTTTGCCACCGCAAGGTGATGTCGATCATGACGACGAGGTGGATGTGGTGCCCGATGCTGGAATGAATCCAGTTGAAGTTGATCCTGAAGACCACCAGCACCATGATGATGATGTTCTTTTCCGAAGAGGACAAGCAGCTTCCGAGGGCGAAGGAGCAACAAGCGAAATGACTGGGACCACTCCGAAGCTCCTGCAATACGATCCTCCCACAAGGAAAAATAATAAACCGTTGGTCGTCGACCACGACGGCGCTGGTGTAACTCACGTCCCCCCACGACCGGCCACACCATCTGGCGGACCTCCACTCGGAGCAGGAGGAGAAACAAATCTTCCAGGTGGAGCTGCAAATCCAAATAAGGATGGCGAGGTCATCACGAAGGAGGCCGTCAACATGGATGTCGCTGCCGGGAATGTGATCCTCGGAGGCGGTCTCGCACTGCAGTCGCCACTGTGTACTAGCAATATAACAAAAAGAACTTCTCTTGGAGAAGATGCTGGTGCTAGTGCTGGTACTCTTACGCAGGAGCCTAGTAATCCAGGAAGAACAGTGCCTGCTGCAAGCGTAGACCAAGACATGGCGCATGAGGACCAGCAGCACGAGGTTGAACAGGGGAACAAGAAAGATGGAAACATCCACCTGGAGCATCAAGAGACTTTTGCGTCAAACCATCACAAAAATATGGCCTCCTCGAAGACCAGCACTTCGCAGCACAGCACGACGGGGACGCTGATTCAGCAAGTTTCATCATCACCACCACCATCTTTGCTGCAGCAGGAAGAAAAAGAGATATTAAACGCAGGAGGACCTTCTACTTCCTCGATGTTGATGCCCTCGACCACGCCACAGAAATGCCTGAAGCTTGCGAACTACGACAAAATTTTGATGTTCTTAGATTACGACGGGACGTTGCGAGAGTTTGAGGACGACCCGGTCGCGGCGGTCCCGACGGACAACTTGAATAACCTGCTGCATTTACTTTCGCATTCGCTGAAAGAAAAGTTGAAGGTGGTCATCATCAGCGGGCGCGACGCCGGGTTTTTGGATAACTACATGGGGAAGCAGCACCAGGGCCTCACGCTAGTTGCGGAACACGGTTACCAGATCCGCCATGCATACGAAACCGAGTGGACCATCGCGGGGACGACCTCGACCGGCGGGGGTATATGGATTGCAAAAGTATCGCACTTGTATGGCAATCGTGCAACACAAGTCTGCAATCGCGCAACACAATTTCAATTGTGCAACACAAATCTCATTCCGAAGGCTAAGCCTAAGGTGAACCCGCATTTTTACAAAGTCAATTTGTGATGTTGCTATGAAGGAGTTTGTCATGCGATTTCTACTAAGTGCGATGCTTGATTTGCACGGGATACTAGGGCACCAGCTTCAGCGACGTCACCTCGTCCATGGCGACTGGCGGCGGCCCAACGATGGCCGCCGACGCGCTGCTGGATAATTTGAACCTGCTTGGCACGACGACTGGCGCGGTAGTTGGTGCAGCAGGAGCCAGCGGTGGAAGTAGTAGTACCAACTTGCTCGTGCCGACACTGAGCCAAGTCTCCACCGCGACGGACCATGCGACATCGCTCGGGACGATGAACTCTCCCTCGCCGGCATCCGGCGGGTTGAACCTGCACACCAGTACTACCACAGCTATGGGCAGTAATGCTATTTCGACCGCCTCTGGTGGTGCTGGTGCGGGCACGACACAAAACACAGTTGCAGCTTCCGGAGCAGCAACTTCTTCGATGCAGCACCTGCAGCAGCAAATTCCCTCGCCCTCGGGCGGTGGGACCACGAGCGGGTCGATGTTGTCCACCACGACGATGCTGGGCTCCTCTTCCACGAATGCACCCGGCGGAGGGCCAGCTGTAGTATCATCTTCACAGCAAGAAATGACCAGTGGCAGTGCCTTATGCATTGCAAAAGTATCGTACTCGTATAAATGCATTCCAAATTTCCTCAGCATGAGAAATGAAATTTGTAATGTAGATTTGCCTTAGGAACAAGATTTGTATATGCAAGATTATACGAGTACGATACTTTTGCACAGGATATACCTCGTCGCAACTTTTTGACCACCAGCAGGACTGGCGGTCGGCGGTGATGAACGAGATGAAAAAGCTATCACAGGAAAAAATGTTAACGTTTATGAAATTTGTGATGCGGCAAGGCATCACAAAGCGTGCCCAAATTTGTCATGCATAGCATGCATACTATGCTAAATTTGTGACGCATGGCTGCAATCTGTGAAAAAGAAAAACTGTATTAACGTTAACACTTGTTCTTGTGATAAAAGCTCGCGAACGTGCACGGATCCTTTGTGGAGGAAAAGACCAAGTTATGACAGTGCACAACTCTCCCTCCCCCTCATTTGTGATGCGAATTACCAAATTCACGCTAAGCCTTGAAGCACTGTTTGCATCACAAGTTGTGGCCGTCCAAATAGCACTGCACTCCTGCACAGATTTGTCATGCAAAACCTGCATTCTTGCTGACGCTTGTATTGCTGTCCATGCCATACAAATGAGGGGGAGGGGCAGTTTTGCACAGTCATACAAATCCCTGGTCTGGCACTACCGCGCGTGCCGGCCGGAGGAGGGGCAGGAGGGCGTGGACCAGTTGCTGCAACTGCTGGAGTTTTCCCTCCAGTACCCCATGGCGCGGGTTTCGCGGGGCAACAAGATGATCGAGGTCTTCGGGCCGCAGGGCCCGACTAAGGGCGGGGCAATGCGGGACCTGATTTTACGGTTCCTGCACGAGTTCGGGGAGTCCTGCCGCACGCTGGTCTTCTGCGCTGGGGACGACGTATATGCATTGCAAAAGTATCGTACTCGTAGTAATCGCATTTATGCATGACAAATCTTTTTCTCAAGGGGAATGAGCATTACAAATTCAATTTGTATTGCTGGGCTAATTTGTCATGCAATTGCTACTAGTACGATGCTTTTGCAATTCATAACGTCACGGACGAGACCATGTTCGCTCTGGCGGATATCCTGTGCAAAAGTATCGTACTCGTAGTCATCGCAGTCATGCATTACAAATCTCTTTCCTAAGGCAAACCTGCATTGCAAATTTTATTTCTAATGCTGAGGAAATTTGTCATGCGATTTATACTAGTACGATGCTTTTGCATTTCATAGCGGACGACGAGGCCCTGTTCTCCCGGAAAACGCACCTCTTGTCGATCAAGGTACGGTGAAAGGACGTTTGACGTGTAGCTTTCCCTTTCTATGGGTTTCCATTTCCTCGAATTATATATAGCTGAGGCAGTCAAGTGTAAAGAGATTATCTTCGCAGAAATAAACACTCCCTCCAAAAAAGAATATATCGATTTCCTATCGTAAATTTATTACCGTCTTGCATTTATTTATATTTCGACAACCAAAAGCCTGCCGCAAAAAAATTCAATGGGTGTCTATCATGCCGAAAAAATCTCTTCATTTCAGGTGGGCCAAGGCAAGACGCTAGCGCGATACCGGGTCGAAAATCCGAGCGAGCTGCGATTGGTTCTGTCCGCCATGTTGCAGAAATTCGGCTACTCGCCGCTAAACTCCGGTCTCCTTAGTACTACCCAGGACCCGCCACTCGCGGGGGCGGCGTTGCTTTCTCCGCCGGTGCTGGTGGAGGGTCACGCGGACACGTTCCCGGCGCGGCCCGGCGCGAAGCCTACCGTCGATGAGTTGTTCGGGAATAGTACTAATTCTGCGGCTGAGGTGGCGGTTTTGAAAAATGACGATCCGGGGGACGAGCACCACTAAGAATGCCTGTGTCCTGTCAGTTATGAAGAGGATCACCAGCAGCAGCACTGTTTCGTCGCTTCGCGAACAATACGCTCCCGAACTTGAAGATGAACATATATTTGTTCCGTCCTGGTGATGCACATCAGGACGAGCGTGAAGAGCTGCAAGAAGACTTCAGGTGGAGGTAGTTCTGGCTCCCTTGGGAAGCATCCTTGGGTCGCGTTGTGCCCACAGATATATAATTTTTACACTCTACTTCTGCAATTATTTTTGCAAATGATAATGAACGTTGGTATGACTATGATTGAAGATGTCCGCTGTACGAAATGAAAACGCCCCTACTTCTTCGACCCTTTGTGTGGTTCTATCTGTATTCAGTTGATGACCCTTTATCGATATTTTGCTAGCAGTACTTACGTGCGGTCGTGTAGTGCATTGTCCAGTTGTAAGTAGTTCTGCAACTTCAAGCACATGAAGAACCATTCACCGGCGCCGAGGACCCCTCGATGACTTTGCTGAAATGGAAACACGCCAGTGCGCATTGTTATTTTTACGCGAAGATGCTTCTTGTACACTCGTACTATCACGTGTTGAAGTGGCTGAAGCTACTGTGCACAAAATAAGCTAAAGCCGATGTGCGAACATGCAGTCTGCTTGATATCATGCAGACATGACATCAGTCGTGCATGTCCGCCCGGAGGTGTAGTTTCGGTGTACATCAAGGGTTGTTCTCTTCGATCTGCGAGGTTTATTGCTCTTCTACCAACTACAACAAGGCAACAACAGGAAGTATTCTAGCTCCTGGTGGTGGGTCATGTTTGTAGAGACGGTTTACCGAATCAGTAACATGATTTCGCAAGATGACAGGAAAGCTGTGATGAATTCGAGTTCCGCGAATGTACTTGTTGACCTATGTGTTTACACTCAGCAGCCTTCAGCTTCCCGTGATTGGTGGATCATTTGAAAAAAAAGGGACGCTGCTGAAAGACGAGCATCAGTTTTTTTCATTCCGATACACCAGAAGGCACACGACAAAATGATCTGGTCTTTACCTTACTATTCTAGCAACAAAAAGATGTGGCCATTACGGGAAGACGAGTGGTCTCCATTGTTGTGCCATGATATCTTGTCATTTTTTGACCATGAAGATCAACAAAGAACGTCCCCTCCACTCGTCGTGTAGCTCCATGACCATATCATGACTCCCATGATCGGTGGCCATCCTCATTTTCTTTTCATAGTCGTTTTCTTTTGTCGATACCGCTTGTCGATCGTCGTTCTGGCCATCTAATGAGGTCCAAAAATGATCATGTAGGTACTAGCTGCAGCAGCTTCCCTTTGCTTTCCAAGTTGCCGACCAAGGCACTGGACATATTAGAAGATCAAGAATATATAGTTTTACCAAAGCAGATTCTTTTTCGAAGAATTTTTCCTCCAGCAGGACATCGTTGTAGCATACGAAAAACTTCCAGCATCAACATGCGTGTGACGCTGAGTCACTTTTTTGGCACGGTTTTCGCGGCGACCTGCCTCGTTGTTTTCCTCTTCGAGCACCGGTGGCAGGGTCGTCTGTACGAGTGCGCGAACCTGTTCGAAAAGGATATCATCTGTAAAAGCATGCCCACACCATAGTCAAGATGGGAAGTCTGCAACACAAGTTCCCAAGTTTTGGGAGTTCTGCATGACAAATTTGGCCTCGCAGTGTGATCCTGTTTAGCAAGTTCAGCAGCATCACAGAGGCAGCACAGCATGCCGATTGGAGCATGACAAATTGCGAAGCACGAATAGAAAATGCCTCTCATGGGGCTCCGCATGAGAAGCATTTTTACCATGCAGATTTACATGACAACTCGGGGGGGGGACGTTTTTACTCAGGATAAAGGACGGGACTACCTCAAAGACCTGGCCGGCGTTGCCGATTTTTCCGCAAATCTCCCTCATCGGCGTGCTCGCGCTGGTGCAAATTCTGCGCTGCGTTTCCCACACGACGTCGACTTCTGCCCGAATCTTAAAGGTGGATAAGTCGACGTGTGGTCGCGAAGAACATCAACATCAAGGAGTCACCACCAGCAGGGGGCGCAATGAGGTGGATCATAGAAAAAATAATGGGTACATCAACAACCAAACTGTGGATATGGCCGTACCACAACAACATCGAAATAAAAGGATCAACTGGAGCGCCGTCTTCGTGGCCCTTCTCTGGACCGCGCATTTTCTTGCATCCTGGCTGACGATGTTGGCCATTACACTGTGGGCCCCCGAATTTCTCCAGTACGCCTCTGCCAAGAAGCATTTCCAGGACACCTGCGGACCGCCCGCGAGCAGTTATTATAGTACCAGCGACCCGGCGCCGGCGAGTTCGTCGGCGTTGAGTTTCATCGTCCACCCGGGGCTCGCCGTGGCCTGGTATGCGTGGTTTGCGTGCAACTACCTGGTCATCCGGACGATCTACAAAACGGACCCTTTTCTGTTGCAGAATTACCTCTATCAAATGCAAAAGCGTCTGGGTCTGGAACGTTGCAAGACTTGTCATGCAAGTTTTCCATGACCCATGAGGTCTGGAATGCGAGACCTAGCGTGACAGATTCTTTCAGGCCTCTATCATGCCTTTTCTGCATGAGAAACTCCATCTCAACTTGGTCAAAAGCTGACAGCTTTGAGTACTCACGCAACACAGATTTTTGCATCGTTCAGATTTAGCATGACAAGTTGCAGTGTTCCAGGCCCAGACATTTTTACATTTGATAACCTGTGTCTCTGCCAGTGTGTCGACGATGTCGTCGTGGTGGGACGAGCAGGGGAGGTATGGCAATGCACAACTCCCCCTCCCCCTCATTTGTCATGCGAAATACCAAATCTACTCTTTTCTTTATTTTGGCACATCTTGCATGACAGATTTCGGAAGCCGAAACAGCACTAGAATCGGTAGCGAATTTGTCATGCAAAAGCTGCATTTATGCCAGCACTTGCGTTGCTGCTTATGCCATGCAAATGAGGGGGAGGGGGAGTTGTGCACTCTCATAAGAGGAACATCAACGGCGAGCACAGACACAGACACAGTCCAACCTCTGCTCACGGGAATTTTTCTTAGAAGAGGAGGTCCAACATGATGTGCAGCCGTCGCACGTGCAACAAGCGGATGTTACGAATAGAAATGTCAAAATGTTGACCAGCGCGAGGACCAGCACAGAAGACTTCAATTACGTCGCACAACATCAAGCAGATAGTCATTTATTTGGGGAGGAACAAACGACGGCAAGAACGCCAGCAGTGCCGGTTGATATTTCATCTGTAGCTGCACCGAACAGCAATACGAATACTAAATGTAGGTGCTGTGCCCTGATCTGTGCCTGTTTCTGCGGCCGTAGCTTTGGTGGAAACGACAACCAGGAGCACATCATTGACGTAGGGGCCCGGGCGCGTGAACAGCAACGGCCAGGCTTGACAGGGAGCTTGGAAACAAGTAGTTCTTCTACGTCCTCTCCAAGGCGACGACCCGTGCTGAGCAGTTTGCTTTTCAAGTTTCTCAACTTGGTTTTCTTCCTCGTCGTGCAAAACCTCACGTTCGGAACGGTGCTCTCCCACCGACAGACTACCTGGGTGCAACTGCTGTGGACGATTCGGTACCTCACGGTTGCGCTCTGGATCCAGTGCTTCATCCTGGACACACTGTACCTCAGTGTCCCGGCCGTGCCGCCTATCGTGGTGCAGTATCTGCAGCACATTGCCTGGGGCGGGGTCTTCGCCCGGGGTGGAGGTAGTGCTGGTTTTTCTACCCCTGATGATGTTGGACGAGAAGTGGGTGGAGGTAGCACTTCTTTTAGTACCGGAGTTGTAGACCCCGACGCGCCACAGCACGGCGGACGACGCATGATCACACAAAATGGAGATGGACTGGGCGACGTAAGAAATAAGCTAAAGAACTTCAACGCGGCCGCGCTGGAAGACGGCGGCCGGGATGATGAAATAAATCTTCACTTCCCGGCACCTCCGTCGAGGAAATTGTCCACGACGTCTTCAGTGGAGTTAGCCGCGAAAGCGCATGTCGTCTTTGGACCAGCAGGGCCACGACCAGGAGGGAAAAAGATAACATCAATCTCTACTTCGGGACGACGAGGCAGGAGCTACAGAAAAGAAGAAGAGGAACGCAGCACAGCGGCCCTTTGTGAAGAACAGCCACAGGAGGAAGCTCCTGCTCAAGTTGATGTAGCTGTACGAGCAAGCAGTCCTGCGCGGGCTGTTGACGAAGATGCTTTGTCACACGACGGAACTTCGTTCCTGGAAGATTTTCTGAATTTTTCCAAGGACGATAGTACTAGCAGTTTTATTGCGGAGCAGCAAGACCAGCAGCCTGATGATTTCATTTTGATGAATCGCGATCATCTCCTTCGAGATGAAGAAGAAGTGCAGAAATTTTCTCCGGACTACGTTCTCGATGACCGTGAAAACAAGCGACAACGGCGAGCTAAACCCAAGTCAAACTCAATTTCAGAACAACTTTTGCAACAGCATAACTGGCGGGGGACAGATACTTCATCTTCTCGTGCCGAATTAACTACCATGGGGACCGCAAGGACTTCGGACTGTAATATGCTGGCGCAGAGGTGGATCTCGGACCGCGATCAGGAGGAGGACAGCACTTTGCTTCGGAAAAGTCAAAGTTGCCCTCTGTCGACGCAGCTTTCACCGGTGCGAGGAGTGGAGGTTCATCGTCGTTCTGCAGGAGATGAAGTGCTACCAGTTGCACAGGAGCAAAGTAGCTTTCCCCTTCATGAGGGAGGTCGAGAAGGTCCCCTGCACGACGAAAATTCTTGTACCGACCAGCTACCCGACGACCACCAAAGGTTGCTTGCGAATCAAGAAGTTGTCCTGGAACCTCCCGCCCACTGCGACCTGCAGGACCACCTGGTGGAGCAGACACAACGAAAAATGATCGCAAGCGATGAATTTGAACCCTCAAGAAGAACACAAGGCCCTCAACACGGGGTGGTGGATAATTTCGGGTCAGCGTCTATCCCTTCTGCACCAGGGTCCGTAATAGCTGCTCCTGCGGAAGTGGCTTCTTGTAGAAATCAGCCACAACGACCTAGAGCGAGTACCAGCGATGAAGGTGCCTGTAGTAATGTTGTACTACAACCACCAGGAGTATCTCCTGGGACTACTCCACCGATGAGCCCGAGCCGGCAAAAATGGCTGCAAAACCAGAAGCAAAACGCATCATCCCGGAGCCACGACACCGAAGACCTCCTCGTCCCAAACGCTGCCAATGCCCGTGGTAAAAACTACGTCGAAAAACAAGCCCGTCGATCCTTTATTTCGAACAAGCGTGAACATCAACTCCCGGAAAAGACTAGAATCATGCGGCGCAGCACATCTAGCGCCTTTTCCAGCTCGACAAGAAATAGAAAAAGACTGCGATCTTCATCAACGGAAGCACCCTTCGGACGATCCTTCGAGGACCCGATAGCACTTCTTGCACGACCAGGCCCTTTTGACGAATGGAAAACAAATGGAAACCAAGAGGATGGTCATGGTGCAAATTCTCTTGTCGACATTTATGACGACTTGGCTCTGGACGTGTTTTCGCAGGAAGATGCAGGTGAAATGATGTTAACCAGTGGCGCAGGAACGACGACCAACGCGTCTACGGTGATGTCGATCTCGCGCCGCGTTTTTGACGAGGAGGAAAATTGGATGCAGACCGGACTTGTCCCGCGCCTGCCGGACCGTTACCAGTATTTCAAGGACTTAGAGCGGTGTCGCACCACGGTGCAGTACTCGCACGTGTTAGCACCTTTGACCTTGCTCGTCTATTTCGCTGGGGCAGCCTACTTCTACTGGTGCGCTATGGCGGCTAAGGGCGTTGAGGTGGACGGCGGCGCGGGGGGGCTGCACGGAGGAGAGGCGAAAAATGCGAACACTATGCTAGAAGTACTGCCAGGGAACCAATCCGCCTGGGAAAGCAACGAGGACAGCACTTCCTTTTATCATTTTCCGTCGTCCTCTAACTCAAACAGCGGTGAACATCATGAAGACCCATTCCCATTCTACGCAATGATACAAAATGTGCAGGAGTACTACACCTGGGGAGGAGCAGGAGGAGGACGACAAGTAACACCAAGTGCCCAAATGAGCGGCCTTGACGAAACAAACTGGTTCTCAGCACCGTGGCACTGGTTGCGCGTCTTTTTATCCGGCATCATTTTTAACAAAAAGTTTTTGTCAGCAAGCAGTGTGGTGGTTTGGCTTCTAGTTTCGATCGTGCTCCATCTTCGCGCGACCGAAATTAGGGTTTTACCAGAAAAGATCTGAGACATTTTTTTTTTGTATGAGATCAACTATAAACCATAAGCAAAGAGAAGTAGTGCAGATCCTAGTGTTCAAGGAGGATTAAGATAGGTCTCTGCTCGTCTCCTCCTCCACCGCGGTTCAATGTGATCAGCATGCGTCTTCGGGACTTGTCCGACATCAATGCGGGGCCATCCGCAATGATGTTTTAGCAAGCCGAGGCTCCTCATCCTCGTAGGTACGTAATCGCTCCACCCCGTCACGCTTGGGAAGACACAGCCAGGGCGCGCACGATCTTGCTACGCGAAGAAAGCGGGCACCCAAGAGACTGACTTTGTCTTCGACTCCATTAGCCTCTGCTATGTCTTGGCGGCTGTGTCACTGTACCTGTCTCCTTGTGCCCTGTCGCCCAAGCTGACTAGCCCAAAACAAAGCTTTTCGTTGAATAAAAAAAGGGGATTGGAAGGCATGATCATCAGCAAGGAACGACAGTGGCGGACATTTTTGGAAAGAGCAATCATGACGAGTTAGGATCTCTCGTCAGCGTAGCTAGTCTTCTTTCTGCCCTCTTCAGAGACAAAATCTGATTAGAGGAGACGGAAATTATCTCTAGAGGTCGCGCGCAAGGCACCTGCAAATTGAAGACACGTGACTGCTTTTCAACAAATAATGTCCATGGTAGCGGAATTGTCGGAACTAGGGGTCATCCTCTGCTTTCTTATCAAAGTGCGACATCTATATCTTCCGAAGAGAAGGGGCATAAGATGTTTCTTCTCTTCACCCTTGACATTGAAATTCTCAAGGTTCGTCCGTCACTTTCCACCCCCTTGAAGCCCCTCGCTACCAATTGCAAAGAAGAGCTGATTGACATTTTTTCTCAGTGTGGTGGTTTGGCTTCTAGTTTCGATCGTGCTCCATCTTCGCGCGACCGAAATTAGGGTTTTACCAGAAAAGATCTGAGACATTGACATGCTGTAGTTGTCCGGTCGTTTTGGTCTATAAGTATTGCGATCATTGCGATTGGTGCTGTCGCTGTGTCTACAGCTTCATCTACAGCCACATCCGCTCCTTGTACTAGGAGCCAAAACAGATGTACAAACCGAACACGATCTGGAGGAATCAGAGTCCTGGCGATGCACCTCCGCTCGTGCTGATGCTGTCAGAGAACGGTTTTGTGTTCGTAGGATGTGCAGGAACACGTACTTGTTTTTATCGTGTTTAATACAACTTTTAGAACCTTGCTTTATCAACATATCTTCACACTTTCTACCGATTCGTTTTCTTTGCAAGTAGTTCCCCGGATTCGTATTCGTATTCGTTGTATGATGTTGTCGGTCGTGAAAATATCTTCGGAAAAAGGATCTTGATATGGTGAAGAATGGTATGATCGTCTTCCTCTTGTTGGTACTAGTGGAGCATGTAAGTCGCCATCAAGATCTTCGTGCTAAGTAGCCCTAGACCTAGTTCATCTAGCTCCTACTACAATTACGTTGATCTCTTGGTGGTCGTGGCACGACACGCAGAAGTAGTCCAAACAGTATGTCAAAACAGTATACCGACAGTTGTGGGGCCGTTATCTGCGACGAACCAGGTCGTGGTTCAGGTCGTGTGAGCACAACCGATGAGCAACATGACGCTCATTTGACGACGCAACTGATTCTGCTGGGCCATGATCTGTCAGTTTGTGACTTGCAGCGACCGGCGTCGGTGGGTCACACGGTATCGCTGCTCCCGAGGAAAAATTCTTCTGGTGGCACTAAAACAAAAGGAAAGAAAGAGGATGTTGATAGAGAGCCTGCTTTTCTAGGCCCTGCTTCTGCTTCTGGCGGTGAAATAAAAAGGCCTGATAAAGAATACATCAAACAGGACGATGAGACACTGGTTGTGAAGAAACAAGTGAAGGGCCACGATGACCCTCGACAGGGTTGTGGTGTGTTCGACAGCATCGCTGTCGTCGCACAAGAAACAACATTATCGACTAGCCAACCCGACGCGAAGAAAGCTTCTCCCGTAGAATCAGAGGCAACCACTGCCGCTTGTTCAGGCAACTGCAACATCGCAGTCTCGTGGATCGCGCGGCCAGATACAACAGAGTCAGAGAAAGATGCGCTAATTCGAAGCGGAAGCAATGTAGTCGATAATGGCGTTTTTGTCAAACACAAACTTGCACCTCGTGAACAAGAGGAAGTAGAAAAGGAATCAAACGAAAGCCCGTATATCAAGTACCCCTTCGACTCCACGGACCTGCCACAATTTCGTTTCTTCGCCAATCACGGGCACTTCCCAAAATTTCCGAATGCGGTCACCCTCCACCTGGAGTGGGTCGCGCTGCTGGCGGTGAACCCGCTGGAAAACACGTTCAAGGCGCGCATCAACTTGATATGGCGTTCTCAAATGTTACATTCTCAACTGTTACCTAGATTTGTCATGCAAAAACGGCAAAAGTGAAAGGGGGAAGATTGCGCCTTTTGCATTACAGATTTGGCACAGATTTAGATGCTGTCCAGCCCTTCGTAGATTTGCCATGCGAAGGAGCGTAAGCACGGCGGTCTTGGTGGTAAAATTGCATGACAAATCATGTAACAGTTGAGAATGTAACGCTTGAGAGTTCCATACTTGACCGTGGACTGGTTTGACCCTGCATTCGCACACGGACCCTACATTGATAGATCCGATGAGTTCGTGTTCGCCAACACGCGGCCGGTTCTGTTTTTCGCGAACTGCGTCGAACTGACAGAGACGGCGTTTGGGCCCATGTTGCAATTGGACCACGACGGCGACAGGGAGAAGGCGGAGGGCGGTCGGCCGGCGGAGAAGGTACTGACAGCACAGTTCTCCACACCTCTAGTACGGCTTGTTACTGTTTATTCGTCGTCTCAGTTGGATTCACATTCATTTAATGCTTGAGAGTACCACGACGACATTGGGTGGCTGGGTATTGTTAATGGATTATGCCATATGGGAAGGACAGTCCAAAATTCATATGTAGTCACACTCCCCTAGGTAATGTACCGGCGCGACGGCGCTGTGAAAAATCCTCCCGGCACACTGCGGAAGTCCGGTTTTTTTACCGGCACCTTTACCGAATCGTTTCAGCTCCGCGAGTTTCCCTGCGACGTCCAAAGCCTAACGATACAGATTCGCATGTGGGGGGCCGGTATGCATTGCAAAAGTATCGTACTCGTATAAATGCATGACAAATTTTTGTTCCCTCAGCATGAGAAACCAAATGTGTAATGTGGATCTACCTTGAGTAAAAAATTTGTAATGCATGACTGCAACTACTACGAGTGCGATGGTTTTACATAGGATAGCCGGTGTGGCCGCGAACCCGGACTACGGAAAGTATTTCGTCGGAAAGCGGAACCGGATATGATCCACAAAAAAGACCAAACCCCTTGATTGTTGTTCCCCACCAGCATCGAATTTGTCTCGCAATAAAGCATGCCTCAAACCTGCCTGTGCTCTTTGTCATGCAAAAAATGGATGGAGATCGATAGGTCTTTTCCTGTGGATATCGGATCAACCAGAAAATGATGGGGGAGAGCTTGATTGACGAGTGGAACCTGCATCCGCCGGGGGCGCAAGTGTTTGGAAACCGGTTCGAAAAGCAGAGTATGCATCGCAAAAGTAATAAATCGTATGTGGTAGAAATTCCTGAAAAGAAATATAGAACTGAAAATTGTATATGCTGATAGATTTACCTAACCCGCCTAAGAGTCGAGGTTTGTGATGCATTAAATTGCAATTTTTACTACGAGTGCGATACAAGAAGAACTTTTGCACTGCATACAGAAGTTTGAATCGACCTTGATCATATCGCGCAAGCACCAGCACTTCACGCGGTCGGTGCTGTTTCCGCTGCTCGGCTTGACCTGTTGTGCCTTCACGAGCTTCATTCTACCCGTTCAAGATTTACCGGGCCGGCTGTCCATTGTTTTTACCATGCTTTTAACCGTAGTGGTATGAAATACATCAAATTTTCCGTACAACAGGTACAAAATTATGCATAACAAACTAAGAACTTGATGAAGTATCCAACGCAACCTGTCGTTCTGACTGAGATTGGAGGCATGTTCTGTGATGCAGAGACAGCATTTGTACGTTGTGCTCGTGTGCGGGAAATTTCCTGTGGATAGCTCGCGTTCAAACTGGTCATCGGGGACAAGTTGCCGCGCCTTGCCTACGCGACCAAACTGGACTTCTATGCCGATTATCCTCTGCAAAAGCGTCCTCACCTCCGCCCAGAGTTGTCAACATACTGATTTGCAATGACAGGAACGTTTGTGATGCGCATCTCCATGATAAGTACTTATTTCCAACGACCGTGTGGTGGGATTTGCAATGCTGTATACAGGATAAGCAGATGGTAATGCGGCTGTCCTTGCTAATACCTGCACTACTACACTACGGACTGCTACGTGTCATGCTTGACGCCCAAAACTTCTAAGTTTGTGTTGCAAGAAAATCCCCATCTTTGCTCTGGGTAGGTGGGGACGTTTTTAGTTGGGACGCCGAGTGCTGTTTGTTCACGGTGGTTTTGATCTGCTTGGAAAATGTGATTGGCTACTACTGGTCTGAGCAACTGGAGCAGATCCAGTGCCATAATCTGCCCTTCACGTTTCTGTGCAGTTTGTGGCTGGCTTTCAACGTCCGATTTGGCTGGCAGTACTTGCGAGCAATCTCTTTGCCGAGGAAAGTCTTCGGAGAGCCCGTGGACTGCGAACCATCCTTGGGATCGGACTCCCTGTTTTCCGGCAATGAAAGGCTGACCAGGATCGCGGAGGCCAGGGTTCGAGCTGGGCGGTGAAGCTCTAGTATAGTTCTCCGCATATAATCAACCGATCACAGCAGACTTCAAATTCCTGTAGCTATGTCGCGGGTGCAATCTTCAAGGTACTACTTAGTCCCCTTCCAATAGCTCTAGTTGTACATATACAAGAACTCGCGGCCTGCTGTGGTGTAGTGTCACATGCGCGGCGCTTTCCGTCCGAAAATTTTGCTGAGGAGCACCGAAAATTTTGCTGAAGAGCACGGAAGAGCAAAATTTTGGTGAAAGCACGGAGTTGGACTGTAGGGCCTCGGAACAATTGAAATTGATGCCATGCCCGGGCATGAACAGAAAGCAAGAAAGAAAGCAAAATTTAATGAAATACCCGTGGTCGTGTAAGTGCATACTTTTGATGATGTGTCTGTTGATCTCCAGCATTTTTCACAATTGAAATCTGATCAAAGAACGCAGATATTTTTCGTTGAAGAGTTGTAGTCGGCTCAATAGATCCAAACTTTTCGACAAAAGCGAGTTCTTCTTGGGTCCAATAAACAACATTTCATTGTTGACGAACAAGAAGAGTCTACTCTCGAATGCTCCAGAAATTGTTTATGTTCTTTCTTCGGAATGATGAAAATAGCAGATGATCCTCGATCTCACTCTCATTATCCTTCGTCGGTAGAGAAACCGCACGAAGGAGTGTTTGCTCTTGGAGAGTTCTTACGACTCATTTTCGAAGACAGAAATCTTTTTTTTACATGAATTTGACGAACACCAGGACCACACTTTTTAGAGATTTTCATGGTTCCGTAGGAGCGTAGTTTAGTACAGCCCCTGCTCGGAAGATCAGGAATAAATTACTCTTTCTTCTGTAGTACTCCGTCGAAAAATTTGAAACTACACAGAAAAAGAATCATGTTTGGTCTCTACTTTTGGACGACACAATCGCCCGTGCCGGAGCCACCGGTGGCAACTACTGCTCTACCTCTAGTGGCGTGGAGATCAGTTGAGACCCTGATAGTGTGCCTCGTAGCTGCGCGAGCGATAAGCCGGGCGGTTCAGTTCGAAAGGAACGTCGTCTCACGGAACAATAAGAGCAACAATTCCAAAAAATCAACTACGAGCACCAGCTGCACTGCCGGACTAGAAGTACTTCAAAGTAAGGAGCGTGGTCTCTGCTACTACTACCGTCGGTTCCTTCAGTTTATCAACATTCTGACGAAGGCTGCTTGTTTTCAGGATCATGTTGATCAAGAAGACCAAGAAACCAGCTGCGCAGAAGCAGATGAAAGAAAAAGACCCGCAAAAGAACGAACCGCAACTACTGGAGAAATATTAAACACGGCGCGACATGTTGATCAGGCGCTTGTTCAGAAGATCGTGGTTGAAGAAGATGAGAAGGAGCTCCAAGATGAACGTCGACCTCATGAACTACAAGTGGAGGACGCTTTTCCATCATCATCATCATCCTCGTCCCAATTATCACAATCCCGAACGAAAACGAAACTTCCATCTGGCTCAACCGGGCGGAAAATCCAACAGGAGATGCTGGTGCGCAACCTCCAGTTTTTCGGAGAAGAAGGCCAGAAGCAGGTGCAGAACGGGTTCGCCGTCGTGGTTGGGGTTGGTGGGGTCGGGAGCCACTGTGCCATGGCGCTGGCTCGGTCCGGCGTCGGCCGCATCCGCATCATTGACTTCGACATGGTCTCCCTGTCGAGTCTGAACCGCCACGCCTGCAGCGCCTGGGAGGACGTCGGGAAGGAGAAGGTGTTTGCGGTCAAGGACTACATTTTAAAAGCAAACCCGTTCTGCCAAGTGGACGCCAGGCAGGCGCTGTTCAGCTTGGACCGAGCGGAAGAGCTCCTTCTGGACGAATTTGATGTAGTTGTTTCGGAGGACCACGGTCGTGCTAAAAATTACATCTCGACGTCCACCTCTCGTCCCCACGAGGACCTGCAGAACCTCAACTCTACAGCTAAGCCGGATTTCGTTGTGGATTGCATTGACAATTTGCCGACGAAATGCGACCTGATCCAATTCTGCAGTCTGCACCAGATCCCCTTGGTGGTCTCCGCAGGGATGGCTGCGAAGGCAGACCCGACGAAGTTGCGCCTGGGCTCCTTGACGGACACGGTGGAATGCGAGCTTGCGAAGCGGGTGCGACAGGAGCTGCGTTTGAGGAACAGTAAAGCTGTGGTCAACATGTCTTGTTCCGTGTCGAAGGACTCTATATTTTGTCGTGTAGATGAGGATCATGAAATCGTCGAATCAGCCAAGAAGAACGTCGATGAAAAGAATTGCGACAGTACACCAAGTACTTGTTCCGAGGATAATTATCGTACGGCGGATCATAAACAAGCCGGACTGCTTCGAGGACCACTGGAGCAACACGAAGATCTTGGTCCCACGACGAACGTAGGAGGCGAAGATGGGGTAATATTGAAGACAGATACAACTACTTCCGGAGCCGCCGCGTCTTCCCCCTCTCCTGTTCCTCCTGCACTCAACCACATCGTCGACCTCGACGACATTATGGTCTGCTACAGCGTGGAGCGCACCGGGCGCAGTCTGATGCCGCTGAAGGAGCACCAGACCCCGGAGAACGCCAAGGACTTTGCGCCCCTGGAAAACTTTCGGGTGCGGACGCTTCCGGTGACCGCCCCGGTCCCCGCGTGCGCCGGCTACACCCTGGCGAGCTTCGTGCTCGCGGAATTGTCGGGCCAGCCGCTGCAGGCCGAACGGGAGCCGCTGAAAACCAAAACGTGGCGGCGGTACTTGGAAAAGGCCAAACTGATGCTCCCCTTCGAGGCGCACTGGGTGAGCTGCGAACACGCGGAGATTCTGCTCTACGACGTGTACAAAAGACGGGGCTGCCTGCAAGACACGAAAGGCGAGCAGTTGCAGCTCGTGCCCGTAGATCCGGAAGTGCTAGGGCAGTGTTTGATGAAAGTATTAACGTTGGAAGGGAATAAAAAAACTAGTTGTACAAGCGGGGACGCAAAAATTCTTGCAGAAGTTGACGAGGAAGATAAAACGTTGACAGCGGAGACCAAGAACTCAGGTACTACACCTGCGAGTTTCGTTGTGGCGGGAGAAGATGAACACGTCGTGGCCCCTGCCACCACGGAGCAGAAGTGCGTCGAACGTGAGAATGCTGTGCATGCTGAAGACAGCGACCTTGAGCATGACACGGCCTTTGACCTCTTCGATGCGCCGATAACGGAGGAGGATCTTGCACCGCCCCCGAAGAAGTTCTACAGTTTCCCGGAAAATTGGGTGCTGGTCAACAAAAACGAGGCCATGGCGATCGTCCGGTGGTACAAGGGGTGGAATACTAGTAGATCTTCGAACAATGTTGATGGGGACAACGCGGCCGAAAGGAAGGAAACCGTTCAACATCCAGTCTGGAGCGGTCCGATTCCCGAATTCATGAGCGAGGAGAAAAATATCCAACGCTTGCAGAATTGTCTCAATAGAGCTAGGCTAATCCTGGGAGATGATCATGATGTTGGTCAGTAGAAGATCCCGGTAGCGGTTTGAACATTGAAAGTACTTTATGTAGTCAGTCACACACAACTGCTAAGACGAACCGACTCGGACGCGGCCCGCTGACGAGTTCTAAATAACCGCGACACGTTTTTTTTTTCTCTTTGCAACAAACATGATGTGGATTCGCTATCAAGATCAACATTTCTGTGCACCACGACCACATTTTTCGCCACGACAATCGCACGCTCACGCAATTGCTCATATGATGTTTCCATCTGTTGATGTTGAACCTAGATCCAAGCAGGAGGGTCGTGGCCTTTCGTTTATCAATACATGCACTTTTGTTCAACATCCATCGAGGAGTGTAACAAGAAGAAGGTCTTTCTATGCGCTCTGTTTTTTTCCTTTTTGGTCAAAGTCAAACAGGAGACCGAGACGTCCAGCGGCCATATTTCTTTTACCATTCCACGAGAGAAGAAGTCACGCTCAGCGCAGTGTGAGAGCAAGAGCAAAAATTGGCTGCACCTGCAGCCTAAGCCTTCATAATTGAAATTTTTACGAGTCGACTCTTGAAATTAAAGATGTTGCGTCTGCGTCCGTTCTCAATGTTGGCCGCTCTCCGTGGTCTCTATTTTGTTGTTGCTTGCCTCACCTGTGTACAACTATCGAGCAGCTTTCGCTCGGTAAGCGGAGGCGCGCTTCGGAGGCAGGGATTGGAGGAATTGAAGAGACGGAACCGCCTCATGGCAGCCACAAGTCTGCGCATGGACATTCCAGTTGGGCATAGAATAATGCTGCCAGAAATACAGGACGAGGCATCTGCAAAGGGCGAAATTTACAACGAGGAGGATAGGAAGACAGAATCTGCGTTACCAGAAACAGAAACTGCACGACCAGAAGTTACACAGCGAGAGCGGGCCGAGGACGAAGCCCTCATGCAGAAAAACACCACAATAACCACCGCATCGGGGTCACTTGATGAAGTCACGTTGTTTTTCGAGGAGCACGAGAGCTGGACCAATGAGGACGTCGCGGACCCGTTCTTTTTCGACCACCCCTGGGGCTTCTGCCGCGACGACCGGGCCCACCGACAGAAATTGAAAGCGGTGAAAGAGTTCCGGAGGATGGACGAACTGGTGGAGGCGCTGAACCACAAGGAGATCGCCAATCGTCGGGACGGGTGCGCGATGGAGAGCCTGTTTACCGAGGAGAAAAACATCCCCGACGCCGTGAAAAACTGCGTCGCGGAGAAGGGGGGCATGCCGCATCCGAGCAAATTGGTCAACGCACGGGGGAAACGGGCCTCAGGAGGCGCGGCTGATTTTGTTCTTCGGGATGCAGCTTCTCTTGGCGGAGAAAAAAGTAAACGTAAAGAAGGGGTCAGTACTGCTAGCGCCACAAGTTCTAGAAGTAGTACCTCCTCGGAAGTTCTTCCTGCAGATCTTGATGAACCACACGCACTGCGACTGCCCTCCGCTTCCGGAGGTGAAGGTGCACTGGAAGATACTAAACAGGAAAGAGGAGAAATTGAGAACCCCTCGACATCCGCTAGTAAAACGACCGCAGCAGAGACCGCAGAGGACGGTGAAGACACAAAGAAAAAGGTCCTTCTCATCATTCTCGATATGCTCAGCTTTCGTGAAGTGCTTCGCAGCCTGCCGAAGACGATGCTGTACCTGTCGCAGTACTTGAATGCTACAATTTTCGACAACTTCAACGTCGTCGGGCCGATATGGACAGGAAATTCATTATGCCGTAATAGTTGTACACAGTTTCAATTTATTCTTATTGTACTTACAAATGCACTACCTTCGAGGTTTTTGTAGTAGCGTACACCAAATGCCAACATGCTCTCCCTCATTCATTGGGGGATGTTGAAATGTGTACGATGCATTTTGTGTGTACGGCAAAAAATTTGTATTCTTGCATAGCCGAATTCTCCGCTGAATCAGTATCCCATGGCGCACGGCGAACCCTTCCCCGCCCGCCCCGGCGTGAATATTACTATCCTGAGTAAAAACGTCCCCATACCAGAGTCAACGTGGAAAATCTGCTAGACAAATCGGCCAACTTTGGTGGTCTCGCATGACAAGTTTGTCCTCGTAGTGTAGTCCTGTTTAGCTAGTTCAGCAGCATCACAGATCTAGCATATCATGCTATTTCTAGCATCACAAATCCCAAAACGCGACTAGAAAAAGCTTCTCATGGGGCTTCGCATGAGAAACTTTTTTGGCATGCAAATTTGCATGACAACTCTGGGGTGGGGATGTTTTTACTCGGAATAATTACCGGGCAGAAGTTTTGGCGTATGGGATTCTCAAGCGTTACACTCTCAACTGTTACACGATTTGCCATGCAAAATTGCTACCAGCTGCCACACGATCAAGCTACTTCGCATGACAAATCCCCCAAGTGCTAAACAGGCTGATAATCTGCGCCATATTTGTGATGCGAGAGCTGCAAGCTACCCGATTTAACCTTTGCTGTTCGTGCATCACAAACTCATGTAACAGTTGAGAGTGTGACGGTTGAGAACTCTATATGGCGCGACCGCGACGTGTGGACGGACAAGGAGAAGCACATCCTGAGCGTCGCGCAGCAGGAGGGCTTTCGCACCTTCGCCGGCTGCGACTGCAGCCTGCACACGCGGTTCCAGAAGTGCTACTGCCTCAGCTACTGGATGCATTTCGCCGAGCTGCAGAGCCAGTACGCCGCGCGCACGTGGTCGCCGGTGAAAGGGTGGTGCAGCACGGGGCGGGCCACGCAAGTGTTGTCTCCGGCCTTCAACGCGACGCTGCAAAACGGCACGGCGGTGCGGTTGCGCAGTTTCAAGCGCTGGGGCCACGGGCAGCGTCCGGACGCGGACAAGCTGGGGCTGAAGCCCGGGGAGAAGGTCCAAGGTGCGCCAGAGGGTCGGCAATTCCTCAGCAGCAGTACGGAGTTGCGAATAAGGAGGACTGATGGAGCAGAGATCAGAACTGGCACAAGTAGCTCAGCAGCTATTGTGGAAAACAAAGGCCGAGGGGAAGATGTTGACCACGGGAACGATGGTACTGCAGCGACACTTGCTCCGTCGGAAATCTTCGAAGCAGAGTCAAGCAGTGCAAGTGTAATAACCTCCTCCGGGATTCAAGTTCAACATCTCCCCGCAACATCCAAACCGGCCAACACCATCGTGAACGCGTGGAGCGACCAGGAGAAGGAGGGCGAGCAGCTCGCCAAGCAGCTGGACGCCGGCGTGGTTCCGGAAGGTTTGGAATGTCGCACCGAAAACGGGTACAGCGTTTGTTTTGATCGCGTGACGGGCGAGCGCCTGATCCATGTCGCGCCGATGGAAACGGGCGCGAGCTACTACTTTGGCGGCGGCCAAGAAAACGTGCAGGAGTCGCTGGGCCTGAAAACCCTTCTGAAAGAAAAAGAAATCGCTGAAACCGACAGCACCGTGCGGCCCGGAACAATAATAGCTGGAGCGACTACAGGTGGAGTTGTAGATCCACCGGACGACGACGGAAAAGGAACTACAGCTGGATCTACTTCGTCTTCTTTTGGCAAAAATACAAAAGGCGTTGGAAAACAAGGACGGCGCACCGGGCCGTCTTCCACGATCCAAGACCCTTCGATAGAGCTGGAGTCGGAGCATCAAGTTTCCAAGCTGTTACTTGAAGACCTCCTGGATTTCTACGACGTCTTCAAGGACGAAAAGGCCTTTGCCGTGGCCTATTTCGACGAGGGACACACCATGCTGCACCCGAAGTACCGCCCCGGCGCCCCCGTGGTGAACAACATGGATACGTTTTTTCGCGATTTTTTCCGCGAGCTCTTCCTGCGCCACCCAAACTTGTCCCTGATCCTGTGCTCCGACCACGGCCGCATCCCCCCGGTGTCGCCGTTTTTGGAACTCCAGGCCTTTCACCACCGCAATCCACCCCTGGTGGTCAAGCTCGGGAAGGACCAGAAAATTGGTGCTAGTGCTCCCAGCACGACCCCTCCTGCAGCTGGTTCAACAGCACCAAATGGCGTCGAAGTCGTTCCTCAACATCTGGGCGCTGTTTTAGAGCAAAACTTGGCCACCTACGCGGCGGAGAAACCTCTGTCGCCCCACCATATTTACGACGTTTTGTATTCCGTCATAACGTCAGGCAAAAAGTCGCCCGGCGCAGCGGCAAGCGCCACAGGAGCAGTAGAAACTACTATAACTCCTAAAGTAGAACAAAGATACCAGTACCTCACCGCGGACAACCAGGTCCCGACCGAGTGGAGCTTCGAGAGCATTCTGCACTTCGAGTGGCCCGCGAAGCTGCAGCGCGAGTTCTGCACCGCGATCGCGGACAAGATTACGCAGTATCGAGGCGGGTACCACGCCTACAAACGCCGGCAGGTCCAGATCGGGGACATGCCGCGGTCCGTGTATGAAATGCAAAAGTTTATTACCGTACTAGTTAGTGGCAACCGCATGACAAACTTCTTCAGCATGAGATTGAGAAACAGGATTTGTGATGCGGATGCACCTCAAGAAGGGGATTTATAATGCATGACTGCGATAATTACTACGAGTGCGATAGTACTTCTTGAGTGGATACCTTGCTGCGCACCCTGAAACCGGAGGACGACGTGGAGAACGTCGACGAAATATGCGTATGACAGTGCACAACTCCCCCTTCCCCTCATTTGTATTGCATGAACAGCAATACAGGCGCCAGCGACCCTGGAGCCTGTGCATGACAAATCTATGCACTTGCTGTAGTACTGTTTGGGCTCCTTTCGAAATTTATTCAGTCATGCAAACAGTGCCACGAGGCAGTGAGGACTGGATTTGGGATTTTGCATGACACATGAGGTGGGGGCGGGAATTGTGCACTGTCATACTGCGACCTCCCCTTCCACGAATCCCCCTGTCGTGTGGTCCAGTCCAGCTCGGCCCTGATCCGCCCGAGCGAAACAAGGGATAACAACAACCGACAGAAGGTGCTGGACTCTGCAACCGTGAACGTGATCGTGGAATTCGCGCAGGAGCACTTGGTCTACTCTTCCATGGAGGGGCTCGAACATGATCAAAGTTCAAAAAATCCCAAACCCGAACAGGCGGTCAACGGCAAGTTCCAGTATAGTGCGGTGATTCTGCTAGACTCCGGGCGCGTGGACGTGCGACACTTGGCGGAGATCACGGTGTACGGGCACTACACAAAGTGCATCACCAAGTTCATGGACGAGGCCAGTATGAAGAGGAAAGGACTGTCCCCACAGTGGTGCAAGTGCATGAGAATATTGTTCAATCAGGAACCAACCGTGCAGCCGGGGTTTCTGTAGAGATACCTTTTGACATTGCAACAACACATGGTGCAACAATAACACTATTCCACATGCTGAGGTCGCTGCGCTGCTTCTCGTGTTCTCGATGCGACAGCAGATGCTGCATCGTGCGTTCAATATACCCCGATTTTTGTCATCTTCCCTTCGTCAAAAGAAGGAGCATGTGCGACGCTATCGAGAGCGAGAGACCTGCGAGAGGAGTCTGCTTATTCATGATACTGCGATTTACCACTACCAAATGGAATAAAAAACAGCAACGGACGAGAGGTAGGTACTGGCACGTTGCAAAAGCGTATATCTGGAGCTTGCTCGAGTTGCACGTGCGTTGTACCAAAGCCGAAGGCAGAGTATAGAGAAATTTGGCCATGATTTGCGCTTTGCGGCAGCACGGACGACAAACATCCGCACTCTAAACCGGACCTTGAAAACATTCAGATATTCCGTGGTGCTGGAGATCATTCACAAATGTTTGAACTGTAATCTAGTAGTGTAGTTACGTCGTTTTTGTCGTTATTGGCAGACTGAATCGTCGACACAAACAGCACGATGGCCGACTTCCTGCAGCTTCTCCACACGACATCGGACATGACGCCCGACAGTGTCCGCGGCAAATCCAAAAAACAGGACAAGGATATTTTGCGGAAAGCGTTGTGGGTGTCGGCGCGCACATCAGAGGAAAACTGCTGTCAGCACCACCAGGAGCGGACCGTCGCCATCAAGCCAAAAGCGTTCGGAAAGTGCGGCGACGTCCATGGCAAGAACCAGTTGTGGTCTCTGTTTTTCGTGAAGACGACAACCGGTAGTGCGCGAAACCACACCTTCGCGAAGTTTGTGCTCGCCCCGAAGAGTTTTGACTACATCAACCAAGGCAGTGCAGAGGCGCAGGGGCCCGACGACTGGGACCACGTGGCCGACCTCGAGTTCGACAGCCGCTTTCTCGGAAGCTTCTACAAGTCGCTGCAGGAAGAATTGTTCCTGTCCATGCGTAAGAAGCACAGCACAAATTTCAACTGGGCGAAAAACGACCACGTGCACATCGGTATTCTCGGATTGCAAGCCATCACGGATTTTCGCGAGGTCAAGCAGGGTAGTAAGAAGGCAGCAACGAAGATGAGCGGAACAAGTGCAAATAACATTTCCAAGTCAACTGCCGCTCCTTCTAACACCAATCTACATGAACCAGCCTCCGACGAGGACGACGAGTTTGAATACAACGAATGCCAGGAGATCGACGACGAACGGGAGGAGACGATGATCAAGCACGTGAAGAAAAACGGGTGCATCAAGTTTTGCAAGGACCCAAGCGTTGACTTCTTCCCTGTCAGCGACACTGCCGACGCCGCCTTTCAGCACTACTGCCGTGCTTTCTGCGTTTGGAAGTGCAAGCGCAAATCCTGTAGCAACACATGGACGTCGGCTTGGTGCTGGTTCAATATCAACACGGAGAACGGGTCGCAGAAATCGGGGTAATGTTCTACATCATCTTCATCTATGCCAACAAGTAAAGAGAAGGTGATCGTGGTTTATTGAGGACAATAAAGTAGGCCTTTTTATGCCAAAAGCGCAAGCCATGCCAACATGGTCACCAATAGATTAAGATGATGCGCTTGATGACTCTTGGTAAGTAGTATTCTTTCATACGTGATCGTGAAAGTCCTTCCTTCTGGTTTTCGTTTGATGCAGAAGATATTTGCAGCTCAGTCGGAACTACAGTAGCACAACATCCGGCAAACTAAATCAAACAGTGCCCGGAAGGGGTTCGAGAACCAGTATTGCAATAAGTGTTGGAGGAAAGCGGAAAGGGAAAAACTTCCTGCGGAGGAGCACTGGGTGAACGGCAAAGTCGCATCCTTCAAAAAGCCTGATGATACGCGCGCGGTCATCCGAAAGGGCTTCGGTAAACGCAACGCTCATCCGCACGATCAGGCCATTTGTCAAGTTTGCCAAAATCTCCGCGCCCAAGGCTTCGAACGCGGCTGCAACACGTTCTCCCGGTGGACGAAACAAGGAAAAATAAAAGTGAGTCGAAGCGGTTTCAAACTTGCATCGACAAGATAAGATGTAAATGTCTATGCTCTATTCCCGTACTAAATCGAATCGACAACTGCAACCTTCCTCAACAGGGAAATCGTTGTCTGGTAGACATTTACCACTCTGTAGTGCCTGCAGCTTCATGTACAGGCGTTTTGTGTTTTTGGCGAATTGAAGTGAACAATATGAATCGTCTCTCTGTTGTAGGAACTAGAGCTAGAGATTGAAATCGGCATTAGGAAAATTTTCCAAAAATGAACAGTGCTGCATCCGTGATTATCCGCTTCTCTATTGCTGCAGGCTCTTCCTCTTCCAAGTTTGTCCTCTTCCAACTTTGGTTTTTTTGCAAGCGTCGGAACGACAACGAACTGCGCGAAAATAGAGATCGCTCTGCTCATCATCTTCCAGAATCGAGTCCAATCGTGCAGCCGTGGTTCGTGAAGGCAAGTTGTGGCTCCGCATATAGAAGCCTTTTCCCATACAGGAGCACGAGTCGCATGTTATCCCTGCGGAGACACTTCGGCTCTCTGTTCCCTTTCTTGTGCCTGTGCCTCCGAGCCTAGGCATTATTTCAACTTTCCGCTTCGGGTTGCGAAGATGGTCCGCAAGGTCAAACCGCAACCAATCAAATATCAATCGGTCAGCATGTGGAGCGCAAATTTGAAACAAAAAGAGTGAGATTGCGAGTGGTTTGATTTAGGTATAATGGTATTTCAGCTTCACTAGGAACAGGAAGGGTAAAGAAAACGACAACAAATGCAGCTAGTGGCGCTGTTCAACAACAGCATCGTCTTCTTGCAGCTCCGTGTTAGTGCCTGCTTCTAAGGAGAGATCTTTATTTGGCAAAAACGCGTATTCACGTTGACGGAGTGTTGAGGAGCATGTGTTTGTGTAGTTATCTGGCAAAAAAAAGTCCTTGATCTTCATCTTGGTGATTGTAGCAAAGACGCAAAAACAATCTTTGCCCCTTATCAGAGTCGATTGTGGTGGACACACGGTATCACACCGAAACGCATCACACCGGCTACGCTTGCAAGCAAGGAAAACTAAAGACCGAGACTTGAGTTGTGCTTTCTGTCTTTTGTACAGCCGACTTCATTTGTTCGTCTATTTGCACAATTTTCGGTCCTTGTCGACTGAAATTGATACCTTCATATACCCCATAAATTTTTCCCACCTACAGCTACAGTTTGCCTATGAACATTCTGTATTCTACCTCTCATGGACAGTGACTTGAAGGACGCAGCAGCCTCGGGCAGCTGCCCGTCGCCATCGGGCCGCACCTCGTCCAGCAAGGCGAACACATCTACTTTGGAGGAAAGTCCGGGTATCCTGAGTCCTCCGCACCCACGAAGCCGGCGTGCTGCCGGTGGACCACCGGTTGCCGGAGCCGCGAACCAGAACGAGGAGCGCGTGACGTCACCCGTGTACAAGAAACGAGTCGCACTGGCGCCAAGGAAAAACGCTTTGTATGCCTTTGCAGACGCGGTTGCGGGGCACCACGGTAGAAGTGGTGATAAGAATGCCGGCGCACCTCCAGAGGTGCAACGTGGAGGACCTGTCGGACAGAATCAGGACCACGGGGAGGAGGTCGTCAAAAATCTGAATCAAGATGACGACCCTGTCCAGCAGGCGCTCCTGCGGTCGGTGTCGCGCCAAGGGGAGGAGCCACCAACGTCCGCGTCGCACCAGAATACCGGCCACAACCGGAAACAACATGTTGGCTGTTCCTCTTCTTTCACGCCGCCATACAAAAAAAGCGGGAAGATGGACAACGGCGCTGCAACTACGGAACAAGCAACTTTACCGAGGAAGTCCACTTTTGTTGCCCTCGCGTCTGTTCTCGCTGTGGTCTCTGCCGTCTGCGTCGTCTCTGCTTTTTCCTACCACCGCAGTGGGGTCTCCGACGTCCGGACGCGGCCAGGAAGCACGAACGAACGAGGAACCGGTACTTCTACAGCGATCATGTTGGAGGAGGCCAGGATGAACCAAAAGTCAAAAATTGGCTCTGCTGCTGACATTGTGGACGCGTTGGCAGCCTCTTCACAGAAATCACCGACTACTGCAGCTACGAATGGCGACCGAGGACCGGAAGAGGGGAAAAACCATGAAGCTGCTGCACTGGAAGTCGCTGCTGCCCGCCGTCGTGAGTTGTACGTTTCTCCCAGAAGCAAGGCGACAGCGACCGAGATTGGGGACGTCGACGGCTGCAAAGTATCCTGTGATGAAAGCTGCACCATCATGGTACTACTACTAGTACGGCTTTTGCATTTTGACAAGGCAAAAGTTGAAGACGATGATGAATTTGGGATTTGAATGAAGTAAGAAATCATGGCGAAACTCGAAGTATGGAAAAAATGTGTACTTGGAAACACAAAATATAAACTCAGGTCTTTCTTCCGCCACTCCAGACCAGCGGGAGATCAGGAAGAACCCGGACCACGACCAAGGCAGCAGCATGCAGATTGGCGGATACCTCCGACTCGCTGGTGCGCTGGTGCTTTTGCTTTACCCGATGAGCAGTCGGAACGCCTTGGATTTCTTTGTATCCACAGTATATTTCCCGTGCACGACGTGCAAATGCTGTTTCTGCATGACAGAAGTCCCACTCAACAATCTCAGTCAGCATGACAAGTTTGACGCTCCAAGTTAGCGAAATTTGTCATGCATTTTGTACATGTACGGGAAATTTGTATTGCATACTTCGACTGCATGGAGCATAACGACCAAGAGTCGACGACGCACCGGATTTTTCGTCATGTGGCCTGTGGGCAGGACCAGCGAGATGCTGATGGCTCGCAGAACGCCCACTCGGAGTACTTCTTTCCGGCGATCGCCGTTGCGCTCATGGCGTTGTCTGCGCCGATCCTCTTCCTGGCGGTGGGGAGTGCGCTACTGCGCTGGAACCTAGGCTCTCTGGCGAGCAACGAAAGACTACTTAGTGCATGGAGAACAGCGGAGGTGGGCTCCAAAAATAGACCAGCAGAAAGTGCGGCGGAAATGCAGAAAAAGAAGTTGCAATTGGTGGACCACCACAAGGACAACTCATCATCTTTTGCAACTGAAACAGGAACAAAAAACGATGTCACCGCTGCGCAAGTGTCAACAACTCTTTTGGCGCGCATTGCACAACTTGAGGACTTTTTCGGCTTTGCGTGGGCGCCGTTCCGCAGCGAATTTTACTGGTGGTGCATCGTGGTGCTACTCAAGGATTGCGGCTTTGCACTGTCCGCAATTCTCTTTCGCGACGGGTACTCGCAAGTCACCTGTGCAACCTCGGTGCTCCTGGTGTACCTCCTCAGCACGCACCTGTTCCGACCCTTTGCCAGCGCGACGGCGAACGCGCAGGAGCTGCTGCTGACCCTCCTCCTCGTGATTCTGGGGTTCGCCGCGACGGGTGTGGGGCTGGATTCCGAAGTAATGTCCACCGGAATGTCGTCGGCTGCCGGTGGAGGGGAGCAGACAACTACCTTGACGGCGTCGAGTACTGCATCTTCTACGGGTACTAACAACACCCCAGTTGCTGTTGCGGCCAACAGCAACCAGACAGCAAACACGCAGACCCCGCAGCAAGTACTGGTTGACACGAGTACTAGCGAAATTGCCACGAAGACCAGCCACACGGTCCTACTCTTCTGGCAGATCTTGGGCTTGATTCTGCCCGTCATGTGCTTCCTGGTTTTGGTGGACGATCACTTCACTCTTCGGGAGCGAGCCCGTCTGTACTTATTCCGGCGGAAGCGAAGCAGATCGGCTGAAGAGGACCAGCCATCGACGAGACAACATCGTGTGCGCCAGTTGCTGCAGGAGGTAAACGGATTCTTCTCGCTGACGAGCAGCACGCCGCAGCAGCACGGGCAGAGAGCGCTGCAACTACAGGAGATGAAAAATAAAAATTGCGAAGAAATAAACACGAAAATCACTAAGCAGCAGGGCGTCACTAGCGATTCCTTGTTGAACAAGATGCGAGGACCCTTCGCTTCCTGTGAAGAAGACCAGGCTGCTTTAGAGTCTCTCAACCGGTTCGATGCAGAAGAACTTGCCCAACTGGAGCGGGCCCTGCTGATAACCAGACGTGTCGCGAAGGGCAGTTCGGGCGGTTACCGACGAGGGGCACAGAACAACGACAACCTTTTACTGCAGGCTAGAAGTAGCAACGAACGGAATCAATATGACGCGAACAGTCTGCGCGTCCTGCACGGCGTCGCGGGACAGAAAGGCGCTGCGGAACAAAGTCGTCAATCTGCACAGAAGCGCGACCTGTGGTTCGATTTGAACAGTGGGACCACGAACAAGCAAGCTCCACCGCAAACCAACGCCGATGGGCTTGACAAAATGAACGAGAAAGTCGCGCACGTTCTGCGAAAGATGTCCACTGCAACTAACAAAAGCGACGCGCTTTCTGAGCAAATCCGGAACATGAACGGGCGGTGTGCTGGTGGTCCTGCGGACGAAGAGGACAAGTTGCACACCTGTGCTACCGTCGTGCACGAAGACAAGATCGGCACGTTGCAGCAAGCAGGCTCGACGTTGCAAGAGGAGAAGAGCTTCAAGGATGAAAAGCTGCCACGGGAAGGGGGGACTAATGAAGTTTTGCAGCGACAGGAGGAGGTTGCGGCTGATGCAGAAGGATTGAAAAAAAGCGAAGGTCAAAGTGCAGACGAACATCAGAAGGAAGATGGCCACAGCGTCAACGGGGAGGAGGAAACCAAAAAGTAAGTGAAGTCTTCGTGACACTTCTGATTGAAGCAGAAGTCATGTTTGTCTCTGTGCACCTTTCGCTTGCGATTGCTTGCAGTGCATTAGAGCTCTTCAACTTCACATCAATGTCAATCATTCAAAAACTAACTGAACTTTTGTACTTCCAAGAAGAAGAAAGTCTTTCGCTACAAAAAGTTTTTAATTTTGTGTACTATTTGCACTCGCGTGAAGATCAAGATTCTCAAAACCATATTTGAAAATGCGCCGGCAGGAAAAATGTTTTTTTTTTTTCGGCAAGAACTGAGTGCCATGATTTTTTACTTGAGCCTCCACTGTGTTTGTTTTGACACACATGAACATTTGAATCGCATCTCGTCGCACCAGGCTCTACACGCGATATTTTATGCACTACAAGTATAAGCGTAGATGGTATGTAGTGAGGTCACGAACGTTCTACCCTAGCGGTTTTTTTGACAGGCAGTGCGCAAAACGACCGGCAGTTTACAAGCGGCCGGCAGTGTTTTTTAACAAAAAAAATTTTCAATTATCAAGCGGCCGGGGCGTTTGCGGCAAAATAGCCCGGGCGGATTCTATCGATTCCCGCTTGATAAAACGACGCAGGGGAGCCGGCAAAAGGGGCGCCCTTCTGAGGCGCCCACCGCCTTAGTTTCTGGCGATTTGCGGCGCCCAAAAATGGGCGCCCAAAAAGCAGCACTCCGAAAAAAACAGAGAATCCGCATGGTATGGGCCTCATTTTTCCCCACATTCGGACCGCGCAAAAGACGCCTTCAAAATCCGCCATTTCAGAGGCGGACTGAAGACGAGAAGATGCAGCATTTTGCCAAAAAAAAACAAAAAAAACAAAGTCCGCCAAAAGCAAAAAGCCAATCCGAATGCTATGGGCCCGATTTGGGGCTCCCAAGGGGCCGACCCTGGCGTGGGCCCTGGCGGGGCCATAGCATGTGGGGAAGGTTTTTCGATTCGAAACCAAATGGGGGCCGCCTCTGGATTGAGATTTTTAGCGACCGCCGTGCCGTCGTGCATAACATTACTCGCGATGGCATGGTGGGCAGAGAAGTTGCGTCCTTTTTTGGCGTGAAGACAAAAAGACCGCCATGACCTCACTACCTCCGCGGACGCGGCTATTATTGGCATTGGTAAGTGCTGGAGCTGGTTGAAAGTGATGCATGACTTGATCACCCTTTACAACGTATTCGTATTAATCTTGACACCAACTGCTGCTGTTGCTAATGTCATCATGGAGCAACTTCGTTTTTTGGTTATACTTAGTTTATCAGCGCTGGTGCTCGAGTACGGATCTACATATGTGGACTGCGCTGAGGCTGACCTCCCGATGTGTAAGATAGCATTGCAGCAATTATGAGCATGAGTTAGATTTTTCGCTTATCGCGGACCTCGCTTTATTTTACCAATTAACAGTACTACACACGAGACAAAATCCCAGGATGCCCGAACAGGTCTTTAGCGCTCGTTGGGCGATTTTCGTTTTTATTTTTTTCTCTTTCTCTACTTTTATCTTTTTCTGGTTTCACACGGGTAAGAAAATTTCTGATTTCCAGAGATTACCGTGTCCGTATGCGTCATGATGATTTGTACTTGTCAATGAAAAAGAAACGTGTCAGATTTTGCTTTTCGCGTCATACATTGTCAGTGACACAAGAGGACGCATCGCTACCGACCGACCAAATCAAAAATGCTTTTACACAACTACAATATGTATGATCATAGATTCATGGCACAATAACAATAAGGTTGCCGCACACACAATTGACAATTCGCATGTTGATGTTACATGTCACATGGGTACCAACCACTGAGGTCAGTGGCACTGACCAGAAGTTTCTGGATCTTTTATCCACATGAAAGTCAGCTCCTGAAAGGACGCAACTCATTGTAGAGCCACCACCTGCAGCATCACGGTCTTCTATTCCTCTATTCTCGTGTGACAAGTAAGTTGTTCGTGTTCCGCCCTTTGAGTTTATTTCTTGCGTTCGTTCTGTATAGAGTGACGAAAGAAAAAGTGCCTCGATGTAGTAGCCAGAACCAAGACTAGTAGCTCGGATTCATCGTGAACTTGTTCGCTTTCAGAAAAGATAGCCTCGATCTGTGCATCGCTTGAGCCTGAAAGTAGTGCTGTAGAACTTCTCTCAACGACAATTCTTTCATTCTTCGTTTTCTTGTCGTTTCGCCTTCGAGCTCAATGACTGCAGACGAAGTCCAAGATCTGCCTAATGTACAATTCATGATTGACCAAAGATGGTCCTTTGCTCCACAACAAGTAGCTTTTGTTTTCTGTTCTAGCAGGGGACAGTTTTCTTGTATTTTTTGACCAGCCCTAAGAACAGCTAGGAGGTGGAGGTTGCCTTGGCTACTTATATTTCAAAAAAGTATAATTGTCGACGTCGAGGGTTTTTTTGACACAACTTCAAACGACATATTATTCTAGTTTAAGTCTAAGAATCAAATTTTCACGACGCTCCCACAGTTGCTAGCACGATCTCGTCACGCTTGCTCTCTGCTAGCGCTGCGTATTGTGGGGCCCGACCCCGTGGAATTGAAGGGCAGTTGTCAACAACTTCATCGGAGCTAGAACGCCTGCTTCCTCGACCGCAGACGCAGTCCGGATCATGCACAAATTTGGCGGCAAGTCGCTCTTTGGTGGGGGTACAGCCGGCGGGGCTACATCGAGCAAACCCGGCAAGCCAGGCGGTGTAGCGGCAAAGGCCACACCTTCTGCCAGCGGCGGCAGCAGCCTCTTCGGTGGTCTCGCGCAAGGTAGAAGTTTTTGTCCTTCTTGTCTTGCTTTACATTTTTATTGAAAAGAATCAAAATCAATCGCGCCGCCCCAGTAAGTAGGAAAAAAAATGGATTTCTATTACGACATCATGGCACAACAAATAAACTCTTACAGCGACTTCCGCCGGCCCGCAGCCCATCAGCAGCATTTTCAACAAGTATAAACAAGGCCTGCCCAAGCCGGCGCCCGGCGCACCAAGTTACTCGCCAAGCTCGAAGCGGCAAAAGGCTGGACTAGCGGGCAACCCAAAGCCGGTGAATCACAACGCAGCTGCGGCCACTGGTGCGGGACCCGGTGGTGCGGTCAAGAACACGGCCAACGCTGGAGGCACGGGTCCGGGGAGCAAACAAGGAGCGCTCCCGGCAGTGGCCGCTGGCCAAGGAGCAGGTAGTAAAGAAAGAAGTGCCTTGCATAACTAGTTTCGAGTGAGAATGTCGTTGACCACACGACCTACGAAATTAGCTGTAGGGATAGTCAGTCCTATCAGTCTCTTTAAAGTATACATGCTCGAAGGAACAGACTAGATTGGCGGTATGTGGATGAGATGCACGTCAAACTCAAAGTAAAACTTCTCTCTGTTTCGAACAAATCAGGCGGGTCTGCTTCTAGCAGCTCCTCAGCCGCCGCTACTTCGAGCAACGCAGCCGCCGGCGCCGGCGGACAGCCAGCGCCGTCCTCTGGGTCGGGTACGAAAACTTTTAAAAAGCAGTCGTCGCCTGCCGCCTCCCGTAGCGTTGGCTTGATCCAGGATGACGACTATGTCATAACCCCGATCGACCGCATCGAGGAGGGGATCGAGCAGGACCAGGACGCGGCCTACTGCCTCGAGGACCTGGACGTGGGGAAGCCCTTGGGCAAGGTATGCATTGCAAAAGTATCGATACTAAGTGGTGCGATACAAATTTGCTCAGCATAAGTAATGGAATTTGTGATGCGGATTTGCCAGAAGAAAAACAAAAAGATCTGCAATGCATAATTTCGATTACTACGAGTGCGATGCTTTTGCAGTGCATACAAGGGAAAATTCGGCAACATCTACCTCGCGCGGGACCGAATTTCCGACTACGTCTTCGCGCTGAAGATTCTGAGCAAGATATTGAGAGAAAAAATCCCCCCTCCCCATAGTACTGAAAAGGTATACTTTTGGAAATTTGTCATGCTGATTTGTGGTCACAAATCGTGCCTGTCTTGCAAGAAAGCAACTCCGCAGGCTGCGCCGCAGTATGCAGGCGGTTTGTCATGCTGTTGGGCCTACAGCGCGGACGTTTATCATGCTAAGCGCCTAGGCCAAAACCTCTCTACTCACGCTTGGCGTGGGCCTGCAGTGCTCTCCAGCAAGACGGCTCGGATGTGTGGCCACAAATCAGCATCACAAACTTCCGCTTTGATGTGGGGAGGGGGGATTTTTCATTTTGATACAAGAAGCAGCTGCAGAAACACCGCGTCGAGCACCAGTTGATCCGCGAAATCGAGATTCAGTGCCACCTGCGACACCCAAACATCCTCCGTCTGCACAACTATTTTTGGGACGACACCCGAATCTACCTCATGCTCGAAATCGCACCGGGGGGAGAGCTGTAGATAAAGGATACTGAGTGTTCTATACGGATTTCTACTTTGTGATTTTTGTGGTCCAAGGTGGATGAATCATCAACATGTGAAAGTAAAACTTCACGTCGAAAGACAAAGACGCGAAAATGAATATGAATATGTTGTTGAGTTTGAATCCCTAGGAAGGAGCCTCGCAGTGAATTCCATTTTTTTTTTTTCCACGATACCCTTAGGTACGCCGTCCTGAAAGCGAAGCACTACTTCAGTGAGTACCGGGCCGCTTGGTACCTGTCCCAGATGGTGGACGCGTTTCGGTACCTGCACCGGAAACACGTCGTGCACCGCGACATCAAGCCGGAAAACATTCTCTTGGGCACCAACGACACCCTGAAGATCGCCGACTTTGGGTGGTCGGTGCACGCGCCTTCGTTGAAGCGCACGACCTTCTGCGGGACGCTCGATTACCTCGCGCCAGAAGTGGTCGAGCCGAACATGCCCGCGGCGCAACTGGCGAAGAGTACCATGGCGGACGTGTGGGGATTAGGGGTGCTGTTGTACGAGTTTGTGGTCGGCTATGATCCACAAAAAAAGTAGACCCATGATTGATCCCCATCCAATTTGTGATGTTGTACTAAAACATGCATCAATTTCAATTGTCGCGTGTTTCTCATGCAAAGAATGGAAGAGGAAGATGGGTTTATTTTTCTGGGGATATCGGCCGCGCGCCCTTCGAAGGCGGCGACACCATGACGACTTACAAGAAGATTCGGGTGGAAAAACCCTATTTCCCCGACCACCTCTCGCCCGACTGCAAGTATGCAATGCAAGGTTACCGTACTAGAAAGTACAAATTGGAATACAAACTTTATTCCAAGATGAACCGTCGGAGTTTCAGTTTGTAATGCTAAGCCAGGTAAAATACTAGTTTACTAGATCTGTCATGCACTGGAAGTTCAAGTTGCAACTACTGCAACTGCAGCGAGTTGTACGGTACTTTTGCAATCTATAGCAAGGACTTGATTACGAAAATGCTGCGGAAAAAACCGACGGAGCGGATTCAACTGGAAGAAGTGCAGCGGCACCCCTTCTGCGCGCAAGCGTTAGAGGACGGCGGGAAATTCTGCAAGGAACGCTACGGCGGGATGGTTGGGAATATAGCGTAAAGGTGGACAACTATGTGGTCATTGCAGCTGACATGAAAGAAGTTGTAGACTGTTGAAATTATAACTGGGCGCGAATTTCTTCTGCAGAACAAGTGAGTCTGGACGAGGAGACTAGGGCGACTGCAGCTTCCGATTGAGCTGGTGCTTCACTCTTCACGAGGTGAGGACTAATGTTCCTCCAGTCAGACTGAAAGAATGAAATAGTTATTTTCGTCCAGGACTGCGACTGCTAGAAGTTCGCTCCGCCACTGGTATAATGCTCACGATCACTTACTTCGTTATCATCTTCATGCGTGGTTGATGTACGACCTATTGTTCCTGTTGAGAGTTATTGATTTCGATTCTCGAGCCGCGACTCGTAGTCGTTATTCTCGTCGGATAGATTCTCGTCTAAGATCGTAAATAGTCTTCTCCCGTGCTGCATGGTCGTCGTTTCCTGATCCCATTGGTGTGGTCGTGGGCAGCGAAACGAATCACAACATTCGCACCCGGTCGACGTCCCGTCCCCGTGCTCCTGCAGCTTCGCAATGAATTATTTATGAAGGTGATCAAGAAAAATTTCAAATAAAATCGAACAGCGTCTGCCTGCCTCGAAGAGTGTGTGAGTCGGTCAGCACGACCGTCAACACGTAATTTATATACTTCAACACTTCCTCAACTTCAACTACATCATGCCTGGCTCCGCGGCGGTGACCGGTACGCTGGCTCTGCGCAAGCTTCTTCAGGGACAACTCAATGACGCCGAGAGCTTTCACGACTACTCTGCGGAGAAACTAAGCGCGATCGGGAACAGGGGCAAGATATGAACTGCAAAAGTATCGTACTAGTAGAAATTGCATTACAAATTGACTTAGCATTACAAATTGAATTCGTAATGCAGATTTGCCTTAGCAAAAAGGTTTGTAATGCATAAACGCAATTAGTACGAGAACGAGTGCGATACTTTTGCACAGGATACAAGACACAAAATGCAGATGAGCCGCTCACTCCGGAGTCCTTTTTCGACCAGCAGCGTAGTCTACGGAGCGCCCTGTTCGCTTTGAAGGAAGCGCAGGAAAAGATGAGAATTTACGAGGCGCAGTTGCAAGCATCGCAGGCGCCGGAGAAAATGGCCTCGTTTGTGGAAGCGCCACCGGCGGGAGAGACCGGCGGCTTCGACTGGGTGGCAAACAGCAAGCGAGATGGCGTCATAGGAAAATCGGAAAAGCCTGCAACGATTTTGTTAAACTCGATACGGGACAAGTTGCTGGAAGTGAGAAATAGTTTGGAAGTGAAACCGAAAACAACGAAAGAGGCCAAAGTAGAACAACCAGCGCAAGGAGGCCGTTGGTTTTAGTGAGAGAGGATGAAGGAAAACTAGCACTGAATGTTTATTTGAAGAGTGCGATGAATCGCACTTCAATCACCATACAAACCAAGCACGTGGGCAACAAGTCCACCAGCACGGGTTCGATGTTCGCATTCTTCAGGTGGACTGTAAGCACTTGCTTTTTTGGTTTTTCGACCAGTTGTCCTTGTGCACAGTATTGTGCTCCCTCTTTTCATCTCACAAGCGACGGAAAGAAGATCAACGGTTCTCGCGGTAGTTCTTGCGGTTTCGGTTTTGCAGCTCGACAATGTTATACGACGTAGTCAATCGCCACCTTTTCTTGCATGATGTTCTTGTCCGGACATCTTTTACAACCCGGATTACTCAGATCCATCGTACAAATGATTCTTGCGTTCGAATTCATTGACAAGTCCGAAGATGATCTCGAAGATCACCAGTTTGTTCTTTTGCCAGCACTGTATTAGTTTCACGAGTGGCGTCCTGATCAGTGTAAAACTAGAATGTAAAACAACTGACACTGTATGTGAATTCCTTCTACATCTGCGACTTATTGTTCAGTCGCTCGCGAAAAAGCTTTCCAATTTCTTCGAAAACAATGTCGGAGTTTGTAAAAATGTTTCGTACAACATCAAAAAACACGAAGTTGAAAAACTTCGCTCACCGACCACCACTGGTGAAAATGAAATCGTGTGATGTAGCAGTGTGTTATTTATTGCTCGCAGCCCGTTCGTGGGCAGTGACCTTGCGAACAGCCACCCCTTCTTCACACTCCTCTCATCAAGGTGGATCGGAGCTTAGAGTATTATCTTCCGGGACGCCTCAACATCAAGGTGGATCGCAGCGATACCAACCACTTTTGTTCGATCCCGTGGCCGCTGCAACTGGAAATAAGCAGCTTGGCGAAGAAGCGCCGCTTATTTCCGTTTCGGAATTTCGCGACTTCACAAACACGAAGAAAGACAAAACCGGGCAAGTGGTTATGGGAGTGTCAGGATCGAAATCGTCAAAGTTGAAATAATCTGCAATGCAAAAAAACGATACCAGCTGGAGCCCAGTTTGCAAGTAGCGCATGACAAATTTTGGCAGCATGGAAATCCAATTTCTCATGCTGTTTGAGCAGAGAAGACTGCTTTTGTCATGCTATTTTAGCAGCTCTATCTCACACCCCAAGCAGGCTTATAATCGGCCTCAGTTGCCTGCTCTGCAAGACAGGCGCTTTGCGTCTAGCATTTTATGCATCACAAGCTATTTCAATTTTGACGATTTCAATTCTGACGCTTCCATAGTGGTTGCCTCTCCTTTACATTTTTCGCCCGCACCGAGCCTGGCCGCAGATCTCTACCATGTCGCAGCTGCTGTCGACGTCGTGACACGAAAAGAAGAAAGCAAAAGAAAACAAGGCACAGGAGGAGCTTCTTCGCAAGAAGAACTACTACTACAAGATGGCGAAGAACAAAATCAAAGAACTTCTCAGCTGCCAGAAGTGCTGCCATCTTCGCAGGCAGGCGGCGCCCCTCCTCGTCCCGGAGCCAGCCAAGAAGAAGTGCACGCGGAAATACAGAAGCAAGCGCAGGTCGACTCGGATCTCGACTTAGACGCGGTTCTCTCAGAAGACGACACGTTTCCGTCGAATCTTTTTCTTTTCCGCTATCGCATGTTTGGCCCCACGGATTTCCTGGGCGAGTGGGCCGACATCGTGATCAATTGGGAAAAGCAGCCGGGCCAAGAGGCCTTCCTGGACACTGTCACGGCCTGCAACGTTGGCCCAGTGCTCATGCGTTTGTTCGCCAACCAGAAGAGGATGCTCGAGGAGATTATCAAATGCAAATATGTCTGGGTCCTCTGGAACATTCTAAACTTGTGATGCTGGTGTCTCTGGATTCGAAAAAAATTTGTATTGCATGACCAGCACGGGGACTCCAGTTTGTGCTACGCGGAGAGGGCAGTTCTCATGCGGTAGAGGTATCGCAAAGGAGCCCTCTAAAAATCTGTGATGCTCCGGCATGCATCACAGACATCATGGCTCATGGAAAATATGCATGACAAATCTAGAAATCTTCCGGACCCAGACATTTTTGCTTTTGATAGAGATGAAAGCCAAGCCAGTGGTGCACGCCGCTGGAGGTGGGACGGAGCAAGGAAGCCAAAGCACCACCGCCACCTCGCGTGCAAAGCGACCATCTCCTGGGAGTAAAAGTAGTGGTCGTAGCTCTAGTACTTCATCTGGTGTGGAGCACGGTACTAGAGGTACACAAGAACTACATCCGAACGGAGCTCCACCTGCGAGCGAAGAAGTATTAAATGCGGAGCAGAACAATGGAAATAAGCCGAAGCGGAACCGGCAGTGGCAAACAGACAAAAGCTTGTTAGACACGAAACTGATGGTGCGCCGGGTTCTAACCGAAGCGCAGGAAATTGCGGTCAGGTACGGCAACTACTTGTACAGCTCCGCGCCCAGAGACGCGCACTTGCTTCCCCTCGGACCCGCCGCGGCCGCGGTCGAACGGAGGGCAAAGATGAGGTATGAATGTACGTAGAATTCTTTCGTCTCGTAGACGGCGTTTGGAAGTGGAGATTGTATTTACGACGTCGAGAAGTGGTCCTTTGTGAGTAGTTTTGACACTATGAATATGATCTTCGTACTCAGTCTTGATTTTGGCGCAGCCCGGAGCGGTTCTACTTGTCAGCAGAATGCATTTTATCCTTGTTTTACTATCTTTTTATAAAACGCAAACAGGTCTTTGGCGCGTTGGTACAGCCCGGAGGTGTTAGCCGAGCGCTGTCCCCTCTGGGTGGAGGCCGTGAGTGCGTGGTGCGAGTTTGTGACCCTGCACTTCGAGCAGATTTACCACCTAGAAAGCGCGGCAGTGATCACCGCGTATCTGACACAATTGGCGAAGGTTGAGTCTATGGAGACACAGATTTTTGAGGAAGCGGGCCCCAAAATCGACGAGAAAATTGCCAGCGCAAATCTGATGGATGTGGGGTACGAGGAAAGAACGGAGGTTGTACCTGCCCCTGCCGCCGTTCGTCTTTCCCGGCTGGGGCGACAACTGGCTCAAGAACAGCATCAACAACCAGGACGAACCGATCCGCCGGGGCGGTCATCCTCGTACCCCGGACCACCGCGACCTCCGCACGCATCTTTTGAGGCGACGGCCGCAGGAGCGGGCGATCAGCAGTTTTTACTGCAGCACGACCAGCGTGGTAGTTCACCCGGCGCGTCTTTCGGGGAACCAGACGACGAGAGCGCCAGGACGAACAGGTCTTCTAGCCGTGGTAACCCATTCTTTTTATCCGAGGCAGCGGGGCGCGTCGTGCCCCGCCCTGTGGTCAACATCAGTGCTCCCGCCTCCAGCAGGGGGGCGTCAGCACCAGCATCTCCGCAACAACGACCTGCGGCCGCTCCTGTGAAGACAAAGACGCAGCACGTCCTCGTCACGAAACCGAAGCAGGCGTTCGCGGACCAGCAGCCGGACAAAAATGAAACGGTGGTGCCGATGTTGGTTGACGTTGCGCGCGAGATGCGGCGAGAAAAAACCAAGAATCCACCGGACGCTGGACAAGTGGAAATCATTCAGCACATTCGCGGCAGCGAGGACGGGACGAGCGACGAGGAGCAATTCCCCGGGGACGACCTCCCCGGGCAACTGTCCGAGAGTCAAAGCTATCCTGAGTAAAAACGTACCCACACCAGAGTCAGGATGGGGATTTTGCAACACAAACCTAGGAGTTTTGTGAGTCACGCATGACAAGTTGCACTCTGCAGTGTAGTGCAGGTTAGCAAGTGCAGCCGCATCACAGATTCATCTGCTCATCCTGTTCACAGCATCACAAATTCCAAAACACGAGGACTGGAAATAGCTCTCATGGGGATGCGCATTACAAGTCTTCCTGTCTTTGCGAATCTGCATTACAACTCTGGCGTGGGTACGTTTTTACTCAGGATAAAAGCGCCCTGCTGGTCATCCGGCCTCCGGACGAGCACCAGAATGGGGAGCTGCTCACCTTTCTGAAACTGGTAAACCGCCAGTTTCTGCAGGTGTGCGCGTTCGAGCTGGCAGACGTGAAGATGAGCATCGAACTCCTGATCGGCTTCGTGACCACGTTTCGAGCGGAGTCCAAACTGAAGCGCATGATGAAGGAATTCACCTCCTACACCACCACACTGGTCAAGTGCCGGACTCCTGGAGGAGCTGGACGAGATGAACGCGAGACAGCAGGAAGATCGGCAGCCGCGCCTCCTAGAAGAACTACAGCAGCTCTTCTTGCACAGCAGCGCGACGAAAACACAAACAGTCCTGAGCAAGGTCATGCACAACTCGCGTCCTCCAATGTCAACACACACTGTGAAGAATACTTCTTCACGTCCGAAATCGCAAACAACATGCTGTACCAGGGAATCGGTTTGGTGGACGAGACATCAGAGGTAGAGGACGATCGAGATGATAAAAATACGCAACGTCATGAAATGGTAGAAAAGAACCGGATCAAAAACACCCTGGGGACCAAACTCGCCGAGACGAAAGGCCTGCTGCGGCGCAAGCGTATGGCGTTCTCAAATGTTACATTCTCAACTGTTCCGTGATTTGTCATGCAAAACGAGCATCAATGTCCACACGGTGAAGCTACTTCGCATGACAAATTTTGGAAGGGCTAAACAGCATGGGAAGCTGTGACGAACTTGCAACGCAAGAGTTACAAGATCCGGGCTTTCCCTGTGACCATTCTTGCATCACACTTTCATGTGATGGCGATGGCTTCGGTCCGCCTGACGCCGCGACCCGGTGGCCTGACCATTTGCGGAAAGGTGCCCTAAAATGGGTTGCGTTTGTGGTTTCGGTCGGTTTAGCATCACAAATTCGTGTAACAGTTGAGAATGTAACAATGAATTGAGAATCCCATAACGCGGTCGGACTTCTTTGGCCGCTACATGCACGTGGAGGCGAAGCGCTCGGCGGACGGGCCGTCGCTCTATCCAAGAAAAAAACGTTGTTAGTGTAAATTTGTGATGCGCAGCATGCAAGATGATTGCGTCTGTCATGCTTGGCATGCATCCTAGGGCCCATTAAAGGGTGTTTTCGCGTACTGTCTGCGCATGACAGGTTTTTGCTGTCATGCCAGACAAATTTGTAATGCTGTTCCTCCAAAAAAGTTACACCTATAGCGTTTTTTTCTTGGATACGCTCGAGTCCGACATCACCACCAGGCCCGCAGAGGTGTGGAAAATTGCGCATCAAAGGGAAAAATCCCCCCTCCCCATATCAAAGTGGAAATCTGTGATGCGGGATTTGTGTACACAAATGCGCGCTGTCTTGCAATGCGGCATCGCAGCCAGATCCGCAGCCGAGGGAGGGACATTTGGGTCTAGGTGCTTCGCATTGCAAACGGTTGCCCTCTAGGCCCAACAGCATGCCAAATCGCTTCCATAATGGCACGGAAGCCTCTGCGTTTGTCTTCTTGCAAGACAGACGTGATTTGTGGTCTCAAATCAGCAAGACAAATTTTCGGAAGGATGCCTTTTCGATATGGGGAGGGGGGATTTTTCCTCTCAATATTGCGTCCCGCGTGCCGGGTTCGCTCGCCTCACAACTCATCCCCAGCAGCCCGCTCTTCGGGCGCATGAGTCTGTCGCCGCTCCTTTTGCTACAAGATGAAGGAGATGGTGGTGGGGGCGATAAAGATAATGATAAAGGCAAAGGCAAAGCGACGTTCGCTTCAACGTCATTTCCGGCTGCTGCATCCGGGGCTAGAGCTGTGCCACTGCCACCAACATCTTCTACTACTTCATCACCGGAACCACGAGAAGCTCTTCTTGTGAAGAAACCCGGGCTACTTCCGGGAGTCGCGCGCCGCACGGCCGGAAATAAGCATCGGAGTCCCAATCGCGACGCCGGACAAGACGACGTTGTTTCGGGCGGAGGTGGTCCCTTCGGAGGACCACGGCAGGCGGAGCATCATGCTGAGCAATCCGCGGGTCCTCGTCCTGGACCGACGCCACACTTGATCTTACCTCCAGGGCAGGTGGCTGAAGGTATGGAGAGGAAAAAGTTTATCACAGTCACTAATTTGCAGGGTTTGCATTACAAATTTTCTTAGCATCACAAATTTTCCTTGTATTGCAGAAACACTAGTAGGGAAATCCCTAATAAAGTTTGGCTGTGATGCATTTTTACGCATGACAAACAGTTTTGTATTGCAAAAATGCGCATGTGTGATCGTGACGAACTTTTTTTGTTTGATAGAAGGAGCCGTTGTTCCAACACCGTCTACTGTTGGCACCAACCTCTTCCTATCAAATGTAAAAATGTCTGGGTCTGGAAGGTTGGAACTTGTGATGCTAACTTTGGATGCTAAAAAAATCTGTATTGCATGACCAGCAAGAGGAGCCCAGTTTGTGCTACGCGGGGAGGGCATTTGTCATGCGGGATAGGCATCAAGAAGGCCTCGAAAAATATGTGATGCTAGATCATGCATTACAGACATCCTGACTCATGCAAAATATGCATGACAAACCTTGTAACCTTCCAGACCCAGACACTTTTACATTTGATACTTCCAATCCGTCGTGGGGAAGCGCATCCAGCATTACTCGCACTTATCACAAGGAAAAATCCCCCCTCCCCATATCAAAACAGAATTTCTCATGCTGGATTTCCATACACAAATCAGATTTGTCTTGCAGTAGAGGAGTGCAGGCATATGCCAAGCCTCAGTCGAGAGGTTTTGACGTAGGCGCCTAGCATGGCAAACGTGTATGCTCTAAGCCAAACAGCATCACAAACCGCCTGCAAAATGCGGAACGCTTTCTAGGCTTGCCTTCTTGCAAGACAGGCAGGATTTGAGGTCGCAAATGCGCATCACAAATTTTCAGACGGATACGCTTTCGATATGGGGAGGGGGGATTTTTCCTTTTGATAGCACTTCTTCTGCAACTCCGCTTACTTGGGTCAGCAGTACATCGAGGTGCTGCATAATTCCCTCAATAGGCCGTTTCAGACATCAACCACTTCTAGCGCCGGCGACGTCCACAATGCCCCGACCACCTTGGAAGTAGATGCCTTCCGGGTGTTTGACCGGAGGCGCAGACAGGACTTTGTAATCGCCGTCCTGGAGACAACCATCGCGAAGTTTGGGCAAGGGAGCCCGCAGGTGCTGGCGATTCTGCGCTCGCTCAGTACTACTAGTAACAACAGCGAGGAGGTGATGTCCGCCGGCGGGGAGGACGGCACCACCTTGATGAACAACGCCGGCACCACAGGCGGTTGTGGTACAACTGAGCCTCCTGTGCCGGCGATCAACGATAATTCCCCAGATGAACAAGGGGCGGGCGCATGGAGGACGTGGGCCGTGGCCGTGAACCTACTGCCAGCCAGTTACGACTTGGCGCACCCACCACAAGATGTCGACGAAGGCTCCAGTGATACTACAATGAAAAATGCCCCGACCCCGGAATTTGCAAAAGTTTCTCATGCAATGTATCCAAAGGAAAGCTTTTTGTCTTGCATGAAAGGACTACGAGCCTTTCTGATGCAGAATCTAGGTGAGCAAGGTGCCTTTTATTGCATGACAGACCCGGCGCCGGCTGCTGTTGGGCTTCTTTGCAACACAAATTTGAGTTATTCAACATGGCAAATTTGTGATGCTGATATATGCGAGACGGAATACAAGTGCTGCCAGGAGGTTCTGGGGTGGGGGTATTTTTCATTCTAATAGGTCACTTGGACGACATGACGCCCATGACCTCCAGACAGATGAGCAGCCAAAGTAGAAGAATGGCAAAACAAATCAGCAACCGATCTGCCCGACTGAATTCACAACAAACTTCTACCGGAGGTTATGGCGTAGTTCTCGAACGTTTTTACATTCTTAGCTGTTACATGGATTTGGAAAAATGTAAGAATGGCAAAAGTCAAAGGGTGTACTTGGAGAATTCTAAAAATTGTGCCTCTAGCATTACAAATTCGACACATATCATTTCAATATTGTTCTTGAGCCCGCCTTCGCAAATTTGTCATGCGAAGCAGCTTGATCGTGTGGATGCTGATGGTACTAGTTTTGCAAGACAAAAAATTTATCATGATGTAACAGCTGAGAGTATAACGCTTGCGAATCTGATAGATGAGGTGGTGCTAGCGTTGCCGGTAGTTGTTCAACGGCCAAAGCTCCTGCTCGCGCCAATGCTTGCCCCCCGGCCCCTACGGGGAGAAGTTTTTTGCTCAGTGCCGGGGCCGCGCCGCAGGGCGATCAGGATTTTGGTGGGGTTGCTCGCCGGGGAGCAGGTGGACTTCTACCAGGTCGTACTACTAGTTCTGCTGCTGGCCCCACCGCGCCGCGGTCCGACATGTTGGTGCAGGAACAATATCGAAAGGAAAAATCCCCCCTACCCATATCAAAACGGAATTTCTGATGCTGGATTTGTGTACACAAATCAGCTTTGCATTGCAGAGAGGCACTGCGGCCAGATCCCCAGGGTAGGCAGGGGCGTATGGGTCTAGTTGTTCAGCATGGCAAACGGCTCCCCTTTAGTCCCAGCAGCGTGACAAATCGTTTCCATAATGGGGCGAAAGCTTCTGCCCTTGTCTTCTTGCAACAGAAATGCGATCTGTGGCCTCAAATCAGCAACGCAAATTTTCGGAAGCATACCGCTTCGATATGGGGAGGGGGGATTTATTTTCCTTACGATAAACAATACCTGCTGAATGCAGACCCTGCTGTCCTCTCACAACAGCCGAGCACTGGTCATCAGCGCAGCGCATGGACGCGCGAGTTATCCGGTGATTCTCTTTTTTCTGTTTGTCCTTCTACAGGCCGCACACCATGGACACAGGAATTATCTTTATCCCCCGGTTCTTCTGTTATTTCTGGGACTTCTACAGGCCGCGCAGCACCATGGACACGTGAATTACCCGGTTCTTCTGCTATTTCTGGGACTTCTACAGGCCACGCACCATGGACACATGAATTATCTGGGTCTTCTGTTATTTCTGGGCCGCGTCAGGCGACCAACGCGCAGCCGCGGCGTAGGCTCAGCATCGCTTATCAAATGCAAAAATGTCCGGGTCTGGAAGATGAGTGCAAGTTTGTCATGCTTGTCTGGCATGACTCGAGAATCTGTGTTGCATAGATACGAAAAAGCCCTCTTACCTGTCATGCAAAAACGCAGTTTGCAGCCATGCGGAATACGTAAGACATGGCAGCCAAAAAATTTGTCAAGCATAGCTGCGTATCACTCACTTTTAGCATCACAAGTTTCCAGACCCAGACATTTATGCATTTGATATCGCTCGTTTGTTGGCAAGGGTGCCGAGCTTCTCCAGCTTGCGCTGCAGCCCTTATGGAACTGTCACTGTCAGGGTCGAAATCGATTTAGTTGAAAAAACAACCTGTACTAACGCATAAAATGCGACAGCAACACCGACGCAAAAGGCGACAATTCTACTGCAGAGGATGCAAACGAGGTAGATTCTGCTAACGGTCGTGGTCGTCAGAAGTTTGGCTACTGACTAGCATGACAGCGAGGGGCTTCTTTGCGGCCCTAAACAGCATGACAGATTCGCTTCCGGTTGTACGGGCGAAATTTGTCATGTGCCGACTTCTATACTTTCTCAATCTATGGGCGTCTAACTGGAGGTTGTAGCGGTTTTATGCATAATTTTTGCAAATTTTTTAACTTTGTCGATTTCAATCCTGACGCTTCCATAGCCCTCATCGACTGAATAATGCCTCGTCCTCGACGCGAAGATCATCTGCGGAGAGCGGAGAACGTAAACAAGAAAGCGCGGCCGTGCCAGGAGCTTTGGTCGTGCCGGAGAATCTATGCAGTCCTGTGACCGGCCTACGGGCCGCGGGTGCGGGTGCCGCAGCTGCTGCTGGATCTGGCTCTGGTTGTTCATCGGGTGGAACATCAACCCATGTCGTAAATACAGATGAAGATCATAGCACTACACCGGCCAGGGTGGAACTGCATCAAACCGAGACAGAAAAAACAGGTAGTTCATCTTCTGGCAGCGCGACCTCCGACATTTCCTCGGACCGCGCCCCCCTGATGAATTCCTACACAAGAACTCCGCCTCCAGATATTCGACCTGGTGCGTACACTCGATTTTTGTCTGTTGCCAAGCAGATTTTTCTCAGGGAACCGCACGCGCTTGCAGTTCTGTTGCGCCGCACGCTTCAGCCGGGCGTCATTAGGAAAGGGACAGCGGGGCGAGCGGTTGTATCACCGCTCCAGCTATCGTCGCTCAATTCCGGAAATCATAGTCATGTTCCTTTGAAGATGCTGCCCTTGACGGTGGGGCAGAATGACCCGGATCAACTATGGAACGGCCTGGAAAAGCTGCGCCAAAGCGCGGACCGGCAGTTTGCCAAGGTCCGGTGCGATCGCGGCTCGCCCGACGGCTACGCCGGAGGGTATGACCACCCACTCTCGTTCGATAACTCGAGAAGCACTTTGGTCACGGAACTCTACGCAAACTCGTGGGAGCGGGCGCTAAACGGTATGTAAAAATGCTGTAAGTATGTAGTAAAAGACCAAAAAAGAAGAAGTTGTTGAGCTGATTTATTTGTTCTGTTTTATTTCATATGGCAATGGCAATAAAATGCAAATGGAGCTATCACGACCCTGTGTGATCAATCATTCCTTCCACACAGGTGTTCTGCAGGCCACGGTGACGAGCAGAATGCTACTTTTTGTCAAAGGCCTCGCCATATGCATTGCAAATATCGATCTGGGTCTGGAAGGATGCAAGGTTTTTCGTGCTTGTCTGGCATGACTGAAAAGTTTGTGACGCCGCGTGTCCAAGAAGACACCCTTTGCTTGGCTTGTCATGCAAAAACGCAGCTTGTCATGCAGAAGGCGCAATAATACTAAGCCGCGCAAATATTTCTCATGCTTGGCTGTGCCTTGCAGAGCATTCATCATTTGCAGCTGCATAGCATCACAAGTTTCCAGATGCAGACATATTTGCATTGGATACGCCACCATTCCCCTCGGCCCTTTCGACAACATTCAGTTTCGAGGGCGGAACACAAAGAAAATTCTAAGTGGGCTGCTGTCGTCCGCATTTGTGATTTGCGGAAATGTGTACCACACGACGATCCACCATTTTCTTACCGACGCAAAGCTGCAAAAGAATCTCCTTCGCTTCGCACGAGTCATATTCCGTTATGCCGCCCGGAATACGAGGTCGAGACAGGCAACATCTTCGTCCTCGGTTCTTTCATCTACAAGTTCTACTTTCGCCGGTTTCTTCGAGCCTTGGGTGCTATCAAAATCAAAACAGATCCCCCCACCTCATACTCAAACTGGAAATTTGTGATGCTGATTTGTGGCCGCAAATCATGTTCTGTTGTCATGCTAGAAGGCACCAAAAGATGCGGACTGTAGGGCTGGCTGGCGTGCTGGGAAGGCCTTGCATCTAGCTACTTCAGCGCGACAGGAGGCAACTGGAAGTAGTGGGAAACAGCATGTTGACAAATTGTCTCCAAACAAGGCCACAACTGCGTCTCTTGTCGCTCTTTTAGCAATACAAACCGATAATTTGTGTACGCGCTACATCCAGCAGCACAAATTTCCTGTCCGATATGGGGAGTTTGGGGGATTTTTCCTCACAATAGGTCCCGGACGCTGTTCTGTTGTCCAGTCTTGCCTATCGGGATATCGTCCTGGGTCTGGACAGCGGCGGCGGGGGGCCAAAAAAATTTCTTCTCCGCCTTCTCAATGGCGCGGCGGAAACGACTACGACCACCGCTGTCGGAAGTAGATGGGGGGCAGGAGCTATCCAGGAAAAAACACTCATCCCCATCCAAGTTGTCATGCAAAATATGCAGAAACTCCACTGCTTGTCATGCAAAAAATGCAGGCGGATGGGTGTTTTTTGTTTTCCTGGATAGGAGCCGGGTTATTGGGGGCGAGTCGCGGACAGGGTGGCAACCTTGCCGGGGGAGGCGGGTTGGGTGACGAAGAGTCGGACACCGAGGATGGTAGGAATGCAAATCAACATATTAGCCAGAGCGGAGCTAACGATTCGTCGCAGCATATCAAAGTGAAAAAAGCCCCTCCCACGACCCCATACAAAAAAGAAAATCTCTGTTGCTGGATCTCTGGTGTAAGTGCACAAATCAGTTCTGTACTATTGCAGGAAGCGCTCGGAGGTACAACTTATTCTTTGAGCCTGGTTTCGATTTGGTATGCAAAAGATTATCAGTTAGACATGGCAGACAGCTTTGCAGTAGGCAAAAGCGCGTGCTGACATCAGATGGGCAGCTGTCGTGGAAAAATGCTCGGAATGGCTCCCATTTCTTGCGGCCGCCCTATGTGCAAGACAGGTCACAATCAGCATCTTCACAAATTTCTTTTTTGCATACTATGCGTAGGGGGCGAGATTTTTTCTTTTGATACAGCAGCAGGATTGGACCAGTATTTTCCTCCAGGGATTTGGCGAGGAAAGCGATTTACTGGTGCAGTGTGCAGTGCTGGGAACTGCGTTCTTCAGCTTTGCTTTCCTTTTGACCTGTTGTCTGTGCTGCTGCTGTTGCCCCTGCCGCGCACAGCAGGTATGAACTGCAAAAGTATCGTACTAGGTAGTATAAAAATTTGCATTGCAAATTGACTTAGCATTACAAATTGAATTTGTAATTCGGTTTTGCCTTAACAAGAAGATTTGTAATGCATAAACGCAATTTGTACGAGTACGGTACTTTTGCACCGCACAGCAAGTGACCTCGACCGATTTAGATAGCTGTCGGACCGGCCGGTCGGCGGAAACAAGCTCGTCCTGTATGAGACTGCACAAGAACAACTTCCCCTCGTCTTGTGTCCCTCATTTGTCATGCAAAGTCCCAAAGCTACTTATGGTTGCTTGTGGCACTGTCTGCATGAGATATTCCGGAAGCGGCCCAAACGGCACGAGGACGCGCCTGTGCAAAGAATTTTTCATGCAAAACCTGCGTTCTTGCTGACGCTTGTATTGCCGCTCATGCAATATACAACTGAGGCGGAGCAGGAGGAGTCCGTTGTGCAGTCTCATATCCTGCGGGGACGTGACAGAACCCGACGACACCGAGGGGCCGGGCACGAGCCCCGGGGATACTTCTAGCGGACCGGACAGAGGGCATGGAAAAAACTACAGGGGATTCTTCGATCAGATGCCAAACGACAATAAAGACCTACCCAGGAACAACGAGATGCCGCCGGGCTATGACAGTGCGCAACTCCCCCTCGTCCCCCTCATTTGTCATGCAAAATCCCAAATCCAGTCGCTGCCCTGTGGCACTGCTTGCGTGACAATAAATTCCGGAAGGAGCCCAAACAGTAAGTACTCTACTACATTAGCCACATAGAAGATTTGGCTTGCATAGGCTACTTCATGTGTGCTGGCGTTTGTATTGCAGTTCATGCCTCATAGCCATACAAATGAGGGGGTTCGTTGTGGACTTTCATACGGGCCGCGCTGGCGCGGCGAGGAGGGTATCCGGTCCGGACCTCGAATGGAGCAGCAAAGAGTATGGCGTTCTCAACTGTTACATTCTCAACTGTTAGGTGGATTTGTGATGCAAGAATGGGAAAAGTGAAAGGGGGGAAGTTGCATCTGTAGCATTACAAAGTCCAAACAGATTTAGGTGCTGCTTAGCCGTTCGCAAATTTGTCATGCGAAGCAGCTTGATCGTGTGGATCGATGATGATGGTGCTTTCGCATGACAAATCCATGCAACAGCTGAGAATGTCACAGTTGAGAACGCCATAAAGAGCCGTTGCACTTGGAGGGCCTTGAAAATAATAACAATAATAAAGTAGCATCGGGAACAAAAACAATGAAAAGGCCGAAGCTGCTGCAAATGGGACCGCGACGAGGGAGGAGTATGATCAACTCGTCAAATAACTCAAACAGGAGCCTGCAGGAGCTGCTCAAAGGAGATCAAGATCATGGTACAAGAAATTATAGTACCTCCACGAGGAGGACCAAAACCAGAATTAGTAAGCCTTCTCAAGAAAGAGCTCCTCCACGTAAGACGAACACCAGAAATTATATCAAAGATAGTACAACTAATTCTAGTAATTCCACCCCCGCCGCCGGCGCCCGCCGCACTTCTTCCAACGGAAAAATAAATTTGAACAACAAGAACTCGTCGTCGAGCACAAAGAAAAATACAAACCCGAAGTTCATTTTGAACAAGCGGCCACCCAAGAAAAGGAACAATGATAACAAGTCAACATCCCGGTATATCACCTTCGAAACCCAGTTCAACCACCTCTTGCGCGAAACGACGGAGGAATATCCCCTGAGAACTTTTACCATTTCTACTGCATTCCATGATGCAATAAATTGCCATCACGCAAACAAGCATGCATAAACAGATTCTGTTCTTCTACTTTAAACTTAGCGTGAGAATGGTAGGAAGATGTGTGTTTGAAGATGTTTTTGTTGTTGTGCTACCACTAACAGGCTACGGACCTTATGTCTGAGGATGGTGCTCAAAGTGCGTCACGGTAGGCCATTTCATTTGCGAACGCGTTTGCCATGCAGCTCTCGCAGCCTAAGACATTTGAATTGCCTTGTTTTGTGAAACCAAAAACCCAAAAAAAATAAAAATATGAACCGCCACTGCGACCGACCCCCCGGGAGAAGAGGAAAGAGGAGGATGCTCGGCCGTGAAGATGTTTTTTGGCGTTTTTGTGTTTTCCACACCAGGATTTGACATGGTGGATTAGTTGAAGAGAGGATCGGCTCAAGGATTTAGTTTCTACTTTGTCTTCTTGTCATGCGGGAAATGGAAGATTAATATATTGGGGACGATGGTACTAGATTTTCAGGGAATAACAAGAACACTCACCAGATAAATAATCCGAACTGCAGCACCACCACTGGCGGCGCCAGTTCGGGCAGACACAAGATTATATGCATTGCAGAAGAAAAAGTATCGTGCTAGTACGACCTGCATCACAAGTCTCCACCTGCTTATGACAAATCCAAGTGTGCTTATGACAAATGGAATTTGTCCTGCTGATTCAGTGTGGATGAAAAACAAAGCAATATATCATCCTAAGTGCAGCAATCAGTACGACGAGTAGTACAATGTTACTTTTGCAGTGGATACAAGAATTGCAGTGTTGATGTGGACACCAGTTGTAACCAGAGCGTTGCGCTGCTCCCCACGACGACCCCCCTGACCACTACAGCAGAAGCTGCAGACCATTCCGGAGTTGGAGGTCGACAAATGGATGAACGCGATGGCACCGAGGACCCCGGTGGAAAAATCGGGGGTCAACAGTTGAAATCACGACGAACAAGCAACCAATATCCTGTGTAAAAACCTCCCCACCCCATAGTCAAGTTGGGAAATCTGCAACACAAATCTGCAAGTTTTGGGAGTTTTGCATGACAAGTTGTTTCCATCTGTAGCGTCGTCCTGTTTAGCAAGGGCAGCCGCATGAGAAAGCCAGCCCCGCATCCTGTTTACAGCATTACAAAGTCCAAAACACGATTGGAAATGCCTCTCATGCAGATCCGCAATACAAATGTTCCTGTCATTGCGCATTTGCGTGACAACTCAGGGGTGGGGACGTTTTTACACAGAATAACCAGATGAAAAACCGAGACGAGCAGCAGTCCTCGTCCGCGGCGCACCTTTTCAACAAGAAAAGCAGCTCCCTGGTATCAACATCTTCGAATTATGTTTATGCCGCACAGGAGGAGAGTCTTCAGATGGAAAAAGAACTATACGCAAGAACATCAACAGGAAGATCGAAAAAACACAACCAAAATAAGGGTCGAAGCACGGAGGTGGTCGTCAACAGCATTTTTACCAGCAGCGGAGGTGTACCTCTACGGCGGAGGAAGAGTAGGATATGGTAGTGTCAGGATCGAAATCGACAAAGTTGAAATGGTTTGCCATGCATAAAATGGACGCCAGTTGGTGTCTAGTTTTCAAGTGGCGCATGAGAAATTTGGGTAGAGCCGAAATCCAGTTTGCAATGCTGTCTGGGTAAGGAAGACGCCTTTTGTCATGGTACCTTGGCAGCTCTATTTCTACCCCTGAACAGGCTTACAATCTGCCTCCCTTGCCTACTCCGCAAGACAGGCATTTTGTGGGTTGCATTTTATGCATCACAAACTACTTCAACTCTGACGATTTCAATCCTGACGCTTCCATATGGGACGGTGGCCCCGCCGACGCCTCCGAGTTTCAGCACAGAATTTCGTGAGGACTACTACACCGATATCAAAAGGAAAAATTCCCCCTTCCCATATCAAATTGAAGTTTCTCATGCTGGATTTGCGTACACAAATCAGGTCTGTCTTGCAGTGAAGGACTGAAGGCCCATATCAAGCCTAAGTAGAAGGGTTTTGACGTAGGCGCGCAGCATGGCAGATGTGTAGTACTCTGTAGGCCCCATGGCACCACAAACCGCCTGCATAATGTGGCGGAGTCTCTGGAGTGTCCTTCTTGCAATACATAGACAATTTGTGGCCACAAATCAGCGTCACAAGTTTTCAGAAGTGTCCCTTTTTGGTACGGGGAGGGGGGATTTTTCCTCACGATAACCGAGAGTAGAGCGTGGTCGTCTGGGGTGCAAAGCGAGCGCACCCTGATCATGCGGAGCAAGCCGCTTCTTCGACACAAAGAACAAGCGCTGAACTCTATCCCGTGTAAAAACGTCCCCACCCCAGAGTTGTATACAGTACATAAACACCCCAGAGTTGTATATGCAAATCTGCATGCTGAAAATGTTTTTCATGCGGAGATCCATGAGAGGCAATTTCTAGTCGCGTTTTGGGATTTGTGATGCTAGAAGCAGCATGATATGCTCGATCTGTGATGCTGCTGAACAAGCTAAACAGGATTACACTACGAGGCCAAACTTGTCATGCGCAACAGCAAAAGCTGACAGATTTGTCTAGCAGATTTCCCAGCTTGACTCTGGTGTGGGGACGTTTTTACTCAGGATAAACACAAGCAACGTGGTCACCGAGGAGGTGGAAGATCATGATGACAACGCGCAGGAACTACAAGAACTCCCCGACGGCTGCAGTCCTTTCGAGAGAAAAATGCTCGAGAAAAAACTGGCTTTTCAGGAAAACACCATCGTGCCCGCCTCTACTTTGTGCAAGAAAAAAACTGTGTAAGTGTAACTCTGTTGTAATGCAGAACTACATGATGCAACAGAAGTGAAGAGCAAGAGTTCTATACACCTGTCATGCCAGACAGCCACGATGAAGTCCTCTTTTCGTGTGTGTTTATTTCCCTTTCAAGCCATGCATTCGTGACAGGCTATTTTCTCTGTCACGTAGAGCGAATTTGTGATGCTGTCAGCGGCCAACGATGAAAGTTACACTAACACAGTTTTTTTCTTGGATATTCCTCTATCCCGAAAATAGAAGACAACTGGAGCAGCTTACGCAGCATCAGCAATAGTAGCAAAGTGCCGTCGCTGCGTCGGGCAACGACCAGTCCTGACGAGGAGATTTTTTCGTCCACGTCACCGATATGCACTGCAAAAGCATCGCACTAGTAGAAATCGGAATCGCATGAGAAATTTGGAAGGCATGCAAGATGGAATTTGATGTAAAAATAAATCCTGCTTAGCGCCGTGTGCAAAGATAGATCTGTGAACATGCATATATTGCAATTTTAGTGCGAGTATGTTGATAGTACTTTTGCAATTGCATAAACGAGCTTCTTCTACGATAACCTCCCTAAATCTTCCAGCTTCGATAACCCCCGTATTAGCTTCACCTACGATAACCCCCGTAAATCTTCGGAGGCCTGGCGGGAAGCCAAGAAGGCCGAAATGAAGTTCGACTCGCACGCCTTGCGTTGCCGGCCCGATCCGTGTTTGGCCGATGTTTTTCACCCGAGCAAAATAGTCACCGGCGTCGACAATTCTGATTCAGTTTTTGTCCGAGCAAGCAGCAAGGCCAGCGGAGGCTGCAGGAGTGCTCCATCCCCCGTGGCGAGGACGGCACCAATAAACAATCGAAGAACAACTTCATCTGAAGATAAAAATTCCACCTCTCAGGTCATGGCGAGGAGCCAGCAGTGGCCGCTATCACAAGAAAAAAAAATCCCCCCTCCCCATACCAAAACGAAGTTTCTGATGATGGATAATTTGCGTGCACAAATCTTGAGATTTGTCTTGCCGGAGAGCAGGACTGCAGAGCCATATCAAGCCTGAGTAGTAGAGTGGCTTTGGCCTTCTAGGCGCTTAGCATGAAAATCGTCCGTGCTGTAGGCCCAACAGCACGACAAACCTCCTGCATAATGCGGCGGAGCCTGTGAAATTGGAATTGCCTTCTTGCAAGACAGTGACAGACGCGATTCGTGGTCGCAAATGAGCAACGCAAATTTCCGAGAACGTACCTGGTGAATATGACAAGGGGGGATTGATTTTTCCTCGCGATAGCTACGGGAGCTTCACCTTATCGGCGAAAATCATGGCGCCGGTCAGCAGGACATCAACTTAATGCCAAAATCTAGTACCAACAAAAACTGTAGCGTAACAAGCAACAAAAACTACATCACAACTGGACGACCACATCTTCGTCATAGTACAACTACTGGCGGCGAGCACCTGGTGCAACTGCAGGTCACGGACGTTGAACTTGAACGGCAAAAAGAAGTAGACCACCTACCAGCTTTCGCGTGGCAGGGTGCTGGAGTCGAACTCGAACCGAACCACACGGCAGGTAGAAGTTTGCAGCCGTCGGAGGTCTCCATATTCGAGAAGAAAAGCAGCAGGAGCCTGGTAGATGTTGCGGCGGGGAATAGTATCACTACAGGGGGCGTCCAGGTGTATGCATTGAAGATGCAAAAGCATAATCCATCGTCCTAGTCGTGAAGATAATTATTGCTTCAAAAAATTATAAAATGGTAATGGAATTTGCGATGCTGATTCAGGAGGCAAAAAATTGTCGATTTAATTTTCATGCAATGATCTCGCAATTAGATGCATTGTTAGCACGACGGGTAGTACGATATCAAACTTTTGCACTGGATAAGGTAAGTCAGGGGACCACTAGGTCGTCCACCTTCTGCGCGCCGGTGGATTATACTAAACCAAGTGTTGCGCCCGCCCCGGGGGTCAAGAACATGAACAACGAAGTAGACGAGCATTTTACCAGCCTGCGGGTTGAGGAAAACAAACAGCGACAGGAGCCCAAGACATCAGTAGACAAAGGCGATGTTCCTGACCAGCAAGACGGTGTTAAAGAGCAGGACGAAAATGTAATTGATAAAACACGGCGAAACAACATTCCCCTTCTCGACAACGGGAGCTCCCGCTCCGTTCGTGGCAGGGTGAGCAAAGACGCAGCTGTTTCTTGCAGGAGTTCCATCGAGGCCAATAAACATCATGTAGCAGAAGTTACACGACGACCATGTGCAGGCGAGGAGGGGGACTTCATGTCTACTGCGGACGGAGGTTGTGGGTATGGGATAATTCTTAAACGTTACAGTTCTCAACTGTTACTGTATCAGTTGAGAATTGTCATGCAAAACTGCCTTAATCCGCCTTAAGCGGCTACGCATGACAAATCTCCGAAGGGCTAAACAGCATGCAAATCTGTGGCAAATCTGCGATGCGAAAGCAGCAAGCTTGCCCCTTTGACTGTTGCTGTTCTTGTGCATTACAAAGAACCCATGTAACAGTTGAGAGCGTACTAACGTTTGAGAACGCCATAGTAGAAGCCTACCGCTTATGAGACTGCACAACTCGTCCCGCGGTTGCAGCTCCCCCTCGTTTATCGTGCAAAGTCGCAATTTATGCACCGTATTTTATCCATTTGTATTTAGCCCTAACTTCTTGCATGTTGACCACGACAAGCTACAGCACTCAGAACAGCACGCACTGTATCATTTTCGTCATGTTGCAGAGAGTACTACATTTCTTCTGCTGGTGGTGTTTCTTTATCTTTAGCTGCTCATGATGCCACACAAATTTGTTAGGGAGAGGGCGGGGACGTCGAGTTGTGCACTCTTATACCTGTTCCAGTGCCCCATTTTGGGCTTATCGAGGACGACGACGAGCTATGCAATAGAATACAAATTTCCCGTACATGTACAAGATGCAACACAAATTGCCCCAATTTGAAGTGTGAAACTTGGCATACTAAACTAGGATCGAAGCCAAGTTTTGCCATGCAGAGACCTCCGCATTTGTGCGTCGTGTACGTGAAATTTACTGTGGATACGAGCTTCTGCACAGTGTTTCGCAGGACCTCCACGCAGCCGCGATGATGAATCCTCGTCCTGCTGGGCCACCACAACTACTTCCCACAAGAAATAATACCAAAACGGAGCGGAGTATCAAGAAAACATCAGAGCTCGTCGCTCCGAGTAGATCGTGGGGGCAAAAAGGTCGCGGCCTCGCCCCTAGTGCAGGAGAAAAGATGAATTTGCAGATGTCGAACAAGACTTCCACCACGATATTCTGTGCAAAAATGTCCCCCCCCGCCCCAGAGTGCTAGTTCTTCTCATGCAGATTTGCATCGGCAACATTAACATTTGTGATGCTGGTGTATTAAACTACAGGATATGATAAATAAAACCTGATGGCTTATTTCTGATGCGGCTTTCCTTGCTGAACGGCACTGCGCTACGGATACTAGAACTGAACAAACTTGCCATGATGTTATGTGACTCCCAAAACGAAAACTTCCCTATTTCTGTTGCACACTACTTTCCGACTTGACTAGCAACAAAGTGGGGACGTTATTTTTCCTCGTGATGATAGTCGTCAAAAAGACTACCTACGGACGTGGTGGTACAGGAAGCTGCCTCCATCTTGCTGGCACAACTTGGAGATCCAGATCAACATGTTGCACTACAAGAAGTAGACCACAAGCAGCCCAATATTTTTATACCAGCTCGCTCGTCGGCCCCAACAAGGAGCAGAGGCGGGGACGTCGAGGAACAGCTATTAACTCTGCCAATTTTTGGGCGAAGCTCTGATCATTATACACGTAACGACGGACCGCGTAGTTCCATAGAACGACGAGAATCTACTTCCACGATGCGCACCAGCGAAAGACCACCTTCAACGCCGCGGCGGCAGCGGTGGTAGATTGTACTTAGCGGTACTAGTCGTAGTAGTTGTAGTGGACCCAACGAATTTATTGGAAGTAGAAAGAGGGCGGTGATACTGCTCCGATGAATGTTGAAATAGAAATCTCACGTACTATTTCAAAAACCACGAAAATTCATGATCCTGCTCTTCTGCCAGAAGAGTCGTGTCCTTCATATCTAGAGAAATAAAGCGGATTTTTCTTTTTTGCATGGCAGGGTACTAGAGGATTATGTTATGGCTGCTCCGTGTCGTATTTCTATATTTGAATGAACATGATGGGAATATAGCAGCCAGTGGTTCTTTTTGGCTTTGTCTCGATCTTGCTCAAAGTTTCATTTTGTTAAAAGGGAGGATGACTACTACGAGTCCAACGACGGACGTAAATAATGTGAAAGAAAAATGTTGCTGTCTGGTCTTAAGATACATCTCTACGAGAATAAAGTTGTTTTCTTTGTTGATTGCCATTGCCAACACTTGTTGATACAAAATGAAAATTTTCCATCTCCTGTGGTTCTTGGTTTATTTGAAACCCTGAATTCTAAATTTTGCAATGTTCTTGCGATTTCTTTCCGTCTTGGTAGCACCAGCAGGTCGAGATAGTTTTGGTTTATAATTAATTGCATTTCTGTCGTCTTTTTGTAGTCTGTGTTCTTCTTCTTGCGAATGTGATTTCATTCCTTCTTGATAGAAGCAGGTAGGGTTTTGGTATAATGAATTGCATTTCTGTCGTCTTTTTGTAGGCTGTTCGTCACACTCTTGGTCGCTTTTGGTTCAACAGTTCTCTTCGTTCTTTGGAATGATTTTCCAAATTTGACTTTCAGATATACATCAAGAACATTGACAGTGGGAGTGTAAAAAGTGTATTAAGTGACATAATTATACGCTTGAAACTAATTGCAAGGAGCGGGAGACAGTTGTAGCAAAAATCAAGTACTTGCATGCTTAAAATACATGAGGAGAAACACAAGGGGTGTAGTCGTACTTGTAATATCAGGCTCGCTCCGCGGCCTCGCTGCCAACATTTTATTGTGACTTGCTTGCACCTCCGCAGCTCGCGTGAGTTGCACCTCCACAGGTGTCGAATCCTTCATTCGACAGGAAAGATCAACAAGACAGGTTTATGCAAAGATAAACTTAAAGAACCTAAACCTAAAGCGTAAGCTTTCTTATTCATATTGTTTCTTGCAACTACAAAGATAAGAAATAAAAAGTGCACCATGCGAGGCACCAACATGCGAGGATTCGACTATGAAGAATTTTGTTCTGCTTCTGTTCCATGTGATTTTATTCTCTCGTTTAGCTTCGTACGCGTCGTGACTCTTTTTTTCTTCATGCGTCGTGTTCTATTTGTTTGGATTTTTTTGCTATATACTAGCCTTATCCCGCTTCCCGTGTCCAGTAACCTGCAGACTTAATAGTATTCCGCTAGATGAATAGCAGCACTCAGCGTGTCTCTGTAGAGAATCGTTGTCGGCGCTTCAGCACAGGCAGGCCCATCTGCCGGCGATTTTCAAAGCGTCAGAACGGCTTCGGCACGATCCGGCACCGGCCGGCGCGGCGGGCAGGTTGGCCTTTGCCGTCATCTTGCACGCTGGCACCGGCGTGGCCGCGATCTGGCGGCGGGGGGCGGGCATGGTCGGGCACCGGCTTGGCCAGGGCCCGACAGCGGCCGGCGTGGCCAGGGTCCGGCACCGGCTTGGGCATGATCGGGCACCGGCACGGCCATGACCTTGCACCGGCGTGGCCACGACCTGGCACCGCCGTGGCCATGATTTGGCACCGGCTTGGCCGCGGCCTGGCACTTGCAGGCATGGCCATGATCCCTCACCGGTTTGGCTATGCTCTCTCTGGAACAGGCAGGCAGGCTTGGCCATGATTCATCTGGCACCGGTTTGGCCACGACCTGGCACCGGCTTGGGCATGATCTGGCACCGGCTTGGCTTTGTCATGAGATGACCTGGCCCCGGCTTTGCCATGATTTGGCGCCGGCTTCGGCTCGGCTACGACCCGGAGCCGGCCCGGCTTTGCCATGACCTGGAACCGGCTGGGCCATGGCCTGAGCGAGCGCCGGCCTTGCCGTGATCTGGAAGCGACCGGCCTGGCCACGACCTGGCACCGGCTTGGCCATGGTGTGGCACCGGCCTGGCCATGACCTGGCACGGGCCTGGCCATGATCTGGCACCGGCTTGGCCGTGACCTTCCTGGCACCGGCTTGGCCGTGATCCATCTGGCACCGGCTTGGCCATGATGTGGCGCCGGCCTGGCCGCGACCTGGCACCGGACGGCTTGGCCATGATCTGGCGCCGGGTTGGCCATGATGTGGCACAGGGCGGGTTGGGCCACGACCTGGAACCGGCTTGGCCATGATCTGGCACCGGCTTGGCCCTGATCTCATCAGGCGCGGGCTTGGCCATGATCTCTCTGGCGCCGGCCTGGCCACGACCTGGCACCGGCTTGGCCACGATCCGGCACCGGCTTGGCCATGATCTGGCACCGGCTTGGCCATGACCTGGCACCGGCTGGCTTGCAGGCTTGGCCATGATCTGGCATGCGACCGAGCGCTGGCAGGTTTGGCCATGATCTGGCACCGGCCCGACAGGCTTTGGTCATGATCTGGCACCGGCTTGGCCACGGCCTGGCACCGAGTTGGCAGGCTTTGGCCATGATCTGGCACCGGCTTGGCCACGACCTGGCACCGGCAGGCTTTGCCACGATCTGGCGCCGGCTGGGCCATGATCTGGCACCGGGCGGGGTGGCCATGATCTGGAAGCGGCGTGGCCATGATCTGGCACCGGCTTGGCCATGATCTGGCACCATCTTGGCAGGCTTTGGCCATGATCTGGAACCGGCAGGCATTGCGCTGATCTGGCACCGGTTTGGCCATGATGCATGTGGCACGCACCGGCTTGGCAGGTTTTGGCCATGATCTGGCATCGGCTTGGCCACGACCTGGCACCGGCTTGGTTATGATCTGGCACCGGCCCGGCCATGACCTGGCATCGGCTTGGCAGGCTTTGGCCATGATCTGGCACCGGCTTGGCCGCGACCTGGCACCGGCTTCGCCTGGCCACGACCTGGCACCGCCTCGGCCATGATTTGGCACCGGCATGGCCATGATCTGGCGCCGGCGGGCTTTGCAGGCTTTGGCCATGATCTGGCACCGGGCGGCGGGCTTGGCCACGACCGGGCACCGGCAGGCTTGGCAATGATCTGGCACCGGCTTGGCCACAGTCTGGCACCGGCTTGGCCACGACCTGGCACCGGGCGGCTTGGCCATGATCCGGAACCGGCCGGCTGGCAGGCTTGGCCATGATCTCGCACCGGCTTGGCAGGCTCTGGCCATGATCTGGCGCCAGCCTTGGCACGGCCTGCCCTGGCACCGGCTTGGCCAGCATCTGGCATCGGCTTGGGCACGACCCGGCACCGGCTGGCAGGCTTGGCCATAATCTGGCACCGGCAGGCTTGGCCATGATTTGGCACAGGCTTGGCAGGCTTTGGCCATGATCTGGCACCGGCTTGGCCACGACCTGGCACCGGCTTGGCCATGATCTGGCACCGGCTTGGCTATGACCTGGCATCGGCTTGGCAGGTTTTGGCCATGATCTGGCACCGGCTTGGCCATGATCTGGCACCGGCTTGGCCATGACCTGGCACCGGCTTGGCAGGTTTTGGCCATGATCTGGCACCGGCTTGGCCATGATCTGGCACCGGCTTGGCCATGATCTGGCACCGGCTTGGCCATGACCTGGCACCGGCTTGGCCACGACCCACCTGGCACCGGCTACCCCATGATCTGGCATCGGCTTGGCCATGATGTGGCACCGGCTGGCAGGCTTGGCCATGCATGATCTGGCACCGGCTTGGCAGGCTTCCTCTGGCCACGACCTGGCGCCGGCTCGTGTTTCGAGGTTAGTTTCGTTTCGCACGTTGTTGCCCCGCCTCGAGGCTTCGGGGCTTCGTTGCTTCGGGGCTTCGCTGCTTCGAGGCTTCGCTGCTTCGAGGCTTCGCTGCTTCGAGGTTTCGCTGCTTCGAGGCTTCGCTGCTTCGAGGCTTCGCCGGCCGCTTCGAGGCTACGCCGCTTCGAGGCTTCGCCGCTTCGGGGCTTCGCCGCTTCGGGGCTTCGCTGCTTCGCTGCTTCGAGGGTTCGCTGCTTCGAGGGTTCGCTGCTTCGAGGCTTTGCTGCTTCGGGGCTTCGGGGCATCGAGGCTTCGCCGCTTGTTCGAGGCTTCGCCGCTTGTTCGAGGATTCGCTGCTTGTTCGAGGCTTCGCTGCTTGTTCGAGGCTTCGCTGCTTGTTCGAGGCTTCGCTGCTTCGAGGCTTCGCTGCTTCATCGAGGCTTCGCTGCTTCATCGAGGCTTCGCTGCTTCGTCGAGGCTTCCCTGTTTCGAGGCTTCGCTGCTTCGGGGCTTCGCTGCTTCGAGGCTTCGCTGCTTCCTTCGAGGCTTCGCTGCTTCGAGGCTTCGCTGCTTCGGGGCTTCGCTGCTTCGGGGCTGCGCTGCTTCGGGGCTGCGCTGCATGCTTCGCGGCTTTGCTGCTTCGAGGCTTCGCCGCTTCGAAGCTTCGCTGCTTCGAGGTTTCGCTGCTTCGAGGCTTCGCTGCTTCGAGGCTTCGCGGCTTCGCCGCTTCCTTCGGCGTTTCGAGGCCTCATCGTTTCGAGGCTTCGCCGCTTAGAAGCTTGGGCACTTTGTCTGCATTTCGTTGTTGTTGTTTTTCGTTTCTATTCTTTGTTTTTGTTTTTTTTTTTCATTCTTTGTTTTCATTCTTTGTTTTCGTTTTTCGTTTCTATTCTTTGTTTTCGTTTTTCGTTTCCATCCTTTGTTTTCGTTTTTCGTTTCCATTCTTTGTTTCCATTCTTTGTTTTCGTTTTTCGTTTTCATTCTTTGTTTTTGTTTTTCGTTTCTATTGTTTGTTTTTATTGCGGGATACTATTAAATAATGGGTTTTCTGACTTATAACTAGTCATGGTAGAGATTTATCACAAAAAGGCAGCCGCATCGAAGATCAAGAAATTGATAAATCAAATCTTCTGCCGATGGCCGCCACAGCAACCGCTTCTACTATTGTTTCCGACCTGCAAGCGTTGATTGACGCGAATGGCGACCGTATCCTTGTCGAAAGACGCGAACGAGCAGTGTTGGAGTTGCAGCAGAGCAGAGATGATTCACCCCCGCCCGCAGCCGGAGATTTTGTTCCGAGCAGCAGCAAGTTTTTCGAGACGAATGATCTAGACCTGGTGTATGAGGACGAGGAATATGCAACAAAAATTTCCCGTACATGTACAAGATGCATCACAAATTTCAAAAATTTCAACTGAGTTGACATTTGTCGTGCTAAACTAGGATTGAAGCCAAGGTTTGCCATGCAGAGACCGCATTCGTACGTGTGCGGGAAATTTACTGTGGATAAGTAAGTGGTGATCTACCTGTCCAACCTGTATGCTGCAGTGGATTTTCACCTGTTGTATCACAGAGAAAAAAGTGTCAGCGTCAGCGTTCTTTTTCACGTACTTATTACACATTACCGCAGTTACTTTGCGAAGAGGAAGACAAATAGTGACTATGTATAATATGCATGTTGTGCAATACAGAACTACGAATTTTTGTCCCGACTCTTAATATTTTTGCCCCCTTATTTGCGGCCCGACAGCAGCAAGACAAATTTCATCGCCAGGGAGAACGCTAAAGAACGCAATTTTTTGATACCATATGTTGCGGCGCTTGGATATTGACACAGTTGTCAACATGGCAGGGGGTAGTCTCCATCTGTTGCTAAAAGAGGTTCAGCAAGTGAGGCTTTTGCAGCGGATCCGCGACGAGGACAATGCAGCGCATTCTGGCATCAGTTCTGCTACCGGACGACCGCCTCCAATGGCGGTCCCATCATGCAATCAAGAAATAGCTGGAGCAGGTCCTCCACCAACAACTTCAGCAGGTCGTGACAATGAGCAGCAGCAACTTCTGCTGAATAAACAAGCTCAAGCCACCTCTGGTGCTTCGACAAGCAGCCTCGAGGATAACTTGGACCAGAGTCAGACGATGTTTACGAGTGGCACCAATGTAGTTCACTTGGACCAAAGTTCGACACTGGGATTTAGCAGAAGAAGTTTCGGCACGGGGCGGCGTTTCGAGCAAATTCCGGACATTCGGGTATCTGTATCGACGATTTTAGACCCTGATGAAACATCAAAGACGGCCACGTCCTCTCCGTCGAAGGAGCCTGGTGCCGCTCCTGGTTCTTGTACAACTACGTCGGGAAGTAGAACACTACAAGCGGCAAACGAGGAGAAGACCGCAGGAACAACTCCTGCGCAAGGGAAAGTTTTTGTATCAGCTCCTGAGTTCTTAGCCGCGCCAGATCGTGCCACTGGCACCAGCACGGCCATTGCAGCGACAGGACGAGACGACGGAGCTTCGGCGGAGCAGGTCTGCCTCACCGCGACGTCCCGCAAAACAGCGGAAGCAGATGCGATAGAAGAAGCAAGTTCAGGAACCATTGCTGGAGCGCCGGAAGATCGCACAGCATCCGGGTCGTCAACAATGAATGCATCGTCGCCGAGCAAAAAAAATCATCTTGCAAATAAAGACGATAGCAAGATGCAGCAGCTGTCCAGCCTTGAGAAGCTCGCCAATGGACAGCTGTACTCCGACCAGATGCTGCTGGAGTATGTTGGGAGCGCGGGTAATTTCTACCGAAATTACCTAGAACATCGGCAAACTAGAACAGCGGATGCGAGGACCAAGAGACTCCACTACCTGGAGATCGCTGCGCGCGACGATAGAACCTACAACATTGCGACGGATTGCATTCGCGTTAGCCAGTACCTGAAATCGGAAGTGCTGTTGGGCGGGCGAGGAGAAGGATCATCTCATCGTGGTCCCGAGTCGGTACTATCATGTTCTTCGACGGGAGCTGCAAGTGGTGGACCACACGAGCAGCTGGAAGAAGGTGGAGTAGAAGAAAGAGTACTCCCTTCTGCTTCTGCTGCAAGAACACCGAAAGAAAATGACCTCCACGGAACAACTGGAACTACAACCACCGTTCCAAGAACTTCTGCATCAACTCCTGAAATCGCGCGGGATGGAGAGCGGTACGAAGGGCCGTTGACTGGACGCGCGAAGACTGTTTCATTTTCGAGTCTTCTAGGCTCGCGGACCGGAGGCGGAGGATCCACCACGTCCGATATAATTAAAACGGCCGCGCGGGGGCCGGTAGAAAATTCGCCTGCGTCTAGTACTGCCGGGGCAATTACAAAGCCTGACTCTGCAGAAAGTAAGCTGCCAACCGGGGCGAGCTCGTCGAAAGCGAAATCGAAAAGGAACGTGCTTGTGCACTGCATCAACGGGATTAACCGCAGTTGTGCTGTGGTGGTAGGGTTTCTCATGCACCACTGCCGCTGGAAAGCGGCGCAAGCGATCGACCACGTGAGTCGCAGCCGCCTCGGAATTCTCACGAACGCGCATTTCTTAAGTCAGCTACTCTCGCTTGAGAGGATCCTTGAAGATGATTCAATCGAGCGAAGCGATTATGATCCGCCGTAGGTGTGCTGATGCAGATGATATTTTTTTTACTTGTAGCAGGAAGTGGTTCTTTAGGTTTCCGTTTCGCGAAGGGCACTGACGGGAAAGGGCAAAGAAGCACCGATTTTGCGACAACATGTAAAAACTTAATTTGCGCTTTAGTCAACTACATTGTCAACGAGCACGCAACAGTGAAGTACTAGGGTTCAGGGTTTGGCTCGTAGCTCTCCTCAACCTGTTCGATTCTTCCAAAAGGTCGTTTCCTTACCGAGCATAAAAATGGCTGTAGTGGGGGCAGATGATCATGAATTACCGACGTATCTATAATCCAGACGACCACGACTCTATGTGCCTGTCATAGCATCAGCACCGTATCCACGTGTAGTGGTGCAGCGCAAACCGTCGGTCGTAGTTGTTCTACTGGCGCAGAAGTACTAGCAGTATTACGCAAATACATGCTGCGCGAGCGCGACCAAGTGCCACCCCCACGGAAGACTTGGAATTTTGATTCTTGAATTCGAAAATCATGTGTGTGTTAGTCTCTTCGCAACGACGTGCGTCGTCGCTTTTCGTGTCCGGTCGCCCTGGTCATCTTGGACCAAGACAACTTATGTTGCTATTGCTGCTGGAACTCCACCGAATTCGAGGCACTTTCGGGTACGGTCTCACAGTGAGAGCAAGTAGCTTCTCTGAAGACGGCGCGTCGGCGTCGTCGGCCGGCGAGACGGATGGCAGGAACAGCAGCCAGCATGACGAAAGTGTAGTTCTCGCGCATGTTAATCAACAACTACATGGAGGTGGAGTTGTGGTCGAGCGCGAATGCCCAACCGACAACTGTGACATGATCACCGATCCATTGTTGCTTGTAACAAGCAAAAGCAACTTCTACCCTTTGAGGCTTTGCAACCCGCCCCGGCGGATCCCGATGCTGCGGGGATTGCCGTTCGATGGTGCGAAAGACGTCGTATCGTCCACGGGAAGGCTGGTTTGCAGTTCAAATAGGAAAGCAGGCAGCTCTTCGGGAACTGCACAACAAGAAGATGAAGGGCCCGAAACCTCCGAAAGCGATGAGGTGGAGTCCGATACCGATTTCTCGTCCATGGAACAACAGCATGACGCGGCGAACGGCGCGCATCAAATTCAAAGGCCGCGACACGGCAGGCCGCGTTCTGCCCTGCCTCTTCTTTTTGGGGGGTCCGCGCGGAGACTCAACGACGCATTAGAGCAATTAAGGCATGAGGACGAAGAAGATCATCAAGATCAGGCAGAAGTAGCTTCATCTTCAGATGTTGAAAACGAGAAGGAAAACGAGCACGAGATGAAGATGAATCAGAATCATCGGGAAGGAGGACTACAGGACGAAGAAACCGCTGAGGTCGTAGTTGAAAGAGGTAAAGTAGAGCACGACGTCGTGGTGGTGGTACCAGAAGAAGCAGTACCAGTAGCAGAGCATCAAGCAGACGAAATAAACGTAAACCTAAACCCCCAGCAAGACGATAATTCGTCCCAGAAAAACTTCTACGCTTTGAACACGCTGCCGGACCAGATTTTCGCGGAGTGGATCTGGCGCCCGAATTTTGTGGATTTCAAGAATTCGCTTGGCGTGGTGGACCGCGCCCGTGCAGACGCTTTCACACGCGAAGGAAAACTCCGGCGGAAACGGCTACTTTGCCAGCTCGCGCGGTTCTACGGAGATGACAGCTCGTCCCTCTGCCGTTGGTGCTCGATGATGACACAGAGCTTCTCCGAGTTCTTGCAGGACGAGCCTGATGGCCACGATGTAGCTTTTGTTGATGCTGCATCTTCAGGAGACCACGAGGCCAACCTGCGGCCGCCCCTGAGTAATCACGATGCAGCACATCATCAGGAGAGGACGAGCAACAGCAACGGCCAGCGACCCGCCCCCGCCGCAGGAACTAGTCCAACCATTAACAGCAGCAGCAATTTTGGGGAAGATCCAGCGAGGAGCTGTGCGCGACGCAAGAACCGGATGCGAATGCCGACCACGGTTTTTTACCATGATTATCCCGAGCTTCGCGTCAGGAACCGGCGGCGGCGGGGTGAGCCTGAGCAGAGTAGATCCAATGCAGCTGCGGCTAGTGCAGCATCTTCGTCTTCCAATGTAGTATCACCCACAACACGAACACGACTAGATTCCTTTCAAGACGAGTCATCGAACGAAACAACTTGGACCACGGAAGAGGAGAATATCACACGGCAAGAACCGGGTTACGTTGAGGACGCGCGAGCGATGCAGCAGGCGATATTATCGCGGCTACCCATGCGAAGATCCCGGTCATCTATTGTGGAGAACGCGTTCCGACAGTATCGGCAACGGTATGAGGAGCGGAACCGGGCCACGCCCACGGAGGAGGAAGAAGAAAATCACGAAAGCGAGACGAACTTCCATCGCAAAAATAGCAACAAACGGCGCCGGCCAGCGACATCATCAGAAGTAGACCACGACGACGACAGTGGGCGGCCAGCATCTTCAGCATCCTCCCAAGAAGATGTCGAGGCGACTGAGACGCCATTGACGGTGTTAGACTTTGTTTTTCTGCTCCGCCTGATTGGTGTCAGTAGGGACGGGATCAGCCGTATGAAGCAATTGCTGTTCGAGATAGTGGAGGAAAAGCAACCCGGCGAGGTTGCCTTCGTGAAGGCGGCGAAAAAGCCGTGCAATGCGCTCCTGTCTCCTTCCGGCGCCCGCGCGGCCGCCTACGGAGCCGGGAGAAGGTTGGCGCACGAAGAGGATTTTTCAGGAGGAACGCAGAACGAGGACAGAACAGGACGGGCGACTTCGGAAAGTTTGCGAGATGCGGGCACGAACAGTCGGATTTTTCTCGACGGCTGCGAGATACACGAGGACGAGAGTCGCGGGTGCATTTTCCGCGTCTCGGGCCGGTGGAATTACGAACTGAAACTGTTCCGCCACCCCCCGAAGCCGAAGGAGGACAATGTGCGTATATGCAGTGCAAAAGTATTGTACTAGTAGAAATAGGAATAGCATTCAAATTTTTCCAGAAGGAAAAATGGAATTTGTATAAATGCTGAATAAGCTAAGGAACCAGATTTGTCATGTATGACTGCAATTAGTACTACGAGTGCGATACTTTTGCACTGCATAGCGCACCGTGATGGCCTATTTACCGGAAAAGGTGGAGGGAGATTGCGTCTGGGATCGAGTTTTGGCGTCTAAGGTGGTGATGGATTTGTGAGGGGATGGAGAGTTATTTTTGTTTTGAGTTTCATTTCGGACTAAGAAATGCATTTGCGTTGACCGCGTTTTTGATGGAAACCACAAGTACTTGAACTTGATACGCAAAAACCATGACAAAACGCAGTGTCTAGTACATCACTATTTCCAACTCGGCCCCGCAGTACGCACGTACCGAAAAATGAGTATTAGTCTAGTACGTAGCATGCATTGTACGATATTGGCTGTCTCAGTCTCTGCTTCACGCATACCGAATCCGAACCCTAATTAAAGTACATAAATGCGCTATATGCAATTTTAGTTTTCCGTTTCCTTTTGTTGTCTGCGAAACGCACAGCGAAACTACATGTAAAGTAGTTATTGACTCAAACGCGAGCGATTGGATATTTCATATCGCCATGAAAACGACCACGAAGCAAGCAGGTGCTTAAAGTACAGTACACTACAAGGAAGCCAGCTCGCAGTAGCAGTCGGCTGCTTAAGAATGCCCTGCTCGCTCGCATAATTCCAAGAACATGCTGCAACTGCAGCGCCTCTCCCCGGGAACAGCTTTGTTGGCGGTGGTCACGTGTGCACCTCGCTTCTGGTTTATTCCCGGATGAGGAGCAGGACTTCTCAGTTTTACTATCTTTCTAATCGGAATCACGTGATATGCGCTTGTTTAGTGTTTTTGTTTTTCAATTAGACCAGACGACTCTCTGCGGCTGGCGACGATCCGAAGAAAGATGATGACAGATGCCGTGACTGTCCTCGACGTCCGTGCAGAAAACGAAGGCCCAAAATACGAAGTTCAATATCCCAAACGAGGATCGTCAGGACCCCTTTCTTGATTGATATGATCACGCAGACCAAGATCGAAGAAGAAAAGCTTGCAGGTTCGCCCCCGGTGGATGATCCAAATTAGCAATGGAGTGACGACGGTATGAAGTTGAAGATGTAAGTATGTTACACTTTTCGGTCTCTGGACAAAGCGTGGTCCTCGTATTTGGAGGCTCGTTACAATAGTAAGTAACTGTCTTCGAATGAAGAATAAGAAGATTAGATTTAAAAGAATATGCATGCAACTTGAAAGGATGCCTCACTGTTTCTTCAATTTGTCTTTTTTCGCGTTGCTTTCGCTTTGCTGGGGTCCGCAAGGCGTTTGCGCTCAAGAGAAGGAGGATGTAGATGAAACAATAACGGAAGCAAAGCGTGGTGGGCGCGTCTGTGCACCGTACCGTTTCAGTGCCTGCCCGTGGATGCTGCGGAGTAGAGACGGCGATATTGCTGAAGCAGAGGCATCTTCAACCGCTGACACTTGCTTTGCTAGCGCCTACAACCAAATTTTGGAAGGCGAACGACTCGAGAGCACGATTCGACAGCCTGGGGTGCTACCTGCGCCGGTGTTGCAGTGCGCGACTTCTTCATCTCGTGGAACGATTGATGTGCCAGAGGACAGGGCTGGACGAGAAGAAGGGGCCGGCGAAGCGGAAGGGGCCAAGTCTTTTACGATCGGAGACGTGCTGGCACGGTTTCAGCACCTGTCATGGAGCTCTTTGTTGCGCGAGGCACTTTCACCACCTCCGGCTGGGGGAGACGGAGATGAAAATGAAGGTAAAAAGCTGTATGAAGAAATAGGAACAGTGGGACACGCGAGAATGCTCTCCTCACAGCTGGTTCGGGACCAGTCATATCAAACGCTGCTCCGAATAGCGAAAGCCGTTTTCCCTTCGGCTTCGACCGAGCAGGAGTGGGGGTTGACATTGACTTCAAGAAGTTTAGGAGAACATGGAACGAGTAGGCACCGCTCGCGGCCCTACGACGGAAGTGCGTACGATCAGGACCAGGATTTATTTCGTGATGGAGACGGTGACGGACGAAGCAAAAATCCTGGAGCCGTGGATGGTATAGGATTTTGAAGTACTTTATTTTTTTTACAACTTCATCTTGAGTTCTTTCATATGTTTGTAGCTGTCCGCGTTCGCGGCGATGCCCTGGCTGCGTACAACAGTACATTGCTTCTATCTTCTTGTGGTTGTGATGGATTATGTGCTCATCAGCATGATGGGACAGCGAGGACTTGCAAGATTTTCAGGATATTTGGAATTGAGTATAGATAGTACAACGACCAATCTTCAATACACAAGAGCTGGTGCGGCGGCAACGGATGGCGCAAAAAACTTAAGTGTAAAAGCTGCTGCGGCTGCTGCAGTGGAAATAAACGAGGAAAACGCAGCACGCGAGGGAACACCACGGCGAACTGCAAGAACAGACGATGACGAAAGCCTAGCGAAAAATATCAAGCTGGCCGCTCACCTGTTCAGTTCCTGCCCGGTAGTGGTCTTGCTGCTTTCCTACGTGGTTCTTTTCGACACGTTTGTGACCCACGTGCGGGACACCTACAAACTCGCGACCGACGTCGAGGGTTTTGCGGCGGCAGAAACCAATCTACGGGCGCTGTTGCAGTGTCACACCCAGTTGCGGAATCTTTTTGCGCATATGGCGTTCTCAACTGTTACGTTCTCAACTGTTACATGCGTTTGTCATGCAAAAGCAGCAATAGGGAAAGGGGAAAGCTTGCAAGTCCTGCATCACAAATTTGGCACGGATTTAGATGCTGTCTAGCCCTTCGATAATTTGTCATGCGAAGCAGCTTGGTCGTCTTGCGGCTCATGGTCATTTTGCATGACAAATTATGCAGCAGTTGAGAATGTAACGTTTGAGAACGCCATAGCGCACCAGCTCGACGCGGAGATCACAGAAGCGGTGAATTATGGTGGAGGGGTACCGCAAGAAAAAAGTGTTACAGTTACACATTGTGTTGCAAGACCGGCAATACAGACAACCTTTCTCATGCAGGAAATGCTTAGAAACCGGGTTTCCTTCTTGTTTTGGTTTTCCCTTATATATGATCTTCGCATTACAAGTTTTTTCTGTCACACAGAGAAAATTTGTGATGCAGAAACTCCAACAAATGTGTAACTGTAACACTTTTTTCTCGTGATGCGGGGACGTCGACTCCTGGAGGGAAATTGCGCGGCCAGTTGTGGCAGGAAGTGGCGAGGAGGGTGGAGCGGCAAATAGACGCGGACCTTGGAGGTCATCGTTATCTTTGCTCAGGATCTTTGAGCACCGCGGCAATCAAGTGTTGAACTACAATGATCGTAGCACAATTAATCCGGAGACCAGCACAGATCATCAAGGAGCAGGAGCAAAAGATGCGGGAGGGCCGACAACGGAAGGAGATGGCAGCAAACAAAGAGAAGAGGATAGAAGTACTCAAATTCAACATGATGTCTACTTCGAAAGTGCAGAGCAGCGGGCGGTTTTTTTGCAGCAGAAATTTCTCAACGTTCTCTTTCCACCTCCAGCTCCAGATTTGGAAACAGAACACGCAGAGCTGCCACCTAAGAGGACAGACGGAAGGACGACACCGATAGTTGCTGGAGGCTTTTCAGCTTCGCGACACAAAGATACAACGGAGACGTCGAAGTCCACGCACGTAAAACTATACGACGACAGGGAATTAGCATCACAGATTTCATCCCATAGTAGCCTTTGGTTTGGACAGGAAGTGGACAAAATTACGCCCTTCGCAGTCCTCTTGCACAAATACCACGAAGCTGTTACCACACCCTATAGGTCGCAGCAGACCCTGTTTGCCAAACATTTCCTTGGACATACGGATGATAGCAGTGGTGTTGACGGTCAGACAGGACGGGGTGAAGCAGACAAGTCTGGTACTTTGACGGAACAAGTTGTACCAGGACAGGATACTGACGGCAACGATGCTTCTTGTTCGCATTCCCTGCCGAAGCTGTGGAAAAGAATTGCCGCAGAGCACGGACCAGCGAAGGCGGTCGAGAGGGTGGACGCTTTTCTCGCGGCAAACCGACAGAAGGTCATCGAGTTTGCGGCGAACGCGCAGCGGCTGTTTGACCACTTGCAGAACGAAGAGAAGCTGATCTATGAACTGCAAAAGTATCGTACTCGTATAAATGGTGCATTACAAATTTCCTCAGCACGAGAGATAAAATTTGTCCACTTAAAAAAAAGATTTGTAAATGCATGACTGCAATACGAATGCGATGCTTTTGCACAGGATATGATCACGGCTTGGACGATTCGCGGTGGCATTATCCCCTGAAAATTGACCATCCTCATCCACTTTTTGCAATTGCATGACAAACACAGAACTTACGTACATGCTTTGCATCACAAATTGGATGGGGATGGTTAATTTTCAGGGGATAGGTACGCTGTTGAGCAGCTTGCGGTACGGGGACTGGATGCAGAAATTCGAGCTTCCAGGAGGAAAAGATGAACAAAAAGAAGCAGAATTCGATATGGGGGGACAAACTAGCGCCGCGGAACCGAGAGCGGCCTTTTTTCAGGGCCCACATATTCGGGGGGATTTTAGGTTTCGCGAATTACACAACATGTTGCTGCTCTTCAGGTAGCGCGCAACATGTTGCCGCTTTTCGTTGGAAAGGGCATGTGTCTCCATGAGAAATGCACCCACAGCGCTTCTGGCTCTGTATGTTTCGGCTGATGCCGGGCGCCACTAATGTAGTAAGTAACGGGGCTTGTTAAACAGACTCGCTACAAATATTGGCGCCGGCGGCGTCCTCCTGTGAAGCCGACCTTTTCGATTTGCGTTTGCCCTCCTTGCACGTGCAAAGCATTGAGCGCCTAGCATGGCGCTGCGGGATTTTCTTCAATTTCCCCGGAGTGACCTTCAACCACAGCCGAGTGCCATCCCGGCGGCTCTAGCCCTTGGGGCGATTCCGGCGTGGCGGCTACGGCTTGGGGCGCCCGCACGAAAACCAAAAGGGCTCCGCGTGTGTGTCGGCTTGGCCGGGGGCAAAAAGGAGGGCGGCCGCGCGACCTGTCTTCGTTGCCCGTGGGCATACAGTCCCTACCCTGCGGGTGGTTTTTGATCCGTCGCGCAGCTCGCCGCACGTAGCATACCAGCGGCGGCGTTGTCGCCTTGTTGAAAAGCCTTCGGGCTTTGTGAGGCCCGTCCACAGGTCGGCTTCGTCTCCGTCTCGCGTCGGTTGCTGGCGCCGGCGCTGCTCTCCTTTTAGTCCTTTTAGTGACTATGCGGGCCCCCTCCACCCCAAATATTCAGTATGCCGCCCTGATTGCGAATATGTGGGGTGGTATAGCCCCACATATTTGCCATACCCCCCGGCATATTCACTAAAAGGACACTGTGGCGCTCCTGTTTTTCATCCCTCCCCACATTCGGTGCCGGCCTCGGCTGGGAAGGTCGGCGAGTCCAGGCTGGCTTGGGAAGATCGCGCTTGTATAGCTAGCCGCGGCGCTTTTTTGGAGCGCGCCAGCCACGGCTCCGTCGCTCGGCCCATTCGCTTTTTTGCCAGGAGCAGCCGGATTTTCGAACCAAAGCGCAACACGACTCGCGCGCCATTGGTCTTGCTCCCGTCCGAGTGAGCTACTTTCTCAGGCAAGGCCTTCGCGGGTCTACTCTATCAAGCTCCCCGTGATGCCTGCGAAGTCGTATATCTTTTTTCGCTTTAGACATTTTCAGGTGAATAAAAAAGGGGGCCAAAACTTTCGCTGCCGACGGATCAGCAGGGCGGCCGCACGGGTGGGTTGTCATTCAGGGCAGCGTAGCGGCCATCTTGTCTCCTTAGGTAGGTTCGCCCACGTCGAAGCCCCCCATGCCTGTGGGCACTCTATTGCAGGCGTAATGCCGTGGCGCCTTTGACAGGTTTCGAGATGAAAGCGGCACCCGAAAACGGCCTGAAATGCCGGGACATGTCCTTTGTTTTGGCGCCCGCGACGGACTGCCCAACCGCAATGCAAAAAAAGTGCCCAAATATGTGGCCCCGAAAAAAGTGCCCTTCTCGGTTCCTTTAGTTTTTTTGTCCCCCCATAGAATTCGATCATGCAGTACAAACTGAAACAGCCAGGAATAAACACCGAACCTCTGATGTTGACGTTGACCCTCCACGAGTTGTTGTGTACGACATACCGAACGACAATTCGAAGCAAGTGTTTTCGCGAGGCCGGAGCACCATACAGGGAATTCACGATTTCGACGTTGCTGTTGTACTTAACCACGACCGGAGTACGAGTGCCAGTGCATCATCTTCACAAGTGGAAAAAACAAACGAAACCGAAACCGTAACCGACCGAAAAGCCGATAGAGACATCAGTGAAAATCTTGATAATTCTGACCAGTTATGGTCCCTGGTTGTCGAGTATGAGAGTTGTACGCACCTCCTCCTCTCTCCCTCGTCTCCCGCCCATTTGCATTTCTTACAGGCGTCATGCATAGCATTAGCAACATCGACAAAGTCAATCTCAATGGCAGAAGCGCGGCCTTGGTACGGGACAAGTTCTCCAGGCCTGGTGGACTTTGGTACTCATCTCCCGTTTTTTGTCATGCAAACAGTAGGTATTTCATCTTATGCTTATCTGCTTCTACACGGCTAGATGGGCTGCAATAATAGAATGGTGCTAACTATATCGTATCCGATGCACATGCAATTTATGTGCCTTCTCAATGAGGGGGACGAGGGGTTCCAATTTTTGTGCACTTGCATATCGAAAGAGTTGCCCAGGTCGCACAGGCGTGGGAGTTTCCGATCTGCGGTTTTCTCCAGGGATACATCCACCACGGATTTTTCTGTCACACGAACCAAACCCGAATCGCCGACCTCTGCTCCGTCCGCTTCGAGCTTGACGTGATTCGCCTGTCAAGCGCAGCTGCGCTCGAAAGTCGCGTCTTTCCGCTGGCCGACTGCGCGCTGGGTCCGTTGACGCTGCCCTGCCCGAGACACGCGAACACGTTTCTGCACCGCACGCTGGGGCCGAGTGCGTGGTACGAGAACGCGACCATTGTGCGCGAAAAGAGCCTGTCGTGCTTCGCGCTCCCGCCGGTTTTGACGTGGATGTCGGAAGACGAAAATGAAACTGTTCGTTCGTCTGCGACGGACGGATCTTCGATCATCTCCATTGGTGGTCATATCAGCAGTGCCGAGGGTCCTGCGTGGCTCCTGGAAAGGATCTTTCGAACGCAGCTCGGAATGAACGCCGCTGGGTTTGCGAACGTAGGAAACATGTTTGGCGTTTGTGACGACCACGCGTTCGCCACGCAGGCACGCCTGTTGTGGAGCTCCACCGAGGGGCAGGTTCAGTGGGTCGGAAGCAACGAGTGAGATCGTCGGATCATGTAGACACGATCAATGAATAAAGTTAAAGGTATCGACGCTTGCGACTCATCTGATGGGTTGGGAGACACGACAGCAGCTCTACTTCCAGCAGGAACGTCCTATCAGAATCGTAGAGGTGTGGATGAAGTCAACGCGATATTTTTTTCGCAAAGTAGTCTGTACAGAGAAATCGGCTCACGTCCGCTTCAATAGGCAAACAAGAATTTTCCATGTTTGAGCTTCGATAAAAATGAAATTTTGAAATTCCGCGGATTTTGTGTTCTGATGAAAATAAAATTTTAAAAATTAGCGGAATTTCGATGAAATTGCCTGTCGTTGTCGTAGTTCGTCTAATAAAAATAAAATTTTGAAAATTCGCGGATTTAAGGTGAATTGGTAAGATGATAAGTCCTCACTTGGTCGATAGGTCGTTTTTGCTAACGGTTATTACAACTTGACTTTTCTATGAGCCACAGGTGCGCGGTACAGTACAGCTCCTACAGCTCCGCTTTGGTTTGGAAGATGCAAACTATTTTTCATCTGTCGTCTGATAAAAATAAAATTTCCAAATTTCGCGAATTTGGCTTAGTAATGAAAATAAAATTTTTAAATTTCGCGGATTTCCCAGGATTGTTGTTATCTCGCGCTAAGTAATTGGTTTATTAGGATAGAAGCCTACACAAGCAGAAGCTTCTGTTGTTTCCTCGTCGTGTCAAGAATAAAGATAAAATTTTCAATTTTCGCGGATTGTGTGGGATATTGCCGTTGGTCGCCGTCGATCTTCACCGTGGAGAGGGCGACGCCATTGGCATTGGGGTGGACCGTGGTTACACAGTGTATTTCTCAATGATGAATGCTCGGGAGCGATCTATTTCACAAGTTCGACAATACGTTCGCAGTATGAAACGCAGTGCCTTGTAGGAGGATAAGGGTCGTTCGGGAAGAGTGAAGATGACAAAGCGTGAATCGATCGTAGTGGGAGGATTCGGCAATCATGGGCATGTTTAGTGAGGTACTAGCAGCTGCTGGATGTCGTGTCGTGTGTGTCAGTTGTGTGTGAACATTTTCAACATCCTTCAAGATCAAACGCTTCTAGTTTTTTTAGAGCAAGAACCTGGGGCTATCGTATTGAAAGCAAACCAGTTTCAAGATCGCCTCGCCGATAATTGATCTCCTATCTCGTTTGAGTCAGTGTCGATTGCTGAAGATGGCGCGGCCTCGAAAAAGAATCATTGGACAACCAAAAGCGTGTCTATTCCTAGCTTGTTGGCAGGGGACCGAGTGGTGCCGCGGTGTCCTGGGTCGCGCTGCAGCACAACAAACCGATGCTAGTACCCTAGTAGAAAACTACGGATACGGACAACAGGACGTTGAGGAGGAGAGCCTCAGACTGCCCAGCACCGACGACATCGCCGTGGTCGCAAGAACCGCAGCAATGGCTCCTTGCCACACGCATCCTTGGCCCGCAGCAGCACGAGCTCAGGAAACAAGAAACTGTGGGGCAGATGAAGTTTCAACATGTAGTTGCACAAGACCAAGCTAGTACAACAGTGGAGGCATCATCAACATCTACTTCCCCATCCTCGTCCCGGGAAGGCCTACTTGACCAGGATACTGTCAGTTCTTTCACCCAGGACAAGGTCGACGACGACGCCCTCGGCGGTGGAAGAACGACCGAGCGGCAGGCCGCCCTTGCGGACGAAAATGAGGCCTCTCTAGCTTTTCTGCAGCAAGATCTTCATCTGGATCCTCCGTCGAGACGGTCGAAAGCAAGCACGCAGACTGGTGGACGACTACACCGGACGATGGTGAGTGGGGACTATTACAACGCGAGCAACGAGGACATCAACGTGCCTTCCCCGCCGTCAGCATCTTGTTCATCGTCCCACGGTACAAGAACAACTGCGCACCACTACACGACGAGCTTTGTCGAGGACACGACACAGTCGTGGTCCGAAGAAAGAACCGACGCGGAAGTAGTAGTTCCTGCGCCGACCTCCGCGTTGCTAGGAATCGGGCCCCAAGGCGGGGAGCAGCCCGGCGAAGGTGATGTGGCAGTAGCTGCAACAGAAGCAAGCAGCTCGCTTTCCTCGGTGAAGCAGCAGCTCGCCGATCTGGCCGCGGTCGTGGCAACGCAGCAAGCGGCAGTCGCGCGGCTGGAAAAGGAAAACGAAGAACTGCGCACCCGCGTCGCAGAAGGCGAAGAGGTGGTAAATGCCGTGCGTGTCAAGACCGACCAGGGGTTCGAGGTCGTGCGTGATTTGCTTGCTTTGGTGGAAGTGGTAACGCAGTGGATCGTGACCTACCTGCTGGCCCTGACCCGGCTCGACTACACTTTCACGGCCGTTTTTCTCTGCTGCAGCTACGGCGCGGTGTTGATTGGTCTTGCTGTTCCCATGGCGCGTTGGGTTCGCGGACGGCGATCGGCACCACCTGGACCGCCTGAAAATCTGGAACCGCGAGGACGCCAACGCGAAGGATCGGCTTAACGGTGCGACGCTGTGGCTGGATCCGCTTGTCACGGTGGACGAGACCGACTCGGCATCGTACGCGGATATCGGGTATCAAACGCAAATGTGTCCGGGTCGTCTGGAAGATTACTACATTTGTCATGCATGTCTGACAAGACATGACTCAAGGTCGACGTCGAGGTCGATAATCTCAATCTGTGATGCATATGGGCATCGCAACAGGTCCTCTTGTCTGTCATGAAAAAACGTTGTTTGTCATGCGGAATACGCAGCACATAGCAGCTCAAAAATTTGTCATGCTTGGCTCCGTACTATTGCAGTGCCCTTGTGCAGCCTACCAACTCCAACATTCACTTTTCGCATTACAACTTTCCAGAGCCAGACATATTTGCAATGCATATAGGGAAGCAGCTTTACGCGCTCGTCACGGACACTAACAGCATTGCGGGCCAGGACTACGTGGAGCTTGGGGACGTGCCCGCGGGTGGACCAGGAAGTGAGGGTGTGCAGGTCGAGCTCAGCAATTTTTCGGCGAAACAGCCCGTGAAGTATGTTTACGTACTGGCGCCGCACGAGAACGAGCGACGCAATAATGACGGAGCCGGAGATAACTACAAATGGACTTCTGACCTCCTCACCATCTGCGGGGTGGAGCTGTTCGCGCCCGCATGGAGCGTGAACAGCGCAACGAGCGAATGGATTATCACGACCACCACGACGACCACTACGAGTAGCACTACGACCACCAGCACCACTAGTACTACGACCTCTACGACGAGCACGAGCAGTACCGACGCCGGCAGTACTGCAGCAGCTACAGGAGAGCAGGAGCAGGCCGGCGCGACAGGTGAAGAAGACGAAGCTGCCAGCGCCTCCAACGACACGAATGCTAATAGAACCGGTTCCTCCAACACGACGGGTGAAGAAGATGCAAGCGAAAACAAAGGCAGCAGTGCGGGGTTGATCCTCGGCGGCGTGGCCGCGGTAGTGCTCGCGATTGGCGGCACTGCAGCTGTAGCCCTAGGATCGACAGGCGCGGCCGGCGCGGCTGCAGCAGAGAGTGCGGCGGCGGGAGCGGCTGGTGGTGCTGGGGCTACTAGTACTTCTACGGGTGGAGGAGGAGCTTCTCTCCCAGGAGGACCTGCTGCACCGGCTGCTACGGAAGGCGCAGGTACCACGGGTGCCGGTCCCGAAGCCGATGCGGCCCCCGGGGCTGCAGAAGGAGTACCTGGCGCCGAAGATGCACCTCCAGCCGAAGAAACCGCTGCTGCTTCCGCGGAGGTAGGTGGACCACAAGCCCCAGCTAGTACCGAACCCGCTCCGCCCAACGAAGGTGGTGAACCCGGTGAACCTGCTCCATCGTGAACAACAAGGAAAAAAGAGGTGGATTATGTGGACCCTGTCTCTGTGGACAAAAGGCTTGGTCCTCGGCCTGCTCGCAGGGGAGGTGCATGATATATCAACAATATACGATGCTGATACCAGTGCCACTGTGTCTGTGTGGTTGTGCGATCGAGGCACAGACATGAGGTTGAGGACCACGTGGAAATTACTAGATTAGAATGATTCAGCAGTGCCTGCTGCCTCTGTTTCTCCACCCCTTTCTGACACTTCCACTTGTACAATGAATGTGCTACCACGGTACTCAACATTACAATTAGCCAGCGTATATGCTGGGAAACAAATTTTCTTTTTGCCTATGTACAATCATAATCGCGCTGGGCTTGGGTGTAGGTGTTCATCTTTGAGCACACCGGAAGCGTAGTTGTTTCTTTTCCGCCTTCGCCTGCTCGTACCGCCCAAGAAAAAAATTCAAATTGTATTTTGTATAGGCTTCGGTCATTTTCTTGCGGTTCATGTGTGCTTCCTCGAGCAGATGAAGCTGCAGCAAGTAGAGTGTCGCTTCAACAAGCTCCCTCGGTATTCACACTCTCTTACTAGGTCACTGCAAGTACAAACAGAAACAGAGGGCTGCCAAATCAGTAAGTACCAACTTCGGTCGCCAAATCGTCCGGACCTCCTCGTCTTGTAGGACAGATCCCCATTTTTTGTGAATATCGGAATGTGCATGGTGTCGTGGATGGAAACCTGCGAAAGCAGCAGGGGTTTTCTGGGTATTGGACGTGACACATTCCGATTTTCCGGGAAAATCGGAAGGTGAGTGCTATGGTGGATGAAAGTTTTACAAAACCGAGCACCTTTCGGTAGACGCCGGAGGCTGTCCTTCCAGTGGCCATCTTCCACCGGCGGATGGCCGCTAATAATATAGTTCTGATCATGTTGATGTTGCGACGAAGAGAAAGAAATAAATGAATCACGATGAGTCCTCTTTCGCTTGCAGTTGCGACCAGCCATCGTGTCGACTGGCTCACTGCGAGTACTACTACTCCAGAAATGGATTCGGTGGTCCTGCTCCTGTGTAGTATTAAACTGATAACCGTGACGACACGAAATAAATTAAAATCCGGATCGATCACAGGCACAGACACAGGAGAATGAGATAGACACGATTCGGTCGACTTCCCGAGAAACTACTTGTACTTCAGGATCAGAGTCGTTATTTGTGGATCCCCCATCGGAATTGATCGACTTCCGAAGCTACTACTTGTACTTCAGGATCAGAATGGTTATTTGTGGATCCGTCAGAATTGATCGACTTTCGAAGCTACTACTTGTACTTCAGGATCAGAATGGTTATTTGTGGATCCGTCGGAGTGAATATTGAAGTTGACATGCCGCCCAGTAGCAGTACTGAAAGCATGGAAGAGGAGGTCGGTGGTGTGCGTTTCGGTTTCCCACGGCGTGGAAGACCACGTCGAGCGAGGATATTAATAACATGTCCAAACCCACAGGTTTTGCTTTGCTTCTGTTGTAGGCTAAAGATAGCAGCTGTGCGGCCTCACCACTTTCTAAAAACTCCTTCACTCATAACTTTAATTTTGATTTTACGTTGCAATCTAAAAACTTCTGATCATCGTCTCGCCCCACTTTTTTTCTACAAACTCCAGAATTATCCGAAAAACAAGAATGATGAAGTTGGCTTTCGGACTCGCCGCCTCCCCCGTAGTGGCCGCAGCTGCCGCTGCGGCTGCAGCCCGTCCCCGTCCCGCGTGGGAACCCCGGGCGGAAAGCAGGCGGAAGTTCGAACTGGAGAGAGTCTTTCCTGCGTTCGGGCCCGCGGCGACTGGGGACGCAGACGTGCACCGGAACGCGCGCAAGTTCGCGGACATATCACACAGAAAAAAACTGGCAGGTCACATTTGTAATGCAAAAATGAATAGACAAAAAAATTTGTATTTCGTATCCCAAATAGCATGCTACGAGGCCGCCCATGGCAGATCTCTCTGTGTATTTATTTTTGCATTACGAATATGCCCTGCCAGCTTTTTTCTCTGGGATAGGACACTTTGAATTTCGCCGTGGAGCGCTTGCACAGGGACGTGATCGAGACGAACCACCTGGTCCTCGGCGCTGAACATGATTCGGAGTCCGACTCCGGCCGTAGCGAGGACGGGCGGCACTCTGCCGCCGCCGGGGGCGTTGCCGACACGCTCGCTTCCGTCGCAACCAAAAACCCGCACGTGCAGCCCCACGCGGCACCACTGCAGCTCGCGGGTTATTTCCGTCCGGGTCCGCAGGAACCGGTCCGGTTTCCGCACACGCCCATGCGCGCCCCCGGCTGGACGAAGAGCGGGACGAACAAGGGCCGCCGGGGGGCTTCTACTTCCGGCAAGATCGTCACCGCGTCCCCCGTGCGCCCGGCAGACGCCGACAACAGCGTGTTCATCACCAGCGGCTTCTCCTTGCTGCCGTTTTTGTGCCAGATCTTGTATCAAATGTAAAAGTGTCTGGGTCTGGAAACTTGTGATGCTGGGCGGCGTATCATGAGGAGGCCGCATAAGCTGGCTCAGCGTGACAAGTTTCTGAGCTTCTAGGTGTTGCCTACTCTGCATGACAAACTGCGTTTCTGCATGACAGAAAAATGGGGCGCTTGGGTAAAGTGCAGGACAGATTTAAGAGTCATGCCAGACAAGCATGACAAACATGCACTCTTCCAGACCCAGACATTTTGGCATTTGATATCTTGCCGGAAACAACGATCGTGGTCGCGGACTGGGAGCCGGCGGTGCATTTGTTGCTGAAGGAGTCCTATCCAGTGCAAAAGTATCGTACTTACTCGTATTGCAATCATGCATTACAAATCTTTTTCTTAAGGTAAGTCAGCATTACAAATTTCATGTCTCATGCTGAGGAAATGCATTTATACGAGTGCGATAGGATACTTTTGCAGTTCATAAGTGCGTGGAGCTTATCCGCACGTATTTGAACGTCGACACCGACTTCGACGAGGAGGCACAGGAGTGGCTCTTTCCAAGACGCGCGCGCGCCGAGCTCCTAGAATCCGACGTCACCGGTTACACTAGAGACGATAATATCATGGCCGCGCTCGCTCAGTTGCTGTTCAACGACCAGGGAAACACGGGGACTATCACTTATGTGGTGATTTGGACAAGGCTGGAGAGGATAAAATACCTGCGCGACTGGTTCCAGCTGATCCTCGGTGCGTGGTACGCGCGATGGGACCCTAGTGGAGACCGGAATAAACCCTCCCCCTTCTCGCCGTGGGTGCAGAACGGCAAGGTGGCGCCCAACCCGCCCCGCCTCCAACCGCACCTCAGCCTGGGCGCGAGCGGCTTCGACGCGCGGGAGTCCAACAGCTTCTGGCTGCGCTGGAACGCGTGGAAGCTGGGCAAGGAGAAGATGCGGCTGCTGCAGAACCGGCTGCGCGGAACGGAAAACTCCAAACCAATCGAGTTCATACACGTGAAGGTGAACCTGTTCGACGCAAAAGAGGTCGCGACGCTGATGCATCATGTGCACGCGAACGGAGACAAAGGGGGTCAGCCACTCAGCTCCGTGCGGATCAACCTGAGCAACGTGGGCCTCAGTCTGGTCACCGGGGCGAAAGTCTACCCGGACAGCCGTCCGGGCGGGGACGAAAGCCGATTTCAGGGTCTCACGGAGCTCGCGAAAAACCAATACAACACAAAGCTGTGGCTGCTGCGGGACACACACCTGCGGGGCGTGAACGTGTACAACGTGCAACCCTACGAGAAAAAGAAAAGTGCTTGGTTCCGGGACCCGCACCTGTGGGTCGCAGAGACCTTGCGCAAGTGGGCGGCGGCCTGCGGCGGGGACGCCAGGGCAGCGCACGGGAGCGAACTTTCGGCCGACACGCGAGAGCAAGAGGAACTGTTGGCGAAGGAAGACAAGAGGACCATCAAATCACGAATCCAGAGAAACGCCAGTTTGTTGGGGCTGGAGGTACCAGATGGCGTTTGAAATGAAAAAGAAGCACTGGTGGAGATAAAGTCGTGATCGTATGTAGTGTTAGTGAGGTCACGAACGTTCTATCTCAGCTGGTTTTTTTTACATGTCTGAGCAAAAACGACCGGCAGTTTATTTGAATCGGCCGGAGGGCTTTTTGTTTTTGCACATATTAAAAATCTCATTTTTCAATCGGCCGGGGCTTTCTCATCAGACAAGCCCGGCCGAACTCTATTGATTTCCGCTTGGCAAAACGACGCAGGGGAGCCGGCAAAAGGGGCGCCCTTCTGAGGCGCATTCCGCCGATTTAGGGCGCCCAAACCGGGGCGCCAAAAAAATGCCAAGACGACAAAGACCGCGAATCCGCATGCTATGGGCGCAATTTGTGCCCACTTTTGGACGTCCGTGGAACATCAGCAAGGAATGGACGCACACGCATTCAGATTCACATAATTAACCACTGCAGCACGGAGGAGGACAGTTTGAAAACGTACAATGAAGGGGATTACAAATGCGCAAGAAGTGGGCGTGATGCTATTGATTTTGGAGCGCAAGTTTCCTCTTGGTCGGGAAACCCTGTCCGTGAAATTACTAAGACTGCGTTTTTGGAAGAAGAAAAAAAGGCAAGCTAGAGCTACGCGAAGAAGGTTGCTCTGCGTGCGAAAAAACAAAAAGAAAAAGAGCGGTCTAAGACTTTTGTTGTACGACGTCGATCTACCAAAGGCAAAAAATTAACAACCCGCTACTATATCCAGAAGCGATTAGCTCCTCGTCCTCGGGTTGACTCTGTGTGTTCGTCGGCAATGAGAGAGGCGTTGTTCTCAGGACTAGAAGAAGGCGAAGGTAACAACGCCGAGGGACTTCACGCAGAGGGCGACTCTAACTTGGGGGGGGGGGGGGCGAAAGCCATTGAGGGAAGATTTGTATATTTTGTTGACCGTTTCGTTTTTTGCAATGTCCACGTCCTAGCGTATTTGACTCGATGTGTCGTTGGTGTTAGGTGCTTGGTACCATGAAAGCAGCCTCATCGTCAGTCTTCCGGCTGTGGTTCGAGCGGCCATCGTCCGGCGGAAGCCGGACGGGCACATTTCGATTTTTGCTGAAAATCGGAATGTGCACGGTACGGTGAACAAAAATGGGCCAAAACAGAAGTTTTTTGGGCCGCGGTGGCTGTGACGTGCAGGCGAGGCACATTCCGATTTTCCGGGAAAATCGGAATGTGCACGCTATGGTGGATGAAGATTGAGAAAAAACGAGCACTTTTGGGTAGAAGCCGGAAGCTGCGCTTTAACGGGACATAATTTTAAACATGTCTCCTGCGGCTGCCCGACGGCGCCGGAGGCGCGAGTTCCGATTTCTCCTGAAAATCGGGATGTGCATGGTATGGTCGACAGAAGTGGGCCAAAACAGGACCTTTTTTGGCTACAGCCACTAGACGCAGGGGAAGCACATTCCGATTTCCTGGAAAAATCGGAATGTGCATGGTATGGTGGATGGAAACTGACCAAAACCGGACATTTTTGGCTAGCGGCCAGAAGGTGGGCTTTCGAGCGACCATCTTGGGGCCATTCCGGTGGGATCCCGGCGACTGCCGCGCGGGCACATTCCGATTTCTACTGAAAATCGGAAGGTGCATGGTATGGTGGACAGAAATCGGCCAAAATGGGCCTTTTTTTGGCTGCGGCCGCGACGGGCAGGAGAAGCACATTCCGATTTTCAGGAAAAATCGGAATGTGCATGGTATGGTAGATGGAAACTCACCAAAACCGAACATTTTTGGCTGGCGGCCACCAGGTTGGCCTTCGAGCGGCCATCTCCGCGGGGCCTCTCCGGTGGTATTGCGGCGACTGCTGCCTGGGCGTATTCCGATTTTTACTGGAAGTCGGAGTGTGCATGGTATGCGGGACGCAAATCGGCCAAAACAGGACCTTTTTTGGCTACGGCCTCGAGGGGCAGGGGAAGCACATTCCGATTTTCTGGAGAAATCGGAATGTGCATGGTATGGTGGAGACAAGCTGACCAAAACCGACCATTTTTGGCTGGCGGCCACGAGGTGGGCTTTCGAGCGGCCATCTCGGGCCTCTCCGGTGGGATCCCGGCGACTGCCGCGCAGGCACATTCCGATTTCTACTGAAAATCGGAATGTGCATGGTATGGTGGACAGAAATCGGCCAAAATGGGCCATTTTTTGGCTGCGGCCGCGACGGGCAGGGGAAGCACATTCCGATTTTCTGGAAAAATCGGAATGTGCCTGGTATGGTGGACACAAATCGGCCAAAGCACGACCTTTTTTGGCTACGGCCGCGAAGGGCAGGGGAAGCACATTCCGATTTTCCGGAAAAATCGGAATGTGCATGTTATGGTAGATACAAACTGACCAAAACCAGACATTTTTGGCTATCGGCCACACGGTGCGCTTTCGAGCGGCCATCCCGGGGCCCCTCAGGTGGGATCCCGGCGACTGCCGCGCGGGCACATTCCGATCTCTACTGAAAATCGGAATGTCCATGGTATGGTGGACAGAAATCGGCCAAAACGGGACCTCTTTTGGCTACAGCCACTAGACGCAGGGGAAGCACACTCCGATTTTCTGGAAAAATCGGAATGTGCATGGTATGGTGGAGACAAGCTGACCAAAACCGACCATTTTTGGCTGGCGGCCACGAGGTGGGCTTTCGATCGAGCAGCCATCTTGGGGCGTCTCCGGTGGGATCCCGGCCACTGCCGCGCGGGCACATTCCGATTTCTACTGAAAATCGGAATGTGCATGGTATGGTGGACAGAAAGGGCCAAAAGAGGACCTCTTTTGGCTACAGCCACTAGACGCAGGGGAAGCACATTCCGATTTTCCGGAAAAATCGGAATGTGCATGGTA